TCCCTCTTCGTCCTCTAGAGCGGCTACTTTACGAAAGAGTCGCTAATTAAGTTTATCCGCGCTAGTATTTTAAGAGCTAGGCTAGATATATAGGGATATAGCGGTTACTCTATCCGAAGATAGGCTATATAAAGAGTAAGGGATATCGGAATAATAGACGGCGAGATATAGCGACTTAGACGATAGTAATTAGATGCCTTCCTACTCTACTACGCGACGCTAGAGGATACGCTATACCGCCTAAGTAATAGCTTTTAAACCGGTTAATCTATGCTACTTAGATAAGGACTACTACCTATATAACTTCCTATACTCTTTACGGCACGCTATATAACGACTATATCTATAACACCTTCCGTACTATACTATATATACTTACCTATAGTTTAGGGCCCTAGCTTCGCCTTAGGCCTAGCTATAGTAGCCTCTAGTACTTAGCATTCGTATATATAATATACGGACGTAAGTAAGCAAGTATCTAGAGCTACTACCGCTTTAGTCTAGCCCTAAATACCTACTACCTAAGAGTTCTTATAAGCGTATAGATAAGAGGGGTCTATACGTAAGAGGGCGTTCTAAATTCTAAGAGAGCTACTTACTCTTACCTCTTTAATTAACACGCCCTTTTTACGCTATAGGTAGTATAGCCGCTTTTTCCCGCCCTCTATCCCTTTAGTTTACGTAGATAGACGTACGTATAGAACGTAGCTTAGGCCTAGCTATAGTAGCCTCTAGTACTTAGCATCCGTATATATAATATGTAGACGTAAGTAAGCAAGTGTCTAGAGCTACTACCGCTTTAGTCTAGCCCTAAATACCTACTACCTAAGAGTCCTTATAAGCGTATAGACGGAAGCCTCGTAACTACTACCTTAATAGCAAAAGGGCGAATTGATTTTACGCCTTTTAGTAGCCGCTTAGTAACCGCCTCCGGCCTTCTACTAATATCTACCTCGTACGACCTTAGAGCGTATACGTATGCCTCGATAGTACGCCCCGCTACGGAATTTCCCTAGTATCCTAATAATGTCCTTACTATTATAAACTCTTAGAGAACCTCTTCGCGAAGTAGCTAAGGATCCTTACTCTTAAAAGTATAGAAGGATTCGTATTATAAAATAGCGGAGGTATAGGTAGTACGCGTACGAGGAGATAGTCCGTAGTATAGTAGTATATAGAAGCCGCTACTTCGAGTAGGCAGGTCCGGCGATAAGTTAGTAAGGTTAGTAATACGCTCGAGCTATCTCCGATCGATAGTAGAGTAAAGCCTAATCGAGACGTAATAAATTATTAGCGAGGCCGTTATCTTCCGAGGGAAGCTATAATAGCTAACTAAGAGAAAAGCGGGCCTAAATTAAAGTAAGTAGTGCCTCTCGGAGTAGTATATTTGCTTCGCCCTTTATACGATAGCGATTAAGCCTACCGAAGATAGTACGACTATCTATATATACGATAACCTCTTAATAGGTCTAGTTACTAGCCTAGCGCGAGAAGGAGAGGGTAACTATATCTACTTCCGTAACGTTAATATATACGTTATCTGTCCTTTTAATTATAAACGCGTCTTAAGCACGGATAGTATCTAGATAGTATTCCTAATACGGCGAGTCGCCGTAGTACTAAAATGCACTAATACCTATTAAGGAGGCATCGGTAAAAAGCTATAATCGTAGCTAAGTCGGCTAAATAAGGCGTACGCCGTTCGTCGTATAGAGTGCGCGTTACTACTAAAGTAAATCGCTTCTTAGCTTAGAGTAAAGTCTTCTTCTTTCGAAGGCGGACTAAAACTAAGAGATAAAAGCGTATAAGGTAACATTAAACGCCCTTCTAACATCTACGATATACGTAGCCTAAGATAGCTTACTAGCGAGAGTTCGAGCCGTATCTAGAGTAATGCTATTCCTAGCTAACGCATTATTAATTAGATTAAGCGTAGTAAGGCGCTTGTTCTTAGGTAGGCGATACTCTATTACGATCGTATTAATTTCCGTTCTAAGCACGGTAAGATAGGTACCTTCTTCTTCTTTTTCCTTACTTAAAGGAACGCCGAGTAGTTCTATCGAGGAAGCCTATATAAGTTTAAAGCGGTTAACGTCTGCTTAACGTATACAGATGCCGAGGAAATTATCGAGGTAATAATCGACGTAGAGTATAGTTATTATCTCGAGGATCTAGTATATTCCTTTAGCGAAGAGGTTAAACAAGAACGGAGCCGTACGTAGGCTAAATAGAAGGAAGTTCTCTATATAGATATATCCTTACTATTCGAAGGCTAAGAGACGACGGTATTAAATACATACTAGAATAAGACGGAACGCGTCCTTTATATCCCTCTTTATAATAATACTACCGGCGCTAGTAGCCTATACGCGATTAAGGATTAACTCGAAGCGTACGTACGAGATTACGCCGTAAGCGTAGGGTATACCGTTATTAATTAACGACTCGCGAGGCTAAGAGAGGTCGTAAATACGGCGATAGCCTCCGCTACTTTTAGGAACGAGTCCTAGCGGTAAGGATACTACCGCGGTAGTAGTAATAGATATCCTTCTATTAGCTAGCTCTTCTTATACCTTATACGTAATTACTTTCGGATCGTTACTTATAAAGCGGTAATTACGCGCTATACGCTCCCTTATACCGCTAAGGTACCTAATATCTACGCCGTACTCTATAATGTATAATAATACGCGTACTAGCTCTTAATTAAAGTATCTTTAAAGAAGCGCGCGCTAAGCCGTAAGGCGTAACGGCGAGGCGTTCGGAACTCGTACGGACGACGTATAAGCGTTAAAGGGTAGCGTCGTATTCGGGCGAAGGGAACCTATCGTAGTAGTAGTTAAGGGAAGCGTAGTAATAACGGACGGAAGCTATACTACGAAGTGCTAGATTGCTAGTACGTCYAGTAACTCCTCTACGTCGCTATCCTCGGCTAGCGAGGGTAGCGTACTTAGTTACTTTCGGCGCTTAGGATATTCGTTAAACCGGTAGCTACCTTAGTATTAGTTATAAACATACGCGAGGCTCTAAGGATAAGGTTTAGTATAATCGTATAGGTTCTACTTTATATATAGGCCTTTCTTCTTCTTCGAATTATCGTTCCGAGCTTATAGTAGTATCGAATTACTAGTAATTATAAGTCCTCCTTTTTATAGCACTATTAAAACTACGAACTCCGGCGTAAGGTAGTTATACGTAAATAAAGGATCGAACGACGACGAGCTAGTATCGGTTACTCCTCGGCTATACGCTTCCGTATAAGCGGCTATAGCTAAATAGACTACTACGTCGCTCTACTAAAAGCGCCTAGCCTAGCCTAATACCTAGATAGAATGTAGGTTAAGCTATCTTAGTAGTAATAGATAGTCTRCGCTAAAGAAGCGGTCTATTAATAGCTCGAAGTATCTAAAACCTTCGCGCTAAACTAACGCGCTACTTATCTCCTTAATCTTGCCTACGATACGGTAGGAGTTTAAATAGCCGGTAGTATCGATTACCGATCGGATACCGAGGTTCGTTACTTAAGGGATTAGCCTTATTCGCGCGAGATTAAGGGGGTTAAATCGTTTATAGTAAACGTCGTTAATAAGAGGTTTTAGTACGTATTAGAGGTTACGCATTATCTACGAGCGGTTACCGAGGGGTATCTTACTATTAAGTATGTTCTTATTATCTACTATCTTCGCTACCGGCGTAAGCGTAGTAGAGGCTAGTAGAAACGCCGTCGCGCTAATAGGAGTTCCTCCGGCGAGCCGAGCGCGCCTCTTACGGAGGTCCTATACTACCGTAAGGCGTTATAGTTCCTCTATTAATAGGTTGTCTAATCTATTATCTATTACCGCTCTATTATTTACCGCCGTCGCTATTAGTATAGGACTAGACGAGCTACCGGCCTAACCGGATCCTTCGGCGATTAGTAGCTAATTTATATTTCGTAGCGGTAGTTAGTATAATAGGCCGCCGTTATTTAGGCCGGCGAGGTCGTCTTCGTCTAAATCGTTATCGGCGTCGTTATCGGTATTATTAAGGTCGAAGTCGTCTACTCGTAGAGTATTACGGGGGCGTCCTCGTTTTACTATATTACTAACCGAGGTTAAACGCCTTCTATAGTATACGGTAAAGTGTCTAAAGGTCTATCCGCATTTAATGCCGTTTAAAGCAGGTATCTAGACAGTACCCGTAGGTTTAAACATGCTATATTTAATACGTACTACGCAAAGCGGAGGTAGATGAATTAAGGAGTTATCCGAACTTCCTCGGTTAGTACACCTCGCTTATGCACAGACCCCCCTTCATTTACGTGTTTGAATGGGCATCGAATGTAAGTCATTCTAAGCTGCTCATTCCAGCGTGCTGATTGCTCGTCGCTGGCCTCCACAATCATGCGCTTTCCGTCTAATACCAAAGCGTTCAGTGACAGCCAAGGGCTTGTTATGTAGAGCGGAGGCGTCTCCGATTCTTGAGGGATGAATAGATACGCGGTCAACTTCTAGTCGGCCAGCACCTGATGCGCTCGTAAAGCTGTCTCGGTAACCTTCTTTGGGTTATAACTGAGAAGGGTCTATGCGTAAGAGTGCGTTCTGAATCTCGATGTGACGGGGGAAAGGATGGCGGTAGTAGTATCGAGCAAGTTCGTCGTAACAGATGGGGGTAGTAGATGAATCCATATACGCGTACACGAACGACATGGACCGTTCTCGGACGTTTTTAAGAGAAGGAGCATTTCTGCTTGAGATGTTACATCGTACCTTGTAATCATCATCGCAAGCGCAACTTTGAGAAGTAGTAGAGTCTGATCAAGAAAGCAAGATGAATGACCAAACAGTTTGTTTGTGATTAATGGATCCTATGGTCGTAGTCTAAGAGAATTGGAGGATAGGATCAAAAAACCACCCGCTTGCCACAAGTGGCCAATGGCCCGAGATTAAACTCTTCGACAAAGAGAACTCCATGCCATGACAACACTTGCATTGCACTGCAAGGTCCAGAAGGCGTTCGATTTACTATAGGACAATGTAAGCGAAGCCGAACCATTCGTTGCTAAGCCGCAGTGGCAAACATACACAGTTGCAAAGGCATCCGCTCTGTGTTGTGATTCACATTAGCATTTGACACGCAAAATCAAGCCTAGAGCTCGATCAGATATTCGAGATATCTTACCGCTTCGGGGCAAAGGTCCTGAAATCAAGAAGAGGTACGTTAGCATATGACATTGACAAATTGATCGATGGACGACAGCACAGCTCCAACGCAAGGGCTCTTTCGGGATGTACTTACGCCCGGCATACAATCAATGCCGCATTCTCCATTTGACCCCACCTGAGTGCATTCTTCGCCGCTGGACGTAATGCATGTACGTCTGCAAGAGGAGCACCTCTGTCGCTTGAAGAGCCCGTCGGCTAGGCCCGTAGACCTGTCGACTTCTCCGGGGGGCAATGCGGTGACAAGTGCGACCCATAGGCAGGAAAGGACAAGAGTGACACGCATTTTGTCTGGTAGGGTGGGTGGGTTGGTTGGTTTGTTGGTTGGAAAGCTAGAGGCTTTGTTGAAGTGCAGTGGAATGTGGTTTGAGATGAAGAGTTGGAGGCGTTCGGACTGGTCATATATATACCTGCCAATCTCTACCCCTCTGCCTCGTCTCTCGTGAGACCTCGCGGTCACCATAAAATGGCTCATATGAGATCCTTACACCCCGCCTGGTACTGTCCATGCATGGCTATGCTCTGACTGCGCAGGGACAGCTTTCTCGACGAGGTCCAAGGGGCTCCGATTCATGGGTGTGCAAGAGCTCGTGTCCTTGTTCAGGCATAATCAGGGAGATCATGCCTGGAAGTCGCATTGCACATTGTGCTACCATTGTTCAGCTCCGGCTATGATGCTAGGTAAACTCCGTGTCGTTCTCCCAGAACGCACGTCGTCTGATGTATCAGTAATCGCACAGTCGCCATGTACTTGGAGTGCACTATTCGAACAAAGACGATCCAAGTGTGCCCATATTCCGTCCGAAGGGAACATTTTGCTCTCCGTCTAGCCAGTGACTCCCCGAAACTGGCATGGGCTGTGCGCATGGATAGGAACTTTGCATCAGGCGACTGTGTTACTCCAGCTGAGCTGATTGTTGAAGACTATAACCTGCATACCGGCAGCTCCGAAAGCCATTTCTTTGGCCTAGTCCATGTCCCAACAATCGTGTCGAATCAATCGTAACTATGTCGAGTGTACTCCCAATTGGCCTACTTCCCTTGCAATCACCTCGAAATCTTATTAGAGCTTCCTGTATGCGGGATGTCTTCTGTACAACTGATATCCGAGCCGAGGCAGCGCATGACAACATGTCTAGGTCTTTTGGTAGCATAGTTTCGGGGAATGTACGAGGAGTTTATCGGAGGTTAGACACTCGATCGCGGGGTTCAGAATGGTCTGTTGAACTGGATTAGGTGAGTAGGTAAGCCCCTATTATAATCCGCTTGAGAATTATGTTGGAGAAGGGGTGAAAAAAAGGGACGTCCCGGGAAAGGACACGTCGAGGAGAGACGATCGTTGCTATGAAAGTAACATCTTGTTAGAATCAAATACCAAAAATCCTTAACGCACAAACCAGTAGCCACTTCGGCTAGCACTACTTTACCTCGCGAGAAAGAGTTTGGACGAAAGCTGGCGCAAATTATTCGTTGCTAGGCTATGGCAAGGCTGCCCTCAACGTCCTCATTAACAGAGAGAAGTCGGTTTAAACTTTGTCTCGTGAGTTCGCGGGTGCGCCCCGTGTAAGACATGGAAGCCAAAACGAACTCTAACGCTAGTGGATCCCTCGTTGCAAATAAATCTACCTGACTCTTCTACACGGAAGCGCTTCAATTTTACCACTTGTGAGCCAGAAGATAAGATAACTGAAGTTTTATTTGCTTAGTTGTTATAAAGCCGGAATCACTGTTAACTAGCCAAACGTACAATGCCAATGCCAATGTCTAAAGGGCCACTTGTCCACAATCGAGTGAAGTTTCTCAGATTCCATTTTGCTTTCTACCGGATGGACGGGTGTAATGAAGCGTTGCCGGGCCTCGGCTAGGATGCCCTAGTTCTTCTAGTGGGCCTCGACGTCTGACGGGGAATTATCATCATGCCACTCACTGCGGGGTCACGGCAAGTTTGCCCTAAACTGGATTGGCATTATGTCATAATTCATGCTACCGTACCTGCACTTTGCCCTCAACAAGACGCGTCGGAGATGTTGTTGCACTTTTCCGCTGTAGTACACCTGTTCACCGCACGTGCATGAAAGCTTCCGGAAGGGAAGGGCGAAACTGCATGCTTTTCGCGGGAGTTTCTTCCTGCTGTTCTGAAATTCAATGCGAGCGCGCGCTGCGAACAATGCTAAGAAACATGATGATGTTGCAGAAGAGTGCAGCAAATTGTAACGAACCGCGTGTTTGGAGACACATTTAATGTAGATGTATCCTTCACGGCCCGTAAATCGTGGCTACAACCCCACGGAGCAATGGGAGGTCGTAGCGCGAGGGAGTTGGGGCCGATTAAGCCTGGCAAGGGCGAGTTCTCTCGGATAGGATAGGATAGGAACAAGCTGTCGAGGAGATTGAGGCGATTGAGAGTGGCGGTGCCAGCATGTTTGCTTGATGGCTGCGAGAATGACAGGAAAGATACCAGGTCACGAATGAAGAGTGGTTCATGGCATGATTAGCCGATTATAGAATCAGCTCCACGACGAGAGAATGGAAAGAGAGAACCTAGCCGGGATCGCGGTGTGCGGTCAGGGTTGATGGAACAGAGGAATGGCTTCCGGACCGCGATCTGCTAGAAGTGGATCGATCACCCCAGCTCATATGCTTTTAATATCCCCTCTCCTACCATGCAGTCATCTCCTCGCATGCGGCTCGAAGGGTTAAGTATCAAGAAGGGCAGTCGCTTGCTGTTCAGCTGTCTTTCGATGAGAGACTAGCGTGCACGGTGCATGAATGAAACCAGCACTTCGACGAAAAGTGGTTCGTTCAGTCCGACTACAGTCTCTCCACGCATTGGGGTGTGATGTTTGAGAGTTCTGCCGACTCTCCGCTAGCGATGATGCTTGACGAGCTTCGTTTGCTGATACTGTCGCATTTAGAATGAGATGAAAGGGGTGAGGAGGAATCTGCTACCTGTGAATGTGTTTTCTCTGTTTCGGCTGCAAAGTGGGACCGGTAACGCCATGGGAAGCTTTGCACATGGTTCCAGATATCTGCTGTCGAGGTCATTCTAACTTTCCAAAACGGTGCGGGCATCTGCGTGAGATGCGACCGCAAGCCCTTGGTTAGGTTTCATGATCCTTCTGATTGCGTTGAGCCTTCTTGTCACGTCGAGTGTCAGCCGACTGTCCTCTGTGCAGCGTAGCGGTGGATACCTGGCAACCCTTTGCAGGGCGATCATCTATTCCACGTGACCTTTGGGTCCCGGTTTCGAGCGTGAGCCCACGCCGACCCGTCCGCTCCAACCTATTGAAGCACGTCATCGTTTGATCAGTACTCAGGTGAGTGACCATTGAGGAATCCCAATTGTTGAATGTACCATTTTTGGGGGGGGGCATTGGTCGGGAAAGAGTAGTAAAAAGAGAATTTTTGCACCCACACTACTGGATCGCTGAGCTCCCCAACCAGGCGAGGGAATGCGGAAGTCAAGCCTCCGATCGCCTCGATGTGCTGCTCGTCCCCACATTAAGCTCAAAGTCTTCGGCAGCGGGGAGGTCCGGTACTCTACTCCGTTCTCCCCTTATGAGCATTACTAACATCCGCCACTTGGCAAACAACGCCCGCCAATCATACGCGAACCCATCCGTCAACATCCACCTCTGGCCCCTACTGACCTTCCACTCCCTCATCATGATGATGGCTAGAATTCCCCTCGTAACATCCTCCACGTRGATCAGATGCACACTCTTCTCCCCTTTGACTCATTCATTATCCTTTACGACTCACTCGGCCCAATCCCAAGGATTACAGCCAAGGTACAAAAGCTATACCTTTACACAGCTGAAAGTACGCGTATAACGTCACGTAGTAGTTAGTAGCTAGCGGAGCTGTTCTATTGAACGCGATAGGATGTGTGCCGCGTAAGACTTGCATAGCTAGTACGCCTATGAATTAAGAAATATAGGTCCATCTCCGGTTCCGTGCCGCTACTTGCGATGTACGCAATAGGATGTGCCCCGTAAGACTTACACAGCTAGTACGCCCATAAATCAAGGGATATAGGTCCATCTCCGGTTCCGTGCCGCTACTCGCGGTGTAGTTTACTCATTACCTGCTACTGGATAAAAAGGGCGCTGTGAGAATTTGAAGTATCGCACTTACCAAAATCTTCCAATTGCAATCATTCTACAGAAAGCCTCATTTTGGAAATGGCCCTGCAAGTGTTCCCAGCCTCTAATGCTACCGTGCTGGTGGCACTCGCTACAGCTACGATAGCTCTCGCGTGCGTCGGATTTGTTGTCTACCAAGTTTACCTCTCGCCGTTGTCGAGAGTGCCCGCCGCCCATCCACTGGCCCAGATAAGCTCCCTCTGGATCCAGTGGCATCGGTGGCGGGGGACCGAATTCGATCGTATCACAAGTGCTTTAGCGACAAAGGGCCCGTACGTTCGTGTCGGACCCAACGAAATCGTCCTCAATGCCATTGATGCTGTCCGAAGCGTCTATGGCGTTGGCGCCAACAACTTCGACAGGCATCCCTCATATGACTACTTCATCACTCAGGGGTATGTCGCCTCGGGAGCAATCCATCAGAAGAGCTGCGCAAGAAACTGACATGACCTCTCCAATCAGCACTCGGAACATGTTCACGTCCCTCGGGAAGAACCACAGATCCAAGAGGCGCAGAATCTCTTCCATATACTCACGTTCATTTTTGCAGACGTCTCCCCACGCTCGTGCTGTTATGCATTCCTTGCTCGTGGAAAGAATGTTGCCAGTTCTGACTCGGACATCTGCCACGGCTCATTCAAGCATCAATGTCTTGCCTTTGTTTCAATCCTTTGCGCTGGACTTCATGTCCACTTTCGCCTTTGGAATATCCAGGGGCTTCAACTTTATCAGGGACGAGGAAGCACGATGGCGGTGGATTGACCAGTTCAACATGAGCTATCCTCCGGGAAGTGGGTTCTGGATGAGAGAATACCCTATGCTTGTCAAATGGCTTCCCCATTTTGGAGTTCCCATAGTTCCGAAAGGACATTTCGAGGCTCGCAAAGCTTGCGAAGCGTGGGCCATTGCCAAGGTAGAGGAATGTGAGGAAGCTTTTCAACGCGCGGGCGGGGACTTGCAGAGCGCCAGCTCATTTGCCCCCGGAGAGTTTCCGGTTCTGTACGCCTACGTGAGGGAAGGTCTAGCCAAAACTGCAGGCACAGAAAAAGCATTCCACCCTGGCCATGCCGAAGTTTTAGAACTGGCTAGTGAATGCTTTGATCATATGGGTAAGTAGACATGTGTGGCATCTATGGAATGGTAAAGCTAACGTAAGCAAAGCTGCAACAGGAKATACATTCGGTATGAGGTGCAAAAGGTCCCCGTTCTACAGGCGACGCGTACTAACAAGAGCCTTTCCTCCTGCCTATAGGAACAATGTTTACCTACATGATTTACGAGATATCACGACATGAAGCGATTCAACACGAACTTCGACAGGAGCTCTTGTCCATCGAAGTGCCGTTCATGTACGACGAAAGCTCTACGTCGGCCATTTCCATTCCCTCTCCGAAAAGCCTCGAGACTCTTCCCTTTCTGGATTGCGTCATCCAGGAGAGTCTCCGCCTGCGCAACAACGCGCCGAATCTTGACCCCAGACTCACACCGTCGCAAGGCGAGTCCAAGGTCGGAGAGCTTTCCAATCTGCCCCCTGGCGTACGCATCGGCACGTACGGATGGTGRCTGAACCGGAACCCAGACGTGTATCCGAACCCAGAATCCTGGGAGCCGCGACGGTGGCAGTCTGGCGGACCCGAAGCTGCCGCGCAGCGTCACGCCTGGCTTTTTGCATTCGGAGGTGGCAGTCGCGGTTGCATTGGCCAGCAGGCTGCAATGGAATGCAAGTTCACATTCGTGTATTTCTATTCATYCTCCATATGTGACGCTAACCCGTTGTTACTAGTGATGAGACTGCTTCTTTGTGGGATCTATACCAATTTCAGGACGACAGTTGCCGATGAGAGCGGGTACCCTGGTGCGAACAAGTTTGTAGGTAGCGACTGTTCCGAAAGGCTGTTTATCAAGTTTGAAAAGTTGTCCAAGGAGTAGTCAACAACGCCAAAAGATGATGGGTTCAGCCGCATAGCCTAGGTCTGTTATAGCTGCCACGAACGGCCTTTCTCTATACATATATACATGTAATAGTCGTAACAGTGAGATTAGCCTAGACTACTTCGATACTTGGCCTCGTCAACACATTTGTCCCAGTCCAAGTACGACAAGTAGGCGAATTCAATGATAACGACAACGAGTTGTCCAATAGCAGTTCCTAGCCACAGACCTGATAGGTCCCAGTGCAATCCAAACGCGAGTCCGATGGAAAGGGGTAATGAAAGGGCATAGTAGGCGACAAGATTGACCGGTCCTCCGATTGCCTGCTTCCCTACACCCCGCAACAATCCGTGGGCGGCACTTGCCACTCCATCCAGAAATACCAGCAGCCCCACCACCGGTAGGGTGTTGGCCACGAGTTCCACTACCACCTCGTCTTGGGTGAAGATACGAGGGATCCACCGTCCCAGCGTAGAGTAGAGGAGGAAACTCAGAGCGCTGGGCACGCCGCAGATGAGTATAGACACTTTCGCTGCCACCTTGGCATTATCGGGCTTTCCTCCCCCAATCAAATTCGCCACTCTAGTTGAGGCAGCAATGGAGATCGGGAAGGGGAATTCATATGAGAGCGATACGAGGGTGATCATGATACTCTGCGCCGCCAGAAACTTGGTTCCCATCCGCGTTGACAGGATGGTCAGGAGTTCAAACGCGAGCCACTCGGCCAAGATCAGTATCATACCAGGCACCGCCAACCCGATCATACTTCCGAGGTTCATAAACGCCCGCCGGCTGAAGCCTCCCCAACACTGTTTACCGTCGACAAATATGACATACAGTACGAGCAGGCTGGGCAACACGGTCCTGGTGATGGCAACAGCAATCGGTGCCCCGATGAAACCCAACTCCAGCTTCCAGATGAGTATCCACATGACCAGCGCATGGAGCGGCGCGCCAACCAGTAGAACATATGTCGTGGCTCGAAATAGTCCCTGTGCTTGCAGAAATCTCTYGCCGGCTTCAAACACACCATAGCCCGGAATGGCAAGAATCAGCCATCTCAGATATAACGCACAGAGACGTGCCGCTTCGGGGTCCGGGAAGATACGCAGGAGGATTCCGAGGGAAAAGTACCAGAGGGTTGCAATGGGGATCCCCAAACACATGAGGAAGAAGGTGACGCGTTGGCAGTAGATGCCCACGAGGTGCTTTTCGCCCGATCCATAGGCTTGGGCGCAGAGGGTATCGAGACTGGTGGCGAGGCCGACGTAGACGCCAAAGCAGGTGATGGTGGCTGACATATTGGCCACTGGAACGTTGGATGGTCAGTCAGAGGATGCACTTTGTCCACCCAAAATTGGTAGCGAGTGGAGAAACTGACGAGAAACGGCCCCGAGCTCAGTCGTGCCGAGTCGACCAGCAGCAATGACGCTCGATGCATCAATGGAGTATTGGAGGAAAAAGGTCACGATAAGAGGTGCGGCATCCCTGATGATGAGCTTGACCTCGTATATCCATGAGGTTGGAGTTGATAGGGAAGAGACAGAAGCGTCGCCCTTCCCGCCATAGTCTTCAAAAGACCTCCCTGCTTCGCCAAAGTCTCGACGGAGAGGCGTCGTCTCGGTGCATGTCTCTCCGTGCATTTTGCTTCCACGCCACGCCGGGATGAGGTTTTCTGCTTGAAGTATCGACAGTATAAAGCCCAAGGGGCTCGGCACGAGTGGTAATCTCAGAAAGGGAGTAGGTGTTGGACTCGACAAGTATCGCGGGAAGTCGGAGGAGGTTTTATCAGGACCATCGTCTTTGGTAGGAACCTACACCCGGGTCTATGGATGCTGGGCCGATTCATCCRTCTCCTTTTGCGCGGATGGCGCATATGTCGTGCCGCTACACATCAGCCCTACGCTATTGGTTGGTTCGGATTTACCTCTCAAACCAATCTACTCAATAATAAAAAACTCACTCTATACCAATCTAGATCACAGAGGTTTGGTAACCGACCAGTCCATTAGCCATCCAATCCAACGAGCTCGCTGTCTTGAGACTGTCGATTGACCTTGAATATCTGTATATCCTTATACTTCAAGCAGTCCCCGGCGGTTTCGAAAGAGGTCAACTGTCCCAGCAAGTTATACCGATGAGCAAGAGTATTTTGAAGATCTGCTATGCAGCGTCTACTTAATTGTTCTTGAAGTCAGCCGACAGATACATAATCGGCCATCGCTTCGCTTCGCAGCTAGCTTACTTAGAACTTAGAGATTACGATGCGCTAAGAGGCTACTCTACTCTACGTACGATTTAAAAAAGAACTAGCTACTAGCGTATCGCGATTTCTAAGTCATAACCCTAGATCTAAGGATCCTAGCGTAGATACCACTTGGCAATCTTAACACTGTTGCAACACCCTACTTTGCCCCGGCCCTCCTCGAACTACAACCCGCCCTTTATGACACGCCAGACACACTCTGGTTAGGCTTTAGAGATTGTGCGGAGTAACAGGAAACACGAGAGATGAGGCGTGGAGACTACAGGCGATATGAGGAGACGAAGAATGAGATACAACAATTCATTGAAGTATCTACCACCACCTACCACATGATTCGCATGCGGAGCAGTTGCGGTCTTGAAGACAACTGCAACTGCTCGGCACGTCTATCATAGAAGGTCAAGGTCAAGCTGAGAAGCAACTTGAGCTTGGCTATTCACATGCGGGGCAGTTGCAGTCTTGACGACGACTGCAACGGCACCGACATGTCCACCGAAGAAAGCGAAGATGAAGTTGAGAAGCAACTTGAGCTTGGCCCTGCAAAACACTCACCACCGAAGAAAGCGAAGATGAAGTTGAGAAGCAACTTGAGCTTGGCCCTGCAAAACACTCACCACGTACAGTGATCAACACGAGCTTACCTCAAAGCTGAGCTGACCACCCCTGAGGTCGAGCAGGCATTGGACTGCTGTTTCCCTCAATCACCCTCTTCATCCAGAGGAACTCCAGCTTGAAGCTCTCGAGTTCGTTGCGCGTAGCCGCGTGGGCAGCATCGGCTTGCTCGAGTTTGGCGCGCGTAGCAGCCTTGAATTGCTCGAGTTCGGCGCGCATAGCCGCGTGAGCAGCCTTCTCGTTTTGCAATTTGACGTTGTGGCGGGTGACTACGTCCTGTGTCTCGTGAACCGCATTCTCCTGGCTTACCAGCAGGCGACGGTGTTCATTCACCTTGACCGTTAGCTCCTGCACAATCTTCAACACCCTCGTGTCGAGCGTGCAGTGCATCTCGTTCAAATTGTCTTGGATCGTGTTGATGGAGCGCCCCTGTTGGGTAGAGTCCGACTTGTGTCTCTCCGTATCTACGGGAAGACCCGTGATGTCCCCCTCGATAGGCTGATTCTGCGTACCGGGAGCAAAGTTGCTGCGACCGGCGGGCCTGATCTCGTCTGCGGCAAAGCCGAGTTGGYCAAGCGAGCGGGATCCACTCGGCTGGCTCTGCGAAGGAGGAGTGTTCTGGTTCGCACCGGAATTTTCGCCGGTGAACCTGGCTTCGTTCATGCCGGGGCGGTGACCGTGGCGGCGTGAGTTCGTGTGGGCACCAGATAACGAATCCTGCAGATCAGAATGACCGTATGGGTTGATGCCGGGGTCGTTGGGTGTGGGCCGGTATGCCGGTGTCGAGTTGGTCGGCAATTGCCCATCCGTGTGCGTGCTTCCTCGAGGAGGTTGTTGCCTCGGTGCGTTGATGTATGTAGACGGGTTGTTGTAAGGGGGCCCACTCTCGTGTGCACTGGCCTGGTAGGAGGCTCGCGGATGTGCGTCGTAGTTGTGGCTGTTGTGGCCACCCGTGTGTGCGTTGGGGTTGTGGCTGTTGTAGCCACCCGTGTATGCACCCGCCTGTTGCTGCGGCAGATGCCTCGATTCGTCGGGTCCAACTCCTCGGGCGATGTTGGCCCGCGCCTCCTCGTACGGGTCGTTTCTATCGCAGCCGCTCATGATGGCGGTTTCCGATATGTGGATGTCGATGTTTCCAGACACCGCTCGCGAAGTTCAGCTTCAGCTTCCAACAGTGCGATGCCAAGGCAAACAAACGGCCGATCCCGCTGTGGCCACCAAGCCCTTCTCCCAACGACCGAATCATACAAAGCTCGACGCTCAATCAAACATCACATTCACCCCGACCACATCCACGACGTGGGTGAAATCGCCGTGATGAAGATCAAACCATACGGCATCGTGTGCAACGCCTGCGCACAGCAGAACAAGAGCGACGTGAGTGCCGCACTTGTGTCCATGAATGGGAAATCCAGCTGATTTGTCCCAGTGCGACTTCGCCCGAGTCATGGAAAACGCGATTCTTGCCGGCCGCGAGATGTTGCTAGAAGAGTGCTGCAACAACTGCGAGGCTGACCACGTAACCGACTGCAAGAGCGGACCGGTCGGCAAACACGAGCTGCCCAGAATCGGTTTCCCAGGAGATCTCTCCTGGTACGACGAGTGCAAGTACCGAGAGATACTTCGGAACCGGCGCCAAGCAAAAGGACTTGATGCGCTCCCCACGTTGTATCCGCCAACAGACGAGTACCCGCACGGCCCAGGCGAAGGTGTGCCGCAATTCCATGCGCAGCACAATCCGAGGCTTTTCGACGCGAGACGCAGCGCGAAGCGCCGTCTCCACAACGAAATCAACGCGACACAAGCAGCTTGGCACCAAAAGTACCACGCTGGCCAGGCTCATCGCCAGCCCCTAGCTGCCCATGGTTATCCGCATCAACATGGAAGTACTGGCTACAACGGCCAGCAGCTCCCAGGCGCGGGCCCCGGTCAGTTCCATGGCAACGCCCAGAATGGAACTCGCAACTTTGGACACCAAGCACCATTCGAGTTCAATCCGTCAATTGGTGGTGATGGCGGCCATGCATTGGCAATGCCTCAGCTGGGAACGGAATTGGAAACACCGAGAGCACCCTCTGATCATTTGGCCGTAGTCGCCGGTCTGAATCGCTTAGTGGAACGCCTGCGGGCCGAGGCCGCCGAGAATGCGGAGGTGGTCACCGGGCTGAATAACTTGGTGGAACGACAACGAGAGGCTGCCTTCGAGCATGCGGACGTGGTCACCGCAACGAATCGCCTGGTGGAACGCCTCATACAGGACAATGACAATCTCAGAGAAACGAACGCCGATTTGGTCGATACTCTTCAATCCAGAGGGCGCCAGGCATACGGTTCGGAACCCCCGCCTCCATATCCAGAGTCCGGACGTGAGAGCCGTCAGGGTGGCGCTGGAGACGGCAGCCGAAACAACGAGTCTAGGAGGCGGCGGAGGCCGAGAAGGAGGAGAGGGGAGGAGTCTGGCTAGAGCAGGTTGAGGTAGCTCTGCTGAGGTGGGATTGGTTTGCATTTCCCAACACGTACATCAAGGATAATTTCTCCTTCATCTACGTCTTGCGGCCAAGTTCGTACGTCAAGATTGCGGCCAACACGTACATCAAGGATCATTTCTCCTTCATCTACGTCTTGCGGCCAAGTTCGTACATCAAGGATCATTTCTCCTTCATCTACGTCTTGCGGCCAAGTTCGTACATCAAGGATCATTTCTCCTTCATCTACGAACTTGTGCCTCTGTACGGGGTCCTTCGCCACTATTAGCTCAAACGACTAATAGTCGCCAAGGTCGTACCTACAATGGTGGTTTTGCTCGGTGGGGTCTTCTGGCGGTACATAGTTACCAAATTTATATCGTCCAGCTTCATCCAATTGCATGTGTACGAATGTGATGCCCCATGTTTCCCTTTAGACGGGCGTCGTCGAGGTGAGGTGAGGTGAGGTGAAAGTTGAGTTGTGCGCGCCAAGGTCGGCCACGGACCTTCCTTCTCCGCTCCATCCTTCCGGTAACTTAGTTCGACTTCCCCTGCAGAGAATAATGTCAAAGACCAGAGAGATCGTGTTCTACTATCCTCGCAGCTCTTAAGAGCATGCCGACGAAGCGTTGAGTGAACTAGCTTCACCATTGAAACAGATCGAGGCGGTGGACGTCGACGCCCGCGCAACGACAGAGGCTCACGCAACGTCGGGATCGTTTGACCATGTTAGTTCTACCGCTCAACACGGCGCCCGACTCTATCGACGCTATCGACGCCCGCGAGCTCCCAAAAACGAGATTCACAAGCGCTACAACACACGAGTCCTACTCTACCCGCGCCGGAAGCTCGAACTGTGCGTGAACTACCGAAGCGTAATGGACGACCTAAAGTCAAGGTCAACCGAAGCCTGCCCCGGTGCTTCCCATCCCCGACGTATATACATACATACGCCGAGGTCCTAGACGCACTCGATGCGTTTCAGCCAGACGCAAGTGGACCACGCTTCGCAATCAGCCTTTCGGACGTTGTCAAAGCAGGACTGAAGCCATCGCTCTCGAAACTTCGAAACGCAACACCATGGCAAACAGTCTTTGAATGATAGCCTCGAAAGGCCGGGATCGCCTCATGTGGTCAGGCCAAGATTTTCGGCCGTCCCACGCCAGCGTTAAACAACCAGGCATGCCAACATTGCTCTGCTGCTTCGAAGGTCTGCATCTCGGTGGAGAGGGGCGTCCGTCCTATGCTCGTTCCCCTGCCTATTGACGAGCGGGGCGATGCAAGATGGGACGAGTTGCGCTTCTGGATCAAGGAGGAATAAGGGGATCGATCCGAAGCGATGTTTGCAAGGCCAGTAAGAGGCYTCAGTAGCGTTCAATTGTATGATGTTCGTGCCAGAGAGAGATGCATTGCTGTCGATGTAACAGTCACCGTTCTGGTTCGAATGGAGTCCGGTGTCGTTTAGATATGCTTGGAATATCATGCACATGTAAATGTCGCTGTGGGACCTTTACTTACGGCCGAATATGGAAATGTCATTCTGAAATACTACCTACAACGACTGAAATGTCGGTGCTGTTTCACACGACGGGTAGGGTGTACAGTTGTTCAGGGCCAAGCCAAACTCAAGTCCTGGAACATTTCGAGGAGTAGGTGTGATTCCGCTTTCAGACCTCCTTCACACCGCTTAGCCCAGGGAATTTTGCCTGCAACTGTGGGAGAATTTGCTTCTCGAACTCCCGGTGTCCCATCCTAAAGCATATAGATAAGGGAGCGTTGCAAGAACTGGGCATGTAGGACGTGACTTACGTTTTGGTGTTTTTCAGCATGTAGAATTTGAGTTCGTTGTCCATAGTGACGGCGAATCGATTGTTAATAACTTCACGGCTCGTTGTAGTAAGGGTGAAGCGAGAGATGAGACACTCTCAGATAGCCTTAACAATTGGGCGGTAGGTGCGGAAATTGATGTTGAAGAACTGCAGTTTGTCGAGAATGCTCGAGTTGTTCCTGAGTGCAGTATAGGGTCCGTTGTATTCATCGTTAAGATCCGCTGCATGGCGACTTGTTCGACTACCCCAAGGATATCGCAATGAACTTCAAATCAAGCAAACCCTTCGAAGCGGGTAGAAGGTGTCATGGAGAACTCTCGCGAGCGCATATAACTCAGCGAAGCCATGAGCGTCCGTCCCCAGCAGCACTCAGCTGGCTCGTCCATGCCATCTATCATTCTAGTCTGCCCAGGGGTAGCTTCCGGTGGTGGATATCAGCAGCCTCTTATCAGCGTCGATCTCCTTAGCCACCGCCTCCATTTCTTCCAGATCCAAATTGCTAGTCCTTATCGCCAGCCAAATCCTTGATATCAAGATGGCAGTGTTGAATGGAGCCAGGGGTACATGGGCATCCACGCAGGAAGCTCACTTTTTGACTCGCGCCTGTACGGTGATCCGCAGCGAGCGAAGCTACAGACATGGTCAGCGTAGTCATCAACATGACACCCATCAAGACTCACTCTTGTCTGCCGGCTCACCTCAAGCTGTCAATTATCGTATTCGTCTCGATGACCTGCAGGATCAATCGGTCCCGCTGGATTGTCACCCCGACACCGATGACATACCCCTGAGTATCYAGGATATTCTTGACCGCAGTCTTCGGATTCGCCACGGCATTCATCTCCAAGGTTTCAACAACCTCTTCTTTCACACTGCGTATGAACTCGCAGCCACAGATTCTTCTTCGCCCGAGAAAGTGCGAACAGCCGTGCTGACACCAACGATACAGGTTCCCTTAATCGCGTAAAGCCTGCAAAGTTTGAAATGTGCGCCATTTTACGGGAGTCGAAGGAGATTTGAGATTCTTGTGCTACGTGAGTTGTGAGCTTGACAGTGAACTCTTGTTGATTGAGTGAATTTATTGGTGCGACAGGATGGCAGGGCGACGATTACCCTGTGCTGTTTCTGTACTTGACGTATGTTTGTGTTTGAAGCTTCTCGCTCAGCGGATGGGTCAAGTCAGTGATCGTTTCAGTAGGTAGCGCCCAGGGTGCATCAAGGCTTCGTACAGCCTCCGATCTTGCAAGGCTCTACGATCACGCTGCATCGAAGCGAGCTGTCGCCGCCGCCGAGGCTTTTGAACTTGCCAGCAGCATCCTTTCCAGCATGGGCTGGCCGTACTGTACCCTCCATCTTTAAAGGGTTCTCTCGAAGCCGGCGCTGGACATGCCCGCCTCCCGAACAATATCAGCAGTATGTTGTCGGTCCACCTCCCATCAACCTCAATCATCCAACGTCCAAGCCTTGACATCTCCGTCGTCGCCAGTGCTGATGATAATCTCCTCGTGCTCACTCCTCTTACCCTTGTCTGCGCGAGGAGCCCAGACGGCATGATTAATCTCAAACACATCGTGCCCATTTTCATGCGTTGCAATGACAACCCATTCCGTGGCAGAGGTTGCAGCTGCTCCATCCATCTCCACATCATCCCTCCGTCGTTCCTCATAAACAACAATCTTCCCATCACTGCCCGTGCTCACCACTCTCYCCGTCTTCTTGCTCCAATTTGCAGCATAAATGGGCCGTTCGTGTACCTGCGGGAGGATGGCCTCTTGATACCAGTCCTCCTCAAAGTCCCCTCGTTTCCATATACTCGGCACTCGTCCCTGTCCCGTTGGCGGCACCTCTGCCTTTTCCTTTGGCCTTTTCCTCCATATACGGATTGTCTTGTCGTCAGAGCAAGTCATCAGTCGTGGCCCACTGGTCTTCCTCTCGGCGACTTCCTTCTCAGACAACTCCCCTCCACAGACCATACCCAGTCTTTCCACCGGCTCGAATTCCACCCACCAGACGGTCCCACGATGCCCATCGATCAGCGCACAGCACGCCCAGTCATCGCCATCATCCCTCCACAGCCTCACCCGATCATCGTAGCTCCCACTCGCCAAACACTGCTCCTCGGGATGCCACGCCACACACTTGACATCCCCCTCGTGATCTTGTAGCACAGCGACCGTCTCGAAGTTGTCCCCATCCAATTCCTCCCATACCCAGACACTCTTATCCCTTGAGCAAGTCGCCAGCAGCGGTGCTGTAGGACAAAAGGCCAAGCTTTTGATCTCGCTGTCATGTCCATCCAGAATGACCTCCAACCGCCACTCGTCTTCCTCGTCATTGTCGTCATCTCTCCCTCCACCCGCCATCCCGCCGGTGAAATCGACTTCATCATCGTCAACCATCTTCCCACTCCCCGCACCTTCCTCCCATCTCTTCCAAATCCCGGCACTCGCGTCGAAACTGCCCGTGGCCAGCACACTTTCGCCCAGACTGTTGGGCTTCCATGCACAGCTGCGGATACTACGCTTATGACCGCCGGAAATGGTGGATTGCTGAGTGAAAGAGGTAAGGGAGTAGACGCGGACCGTCTTGTCGGAACATGCTGTCGCGAGGATGGGAAGGTGTGGGTGCGGCGTGCTGAGCCAGGTACGCGCGTTGCACGACGGCGTCAGCGTCGCCAATGGATGAATGGTCGGCATGTTGGTGAGGTGTACTACAGTACACGAGTAAATGTCAATCTTCAGGAAAGAAGACCAATCGAGACAGCGTCACAGGTGGGGTAGTTCTAGCTCCACCAAAAATGAACTTGAATGATATCAACACCGTCATCTCAAAATGTTGATTAGTCCATATGGTCAATTAAAATATTCACTCCTCGGTCAGTCGGGGTATCAAAAGCTCTCACTAAACCAAAGAGAGGAAATGCCGACAATTTGTCCTCCGGATGCCATCCTTAGCAATCTGTACCCCATATTGTTGTGAACAAATGCTCCACTCCCCATAAATGAACTCCATCCCAACCTTGAAAATGCAAAGCGCTCGCTGTGCCCAAAGATGCATGACAGGAAACCCCTTCACATGCTTGTAAACGCCTTCGCTCAATGTAATGCAGGACCGCATGTCGGTCAATCAAAAGGTATCCTCTCTCTCTATCCATCCTCTCTCGCTGTTGCCAAACATCTCCAGATAGCTGACTTGCAAGACCACATATGTACAATGGTGAAAAGTGGTAAGCATGCTTGGTCAGTCGTCTAACATCAACGCTCAAGAAAGCTCAAGAGTATTGTCGATCGTTCCCTGGCTCCCCACTATCCGGAGGCGACGTGGAATCATCAGATTGTCGCTGCGGAGGTGTAGGTATTCCACTCGGAACGTCAGTAACGKTGACACTAACCGGCAACCACTTTCGTCCGGGGGCATACAATGCTTGTGCAACGGGGATTGTAGGGGAGCATCCCGCAGAAGAGAGCAGGCCATTGCCATCACTCCCTCCATCCGATGAGCTCTCGTATTCATGATCGACGGCCGGGATCGCAAGATAGACGAGCTCGGCCCATACTTGCCAATGCAAGATGATGATGTGGGCAAACCGGCGGACGATATCCTCGTCGACGTCTGTGATGGGCTGRCCAAACATCATCGGTGGCTTGCCCACACTCGGCACAAGAATCTCCTGCAGATCCAGAGCGGAGAAGCGCGCGTTATCCTTGACGCGTGTCTGAAGTTTGGGCACAAGTCGTTCGAAGAGTGCCATGGCGCCTTGTCTAAAAGCGCTAGAATCCGGTCGAAGGTAGTTGCTCAGCTTCTGCTCCACCAAGCCGAGGAGGTTGGCGTCAAAGGGTGGGTAACGACCCTCGACCACGAGGGCAACACGCACAATCTCAACCGCAATGTTGTCCTTTTTGTCGCAAAACCTTCCCGAGGTACCTACAATCGCCGTGATCGATCGCTGCAGGACGTCATACGCTTTGGTCATATCTGTTGGGCCAACTCCCGGACTGGACACTTCACGGAGAATCTCGCGACAGATGGCGTGGTAYACGCGTGAATGAAGCTCCACCCGAAGAGCTCTCAGTCTATCTGCGTCGAGGTAGAATGTTTGGGGACACATCGATGAGGGATCGTTGTAGAGGAGGTCGCGGAGAAGTCCCGCAGTCAATGCTTGTAGAGGCGTAGGTGCCATCTGACCTTCGGCCTCGGCGCTGTCCAGCTCATCTCGCAGCCAGTTTCTAGCTTCTGATGGGTTGATCTTACCAATGGCGACACGATGCGCATTGTACCGGCGCTGGAAGTTGATGGTATCATCAATCAGTAGTGGCCGCATGTGTCGAATCTGATGGTTGGCCACGTCCAGCTTCATCGCTTCCAGTATAGTCATCAACTGCCTCAATCCTCGAACCAACTTGGCATAATCGCCCTCCATGGCTCCCCTTTTCAGCTCCTTCTGCATGCTGTCGACGAGTGGGTCACGCATGGGTGCGCAGTGATTCTTCAGCACCTTTGACAGCCAATTACCGAGGTCGATCAGATCGCACACTCCATTCTGAATCTGTTGCATGATGTGGTCCACGTCCAATCGCTCCTGCACCGACTTTTGGTCAAAGTCGGGCACCAATGTCTTGAGAATGTCGCGGATGGCGGTGAATATTTGAGGCAGTCGTATCAAGGAGGCATGCATGATGCGATTCCAATACGCCTCATTCTCCGGCGCCTGTGCCTTGCGCATGTGCACCAAGCCTTGGATGACGAGCTCCGCCTCGAGTGCCTTCCAATAATGATCGGCCTGCTGTACCTTCTGCTTGCCTTTTGATCCGTCCAGATTCGGCCGAAAGTGAAGCTCCCGATCAAAGTTGACATCGTGTCGGAGTTTTGGGTTGTTGATGATGCGTGGCATGTCCAATTCCGCGAGTGAGTCTGGTGTGATGGGTGGCTTCTCATCCGCGTATTGAAAGGACCATGACGCTTGCTGCATACCAACGGGATCCATGTTCTCGTTGATATATTGGTAGATTTCGGTGTGGATCTCCTGGTCGGTGAGGTCCAATGGGCTCATGGGTGGTGTTTGGTGTGTTGTTTGGTGTGAAGTCGGGATGGGAGTGTGTCCCGTGGTGGGTGAGTATGCCATCCCATGTGCTGTGAGTCCCTGTGACCCTACCTGCGCCTCGGCCACAGTCACGTCTTCACGGGCGGACCCCGTGACTGCGCCTGCGCCTGCACCGGTATAGGCGGAAATCGACATGGTCCGCCGCTTCGACGGGGAAGCAGTGCATGGCATGCGTTCGGCATCCTTCCACTCGTGGTTGGGCGGCTGCTCGTGCATGATGACAAAGTGCTGTGTATACAAGAGTAGGATGCTGGCTTGCTAATCACTCAAATGTAGCAAATCGCATTCCCCCAGACGCCGGCCGTACAGACTCTTGGTTTTGAAGGACCTGATTTGAAGGATTAGCATCCCGCGTACCAAATGTTTCAAATCAAGCCGGCTGTCTGCATTCACGACAGCTGCTGTCAGACCCGAAGACGGGAACGCCAGGTGCGCTGGTGTGGGGCCAAGGGCTTACCGGCGGTCGTAGTCGGACGTCGACGCTTCACAGTCCACGGACGGCACACAATCAGCCAAGGCGGTGGATGTTGTCACGCAGGCGTCGTTTGGCGAAAAAAAGTGCAAGGTGCAAGGTGCAGACTGCAGAGCGTGGTGGTGGTGAGGTGTTTTTTCGGTGGAGACAACAAAGGAGACGGGCAGAGGGGGAGAAGGGAAGTATCGAGGTGCAGTTTGGAGTGCAGTGCAGTGAACGTGGTAGTGGGGAATGACAACGGGCAACGGCAAGTGAGGTTCACTTGCGGGCAAGAGGCAAAAGAATACCAAAGGGAAGGGAATGATCCATGGTACGGGAAGCGTAAAAGAGGAAAGTGTAGGTTGGATGGTGCGAGTGCAAGTGTGAAGAGCGGCGACGACGAGACTGACTGCACTTCTGGCAGGAAATGGACCACGCGCCTATGCAAGGAAGGGAAAGCAGTCCCGTCAGCGTGCAGCGGAGGAATCTAGGATGCTGCACATAATACATGGCCGGTTTGGTTCCAGTTACAGGGCGGCACATTGGTGGGATAAGGGGCCATCTTCCAACGGTTCCCTGCAAGCTGAGACTGGATCAATAATAAAATGGAATGATGGGTTTGCAAGTGTTGGTGTGCAAAAGCTCGGTCCGCCAACGCACCAGRAGAGAAGCTACGCAACGCTTTCCCGGATGGCGACCGCGACCGCGACCGACGGCAGCCAGTCCCTGGATGATGCTGCAGCGATGGTGGCGTGGTAAGACTGAATGCTGAACCGAACAGATGGACCGAGGTCTTGGGAAATTTGCAAGGAGATCTCCGATGCTGCTTCCACTGCAAGGCAAGACGAGACAAAACTGACGGCCGTCCTGCTACAGCACGCACAGCACTCACTACACTGCGGCATGTGAGGGTGAGAGAGAGGGGAGGGTCGTATTGAATTGGATGGTTATGTGACGGTCAAGCGACGTGCAGATTGGTCTTGCATCAAGTCGGACTAGCGAAAAGCGGTCCGCCGATTGGCTGTGAGAGGTCGATATTACCGTCCACTATACTCTATATAGCCCTCCAATACGTATATCTGCACTCCAATAATAACCGTGTAATCTCGCCTATGGAACACGTTGCGGATATCAAACCATCCATGCAGCATCAACTATTGCCCGCCAGGATCTTCATCGCCGAATGCGTACACCATGTAGGTATATTATCACATCAATCAACAATACACGACCCGTGAATCATCCACCGACGGACTTTTCCGATGTCGCTCCAGGAAGCAAGAATGTCATGCAGTCACCTCCGGGATTGCATGCGCTGTAATGCAGCTGTCTAGGAGAAGCACCGCGGAGTCGGACTCGGGCCAGATCTGGCAGACACAGACACAGACGCAAATGTTTCAGCTCCACCCGGCACGCAAGATGATGCTTGCAGGCGGCAGATTGAAGTGACTTTCGGCATGAGCATGCAACTTCCAGGAAAAGCAGCCACGGTTGGAAAAGTGCATCTCGGCCCGAAATCGTTGCAACATTCGGGTACGAAGTACTCCGTGTATTGCACATCGATTCATGTCTGTGAGATGAGATGAGGACGGTTTTGTGCGCCTCGCTTACCCTCCTCTGAGAGTCYCCACCCGTCTAGCTACCGTTTCTCATGGTGCAATATACTCATGTTTAAACATTGACGTACAATCAAAAACGCAAGTCTCCTTGTGTTGTTGCGGATAAACAGGATGGAGCAGTCGGTGGCAGGGAAATTCATTTCGGGGATTGTTCCTCACCACGATGAAAAGACTCCAAGTCCATACCAAGGTAGCCTCCTTTGACAACGGGTGGGGGTGAGAGTGTGTGACTTGTGACCTGCCAGCATCAAGCCATATATCCAGGATGTGTTGACCAGGTTGTTATGTAAACAAACAACCAATACAACCGACCTACAACCAAGTTGAACCAACCTCCCTCTGATTCCTGAATAGCAGTCTGAATAATGTCACCCCTGACTTGTACCGTCTTCAGACAGCAAACAACTGTTGTACTACACACGCCTCACGTCGCAAGCCGCCGGTGACTGACATGCTTTCCGTTCCTCACCACCACTCCAGGTGAGACAGAATAGACCGGCAACATCCCATGGCTTCCGGGCGGCTATGGACAGACCGTGGCCTTTGGGAAAGACAGCCAGGCCGCACCAAATGCCGCTATCCAGAGGCCGGCCGTTCATTGACAAGGCGGAGATACAAGAAACAAAGTCCCGCCCGTGTACTGATGAGGCGAATAGAGGCGTCTTGGTTGGGTGGAGAGTGGAGAGCTCGTGCTCCATCCTCGCAGATCGGTGCAAGCCTTGCTCATCATCGAACACAAGGCGCCGCCCGCAGAAATGCAGCTACCCGTTTCCCGGGAATGGCCATCCTTTGACGAGCGAATTTGGTGACTTGGAGCCGAGACCTGCAGACGCGGCGTACAAAAGAAAGCTTCGCTGTTGGGGATGGAGGTCTCTGCAATGCAATCAATGTCTGTCCATTGTTATGTCGCTCCCATTCTATTCCCAGTTCATCCATAATTAATTCCCATCCCCCGTCATGTCTAAGAGTGCACCTGATCCAATACCTTGTCCCCCTTTCCAGCCCTTTGCCTCCCTCGGTTCTCATCAGGCTCGTCAATCGGACTCCGTTCCTCTGCGCTATCATCAGGACTCTGCGCTCTGCTATCCGAGAGATTTCTTCGCTTGCTTCCTTCCATCCAGCCCTTGACACCGCCAATCAATCCCATGGCATACCCAGCCGCAAAGTCCATGTTTCCACCCCGTCGGCCAGGTGTGCTGCTCCTGGCGCTCCCTTCTGCCGCCAAGGGGCTGGTGACACCAAGTCTACCAGCAACACCACCCTTCACAGAGGAAGGTGCAGGACTGTTAGGCCTGCTGGGCTGCCAGAACTGTCTCAACTCCTTGCCTACCTCCTGCCCCGTTGTCGTCCAATTCGTACGGATGGTATCCCTCAGTTCATTGACATGACGCTTGATGTCCAGCTCATTCTTCTTCAGCCAGGAAATGTTCAATTCTTGCCTGCTCGTGCCTCTTTTCAACTGCCGACCAACATACTGCTCGTAATCGCGCACAATCTTGGTGATGATACCGGTGGTGCTGACGCCTTCGGTCCGTTGAGTGACGAGGAACATGCCCTGTTCCTTGATCGGTTTGTAGATGTCGTCGCCCTCACTGGCACCATATGGAATGTCGTCATGGGCGACAAAGTCAATGTCGTGCTTCTTCAGGAATTCCATGTCGATGATCCACGGRCAATCTTCAATCACTTCATCCACCCAGCGACAATGACGGAGGGACTCCGCCCGCTCCTTGCCGGACATGACCGTCAAACCTTTACGCGTGTRGRTCTCRGTGKYSSCSGTRWCRYYMAMRAWRARATATGTGTCGGGAAAGGCCGTCTTGGCCTGCTGGAGCTGGCGCATGTGGCCCAGATGGAAGAGATCAAAGACTCCGTCGGCGTAGACACGCACAGATCGGTCGGTGGGCGGCTTGTTGGTCTTGTAGCCTCCCGCCGGGTCGACGGCGCCGGCTTGAGGTGGTGCCTCCATTCTCATATTTCCGGCCTCACCGTGCTCGCCGGCACCGTCTGCCGCACCCTTGGGCATTTCCACCTTGCTGCCCGTCTTGACCTGCGGAGCTTATTAGAGCCGGACGCGAAGAGGAATGCACGAAACTTGCCTCCATTTTTCCGTTGGTCGATGTCGCAGCCGTGACCGAGCTGCTGGAGCGAGTGCGTTTGGAAGTGACATTATCAGACGCGTCGTGAGGGTTGACAACAGCGTTATCGGCCATGGCGGAAGCCGGCCGCTTGTTATTGCGTTTGGGAGGCATGCCCGCTTGCTAAAACGATCTGGGTGCGTGCTGGCTAGTTAGGTAAGGTATGCGAGCTCCCGGTCGAAGACGTGTCGTGTTCGTCACCTGAAGGTTTCCGGGCACAATTAAGGTAAATGAACAGGGCAGGGTCCAGGCCACAAGCTAGCCAAGGGGATGTGGAGCCGGGAGGATGAGTGCAGCATCAATCGACAATCGAATGAGCACGTGGTTTGCCGATGCTATAGATGTTGATGGATCTTGGATGGAGAGTATTTGTAGATGGGTTATTGCGGTTACATGTATTATCTCTCATCCCCAGTGACGCTGCCAATGTCACCTGTCATGCCGTCGCTATCGGTTTACCAACTTTCGACAACGCATGCAGCAACGTCATAAGGGACAGGTTGACGACTCGACACAGTACTCCAACTACGGGGTAACTTATCCGCTTCCCTTGCGAATCACGGCATGTCGATGGTGGGAATCACAGGAAATCATCACCTGTTACAACAAGTTTCACATCATCGTTCATGTATTGCATTCGTCCTCCCCCTGCGAGAAGAATATTGCTATATCATTCCTTCAAGACATGACGCAAAACTGCACCCAGAAGCTCTGTGCACCCGCATGCGTCCTGTTATCGTTGGTGTTGGATTTATGGGTTTGGAATCGTTCTTTCGGCGATGAGTTGCTATGCTGACAAGAATTTGGGTGGTGAARAAAGGCGTGCTGAAGAAGTAATTGTAGACGTTCCTTCGTCGGGCTGGTGGTGGGGCGTGGTGTGCGATGCGAAGGGGTATCAAGTTTCACGAATCTCCGCGCTGGCAGCATCGTCTCGTCACTTGCTTGATGTGGAGTCTGCCACTGGCTTGGGTTCATCCGTGGTTTGCTTCGATTCACCCACTTTTGAAGGTGCCGGTGTCTCGCCTCGTTCACTCCGCGATGCATCAGTCTTCTCGAGCGATTCGCCGTTGAGCTTCTGCGTGGAGTCTTTGTTGCGCAGCAGCTCTTCCAGGTCCTTGTCGTCCGTGTCCTCTTCGGCATCGCCACGCTCATCCATATCGACGTCGTCGTCGTCACCGCGGCCTGTCAAAATCTCAGTACCGTCACCGAGATGAATAATACGACCACTCCGACCTAGCATTCGTGTACGTTGATCCATGTCCATGTCATAGTCGTCGGGCGAGTCGTCAAAGCCGTGATGCATGCCAGGTCCTCTAAACTCGGCTGGGAGGGAGTCAGCGATGCCATTCCGGCCATTCCGGAGACGACTCCTTCCGTGCAGCGAGAGGAGACGAGACGGGTGAAGACTTGCCGTACTCGGGAGGAGCGCAAGGCCCGTCTCCATTTGCTACTCGCTCGCCGACCATCTTGTACCACTCCTCCTTGGTCTTGCCGTTGAGGAGGGCAATGACCACCATGGTCATGTTGTCGCATCCCACGCCGCCAGTTTCTGAGTTGGACGCGAGGCAGTTATCCATCATGTTCTCACAGATTGCATGCAGCTCTTGCTTTGCGGCGATTCCTCTTCGTACAAATTCCACCACAGCCTGCGAGGACTGGCAATCCCAGATGCCTGGTTCAACGTTAGCTTTTGCGTCATGTCCTTGCTCAATCGACCATACCGTCACAAGCGACAACGAGAAATTCGTCGTCCTCTCCCAACTCATGCTCCGTTACGTCGGGAAATGCGGTGACGATCTGCTGCTCGGGGGGAAGATCGGCGCTCTTCTTGAATTCAAAGTCGCCGATGGCTCGGCTGAGCGCAAGGTTGCCATTTACACGGCCAAAGTCAACGAACCCGCCAGCAGCACAAATGCGCGCCTTTTCGCCCTCATTCTGAGGCTTGTGATCGAATGAAAGAGGCTTTGCGCGGCCTTTGATACCCAAGACGGTTCTCGAGTCGCCAGCGTTACCCTGTGCGCAAATCAGCTTGTGAACTTCGCGTTCTGATGTGATTTACATACACAGTAAATCTTCTTGTTCGTAATGATAGCCACTGTGGAAGTGCATCCAGATACCTCTTCTTCGTACTTTGGATCTGCCAGACGACATTTGTCAGCAGGCGAAATGTGGTGAAATTGACGTGTGCGCGGGTGATACATACCACTCAGGATGGCGCGGTCGATGGCTAGGAAGCCGTCCTTGAGAGCCTGCTCAAAGTCGAGCTTCTTAAAGGACTCCTGCTTGGCGATGATCTTGTGCAGGTGCTCGCCGGTGTATAGGGCGACCTTGTCGCCGCCGTGGCCATCGTAGACGCCAAAGAAGGATATTCTCACGTCTCCAGCCGCAGGCACGAGCTCACCGTCACCGTTCTCACCCTTGCCTTCATGTGGTTGTAGGTCGAGGATGGCGGCATGTGCGTCCTCCATGCTGATTCTCCAGCCCTGCATGGCGCTGACGCCAAAGGCGACCCGCTCATCCTGGCCCTCGTCGGACTTCTATAGGCGCAGAAGTGTGATCAGTGGATGTCGGTGTGTGATACAAAATGCATGGACAGACTCGTCCACATCCCTCCGCAGAGACTGTGGCTGCGCAAGACATGACCGGCGCAACGTACCTTGTCCACGACGGGCTCCGACAATGTCTGACCCATGCTTGCTGATAGCTAGGCTCGCCAGGAAAGGGAGCGGCACGGTCGAATGTTGTCGCAGGGCGGTGGGATGCGAGACAATGGCGTTGAAGGTGGGCGGTGGTGTCGGGTGGGGTATTTCCTGGCGAGAACTGCCTAACTAACAGCACTAGGGCGGGCGAGAAGTCGTCTGGACTGTGGTCCTCGCGAGCGGCTGTAGGCGAATGGTAAGATGACTCTTTGCAACACTTTTGTCACAGTTGAGATGTAGGCTGTGCGAGGTGGAGACTTTGTTCGGAGTTGATGAGTTTTCACGGTGTGATCGCGTGGTGTGTTCGGTGGATGAATGTGTACGACAGCCAAATCCAAAACCAAGATGGCGGTGCGGGCTAAATCGTCATTGCCGCTAGTTCACTGCTCGACACCATTCCACGCTGCGCTGCGTCGGTAGTTCTCGTGAAATAATCATGAGCTGACCATGACCAGCGACACGGTAATCTTTGCCATCTGACAGGTCATGTACGGCCGGTCCTCGGTGCGTCTTCTGCGCAGAGTCTCGAGGATGGCATGACGATGCTCGACGTCTTCTTCCAGTCCGTGCATTTGCACCCGATGGTGTTGCAACCATCACGCTCGCGAACGCGTCCACCGTGCGCTGGGTAGTTCTAAAGCCACCATAACGACGAACCTTGCACTGCGAATAGTACAAGGCCCAGACTTTGACTAACACATCTTGGTGCATACGCGGACGACGATGGACAGAGTATCCTTCCTCCAGATGCAATGCTTTCCCTCAAGCGTCGCGACGGCGACATTCATGACATGGAGGATTCATGATGGACGCGAGAAAGCTTCCTGTGAACGGACATGTCCATTTCACCGCACCATTCGTGTTCAATACCAAGCTTCGAATTTGTTGGTCAAATAGTCGACACCAACATACCCTCACTGAACAAGACCTCGAGCCTTTCGACTGACGCGATGGAATTTCCAAACCCTAAAATCAATAGCAGCAGTTAATCATGCTTCCGAACAACATCTTAAGAAGGGCTTGCTTCACTCCCTTTCATAGCGCAAACCTATCAGCTGCGATGGGACGATTTGCGACGCTCAATTGCCAGGTATGGATATCCCATGTCGGTGATTGTGACAAGGTAAGGTAAGAAGTGTTTGATTGGAAGTTTGGGTAGCATCGCACAATACAATAATGAGCAACGCTACAAACACGAACGGAATTTTGTCAATGCAAGTCAAGCAGACCCTCTACCTAGTAATGCTGATACTGTGCATCTATATCCGCGACAGCTAAGCCAACCTTGTGTGGGTACAATGGTACTAATCGCGGATCGAAGCTCCTCGCGTTCCCCGCATTGAATGGCGTACTCCCCTATTGCGCCTAGCATTCACGCTCGCTTTGGCTAGAAACGTCTGTTTCACACGCCCACACCAGCCAGACAAATCCCTTCGCTCGGGACGTTGCAGCCGAATCGGGAATGCCATGCCCTCCTTGGTAGAGCGGCTGACGGGAAAGAGGAGTGCTCTTCCCATCCCTCACGACGACGGGCTATCCCTGACCACGACCTCTACATCCGACAGCGGGAGCAACAGCAAGGCACGCCTTGGCCACGACGGGCAGCACCGGCGCGAGAGCAGTCTACTGAGCTTGACAACCAGCGTCACCGACCTGGGTTCCAACGTGCGGCGGAGTGTCAGTCTGCGATCGCACCGAACGAGTCCCAGCACCGGCAGCTCATTTGGCGCCAGAGTGGTGCGAAGCCCATTGCGAACGGCCAGTCCACGCCCAAGTTCAGGAGAGGGGAATTTGCATTTGCATGAGGAAAGCAGCACAGTGCCATTGGATAGCGCGGCCACGCAACCACCGCCGCTGCGGAGGAAGATTTCCCTGTCGGCAAAGACACTCCAGCACAAGTTCCGCTCGACGGAAGCCCTCCCAAAGATCAACACCGCTGTCTTTTTTGACGGCGCAGGAGGCAACGTCCGCTCCTCACCTGCGAGTGCTGTATCTCAGCAACCTCCCATGTTGGTCGGATCAACAGCTGGCAGTACGCCGGCTGGCTCCAAGCGTATACCACCGCCAGAACTTCAAACACAGAACAGCTTCTCACGAGATGCCCACTCTTCTCATGGCGCGGGCAATGGCGCTCTGCTACAGCCGGTGCCGTCCCTCTCAACCGCAAGTCTCATGAACTCCAACTCAATCTACAACCAGATCCAAGAGACATCCGCGAAGCGCATGGCCACCATCGATTACATGCGGAGAATACATGAGGGTGACATCTACTTCTTTGGCACATTCCACTATTCTTCCTCTTCTCTCTCCTCCATTCCATCGTTGTATCCACACAAGCTTGGGAGAAGGGCTACCAACTACTTCATTCTCGGCTACAGTCTCCCTGCACTCCTAGATATGAACACCTCATCGCCCTTGGAGTACCTCAAAGCGCTCTCGTCCCTGCTCTCCGAGTTCGAGACCTTTCAAAATCTCTCCGGCTTCGACGCGAGTGGCAACACCCTCTCCAAAGGCCGCATGGGTAATATGTTCAAGTCCAGCATGGGCCTTGGCCACAGAGGTGCCAAGGGTCGTCGCTCGAGTACTGTGACTTCCGATTCGTCGGCATCAGGCATGGACGGTCGACAAGCCGATCTGTTGGGCATTCCTAGCTCTGCCTCATCCCGGCAAAGCTCATTCTCCAACTCCTTTGGCAGTGGTGGGATGGAAAGTCCGCAGGACATGACCTCGCCAATCAACCCTACCAATCACGAATTCTCGTTTCTGTTGACGCCACATATACCCTTCGAGCCCGACTTTCAGGTGACGTTGGGCACGCTGTGTGACACGTTGATAGATGCGTACGCGAAGCTCATCGAGTTGATTGCTGGTCCGGAGAGCTGTACGCCAACCATGGGAGCGGAATTTGCAAAGGCAGACAAGGCTATCAGGAAAATACTAGTCGCCAACGTGGTGAGGGAGTTTGAAGATTCTACCCGGGCTGCCGTGAAAGCGGAGGTGGCGGGTTTAGGGAAGTTGGTTCTCGGCGGGCTGATGTGAATGACAGCAAGCGGGCGTTGCATCTCGCTGGATACACGATGCATGATTTGTACGAGAGATACCCGGATCGGCGTTAATTTTAGCAGTAGAATGGGTGGAGAATATGTTTGTATAGAGTCATGTCATAGAGAAAGTTCTTAACGGCTGTACGCACGACATACAAGCATTCTCATCCTTCGGGTAGGCACGAGGTAGGTACTCCTGTTGAGGGTGGAGGGCGTTGGCAAAGTTGGCCTCTCCATGCCGACGTCTGCAAGAATACTACCTCCATGCTGACTCTTACACAGATTTCAACATATGCATGGTGTACTGATTCGCTACGCCAACAGCTGATAGCTGGTCTGATGCATATCGGCTAAAGTGGCCCCTCACTTGTCATGCGGTCCCATCTTGCGGCATGGCGGCTGGCCAGATTGAGTATACCGAACGCGAGCTCCAGTCATCATTCAAAAGCGATGCTCTATACGCTTCTGCTGTCTCAAACACATCAAACCAACCGCTAAGCTTATTGATCGGACAGCCATGGCCTCTCTTGGCCGTCTCGCTAACAAAGTCGCCATCGTAACAGGTGCAGCTTCAGGCATTGGTCGGGCGATTGCTTTCCAGTATCACAAAGAGGGTGCCAAAGTGGTATGTGCTGATCTCAGGGAGTCGACGCTATACAAGGGCAGWAAGGAGGAGGACATTACCACCCATGAACGCATCAAGCAGTTGGGAGGTCATGCCATTTTCTCGCAGGTAAATGTCACATCGCCGGACTCTGTACAAGGGCTTGTTGCAGCAGCAGTCAAAGAATATGGAAGATTAGACGTCATGGTCAACAATGCCGGCGTCTCCCTTGAAGCTCACGCTGGGTTCAGACCGGTTTGGGAAATCGATCATGCCGTCTGGGAGGGTACTCAACAAGTAAACTCCACTGGTGTTTTTCTGGGAATCAAGTACGCCGTCCAGCAAATGTTGAAGCAAAAGCCACATGCGAGTGGAGATCGAGGCTGGATCATCAACACCTCCTCGATTCTGGGCCTAGTAGCTGCGGAGCACACAGCTGCCTATTGTGCGAGTAAAGGGGCGGTGGTGCTTCTGACAAAGGCTGCTGCGTTGGATTGTGCACCCGAGAGGATACATGTCAATGCCATTGCTCCCGGGTACACCGAAAGCTCAATGACGGGGCCGCTATGGAACGATGAGGATGCGAAGAAGAAGTTACTCGAGAAGCACCCTTTCAGAGGGCTCGGGCAGCCGGAGGATCTGGCCAAGGCTTGTGTGTTTCTCGCGAGTGAGGACGCACAGTGGGTTACAGGGGTAAGTCACGAGCTGCCRGTCTCTTTGACATTCACTGACGCTGGATTCAAGCATACGCTTGCTGTGGAGGGCGGATATCTCGCGAAATGATGGATATAGGGTTAGGGTTGGGGTAGTGGCTGTTTAACACAAGTCCACAATGACAATGCGAATGACCAAATCAATATCTCTTCAGCACGCATCAACAATATGTTTACCGTTCGTGGTATTGTGCTGTCTCTCCATCATGTTGTTCCATCTCTGATGGATAAATGCCGTTTTGACTGGATAAATCAATCGGAATTTACTGCCTCCCTCTCTATTCGGCCGTGGCAATATGGCTTTTTTCAAGACAAGTAAGTGGCAAGACTGCTGAATGTGTATTGAAACATACATACAACACGCATCCATCACTACAGAGGCCATATCAAAGCTGTATCCAACATAAATCTGCCACATAGACATGCTGCCCCTTAGAGCTTCGACTTGCCACTCTTCGACGCCTCAGCCTTGACTCGCTCCTTGAGAACTCTTCGCAATATCTTTCCAGTCCCACTCTTCGGGATTTCATCGATGAACCTGATCCCTCCTCTGAGCCTCTTATGATTCGAGACCTTTTCTGCGACCCACGCGATGATTTCGTTGGCATCCTTCTCGCTGTCCTTGTCGCTTGGCCGCCCAGTCTCCTTCTCCCCAGCATCCTTACCACGTTTAGCATGAACAATGTAGGCCCGTGGAACTTCCGTGTGCTGTTCTGTATCTTCGACCCCGATGACTGCAACGTCATTGACCAGAGGGTGATCCATGAGCTTGCCTTCTAGCTCTGCGGGGGCCACCTTGAACTTAATTAGCTCTTTAACTCGATCAGTGATGTAGAAGTTGTGCTTCTCACCTGAAAGCCCTTGTACTTGATTAATTCTTTAACTCGATCAGTGATGTAGAAGTTGTGCTTCTCATCCTGGAACCCAACGTCTCCAGTCTTGAACCAGATCCTTCCGTCTTCCTCCACGAGTGAATCCTTGGTTGCAGTCTCGTTCTTCCAGTAGCCCTGGAAGATGTTGGGACCAGCCAGCCATAATTCACCAGCCTCTCCAGGTCCCAGCTCCTTCCCTTCCGCTGACATGTATCTTGCCATCATATTTGGGGCCATTTTGCCCACACTACCAACACTCGAGAGCCACTCGTCCCAACTCTGCTGATGGGCCAACGGGCTGGTCTCACTCAGACCGTATGCTTGATTGATCTTCAACTTGAGTTTCTTGTGCACTGCTTCGACCAATTCCCGCGTAAGTGGCGCCGCGCCTGAAGTAATCATCTTTACGCTTGAGAGATCATRGTTTTTCACTACCTCGTCTCGGGACAAGCGGACGATGATCGGAGGCGCTACGTAGATGTAGGAGATCTTGTGCTTCTGGATAGACTCAAGGAAGAGCTTCAGATCGAAGCCTGGCATGACTACAACCTCGACGCCGCGGTGGAGTGGCTGCTGCACCAGGCAGGTGAGACCGTAGATGTGGAAAAATGGTAGGACGCCTAAGATCTTGTCCTTGCCAGTGGAGTAGTTTTGTCCAAAGGCAGTGTGGAGCTGACAAAGGTTGGAAACGATGTTGCTGTGTGTGAGAATCACGCCCTTTGGCAAGCCACTGAAGAACTGTCAGCAGGTTAGTTTTGAACAGCTCGATTGTAAAACATACGTCGTCCCGGATGAGTACACGAGATATGCCAAGTCCTTTGGTTGTGCCTTTCGACGACGGATTCGAGACTCGAGAGACTTTGTCAGCCGACTCCAGTGGCGGAACTTGCCAGTCTCATCATGTTGCTCTCCAAGGAGAAGAATGCGATCGTCTGGAATGCCGGCTTTCTTCGTTGCTTTTAACGCGGCAGGGAGGAAAGCCTTGGTTGTCACAACAGCTTTACTTCCGGAGTTGGTGAGTTGGAAGGCCAATTCGTCGGGAGAGTATCCCGGATTGGCAGGGGAAACGACTCCTCCTGCGTAAAAGGTGCCATAGATGACAGGACCAACGTCAATATCGTTTGGCACGTAAAGGTTGAGGACATCGCCCCGTTTCCACTCCCATTCTTCCTGGAGTCCCTCGCCAAAGGTGATTGCTGCTTGCTTCGCTTGAGCCCAAGTGTAATGTCGGTCCGAGACAGCAGATCGATAGATGACTAGAAAATTGTTAGATCGCAGAACAGAACAGAACATGCAACTTCTGGGGGAGATGATGATGATACCCTGGTCATCAGAGAACGGTTTATCTTTCCGTTCGAACATGAAACCCCATAGATCGACTTCGGGAATGGAGATATCTGGGTAGGAGGATTTGGTAGGCATTTTGTGCAGAGTAAGCGGTGCCTGCAAGGATGTGTTGGATGGGAATAGATGATGACCACGCTGCGTCTTTCTTTCACGTGAAGAGCCGCGAAAGGGAGTCCCAGAGCTGTGGGTTGCAAAGGTCGGCACCTCAGACAGACCATCATGACGATTCTCGCCTGACCGCGTCAACTTATTTATAGCCGCGGTTATTGTGGAAGCCCTTGGCGCTTCGAGGTGCTGACGTCGGGTCGGCCTTCGGGCTTCTCCACCTCCATCCCACCGCATGGCAGGCACTCCACCCTTCGAAACTTCCGTCACCTCAACGCGAAGACATCTACAGTGCTACACMCAGATAACAAGCCCTCATCCTAAAGCCCGATGGATGCATAGTAATGGTCTGTCTGGAGATGGAGCAGTTGGAGTGCAAGCAGACAATCTCGTTTACCGTCCTTAGATGTATGTATAGGGTGCCCGGGCTGCTAGAGATCTCCGCAAGAAGAAGAAGAACATTACCGGTCGCTAACCTATCCTCTTCGTCGTTCGCGAGCACGGCGTCAGCAGCCGGATTATATGTTCCTATGTTAGCCGCGACGTTCGACTCCCGGCTCGACCCGGGCAGTGATCTCGCAAGTAGCGACTTCACTAACGTCCGCCGATCCACGCTCGCTATCGAAGCATGCATATCTCTCTAGTTACTCTATCGCCTAGGCGAGCGCCTATTAATCGTCTCTACTAGGATCGACAGATTTACGAGCTCTATAGCGATGTTCGATTTGTGGGCAGATTCTCTAGTTACGCATAAATTTAGAGCTGGTCTTTGTACTCAAGTTGCAACAAGTATGCTTTATAGAGCCTAACGGCACATTCTTAGTCCAACCTACTACCCGACCTAACATCCTACAGACTATATAGCATGTTAAAAGCGACGACCGCGAGACGTGCTCGACACTATGGGTCCTTATCCCCGACAGCCTTCGCTTAAATCAGTCAGCTAAGCAAGGACAAGCGGCTTAGAGGAAATGCTGGTAACCGGAGATTTGTGGGGATAATGTAGCTCGTTCTGTCCTTGGGTCGACTATCTGGCAGAACCAAGCACTCCTGTTACCAGCAATGATCATCACAATCTCTGTCATGCATACAGGAATAAGCCAATGAGACTGCGTGTTCTTGGCAGGCCATTGACAATGTGGATAGTATGGTAATACACCACAGATGCATCGAAGGCGAGAAGAGGCCCGCCTTCTCGTACGCGTATGCTGAGCTCACCCTCTTACTCATCATTCATGTAAATGTAGGTCAACAGTTCCCCCAGCAACAGGTCGACCCAAGGCCCATCGAATACCATCATGCATGACATTGTCCCATGCCTTGCTTAACGACAGCTTGTCGCCAAACCGACGGAAGCCATGCGGCACCCCCTTGAAGAGGTGTACATTCACTGCGACTCCGTTCTCCGCCAKGAGCTTGGCATAAATCAACGCCTCGTCTCTCAACGGATCCAGTCCACAAGCACCGATTGTCGTTGGCGGCAAACTACTGACCTCCTCGCCAGAAGCAAGGCCAGGATTCGCCCTGCGATCCTCGACGGGAGGTCGTTTGGGACAGACAAGATCGTTGAACAATCTACGTTGTCAAGGTCAGCTTTGGTCTGCAGTATTCCACGATGACGAGATGAGACACTTGGACGTACTTTATCCTGCTCATGGGCAGAATCGGAGCGAATTCATTCTCAGCTTTGCTCATCGGTCCCCACTCACAATCCGCCATTACAGTTACCGGGATCATCAGGACTTGACCTTTCAATGGTCCAGCCTTTCCTGCAGCTGTCAATGTTTGAGCAAGAGAAGCCGATAAATGACCCCCAGCTGATATTCCACCAACAACAATCTGCTCTGCATCTCCTCCAAAAGTATGGGCATTTTCGACAGCCCAGTCGAAAGCCTCTTCAGCATCAAGCCATGCAGCGGGATAGACCCACTCAGGTGTGTGGCGGTAATTGACATTCAACACTACCACGCCTGTTGCGWCCGCTATGCGAMTACATGTTGCGTTTTCGGAGTCCAGGGTTCCGAAGAGAAAGCCGCCGCCATGGARGTGTATATATATCGGTAGCACTTCATCTTCCGGGGCAGACGCAGGACGATATGTCCGTGCCTGCAGGTCGAAACCGTCCGGAGTGGATATCGTATGGTCTTTCATCTCGACTTTCGAGGAGAGAACTTTCATTTCCAGTGCCGAAACATTCTCTCGAACGCTATTGTTGGTGGCCTGGAGTTCTCTTGGCGTCTGCTCTGTTGATGGTGGAAGTGTGGCGAGCAAAGCGCTAAATTCCGTGCTTGCGCCTCCGTATATGGAAAAGTCGGCCATGGTACGTTTCCTGTGTGTTTCTTTCAAGGCCGAAGTTTGATGTAATTTGCTTCCACCCCATTCAACAGTCAATGTCTCAGATTTACTATCCCGAGGTCCCTGCAGCTGTTCCCCTCATTGTCGGCGCTAGACACGCTGACATGACTCGATGTGTTCTCTCCCAAGGCTGGAGTGTGCCGTTGCACTAGCAGCTCAAGTGAATAACTGCGAGGTTCCCTGAGCTGACGACAGAAACCATTGGCTTTGGGGAACTCTCCACTCCGGACTGCGTTCTACCCTGTACTCCCACGCGATGAATTTATTTTTCGCGCAGTGATGCCTGCGTGGCCTGGACCTGGGTCTCTCCGATGTCAACCTACAAGGTGTCACCGGCATGGAAGAAGCTCCAGTAACAACGCAAGGCTATCGCGAGGAAGGACACTTTGGTCGAATTCCCTAAAAGATTCGACATGAGCTGCGATTTGGATTAGCCGAAGACTCTCGACAGGGCATCTCGATGCTTCCCTTACGCAGCAGGATACGCGTTGTACAGCACACACGCGCGATGGCATGGCAGTAAGAAAGAGCAGGGAGGCCATGCGTGACTTTCATCCCAGAAATCACGCATACATCTTTTCATTGGCCTATACCAACTTGACTTTTTCGTGTTCCTGAACGAGAACTGAATACGGCCTGCAGGGCAGGCATATCCATAGCATCTGGAAAGGTAACAACCAGAAACTTATACGAGGTTAAGCAGCACAAAGACGAGTTGAGTTTCTTTAAATTACCTCTTATTCCCAGCCATTCATTTCCTCATCTGCAGTGAAAAGACCCAAGTTCCCAACTCGAAAAAGACCAGAAAGATCGATCCCTAATACCATCATGCATATCAATCAGCTCGCTATCATTGTGACATCGCTCGCCATCGGCAGCGTGTCGCAGTTCACAGACTGCAGCCAGTTTGGCAGCGGTTTCGGCTACGTACGAAGTTACTCAAAATCACCCTGCAATGCCGTCGCTAACGATGAGGACTCACAGATCTGCAGTCGCGATGGATCTACGGTACGATACTGTCAGCCCGATCAATCGCCTCAGGTTGTCGACTCCCAGTATTGCGACTATGGCGATTGTCAGACGAACCAAAGTTCAGGCTCCTGCTACTATGGCGTCGGCAACCGTAACAGGGCTCGCGGTCCTACAGACTGCTCGCAGGTTAACGCTGATGGAGGATACATCTGTAGCTCTGACTACAGGACGCTGGTCAGTACAGCATCGAGAAGATCCCCAAGGAGCTGCTGATTGACGTGCTTCTAGTATCAATGTTCAGGCTTTGACAAGGCCCAGGTGGATTACTGTCCTGATCGAAGCTGTTTCGCGTCGACTACCGGTGATCACGGAGAGTGTGTGGGCAAGAACTAGTAGCAGCTCTGACGTGGAGAAGAGAGCGGTACTCGTCGTTTATGGTGCATGGATCTAGCTGGACAGTGAATGTTGTGATCTTTGAAAGACGACTCCTGCAGTTGGATTATACCACACATCTGTAAGACAACAACGATAGTGATAACCGTGGCGTATTGTGGCTCTGATCATAGCCCCTGTTGATGTGAGACAGGCAAGGTGGCGTGAGTCGAGTTTCTAAAATGAGACTCAGTGCTTGATGGATGTGAACAGGGGTACCACACCAACTTCAAACCTACGTGTCACCATCTTCAATATGCTTAGAAAGACATGTTGTCATAACCACGTACGGCTTATAGCAACTACGCAGCATAGCCTCAGGCTCCACTCAGACTTACCATGGTCAGAATCCCTTCGTMGGGCCCTCGATATCGCCGAGTTCAGTAAGTCTCGAGCACGCCATTTGGAGGGCATCCTGCTTATTGAAAAAGGGACGACGTTGCGGAACGCGAGTCCTCATCTTTCGAACAGCATGCGGTCGACTCTATTGATGCCATCAGTCTTGGGGACTTTGATAACGGCACCTGGCAGAAGCAGATCGGGCCCGATTTGCTCGATGACGGCTATGATGGTGCCGCGATGATGGACGGAGTCGTCGCTGTATGGGACACATATGGCAAATACTGTTTCTTCATCGGCTTGGGATTCCTGGTGGTTGCCTTGCACGTCTTTGATCCACCTCTCCGCAACGGCCATTAACTGACAAGATACAGCGAGCTCATGGCCTCCACAAGATCCTCGTATGAGACGTACGCCCTCTCGGAGTTCAAGGCTCTTTCTATGAAAGGTACCTTGGACGTTCTAGGAGCCCTGGGCTCTGCGAGTGTCAAGATTCCTATCGCCAAACTTTCAGATGTCATTGGGAGAGGCGAGACCTATTGCATCATGTTACTCTTGCTGGTATTCTCCGCAACTGTGCACGCTTCCTCTGTCGGATTTCGAAGCTATGTTCTCGGGTCATTGCCATGGATCTTCGGGGCAGCTGGTATTGCACTACTTGATTTCATTGTGATCTCGGACGTTACTTCAATGCGGAAGAGAGCGGTGGCTGTGAGCATGCTCTATCTTCCGTTCCCATTCACTACCTGGCTTGCCGGGAGCATCGTAGAGACTGTCAAAGATGGCATCGGATGGCGATGGGGGTATGGAATGTTCGCCATCATCATTCCACTCGCAGCATCGATGTTCGTCTTAACGATACTTTCATTGCAGCGGAAAGCGATGAKAGCGGGTTACACCATCGCCAGGAGGACAACGATCCGAGGACTCTGCTCTCGCATCGATCTTGGAGGCTCGTTGCTTTTGGCCTCTGGATTTGGACTCGTGCTGCTTCCCGTTACGCTGGCGGCGCAGAGTCACGATCATTGGAACTCCCGATGGATCMCAGCGCTGATTGTATTTGGGAGCCTCCTTTTGATCTTGCTGGTACCATACGAGGCCTTTGTTGCCAAACATCCTGTGATACCAGTGGCATACTTCCGCTCCAGAGCCATTGTGGTTGCAGTTCTCGTTTGCACTATCGATGCCTGCGGGTTCAGAGTCACACACACGTACCTGTTCCCGTGGTGTATCGTCGCTCATAACTTCTCCACCCGCAATGCCCTCTATCTGGAACACATCAACGGTTTGACCCTGCTCGCGACCAGTTTCTTCGCGGGCTGGATCATGATGAAAACACGATCGTACAAGTGGATGAGTGTGATTGGAGCCGTGATTCGTGCCGTGGGCTACGGCTTCATGATTAGACTGCGTACGAACGGTAGCACCACGACTGAGCTCTTCGTGGTACAGGTCATACAAGGCCTAGGGAGTGGATTCCTGGAAGGAAGCATGTTTATGGCGGCACAGATTGTGGTCCCTCATGCGGAGCTCGCGCAGGTGACCGCTTTGATCGCTATGACTGCTCATGTAGGGGCTGCGATTGGCGCGGCCGTTGCCGGTGGGATATATACAACGGCGATGAAAGGCCAGCTAAGAGCTCGGCTGGGAATAGGGGCTTCTGCAGAGCGGATTGACGACCTGTACGACTCCATCACTGGCACGCTTCCGGAGTGGGGATCCGAGGATAGGGCTGCCGTTGGAGCCGCTGTAAGTCTTCTGGGTTGTCGAAAAGGGAAGCGTACTGATTGACTTGCAGTACTCGGACGTTGTTGGCTACATGACAGTCGTGGCGCTGTTCGTTGCACTTCCGGTCGTGTTGCTTGTGTTGCTGATGCCTGACAATAAACTCAGGTGGGTGAAGTGATCGTGTCATGGTGTGCTTTGCTGACAGTCGTGTAGTGATGCCAAGAATCTGGTGGAAGACGCAGAGGACGATAAAGTCGAAATGCGAGTAGTGTAGCGAGGTTCGATGGGAGACTCGGTACTTGTTACAACGACGTACATCTTTTATGTATGATATGTCCCATCCGAGAAAGATCGGGTGACGGAGAATAGCCTGACCCCTTTTGCAAGGAGATTCGATGGACTTTGCAAAAGAGCAAAAGGATAGTAGAGCAAAAGTGCGGGTCGGCAGTGACACTTTGTTGCCAGCCGGTGGGAGCAAGCCTCACTCCTCGGGGAGTCGAAAAAAAGAAAACGCCAAAGAGTATTTGGTAAGAATCAAGACACTTGCTTACCTTCCATACTTCGATTCAAGCCTCATCACCTAGGCGAAAAAGAAAAAGACTGGGTCGATCCGGGGATTGAACTCGGGACCTCTCGCAAATGGCACTCAGGGTGAAACGGACAAAGTCCCCCTAAGCGAGAATCATACCACTAGACCAACCGACCGCAGTGTACCAAGGAATAGGGGAGCTCTAATACCAGGAGTATACCCTGGGATGGAGTTCTACCTCTAGACCATTGGCCCAATTACTATGTAGCAATTGTGTGGTGCGGGAGAGGTTCAAGTTGAATATAAGGCTTAGTGCGTCCCTGGATGCTTGGCACATGCCTCCAGCGACTCGTCGGGCAGGCTGAATTCTACCGACTTGGGCGTGTAGGGTGTTACCTGCTTTGGTCTGATGTGCCTGACACTGTTCAAGGAGTGGTGCAAGCACTCATTTGTTGCCCTTATCCGTGAGATGTGAAATTGGAACAAGGCCCCGTGACGGCGGAGCAAGGCCTCGCATGTACCTTGTACAACAATAACGAAGTGTGTAGCTTCCTCCTTCGTGTTGTTGCAATGCCGTTCTTTTCGCACAGCGTCTTTTTGCATCGGAGTTTGTCCGATCCACAGAGCACTCTTGAGCAGGTAGCTCTGGTGCGGTAACAGCGAAAGCAGATCTTTAGCTATCAGGAATGTCATCCGATGCAAATGCACGCCGCAGTTCAATTCACCAACTTGGTAGGGCTCTTGCCCAGATGGGTCAATCAAGCGTGAAGCACAGAAGTTGATGGAGACGCTGGGGAGGTCTAGGCGGCTTGGAAGAAGACGAGGTCGGGACGGACCCCGAGGCGTTGGGTGTTTCATTCTCAGTTGTGGGATGTATTTGCCACGAAGGTTGATTGTAAGGGAAGACGGTTCGTGAGCCGTCTGCACGCCACACTCAGGTTTCGTTAATCCGCAAAAGAAGTGTAACACCAGCTGCACGCCGATGACGCCAGCCAACCGAAGATTAACACCTGCGTATCACAATGCGTGTTGTAACGTCGTCCTCTTATCGTCAACAGCCAACAAATGTCAGCCACTCTCGATCTCACCGCTTCATTTTGCCGTTCTCAGACCAGCCCATCGATCGGAGACAGCGGAGATTGCAGACCATGGGACGATGTAGGAACTTGCCGGGACTAGCATCTGGTTCTGCTAGGATCTGTGTTGTACTATTGTCGTCCACAAAGAAGATTGTATCGATTGAAGAGGGCGAAGAGGACGATGGAAGGAAGGCACACAGGAGCTGTGGGAGTCGTGTACGATGTACATTGAAGGCGATTGACTTGTGGGACGTTACCGCTGGGACTTTTGATTGCAGGGACCAAAGAGCATCCAATCGTTGGCGCCAGGTGCCTGCGCCAGTGGAAAGACTAACTTTGTTAGAACAAGCCTCTGCTCCTTGATCTCCTCTCGGATTGGGTGCAGCAGCGGGTACCTGCACAGCGGCTGAACGATCGGACCGTTCAAACTCTCCTCAACCCGCGTGTAACGGCGAACCTTTGCCGCCGCCGGAGAAACGGCGGATGATTGCGACGGCGGCGAAAGCGCACATGGAATGGCAGTGGCAGGAAGCATGTCACCTCCGATGGGTTTGAAGCAGGTGCTTGCTGATGATGCAATCGATTGTTTCGTGTCGTGTCGGAGAAGTGCAGTGGTCCCTGTGTAGGAGGAGGACGGGAGATCTCGAAGAGGCGGCCTGCAGCCGAGCACAGCAGGAGGGCTACGGAGCACTCCCTAAGTTAGTCGAGGTTGAAGCGACAAGCATTCCATCCGTTGTCTCCACTAAGTTACTCCCCCTTCTCGAATCTTGATCTTCCAGATTCGCAGCTGCCTCTACCACCTCCATCCGCAACGCACCCGCWCCGCACTCTGCTCTCGTATTCCACATCGGCCGGGACACATGCTGCATCCATTCCTTTGACCATGGCCGGATAACCCACCACGCTCTCTCCATTCATCCACCCTCACCGCAGTCACTCATTCGCTGTACATACTTTGCCGCTCGCATACACTCCTTTGCACCGACCGACCCAACAAACACGCCCACACGCACACGCACACGCACACGCACACGCACACGCACACGCACACGACGAAGACAACGACAAAAACGACAACAACGTGCTACCCGTTCCGTACCCCTCTCCTGAACCGCACATTACGCTGCATGTCCGGACACAAGCCTTCGCACGCTCCCGTCGCCTTACTCCGTCTATCCCCACCTGACCCACCCCGACAACACGCGCTCTGTTCGTCCTGATCCCACACCCGAGCTGCGCGCTCTCCAACCCACTAGGTAGCCCTCCACTGCCTCGAATTGAGCAGAGATGATGATTGATATGGGGCGTGTGGCCGAGGGCGCCATCCACCTGGCCTCGCGTGCTCTCGTTGAGCGAACCCCCACGCCGGCCGAGGACAGCTCTCGCGCGTCGAGCACCTGTAAAAAGGGCGACGACAGTCCCCAATGCATCACCCCGGCCTCGAGGCAGAATCAGCAGACGATCGCCATTGTTCTTGGTGTAGTGTGAGTAGACTGCAACATGTTGCAGGTCGGCCAGGCCGCTAACAATGTACAAAGAATTCCGCTCTGTGGTGCAATCATTGCCTTGGTCTTCCTCCATCGACGATTACAAAAGAAACAACGCGCCGAGGACCTCAACGATCCGCACGACTCGATCGACTTTGGTATGCAAGGCGTCCAGAAGTTTGGTGCAAAGCGAGCCAACAATGGCCGAAAGAATCCTGAAATGATAGTCACCGACTTGGGCGGAGCCACGCATTCCGGCAAGAAGGGAGGTCACGGACTGTCGTTTGACTTGGGGGTCAACAGCCCCTACTTGTTGCCTGCTGGCATGCAGGGCTCGAGCGAGTCGATCCACAGCATGTCTCGCAACTTCCACGACGACCATGATCCTTACCGCCCGGTGACCCTGATGCGGCCGTCGATGGATAGTGAATCTGTACGCTTCGGTCGCCTGCACGACGACAAGGGCTCACTGTACTCCCTATCCACCAACCACTCTCCCAGTGCGGCGCTCATTGCAAATGCTCGACCCATGTCTCGTACATATACCAAGGACTCCGTCTCCTCTCCACTCGCCAGCACGCCTTCCTCAGACTTCCCGCCATCGCGTTCGAAGCACAGTTCATTGAGCCGTGATTCCCATGCATATCAAGAAAAGGAGAAGAGTCTGGCACACATTGTCGAGAGGGAATTGCCGTCGCCACCAGCCGCCCCAGCGCCCGTGTTGTTACAGATGCCACCACCGAGAAAGTCTTCGGCCAACAATCCAATCCCACCTCGCAAAGACTCAATGTCGTCGCCCGACGCTGCAAGCCGTCCGGAGTCGAGCAATTACGGCGACGACGAACCATATGCTCCGACCAACCCCAATGTAGTCATCGACGAGCCGTACGATATCGATCCGCTGGAGATGTATGCTCGCTACTCCATCGACGGTGCAGATGCGCAACCAGCACCCACTTTGCACGCACCCCAGCCACAGCGAATGTCGACATTAGGCGCGCCTAGCCTCTCCATCGTCCCGGGCCAGTCAGGGTCAAGACTATCAGTAATGGGTGGCGGCCAGCGGCTGTCCGTTATGGGAGCTGGAAACAGGTTGTCCGTAATGGGCGCTCGTCCTCTGCCAGCAGATCTCCCAGAAGACAATCCCGAGGTCCGCGCAAACAGAATTCGCTCCTTCTACAAGGAGTACTTTGACGATAGCAAGCCCGTTCCCGCGAATGCCCAGTACGAAGTAGACGACTACTATGAGGATGGCGTCATGGATGGTGCCATATATGATCCGGCCACTGGTGGATTCTTCATTCCAGGCTCCAAGCCATTTGCTCAGCCTGTTGGCCGCAGAGCAATGACGCCGCCACCACGTTCCAAGCCGCGTGTYAGCGGCGGCAATTCTCCAATGCCACATCAGAGGAAGTTCTCCACGTACTCCACCATGTCCGGCGGTCGTCCTGGTATGAGAGGTCGCCCTATGGCGCAGAAGAAGCTACCACCTCCAATGCCACTGTTGAGCCTGCCGACTCCTCACGCTCTCAAGCAGGATGCTTGGATCTCGAACCCCATCGATTTCGCTCCTCCAAGCTCTGTTCGCACCGTCCAGAACGGTGCCAGACCCGACTCGCCATTCGGATCGCAGCGGCCTTACAGCCCAAGTGTGCGAGCATTCACCCCTCTGGCGTCCTCCTTTGATGTTCTGCAGGTTCTTCCATCTCCTCATGATCTCCGCAAATCGACCACATTCACAGCGCTGGATTTTGCGCCTCCATCCCGGATACGAGATCCTGCTGCGAGTGGTGGAAGCGACAACGGAAGTATCCGCAGCGCCCGTTCAGGAATCTCCGCCATGCAACATCAAGCAGTGCGGGAAGGCGCATACCGTGTGTCCCGCATTCCCAAGGAGATGGTGACATCCCGGGAGGATCTGGCATCCCAGCTGCGGCCGAAGATGGACATGGTTTCAAAAGCATAGAATGCGTTTAACCTCACGACACCCTCACAAAGCCTTAACGACCTTATCTGCATTGGGAACCTGGCGCGATTGCTCCTCACGACTAGAGAGCCTTGACACACTACAGGCTGCTGCTCATACACTATTCCTCCTCCAGCTTGGGTACATGTCGCCAGCTAGCATCTTCACTGGCATCCTCGGACGCGTAACCTGCTTAGATGTATATTTTCCCCAACAAATTCGCTTCTTGTCACTCCTTTCACACGGCATTAGCGTCTATAGCATTGTTTTACACTACAGACACGACAGAGAGCGCAGCATGCATATTACCCGAGCTGGCGGTGCTTGGATAGGTTTTGGGCCGGCGTCTAAGATAGAGAGTGGGTTTAATGTGTTTCTTGCGACCTACCGGTTGATAGGCGCAACAGATGGCCATCTTGGATGGACCATGGCCACTGAGCAGCCTGCGAGGCTGGCACGTATCTGTGTACATAGTGTATGTACAGTCAGCTGGTCATGGATGAATGAAAACAAAAAATTCTTGGACAATAATGCTGTGTGTATCGACGACTCTGAAACGTTCGGTACGCTCTTGAGCTCAGATGCGAGAAAGATGTCACTGCGCCACGAGGGCTGGAGATTGAACCAAACAGCAACTGACAACCAAAGGCCAAGCATGCGAGAGAGACAAACTGACCGCGCCTGCTTGAGAGCGGTGATGGCTCTTGGTTCCGGACTTCCACAGACAACGGTTGATTGTACAACATCACGGTCAGAGCAATCTTTCATGGGAGATGCAACAAAGCCCATGGCCATATCTAGCCATCCTTGAGCTGACATGTCTCGGACACTGCCATCCTGCAAACAGATACAAGACACGCTCCAACAAACCCTCTGCTTTGGTCGCCCGCTGAGTCTAGTTAGGATGCAGCGTTGCTTGCCTCAAGCTACAGGCTTCTCGACCAGATTGCAATGTGCTCCGCTGCCACGAAGCTCGTTCGTCGATACTAAGCAAGAAAGTCTTTTGACTCTGACAGTTCCTCTTTTGGGCGATATTGTCGTCGATTTAGGGAGGTTGGACTTTTCCAATCGAGCTTGCTGATGAGAAGAACAGTTCTTCGCATTCGATAATGGAAAACATACCAGCTAAACCTATGGTTTCTGCTCCGCGTATTCCGTCCGACAATGGCCCTGATCTCGAGGCGGATAAATGTGAAAAGGATGATGTCCCGGCTCCACTTCGCGCGTGACATCGCTTTGTGGAGCCCCTCAGCCCCTCACGGTTCCGACAGAAGGTCCTCCACAACTTGCCTGCAGCTACAAACACAAAAACATTTTGCCTCGAATACAATCCAATGTCTCGACCATACCTCTCCCGCGGAATGTCAGCCGAAAACACAAGACTGGTCCCGGTCCTTGACCGAAAGCTGGCCATTGTAACCGTATGTAGCTCTCATTGCCACATCAACCTTCCCTCACTGACAATCTCAGGGTGCATCTCGAGGCATCGGAGCAGCAATATGCGAGAACCTCGCCGGAAAAGGCTGCAGCCTTATCATGAACTACACCTCCGATTCCTCAGCTGAAAAGACGGAAGAATTGGCCAAACAGCTCCAAGACAAGTTCAACGTCCAGTGTCTCTCAGTACAAGCAGATCTAGGAACTGAGAATGGACCCGCTCACATTGTCGAAATGGCTCGCAACCACTTCTCCCACCCAAAGACCAAGAAATTCCAGCTAGACCTCATCATCAACAACGCTGGTGTCGCCAGCAAGACGAAGATTGAGGATTGCACCTCGGAGGAATTCGCTCGCTTGTACAATGTCAATGTTCGCGGACCGCTATTGTTGATGAAAGCTGCGTTGCCATACCTCCCCCACGATCGTAGTGGGAGAATTGTCAATCTCAGCAGTGTCAGTTCATCTTTGGGCTTCGAGGAGGATGGAATGTATGGAGGCACCAAAGCCGCTCTGGAAGCTATGACGAGGACCTGGTCGAGAGAGCTTAGCGAAAGAGCGACTGTCAATGCGGTTAACCCTGGACCGGTGGCGACTGATATGTATGCTGGTACCACCAAGGAATTTCAGGAGAAGATGTCACACTTTACAATCAACACGCCACTTGCTGCCATTCGGCCAGATGTTGATCGTGAGGACTTGGTAAAGGGTGCAGATATTGCGGGCGGAAGACCGGTTAGTTACCCCATCCTTTCTAGAACAAATTTGTGCTGACAAGAATACCAGGGTTATGACTTCGAGGTCGCTGGTGTTGTTGCCATGTTGTGTACACCAGACAGTGCATGGTGCACTGGCAGTGTCATCTGTGCTAACGGAGGATTCAAATTCAGCGTATAGACTCTCGATAGACATGCACGGAAGAGAAGCATGAAAAGCAATGCCACTGATTGATAGCTACTAAAACTGCTGCATACTCGAGAGACAATTGTCCTGATACTACCCTGATTTACTCTCCGCTCCCTTGATGTCATCAAGGGTATCGATAGTATCAGCATCAGTATTATCAGTGACGGCTCCATCATACTGTCCGTGTCCGAGCGGTGGCTCCTGCTCTGGCGGGAGAGGCATCTCGTCATCCTCCCATCCACCTGCCATTTCTTTGGACTTGTGAGACTTGCTTTCAACCAGAAAGAATGTGCTCAATTTCCGAAATGGCAAACTTGACCTGTTCCGTTCCATCTTCCTCATTGGCTCAGGAGTCGGAGTCTCTTGACGTGGTGGGGATACAAGCACAGAAACATCATCCTCCTCAGGACCGACGTCCGGCTCGTCATCCTGCTCTACCTTGGCCTTGTTATGATGATGGCCATGTTTTGAGAAAGATGGAATTCGAAATGCCGAGCCAAGTATACCAAGATCCTCATCCACCTTCTTCAGATGTTCATGAATAGGATGGCGTGAGTCTGGTACAGGCGCCGGTGCGAGCATCTCCAACTCCGGATGTTGAAGAACGYCCGTACTCGCCGAGACTGATGTCCGGCGATTGTTTCCACGGAAGTTGGCAGTTGCGAACAGATTGCTGTAATATCGCCCAACTCTCTCCAAACCCTGGGATGTGCTCTTCACAAGTCCACGCCTCTTTTTCGATTTCTTACTTCCATTTGTGAGCCTTCGCCGTAGTGATGTACCGGGTGCTGGCTCATCATCTGCGGGCATGACCGCGCCCATGTGTATACGAGATGGGTCTCCAAAGTCTATGGTGCTCATAGCATCCGCACGGCCTGCGGAGCCACATCTGTCCGCTCTCGTGTGTGATGGAAACTGAGCCCACGAAGCCATATCCGTACAAATTCTGGGCTTCGAGGGGGATCGTACGGTCAGAAATGCATCTGCTGTCCCCACTGTTGATCGATGCGTGCTTGGTCCCCGAGAGATGGTCGAGTCCGGAGCATGCTTGCTGGGAGCACGAAACAGGGCCTTTTGCTCCTCATGCTTTTTCATCGCGTCCGCCATCAGCTGGTCATCTCCATCGCCGAGTGCCAGGGCCGATCTGCGGCCGCGAGTGCCGTCTGTGTTGGCGTCCACTTCCTGGCTATACTCACTGCGAATATGGAGTCAGCCGACATAACTACATCGCGGACGAGAAGGGCCGCACCTCGAGCGAATTGACACTGCATCGTCGTCGTACATCTCACGACGCAAGTCTTTGCGGCTGATCTTTGCCTTGAGCTTTGCAACGAAGCTGCGCTTCCTCCTCAACGGTGATCGCACTGGAGTTGCGAGCTTGATGCGGATAGCATGAGGATGGTCCTCGGGCAGTGACCTTGTAGCCAATGCGTAGTCCAGCCTGTGGTAAGCCATAGCAATGTGTTGTTGTCAGTACAGAATGTCGCGGTCATTGAGGCAAGCTGGTGTAGATGCCGCGACATCGCCTGCAGGAGTCAGTCGGCAAGCAGGAACGAGTTGAGGGCATCGAGAAAGAGCGGCGGCATCACAGAGAAGGGGAGAGCAAGGCGAAATCTATCAAAGTCAACACAGTACATTGTATTGTTGGCAATCCTGCCCTAATAAAACAGTAGTCACCAATGCCAATGCTTTTGTCGAAGCCATGCATCGTCGCGGAATCCCGTTATCCACGACATTGACGATCGTTGAGATACGTCAAGGCTTTTTATCATTCCATCATCCCCATCCTTTGTTGAACTCCATCGCTGATATAAGACGTTGAGTAAAATTGGGTATCACTTTGTTGAAGAGCAGCTGTTGAGCGCTGCCCATTGAAAACACCATCCCATGTTGAGTGCGCCGTATTACGCCCGAAACCAAACAAGATAGATCATGACCGACCATCAGTCAGTCAGCATCTATTTGCTGTACTTCTCACGGAAGAACTTGGCAGCGCTGACCATGTTCTGGAGCGCAGCCTTGGTCTCCGACCACTGGCGGGTCTTGAGACCACAGTCGGGGTTGATCCAGAGCTGCTCTGGCTTGAGGTACTTGAGCATCTCCTCGATGCGGTCCTTGATCTCCTGCTCGCCGGGGATACGAGGGCTGTGGATGTCGTAGACACCGGGACCAATGTGACGTGGGTAGGCCTCGTCGATGAAGACCTTGAGGAGCTTGGCATCGGACTTGCTGTTCTCGATGGAGAGAACGTCAGCGTCCAAAGCAGCAATGGCGTGGAAGAAGTCCTGGAACTCGGAGTAGCAGAAGTGAGAGTGGATCTGGGTGGAGTCCTCAACACCAGCGGCGGACAGCTTGAAGCTGTCGACGGCCCAGCTGAGGTACTTCTCGCGCTCAGAGCCGGAACGGAGAGGCAGACCCTCACGGAGAGCTGGCTCATCGATCTGGATGACGTAGACACCGGCCTTCTCAAGGTCAACGACCTCGTCGCGGATGGCAAGAGCAAGCTGCTGTGCCTGGACGGACTGGTGGACATCGTCACGAGGGAACGACCATCGGAGACAAGTGATTGGGCCAGTAAGCATACCCTTCATTGGCTTCTTGCTGATGCTGGCAGCGTACTTGCTCTCCTTGACGGTCATGGCAGCTGGACGAGAGACGTCACCAACGAGGATTGGTGGACGGACGCAACGGGAGCCGTAAGACTGGACCCAAGCGTGTGTGGTGAAGGCGTAACCATCGAGGCGCTCACCGAAGTACTGCACCATGTCGTTACGCTCTGGCTCACCGTGGACGTAAACGTCCAGGCCAAGCTCCTCCTGGATTGCGAMGCATTCCTGGATCTCCTTCTCGATGAACTTCTCGTACTCCTCAGCAGTAATCTCGCCCTTGGTGAACTTGTTACGTTGGATACGGATGTCCTTGGTTTGAGGGAAGGATCCGATGGTTGTGGTTGGGAACTCTGGGAGGTTGAGGTGCTTCTTCTGAGCAGCAAGACGAGTTGGGAAGGGCGACTTGCGCTCGTAGTCGGCCTTTTGCACGCTCTCGACACGCTTCTTGACCTCTGGGTTGTTGGTGCGCTTGGAAGTAGCACGTGCCTCGGCGCTCTTGGCGTTGGCCTCGAGCTCAGCCTTGACCGACTCTGGGCCGCTGGTGACAGCCTTGGCCAGGATGGCAACCTCAGCAGCCTTCTCCTTGGCGAAGGAGAACCAGTCACGGACCTCAGCGTCGAGGTTCTTCTCGCTCTCGAGAGTGTGTGGGGTGTGGAGCAGCGAGCTGGAGGTGGCAACAATGACACGCTCCTTGCCGACCTTCTGGATGGCGGTCTCAATGACCTCAATGGCCTTCTTGAAGTTGGTCTTCCAGATGTTACGTCCGTCGACAATACCGGCGGAGAGGATCTGCTTGGGACCAAGGTGCTCAACGACCTTGCTGAGCTGTTCGGGGTGGCGAACCAAGTCAACGTGAAGAGCGTAGGCACCGGTGAGGGCCGAGTCGACAATGTCGAAGTTGTGGACGATGTCACCAAAGTAGGTGGCGACAACGAGCTGTGGGCCAGCCTTGCCCTGGAGAGCGGTGAGCTTCTCGTAGGCAGGCTTGAAAGCGTTGYGGGCCTTGGCGGGCAGATCGAAAACGAGAATTGGCTCATCGATCTGGACGGTCTCGGCACCGGCCTCCTTCAGCTTGGTGAGGAGCTCCTCGTAGACTGGGAGGAGCTTCTCAAGAAGAGTGATGGGGTCAACGGACGAGTTACGGTCGGCCTTTCCGAGGTGGAGGAAAGAGACGGGTCCGAGAAGGACTGGGCGGGTCACAATGCCGGCCTCCTTGGCCTCAAGGAACTCACGGACGGGCTTGGGGTCCGCGGCGAGCTTGAAGGTCTGGTTGTCTTGAAGAGTAGGCTTGACGTAGTGGTAGTTGGAGTCAAACCACTTGACCATCTCCAAGGACTGGACGTCGACGCCGTCCTTTTGGTGGCCACGACCCATGGCGAAGTACTCGTCAATGGGTGCGAGGTTGTGCTTGGTGTATCGCTCTGGTGCAGCGGTGAAGAGCTGGATGTGGTCGAGGACGTGGTCGTAAAAGGCAAAGTCATTGCTGGCAATGATGTCGACGCCGGCGTCCTTCTGGATCTTCCAGTGCTCGAGTCTGAGTCTTTTACCCTCAGCGAGGAGCTCTTCTTGTGAAAGTTTGCCGGCCCAGTACGCCTCGTTGGCCTTCTTCAGGTCACGGAGGCGTCCCATGCGGGGGAAACCGAGAACGGAGGATTGCACCATGTTGACGGTTGCTGTGGAGTGGAAACGAGATAGAAGAGACCGAAACGCAATGATTCAGTCGAGGAAGATGGGGGATTGAAGGGAGGTTTGAGGAGGTGTAGATGTAGGAGGGAGGAAGAGCAATGGGAAGTGAGCGTAGAAAGGGTTTTCAGAACTTTGGAAACTCCCCCACCATCATTTCGTGCTTGCCTCTGCGGGGTCCGAGAGCACTCCAGCAGCGAAGCCGGTGATAAAACCAGGGGATCCACAAGCGATTGGTGTTAGCAGCCAGAAACACTGGAATGCTTGTGGATATCACCTTTTCTGCCCCAATGTGATGTTTACGCGCACATCGACGTGATGGTGGAGGTCCGCACAGCAGTCGCAATCTACACTTTACAGCCTCCTCTGAACGATATGGACGTGTCAATAGACGCATTACGACCCTGAAATCCCCAGAGAACCTCAATGAACACCACTGCATACACTGCATAGACCCTGACACACATTTGTTTCCACATTCTCCACATCATCACGGCGATCGTGTCATCATCCTTGCTCGGCTTACGATCTGTGCTCTCGAGCTCTTCCCGTCCGTCGACACTGGAGTTTTTGGCGCCCACCTCAACTCTTTGCTCTCCCTTCTCAACAGTATTCCTCGGAGCTATGAGCTCCTATCACAGCGGTCCACTGTGGAAGCTTCCCGACATGTCTCGTCCACGTTGCAAACCTCTCCCGGTGACCGGTTACCGAACTCGCTTTTCGGCGAGTTTCGTCCCCGGCATACTGCAGGTCAGATCTGAAATCCTCACACTGTATGGGCAGAACCTGTGGTGGCTTTCGGCTTCGCCTTGTAGAGCATGGAACACGTGAGGCTTCGGTGGTTTCTCCTTTCCTGAGCAACAACAACACGACCTTGTCTCACAGGCTACGTGGCTTACCGCCTCAAATCTTGTCGGGACAAGCATGCTCACAGTTGCGTTGATCGATGACGCCTATGGAAGCTGTCCAAACGTCGTGGCTAGAAGCTGCGGTTGATGCGGCCGCACGAGTGGTCTTGAGATGACAGCGACCTTGTTTCGCCAACGAGAACGTTTACAACATGCTGATTCATCCGGTTTGCAGAGGCGAGAATTCAGAAGGCCAGAGAATCCGAAAAGCGTAAGTGAACTTTTCAGTCAATCTTGCGTTGAAGCATCAAGAGGAGGTCAATTGTTCTCTCTGACCGTTGCGAGTTTGTCCGCTGGAAACATTATCTATTTCATCAAAGCATTCTTTTCAGTTCGCAAATACACTGCAGCATTAACACTGGTCACTCTCGACACTGGATTTCAGCAGAATACCTGAAGCTTTCCCCCATAGATCTTGTATCGAGCATGCCAAGATCTTAACATCCCGCATCTTACGGAGTACATCTCCTTTGAAGATCTCTGCGCGATCTGGCAGATCATCTGTGGTTCAGATAAACTACTCCGGGATGGAGATCGCAGGGTTCACATGCCATGTGGTGTCCATCACGGTTGAGGGGTACATTTCAGAAAGAACCTATACCGCAACGCTGGTAGAATATTTACTTTGATGCGTGGACCAGGTACCGGGGAGGGTTTCATGAGCGTGCCGACTTTTTATAAGACTCCGTTGTGAACATGCCGGGCAAAGTTTGAGAGCCCCAGATGTGGACCACCATAGCATTATCATTCACATGTAGTTTCTCCGACTTAGCGACTCGTCCGGAGTATTCATTGTCCCCAGATCCTTGAGATACGCAGTTGTCTCGGCAAGCCATTCCAAAGCTCTGCTTCAATGTTGAACGCATTGCGCCGTTGAATATTCTTGGCACAGTGACTGCTGAGACACTTTTAAACTTTCCCTAGCATGTGAACGTGTCACGCGTGTGAAGCCGACCACACTTTCCTCATTCCATCCTCATAAACATCACTAAATCCACTCCCATCGACAACCTGGATGAATCATTCCAACTAGAAGGCATGCAACATTCGCATGACGATCCCGATGCGAACGAGCCCTTGATTGGACGTTCGAGCTCGTCCTTGTCCCGCGAAGACGCAGACACGAATAATCAGCCAGCATACACGCTTTCATTCCGCGATGCAAGTCCCGTCATTCGCTTCCTAACCTGCTCTGCTGGAATATCTGGTCTTCTATTCGGTTTCGACACCGGGGTCATATCCAGTACTCTGGTTTCAATAGGATCGGATTTGTCGAATCGACCTCTCACTACCCCGGATAAAGCCCTTGTCACAGCTATAACATCATTACTCGCTCTAATATCGGCACCAACGACCGGATTCTTCGCTGATCGATTTGGGAGAAAGTCTGTCATCCTTGTTCCTGCTATCCTATTCACTGTGGGTGCGATCACCCAATCTCTAGCCAACTATGTATGGACCATGGCCGCCGGGAGAGCTCTAGTGGGAGCAGCAGTAGGTGTGGCTTCCGGAGCCGTTCCATTATACATCACCGAGCTCGCACCGGCCGAACTGAGAGGGCGACTAGTAACTGTACAGTCCCTCTTCATTACTGGCGGGCAAGTCGTCGCATACCTCATTGGTTGGATCTTCGCATCATGGCCTTCTGGGTGGAGATGGATGGTGGGACTTGGAGCCTTCCCTGCGCTTGTACAGCTTGGCCTTATGTTCTGGATGCCCGAAACGCCACGTTGGCTGTTGCAGACCGGCCAAGACGAGAAAGCTCGAGCGGTGTTGAACAAGGTCTATGCGAACGTACCCAAAGCTGAACGTAACGTGTTGGTACAAGGAGTGCTTAGCAGCGTCCAGGATGAGCTTCGAGAGGAAAACAAGACTGGCTCTAAGGGCAACTTTCACGATACTGCTCAAGCTCTAATCGGCATACCCGGGAATAGACGGGCGCTCATCATCGCTTGCATGCTACAAGGACTGCAGCAGCTCTGCGGTTTTGTAAGTGACTTCTCAAGAATCAGAAACAAATTCACTGACCTTCAGCTCAGAATTCTCTCATGTACTTCTCAGCCACAATCTTCGCCCTCGTCGGCTTCACATCCCCCATCGGAACCTCCCTCTCCGTCGCCCTGACAAATTTCGTCTTCACACTCGTAGCATTTGCCTTCATCGACACAGTCGGACGCCGCAACATCCTCCTTCGCTCGATTCCATTCATGGTTTTCGGCCTACTCGCATGTGCTTCAGCGTTCTTATTCATCAACGTAGGAGATTCACAGATTGTGGATGACTCAGGCGCAGGGATCTGGTCGATCGTGCTGCTTCTCAGTATGGTCTTCTACGTTGCGGCTTATGCTGTAGGATTGGGAACCGTCCCATGGCAACAGTCAGAACTATTTCCGCTGCGTGTACGATCGGTTGGAAGTGGGCTCGCAACCTCGACGAATTGGAGCAGCAACTTTGTGGTTGGAATGTCATTCCTACCACTGATGAACTACCTCGGACCAAGTACAACTTTCACGCTGTATGCTTTGGTGTGTGTAGTTGGCTGGATCGTGATATACAAGATCTATCCGGAGACTGCGGGCCTAGAGCTGGAAGGTATCAGTCAGCTGTTGAAAGATGGATGGAGCGTTACCGAGAGCATTGAGGGCTTTCACGAGAGGAGGAAAAGGGTTGAGCTTGAAGATCGCCAAAGAGTATTTTCCACATGATCACTGGGCATTAATTAGCACTAGGTCTGGGTGTTGTCATTTCTCAAGTTCCATCCTCGTCGACATTCCAAGACTCGTACTTCCACAGACTATTCAAAGAGTCGCACTGCCGCAATTTCTCGCCTTTCAAATACAAACGCTTTTCACCTCACGCAGTCGGGGCAGCTGTCTCGGCAGTTCTCGTGACAGTCACTACAGCAGTGACGACTGTGGAGGCACTGCCGCAACCCTTTCCCAGACAACCTTCATCACCATGCTCCAAGGGTGAGACCGCCGCAGCAGCGATCAAGCAGTCCAGAGCAGATACTTGTGCAGCAGCAGATAAGCTCTTGATCGGACCCTGCCAGAGAGCACCGAAAGATCCATCTCGTTGACGATTGGACTTCCAGATCGAGTCTGCATTCTTTTGAAGGAATCTGACAAACTCCTTTTGACCATGTACAGCTTGCAGGTACATGAGATTCCTCACAAACACTCCTTTGAACTGAGCACCAGTGGCGTCCATCTCTGCAGGATAACCGAGATCCGTCAATATACCACCCTCTGTAGTCGCAAGCTGCTTGATGGCACCCAGTGCAATGTCGCGAGCCCGACGGAGGTGGCTTTTCTCACCCGTGAGTGAGTGCATCTCAACCAGTGCTCCCAGTATGACACCCTGATTGTACGAGTATACAGGGCCCGTCAACTTACAGCTCGTGACATCGAGTCCGTCGTTGAAAGTGTTGTTCTCGTTCATCATGCCAGAGGGAAGCAGCCAGTCAACTTGTTTCTGCGCAATCTTGCGGTATCGATCTTTCTTGCCGTGGACACGATTCGCCAGCGATGCTGCCACGGCAAGGAACAGCTGGTTACTAATGGCTGAGTTGGAGACATGCTCTTTCGACCACCATATACCCCCACACTTCGCGCCTTGTCCCGTGAGCATGTCGGTGAAGATCTCCTCGGCGGTTGCAAGGTACTTGATCTCTTTCGTCAAATCGTATGCCTTGATCCAACCCATAGCCCACCAACCTTCATCGTCGAAAAATGTGTTGARAAAGGTGCCGTTGTTTGAATTTCTTGCGGTGACTAAGATATTGGAGAACATGTCGCTTGCAGTCTTTTTGAAGTCGTTGTTTACGAGAGCAACGTCTCCGATAGTAGCGAGTGTCGCACCCGAGTTCCACCAGTGCCCTTGCCATAGCCCTCGRCCGTGTTCATACCATCGTTGGTTGAGAACATCCGTAGCATGCATTGCATGATCCAGATAGACTGCTCTCGAGGAGGCATCGACGATCGATGGGTAAAGCAAGGAGAGCGTCAAGACAGCCAGAGCTAGGAAACTTGATGCGAAGATCATCTTCGATGAGTGAATTTTGATCGTGAAAGAGTGATGGAGACTCTCGTTGGCACAAGGTCCACAGAAAGAGTGTCCTACCTATCAAGTATATGTAGAGAAGAAGCTTGAGCAGCCAGGGAAAGCAAGACCGTTAACAAAACCTCCCAATCCTAGAATTGACGACCACGTACAGGCCAAATGATCAAGTCACACTACCTGTCATATAAGCAGGTCGTGACCGCCCTTCCGTGACCCAAGAGCATGTTTGCCCAACACTATACATACCAGATAACAATTTCTGCGCTCGGAAAGAGAAACAGAAGAACAAAGTCAAGAAGTGAACGAGATCTTGACCGAAACGTGAAGAGAAAAATGCTCCAGCGCAGCGTTGAAAGAAGTACAAGCGCACTGTACACATTAGAAATTGCCCTAATGTACATCACCTCTCAACTCCTCGCTCACAAAGTACCTAAAATCCAAAACTATCCAGCAAAGAATTCGCATCCGGTTCCTTGAACTGCGTCGGCTCCGGCTTCTTCTTCTCACTCCCACTCTTGGACACAGCAGCAGTGGCCGCATCCTTCTTAGCTTTCATCTTTTCCAACAAAGCCTTGGCTTTAGCTTCTCGAGAAGCTCTCTCATCATCCACGGCCAGGGTGACGGGCGCTGGTTGTGTGAAGCTGTCCAAGAGAGACGGCGGTTCTGCCTTGGGAGGCGATGGGTCGGAAGTGAAGTTGTCGAGAAGGGATGGCGGGTTTGATGACTTCGTCTCTGCCGACTGCTCCTCGGAGATATCGAGTTCGCGTATGCCGTTCGTGATGCCATCCGTCACAGTATCTTTGAGACTCGCACTGCTTTGAGCTGGAACCGCCAAGAACTCCCACCTTCTAACAAGATCTAGCGCCAACAACCATAATCCCATCCGTCTCAAGATCCTCGCAGATCGCAGGACGGCATCGTACTCATGCTCAGAAGGACTATTGCCTCTCAACGCGGCGTACAGCAACAACGTACTCGGATCATCTTGCACCCAAGTCTTCGGGACAGCAGTATCCAGAGGCTCCACCAACACCTTTGCGGCAGAAGCCTTCTCCAGCAGGATCGTATGACACCAACTGAGGAGCCATCGGTTCCCTTCAGCCTTTGCCTGGGGGACAACTCGGTCTTCAAGCAGTTTCCGAAGCACAGGAGACCCATCACCACAATATATTCTCGCCACAGCAATTGCAAACTGTGGGTCCTCGCATTGTCCCGCGAGCACACTGACTGCACTCGATGGATCATCCGCCAGCAAAAAGAAAGCGGCAGAATAATGGAACCTCCGCTTCCCCATCAGAGCGTAGGCATTCTTCCTTGCAGCAGTCTTGGCTTCCGCTTGTGCAAAGTCTTTCTTCAAAAAGTTGGTCGTGGTTCGTTGCTCCTTGTGCCAGGTTGCGATGCGCCACAGTGCGAGCAATGTAGGTTTCTTCCTCAACGCCAAGAAGTACAGACTTGCATTGACTGGATCTGGGGGACTCTCTGAGCGATAGGCAGACTGCGCCATCTGTTCGAATATCTGTTCAAGGGCCTCGCGATCGGATAGCCAGGACGTTAGCCCCAATCGACGGGCGACAGGCCATGTGAGTTTGTTGTCGTGGTGCAGGAGGAGAATGTCAAGAAGAGCTTGTTGGGTTGTGCTGTGTTGAGCGAAAACTACCTCGCGCCAAGGTATTTCGGGAACGAACTGAGGTAAGGCGGTTGTACCGTTCGTTTGCGGCGAGTCTGCTCCTGGGGATATGTCWTGTGAGTACACGAGTTGCAACTTCCAGTTGAACAAGTATCGCTGTGCATTTTTATCGAGCGCTTTGACATGCTCCCGCAGGTAAGCAATGGCCTCGATTACGTGCAGGAGACGACGCTGCTCTGCGTTTGATAGCGCTGGCAAATCCTTCTCCATTAGCTGCTCCTTCAAATCATGCACATCATCATCGCTGAGCCATGCATTGAAGCTGTCTGGATCTTGAATGATAGCTTCGAGAGGTTCGTCAAGTGTGGGATGTAGCTCATCGCCGGTACCCCAGAACTTGAGCTGTTGCGATAACCTGACGAGTATCGTTGACACCAGACTGAAGTGGCCGTGATGGATGAGATGTGAGAGTAAGCTAGGGTGCCAAGCTGGAAGGGGGCTTTTGAGCTGCGCAGCCAGCTCTGCCAAATGAATGTCGGAGTCGAGATCGTTCGCTTCTCTGGTCTCAACATCCAGATGGTCTGATTCAACATTCGCACTTGTTAAGAAAAGACTGTTACCAGCTGCAACGGCAAGGCTGCCTTTGGACGTCCATGCCAATGCTGAAATGTGCAGTCCGATTCCAGCTATTGAGATGCTTTTGACCAACACCCACACTGGCAGGCCCGCGCTATGGTGTTCGTATCTCCCCTGAGCGAACAAACCGACTGTCGTGTCGTGACCAACAGCGAGGAAATTGTGTCTCGATTTAGGACTGAACGCTTCGAGATGAGTAGCGGGGCTGGTCAAGATCTGGCGATGCTCCAAGTAACCATCGGTGAGATCAACAACTGTAAGTTCCTTCCCATCCTGCGCGACGAGCGCTGCAAACTCCTCGGTCGCGGCAAAGAGCGCTGGCTCTACAACACCAGTGTCAAAGACCGCGATGGGTTCAGCATTGCTGTCTTGAGATACCGGCTGACAGATCAGCCGGCCCGTGTGCGAAATGGTGATGATGCAACTCTGACTTGGGTCGAATGGCATGGACACCGGAACAGCGAATGCCATGTCGTTCGACCTGCTACGATCGCCCAAAGACCTGACTTTGATACTAGCTACAGCCTGTCCATATCCAGAGGAAGCTGTTTGTGAGACATCCAACGTCCACGAGAAAACGCTGCCGCCATCATTCGAGATGAAAATGCCAGAATCCGAAAGCTTCTCAGGCAGATTAGCATGGATTCTGCCGGAGCTGCTGGCATTGCATTCTGATTGACCGATCTTGTATCCTCGGTCATCCCACGCAGCTAATTCAGTGGCAGTGACAGTAAGCACAATTCCTTTCGCCATCATCGTAGCGACGGCTAAGATTTCGGAGCCTACACTGAATGACAGCCTGCTTTTCAAGCTAGATGCGCCATCAGCATCCCAAAGACTCACAGCATCCGAAGACCATGAAACCAAACCATTTGAATGAGGATGGAGGTTCTGTACATCAGTYTCGTGTCCGGTCCATGTGGTAGTCGGCGACATCCTAGCGTGCCCGCTCGCTGATAGGGAGAAGAAGGTCTCAACATCTCCACTCCACCAGCCAAGCTCACCACTCTGCGTGAGTGTATGGGAGAGGATGTGGAATTTGTCGTCTTGGAACCAGGAGCCGCATATAGCTGGTGTGTGAGGAGGAAACCGCAGCTGTAGACCTTCAGAGTGTGTGATGTGGAACCACTGTGGTTGAGATGGAGTGTCTGACCGCCTTTTATGGCCAACACTCTGTAGACCCCAGGCGGACATCCTTCCTTGGCCGTCAAACGCGACTACAACATCTGGGTGCTGAGAGACCATCTCCTTCAGCAGTTCCCTCGAATGGTTCACTTTACCTTGCTGCGGTAGTCCTATGGCTGCATTGAGAGCCGCACGAAATTGATCAGATGGGATGATGAGTGCGTATCGAGGAGGTATGCTCGAAGGAGAAGACCCATGCGAACTCGCCGTGGGAGACTGTGGAATGGCGCCGACCAAGTCGATGGTAGTGTGCAGCATCAAGATGTCCAGATCATGCATGCCACCAGCTCGCCATACCCGCAATACGCCATCTGTGGCGATGGTGTACAAGACTTCGGGCTCATCTTCATGCCTGCCACTGATTCCACTGCCTCGCCTCTCCTCGGCGTTCGCGTCGAGTGGTCTCCATTGGAAGTGGGTCACTGTTCCCGGATGAGGGRGATATGTGTGGTCGAACAAGCCTTCTTCGAATGACAGCCTTCGCCAAATCTTGACCAGCCGATCGTAGCAGGCACGGGTTGCGATGATGGAAGAGGTGGGACTGAAGGCTGCCTGAAAGATGGGAGAGGCGACTTTCTTTTCCCACAATGCCGTCCGTGGCTCTGCCGTATCTCTACTGTCGCTGGATTCCAACGGAGAAGCGGTTCGGGAGGAGGGCAGAGTAGAGAAGAGGGAGAGGGTTGTCTGTCCTCCCACCAGCACTTCCCCTTCATTCCCCCAACTCAGACACTGCGCCTTGTCTGTTGCACTTCCCCGCCGTAGCTTTAATGTTGCCTCCCACCACAGCTTGGTCCAGCCCTCGGAAATTGGCTCCAACACCCACACGTCATTACCATCCGTCACGGCCAACTTCCCACTGCCATTGTCTGCTGTTATTGCGATCAAATCACGCTGGAAAGCGATGGCCTGCACCAATTTGGTGGGAGAGGACAGGATGTTCAGTTGTCTGCCAGAGATGTAGGCGATGTATCGCTTGAAGCGGAAGACGAAAGTGGTGTAGGACTGTAGCGAGGCTGTCGGAGCTCCGGGGAGGAGTTGGGTAAAGGTGGATGGAGATGCAGAGGCACTTTCACTCCCGGGCGACTTGGACGGCATGTTTGATGAGGTTATAGGCGGATGTGGAGCATGATTCGGGGCATGCGAGCGTGCGTCTTCTGATCGATCGTATTGCACGCGTCGAGTAGGTTTAATCGTCGCGGAAGGTCAACAATGTACCACGTCGACATCAACTTTCACGTGTCGAGGTCTGGACGATCGCCGCGTCATTGGTTCAATCTCGGCTGGACTTCCGGGCAACCGATGAATCAAATATTACTTCACCCAGTCAATATGTCCATCAAAGTCCTGAGATCCCAAGATGACCATCTCCTGCCGTCTAGGAATCATCCTCTCCATCATTTCCGTCACCTTCATCACGATTCCATCCCTCCTGCATCAATCACAAAGCGACTCCCCACGAAACTGGGCACCAGTCTCCCCGGCATGTCCTGTTCAATGCKATACTTGGCCCTCCAGCCCGTACAGTGCCCAGCCAGCAATGCCTTTGCGTCAAGTTCTTGGAATGCATCTACGGTTGCTTGAATATCATCCGGTCCGGCGTCTGCAAGATGGAATCCTCCCATGACCGCATACAATGGCGACCCGCCGCCTAATGATACTGCATACTTGGAAGCATTAATCACGCCGCCGTGGCTGCAGCCCGTGAACATGACAATTCCTTTGCCTGAGAGGAAACATCAGAACTGTTCATCAGGCGGAATGGAGGCAGACGTACCTTTCACCTTGCACATGACCAGTCTCTCATCTTGGATCAGCAAATCCTCTTCCCATTCCTTTCCATTGAATCTCACCCCAGCCTTGAGTCCCTTTTCATAGCCGGTCACCCGTGGAATCTCTCCCGATATCAGAAACATTCCATCAAGGACTGTATGCGCCTGGTCATTCTTGCTAACTTTCCCTCCCAAAGCTTCAATTTCCTCGAATGAAGGATCCACTTCAAGGGAAATAATCGGCCCTCCTGGACGGTGAGTTCCCCTCCCAATCGGTCGAGCTGGATGTAGATCGACCGTGACAGGATCTAGCTGCTTTTCCTTGGGCGTAGTATCCTTCTCTCTTGCTTGGTGGATCATTCGCAGAACTTGCGGCATCCCGCCCGAATGATCACGATGCCAATGAGAGAGATGAATCCTCTCAATCAAACCAGGATCAACATTCAATCGCCTCGCATTCCTTTCCCAAGCAGACTCCTCAGGACCGGTATCAAAGAGGATGGTATGTTGCTTTCCATTCGCAGTTCCAGTGATCATCAATGAAAGACCATGGGCACTGCAACAGATCTTATCCATACGAACCTCATAAACTTCATCTCCATTACTACTTCTCCCGTCCGTGACAGGTCCATTGGCGAGGGCAATATCCTTGAGATTCCCCGACTGTTGGATACTCGGATTCGGCGAAGCGGAGATGGGATCGAGTTCATTGTCGATGATGACTAGGATTTCCACCGAGTCCAATTCGACAAGTTTGAGATCCGACATGGTTACACAGCTTCATGCATGTATTCAAGGAATGGCATGGATGACAGGCAGTGCATGTGAGTGACGTTCGTCCAAAAGCGCCTCCACTTTCCCGTTCAACCGAGATAGCTCGTCTAGACGCTTCCGGATTGCCATATTCAGTTGGTAGCTACATGTACCAYGACGCCACGCACGAGGTGACGGCAGCTTGTAAGCATTGGCTGACTTCAATGTTGATACAACCCTTTTTCACTTTGCGAGATCATCATCACATTTCTGCAAATCCTTTCCCCAAGTAAGATCAGACTATTCACAATGGAGAATGAACACATCATCCCCRACGGCACAACCCTCTTCCAGCCCGACAAACCAAACCCAGCACTCTTCACAGATGAGAACCGGCAAATATACATGGAGGATTCCCCTTCCCTGAACCCAGGACCAGATGAATGTATAGTCCGCATGCGCTGCAACGGAATCTGCGGGTGAGCAAGACACCAAACTACCCTCCTTTACTTCCAACACCTCTCTCACATCAATACCCTCCCCAGCTCAGACGTCCATTTCTGGCACACAGGCTGCATCGGTCCCCTGACCGTCGACTCCCCTCATGTTCTCGGCCACGAAGGTTCCGGAGAAGTTGTCTGGACCGGCTCAGCAGTCAAGCACCTTCATCCCGGAGACCGCGTAGCAATCGAACCCGGAGTCCCCTGTGAAAAATGTTTCCAATGCACATCCGGAACCTACAATCTCTGCGCAGAAGTGAAATTTTCCGGTGTCCCACCCCATTCCGGTTCGATTCGCAGATGGCATGTCCACAAAGCAGCCTTCCTGCACAAGATCCCGGACTCGCTCAGTTTTTCCGATGGAGCGTTACTCGAACCCTTTAGTGTAGTCCTACACGGCTTCGAGAGAAGTCCCGTGAAATTGGGAGAAAGCACGGTAATCTGCGGCGCTGGACCGATTGGAATGTGCGCTCTGGCAGTAGCTCGAGCATCGGGAGCATGTCCCATAATCATTACGGATCTCGATGCCGGAAGGTTGAAATTCGCACAATCGTTCATTTCAGGGGTCGTGCCGTTTCAAATCTCATCTAACAGGACAGCGAAGGATACTGCTGCGGACATTCTGGAAGTGATCAAGGCGGCAGGAGGCGATCAGCCGAGAGTGGTGTATGAATGTACGGGGGTGCAAGGGAGTGTGGTTACAGCGAGTTATTTGCCACGGCAAGCTGGGGAGGTCATGGTGATTGGAGTTGGGAAACCGATCATGAATGAGTTGCCGTTTATGCATATGAGTCTTGCGGAGGTGAGTCCGACGTCGTCCGAGACTGTTTTCTTGAGGGTGGGATTGGAGCTGACTGTGAATTGTGCAGGTTGATCTGAAGTTTATTAATYGATATCATCATTCCTGGCCTGCGGCGATCAGGCTTTTGCAGCACAAGGTCATTGATTTGCAGCCGTTGGTGACGCATAGATTTAAGCTGGAGGAAGCGCATAAGGCTTTGGAAGCTTCTGCTGATCGAGCATCGGGATCGATTAAGATTCACATCGAGGATACTGAGCCTTGAAGTGACGGAGTTTTCAGCGCGTTTGTAGCAGCAGGATAGATAATGTCGATTGAGCATCCACAATTCCACCACCACGCAATGCGAGCGAAGGGGATAAAGAAAGACTGKGAGCAATGCTTCAGATCATAATTCATTCTCTCATACCTTCAATTAATCAACCCATCAAGCCAACGCACCCATAGGATCCCAAAGCGGCAGCACCTTGGCCTTTTGCTTCAACACATCCTTGACCCCCTTTGAAATAACACTCGGATCAACCACCGCCTGATAGACATACTCATCCATCCAAGCGTCACTCATAACAAAGTACCCATCCGTTCCAGCGGTATTCGACCAACTATTCTGCACCCTCCATCTCACAGGCCTATCATTCTCATCCAGATGTACGGCCGTCAAAACCATGGCATGCGTCATTTGGCTTTCACCCGTCAGTAACCTTTCAGCTTTCGTCAGACCGAGTTTGATGTTGAATCCCAATTCATAATCCACCAGATCCGTATCCATGATCCCTTTACTAGAATCAGATTGCTTCCCAACATCCGAACCGAAGAAGATCGGGAGGCCTTTCTTCAACATCGCCACACAAGCTTCTTTCAACACGACTTTGTCGACGTTTACGTAGGTGATCGGCCGAGCTCCCCATACATTTCCCAAGTGATCCACTGTCAACAGACGATTGTAATCATTCCTCGGGTCATTCACCAGAGAGATGAACTTCTTCACATGTGTGGTATCCGCGAATTCGAGAGGCGTCATGGAGRCGGTCTTGAAGGTATTGGAAGTGTCGTAGAATTCCCAGGAGAATTTCTCGTGGGCGGAAGGCGGAGGACCGAGACAGAGGGTGAGGATTCGGACGATATCTTGCATCATTTGTTCCTTAGCCGAGGCGATTCTGTCGTCTGAGGAGGTTGATCGCAGAGCTCGGAGTCGGAGGCCGTCTTCGCGGAGTTTGGTGGTGAGGATTCGATCCATGGTGGAACTGTTCTGGGCGTTCCAGGAGTCGGGATAGAGGCTTTGAGGGACGATGCCGTATTTTGATACAAGGTTGACGATCATGTCCCTGGGGAGTGTCAGGTGTTGTCCCTCATTTGATTTGACAGATGCTGATTCTTTCTCGACATACCATTGTCCACCATCGCCGACTGGACTCGCCATCAAGGCGCTGACCAGTCTGCTGTCTACATCCTCATCAACGGTATCCAAGATGGATTCGAGGTAGTAGTTTGCCTTTTCCACTTTATCCCAGAAGAAGAGGTAGTTTTGGGAGAGCTCAAAGTCCTTGATCTTGTACTTTTGCTGAATGGCGACTCGGAAGACGTTGGTCGCAGCGAATATCCAACAGCGGCCGCTACTTCTCTGGTTGGTCACCTTGATTCTTGTCAGAAAAAGCAAGTCTCCCACACTGGATCCTGATTATACAAGATACTCACAGGGGAACCCTCGTTTGGGATCGTCACATTGTAGTATTGGGTGTCCCTCAACACTGTCGCTGGCTTCTCCAGAACCGCAGAAGGGTTGTTGGTGCTCAAAGCTGACAGTCCCAGCTTATTCTTGGGATCCTTCAATACATGTCGAACATATTGCTCCGTAGCAGCAGCATCGACGTGTTCGGTGTCGTCGGGGGAGAAGAGGAGACGATCGATGTGCTTGTCCACGCCATGATCGATCTTCAAGGCATCAAACTTTTCGTCAAAGGTTGTGGTTGGGGGAGGACGGCGTTCACGTCGTGAGAGGGTGCGAGCGGGCAGCTGGGGAGTAGATTCGACGTTGCCCATGATGGTGATTCTTTCGGAGATGGAGTGGAAGGGAGGGGAATGGAGAGGAATGAAAGGGAGTGGAAAGGGTTCTAATCACCTGCCTGACCGGGCCATTCAGCCATCAGCCGACTCGAGACATGCTCGATGCCCTGGAGAACATCTGCCAGTCCATCAAGGTGCCATCAAGGTGCTCATGTCCTGATAAGAAGGAAGGAGCCGATGTCGGGGTGTGGGGAAGCAAGCATCCAATCCATCTTCTGATCAACATCAGCTCTTCCCACGACATCCCCCTCACACATCACCTTTCACATTGCACCCCTCTTCCCAACGTCTTGTTCTTGTCGGTACCGCTGGAGGAATTGAATTGACGAACGCATTACTGATTGGAGAGGATTGAAGTGTATGGTAGTCACTCCTCGATCCCACCTGCCGCGTCAGCATCACCTACCCCTGTTCACATTTCCGGCCATCTCACAATCTCAAACACAGCCCTGCCTTGAACGAAAAGTCTGCATCCACAAATGCTAAGATCCACAATTGCTCCATTTGCTACTCTGCGTTTGACAAGGAACATGCGTCGCTGGTACGCGTATACACAGTCATGATTTTCAAGTCTATTTGGTGGACTTCCATGCCCATCTACATCTGTGGATCTGCCCAGGTGTCTATTCGTCGCTCACAGTACGTCTCAGGTTCTCACGTTGAAGATTCCACGACGTCAGTAGGACATCTTAACATCGACCGCCAACGATCACACTTTGGCCAACTTCCAGAGAGTAAACGATGGACATGAGACGGATCGAATGCATTGGAGCGATTGCATAAGACATTCCAGACCTGAAATCTCGCTCGGAGGTCTCCCCCGACTTCGTTCCAAGATGACTCCATAGCTGCATCGGCATGCCCTCCCTTGATCTCGTAACTGTTTTGTCAATGTGATCAAGCCCAATCTTTGAAGAATTCCTCGCTTTGGCGCAATGTCAGAAATGTAGGCAGGCGCTTCCCCATAGGATCCAATGTGATCAAATAGCACTTCTTTGCCCGATCACCGCCTGATCTATCCTCTCCGGCCTACAAAAGGGTCAGCAGTTGTTCCGCACTGAAGGACTATTCAGCAAGGCGAGTCTTACCGCTACGAGAATATCGCCAAAATCTGCATCTTTCAACAGCGTCCTATACATCTTCGTGACCTCGCCCTTTCCACCCTGGACATTCGTGGCATGCTCGACCGCCTTCCTTAGCCAAGCATCACAGCATCGAGCGGCTTCAACGAAGACCAAACCGTGTCCCTGAATTCCGCCCATCTTCCCATACTCATACTGTAACTCATTKAGCATTCTTATTGCATTGTAATATGCTTCAGCAGTCCTCAGTCCTTCCACACCTTCAGCCTCCCTCAGCTTTGCGACAAGGAAAGTGTACTCGATTCTCTGCATTGCGTTGCGAACCGGGTATACTATTGGTACCTTTGGTGGCCAGTAAGCCGCTCGTAAGGTCTCGTCAAGGGTAGGGCTTTTGTCGAAACTTAGGATTTGACCAAAGTCCACGGGTTGCCGTCCCTCGAGAGCGAAGCGAGCTGCACCTATGAGGAGCCTCCTCCGATCACTCAGCCATCGATGCTTGGATGGAAGGCAGACTTTGCATTTGCATTGAAAGCCGTATCGATACTTGAACATCAAGTTCCTTTGGGAAGCGGTGAGAACCTCGTCCCAGTCTCCTCTGTAGCAGATCTGGACTTCTTCTTCGGCTGCAACGTCCTTTTGAGCATGGCAGGTCATGTTCGCCATTACAGCGTTCGGCACACATGAATGATTGATTCGTGAGACCAAAGGTAGAACGAATCGGCCGGTGCCAGCATTGCCGAATGCGTTGCTGTGGAAGATTCGTWCCGCTTTACTCTCATTCAGATGCCCGGGTCGCCACTCGTACAGCGAGAGGAATGTTGTTTGGTCTTCCTTGCTCAAGCATGCAAAGGCTGCTTCAATATCCTCGTTGCTTGCATCGTCGCTGACAGATAGAATGGGTTTGTCGGTGAGAATGATGAYACCTCTCGGAATATTCTTGGTCGCTACGATTCCATTGCCTTTACCTTCGATTGCTCGCACTTCGAAGGCAGCCATTGTGAGCAGTCCACAGTTCCAAGGAAAAGCTCTTGTCGTTGACGATCTCTGGCAGTAAAGTAACGATCTCACACCATTGCGTAGGTGCCTAAAGCTCGCACGGACGCAAACGACGCGCCAGACGACGCGCCGGAACGCCAAATGCTCGCGCTAAATCACAGCGGAGTACGTTGTAGAAGCCTTCCAAGTTTCCATCCAGAGCCACCATCACCACTATCATAACTACTACCATCACACCGCCACAATCACCACCGCCACAACGTCTGTCTCACCAGCTCCACCCGATGACTCGGTGCAATCCAGTAGACTGCGCCGGTTCTCTCTGCCCTGGACGTTCTCGTCGTCAAAAAATCGTCACAATGCACCAGGATTGCCCATCGTTATAGCTTCCAACGTATTGCAACGGCATTGATGGACCAGAAGACTACGACCCAGCCAAGTTCCCGGCCGATTCAGTCGAGAGCGGCATGTATAGGACACCACTGCGATACGTGGGTAGCACAGCGCCTATTACCTTGCTCCTTCAGCATCGACAGGCTCCTGTCTAGAATCAGCGTCAAGGTTCAAGCGATGTGGTATCAACTCACGACATAACCGAAAGTAAACCTGGTGTCCCTCATGTCGTCAAACATGAATCTCACAAATCCCGCTTGAATCTCCTCTTCTGGAAAAGGGGACGAGGGGTCGCGTCGAACAGGCGCTCTACATCGAACATCCCGTAACAGCAACCGATGGTCCGACGGTAATCTGTATTTGAGCCACGTGTAGAGCAGCGAATACCTTCGCACAATGAAGATGTTGCGGGAGAAGTGTAAGGTGGCGACTTTCATTCTGGTGGCCCTGCTGACCTGCAGGAGTTTCAGCGGGAACTCGGCATATGGCACCGCGCAGTCATAGAACATTCCGTCATTGAAAGGCGAATGCTCGATATGAATGGTGGTGCCGGTCGGCGGGGTGAAGGTAAGCTCGTAGATTTCATCGTACAATTCCTTTGGCAGAGCCTCGAGATGCGCGCGAAGCTGAAGAGTCGTCATGGTCCGGAAGATTCAATTAAGGTGAATTCAACTCCAGTCTTGAAGCTTACATTTAACCAAGCCAGTATACAATCGCGAGTGGGGCTTGATCATGTTCATGTGGTCTCTCCGTGGATTCCCCTTTGCRCTGCCACGAGGCGGTGCATGGCGGTGTAAGCATAGGCTACGCAGATTATTTACCATCGTTTGCAGGGAATACCGACGGCGACGAATGAACGGGACAAGTCAAGGTCGCCTCGTTCGAAGTGTTGCGGCCGACTTCACCGTTGACTGGAACTGGCACGGATTGGCACGCTCCGGCAGGGACTCCTTGATGCCAAGCCTAGCACCGGTCTCCCGGTTTGATCCTTCTCGTATAGGCCGTTCAGAGGGGAATAATGGGACAACTATCTCCATTGAAGGCGATCAATCTTTGGTTGATCAAGGATTTCTTGGAATGCTTCGGCTTCGTTGAAGCCGGGCAGAGCGCTGACAAAAGCTTCACACACACCGTTCAGCCGGATGTACTGATACACAGGCTTAAAAGGAGAATATCGGTTGATGGTGTTTGGACTCAAGGGAATGTCAAGAAGATATCAACCCAAGCATTATTTGTAAACTTTACAAAACAAAGTGAGCACAATTCGCAGTCGACAGAGCAAAGGCTACCCTCATGTTGTTGCTGCATATACAGCAGATTCACAGGCAACCCACTGACCAACAATGGCCGGGTCCAAGAAAGGAAGCATCTGACTGGCAATCATACCAGCAACACCTTTCTCTCGATCACACCACCCTACAGGGAAAGGAGATCAGCGGACATTCCGTCGAATCCATGCTGGACTTACAGAACAGATTTGCTAGGCCAGCCCACCAAGCAGTATTCCTGCCCCTTCCGGTACCACCAGGCTCCTGGGTCAACATGAAACTGCGTATCGATTAGACTTCAATCACCACTCTGTGTAGAAAACACTGACCTCAAACCCCATCCTTGTGGGGGATTTCCGTCTTGTGGGTAGAGCTCCGCCGTCGGGTTGGTCTGGTCTCGCTTCGCATCGGGAATACCTTGTCTGCGTGGAGTTAGCTCGAGTGGGCTGCGGAGTAATGTTTACGAACTCACCTGGCAAAGTCTGGAAGATGCGGAATCTGATTCTCCCACATCTGCTCAACAGTTTCCTTCTCCAGGATGCGAGCGCCAGTAATCGGGCTTTCTCCATCGTTGAGCAAAGCTGCCAGAACTTGGACGTATTCTGTTGGCTTAGCAAAGCATCCGGCCCCTCCACTGTGGAAGAGCCTCTCCCTATCCTCGGCTGTCTGGGCCAAAATTGGTTCACGATACAGATGATCTCGCTCTTCGGCCTTCTTTGAGGGGTCTCCAGGCCATCTCTGGTGCATCGAAGCCAGCTCGCGCTTCATTTCTGGCGTGGGGAACATATTGACATTTTCGAGTCCCAAAGGTTTGGTGATGTTACTTTGGATCCAGTCGTTTAGTCGAATACCGGTTGCACGTTCTAGGACTATGCCGGCCCAATCGATGTTCGTGCCTGTGAGCTATTAGGACCTGCACCACGTTCACAATCTGACGATTGAGGCCATACCATATTCCCATGCCTCGCCAGGCTGATGTACCAAAGGCATTCGGAGAATATCACGCACCTAGCGTGCAGCTGTCAGTGCAATGTCACAAAGCTTCCTTCTTCTACTTCACTCACATCAGCGTGGAAAACGTCATATCCAACGGGACGACCATGTTCACGCAGCCTCTCATTGAAACTGGGAAGGGTCAGACACAAGCGCTCGCATTTCAAATCTCTTCATACTTACAACTCGTATCCAAATCCGGCTGTGTGGCTGAGTAGCATACGAAGTGTGATGTCGTTTTTACGATCGACGAGTTTTCCATCTGGTTGCAGCACTTTCTTGTGGTTCAGTTCTGGGCATAGGTAATGGACCTGAATTGATCATCAGCAGCAATGCTGGTCCACGTTGTTCGGCAGAAGGTCTACGAACCTGTTTCGCATCATCGAGACTCAGTTGACCTTGCTCGACTGCTTGCATACACGCAATTGTACAGAGCAGTTTTGTGCAGGAAGCGATCCTGAAAAGGGGTTAGGAATACGATGGACGATCTTGCTCTTCAAGGACCTACCAAAACACAGTATCAAGAGCTGCGCGGCTGTCAGAAACGTTGTCTTACATCAAGCAGATATGTCATACTCATCGGTTCATCGCTCTTCAATCCTTTCTTCCCAGAGGGACATGCAGCTATCTGGTTGCCTTTCTTGTCGATTGCAACGAAGACAATACCTGCGATGCCACTGGATGGATCACCTGTGACACTGTCCAAGGATGACTGTACGGCTTCTTGTGCTTTTGAATTGACCATCTTGTGAGTGCACGTTATCTGTAGCTAGTACTTCGTTGGTTAGGGTATGCAGTATCGAAAGTAAGCAGAGCAGTAGCTGAATGAGATCGTGTTATATACTATGACATGTGGAGTCGTCCAGTCATCCGAAGGCGAATGATGTATGCAGAAGCTAGGGGTGTGAGGGGATATACAGAATGAGGTGGTCACTCCCCTCCAGCTGAGCTGACGACATCCATGTTGCTGCGGAGTAGCTTTTGCAAGGTTGCTCCGACTGGACATTGGAATGGTTACTCAGGTACGTGATAGGTACACAGAATGATACAGGTATATGTACAACTCACTCGCCAACGCTCGCAAGTATCTAATACACAATCGCACGCTTCGACGACGCCCGCAATTTGGGACCAAACTATTGAAAAGTTAGCGAAAGATCTCATTGACGGAGGATCTGTGGAAAAAGATGCTCACCTTGAACATGACGAAAGCAATCATACTGAGCACAGTACCCAGCATCGCAAGTAAAAGTCCCGCCCATTGGCTGCCTAGGTTGTGGAAGAAAGCGCTTGCAAAAAGTGGTGACACAGCGCCGAGTGTGTTCCTCATCAGTCCCTGACCAGCGATAGCAGAGGATGCGCTTTGGCCATAGCAGTCGGCAGTGTATGAGTATGTGCTCTCGAACACGAAGTAGATCCCGAAAGCAATTGGTGCCAGACTGATAGTTGGCGCAATCCATGGGAGGTATCCGTACTGCGTGAAGGAGTACATGAAAAGTCCAATTGGGAAGAATATGGCCCCAAACATGGCTCCGTACCTATCGTAGAGTGTTAGCGATGTCTTGGAAGACCGATTGGGAAATTGTGGTCGCTCACAGTCTATCCTCTGGCGTCGCCTTGCGGTCGGGATCATCCATGATTTTCTCGTATCTTTGATGGAGCAGAACGTCAGCAAATATCCTGAATCGTCGGTGAAATTCATGTCAAGAAGGCTCCGAGACCTGCTCTGTGCTCTCCCATGTTTGGTTCACTCACTTTCTCATCTGCAGGTGGTGTGCAGCCCATCCCAAGGTCGTTCCAATAGCCAATGAAAGATAAGGCAGACCGCCAACGCCCTCGTTCCAACCACGCTTCTCTTGGAAAGTGATGGGAATCACTGACAGAAACAAGAAGACCACAAACCAGCAGAAGGAGATCCACAGACCAAAGCTGAAGACCACAGGCTCAGTAGCCAGCATACGAACAGCCTTGACGGAAGAAGCCTTGAGCATAGCTTTGATACCCGGAGTCTCCACGTCGTCCGCRGACACGTATCGCAGGTCACCGGTCGCCTTCTGAAGCTTCATCGCACGCCTGTGAAGGTAGACTCCTCCTCGAGTTTCGGGGAAGAACACGAAGATGCAGATCAAGAGAGGAATGTWGGCAATTCCTTGGATGCCTTGGATCCAGCGCCATCCGAGATGTTGATCGATGAATCCGGCGTAGACTGGCGCGAAAACGGTACCAAATATGGCGATGAAGGAGAACATGGCCATTGGTCGTGATCGCTGGCGCGGCATGTACATGTCATCGAATGTGCCTCCCACGAGGATAGTTCCCACGCACCCTTCGCATGATTAGCAACATTCTCAAATCAAGAGTGAGAGTGTCTTTGTTTACTCACCAAACAGACCGAGAAATCCACGCAAAACGAGAATGGTCTCAATGTTCTTTCCAAGTGCCAGTCCGATGAAGCAGAGTGAAAAGCAAAGATATGCTCCAGCATAAACAACCTTGCGTCCGACGAGCTCACAGAAAGGTGCCAGAACAAGAGGTGCAATCGCACAGACAAAGTTGAACAAAAACAGTCCAAGCTGCCCCATGATATTCGATACACCAAATTCCTCGGTCATCCTGGTGACACCGGAGCTGTACGCTGTTGTTGCCAATCCGATGAACAGAGTCATCAAGTTGAGCATGGTCGTGACACTGCGCTTGTACCAGGGACTCCAGTTAAAAGGGTTCTCAGGATCACCCTTTGCGAATCGAAGGACGATGTACTCGATGTCGTCTTTGTGCACAAGCTCCGTTAGAGTGAGTGGCATATCAATGTCGACTTCGGTGAGAGCTCCATGTTCAACATGTAGGTGCTGGTCCTCGTCGTCGAATTTTGCAAACTTCCCTCCCACAATCCTCCCTAGCCCGAACTCGACTCTTTCTTGTTGCGTAGCTGATCGATTGTCTGGGGTTTGGCTCTCTGGTGTCCATGCTTCCTTCTCCGTACGTGTGAAAGTGCTTGGAGTTCTGGATGGGCCTGGGCTCTTTGTGATGCTGCTCCAAGTACTGTTGCTCCGAGATGGTCCACGCGGCATGATGGGCATTTTGACAAAACTGTCGATGAAAAGATATGTACAGAAAAGAGTTTCAGAACAGACAGAAGGGAAGAGCCTACTTTTTGTGCAATGATCAAATGGATTACTATTCCGAGCCAAGATGTCGTTCTGCAAAGAAACGCTGTTGAGGATGATCTCATGGTCGTCTTCGTCCGTGAGTCCATATTACGACCGCGAAGTGACCGAAAGCATGTGCGAAGAAGCGCCACCGCTCGGAACGTCTATAAACAACAAGCCGAGGCTGTCGAATTCATCGTTAGCTAGCATTATTCCATACCGGATAACAACCAGATCAGGTGTACATTGCCGTATATCAGCGTCATCTTTGCTGGGTTGAATTTTCAGTGTTGCAGTTCATGTCAAGTCAGACCTGATGTGAGGAGTTAAACGGGTCGTCATGGTGGATCGCCGCGGGAGCGAGCGGGCCGCCGATCTTATCACACCTTATTTTGCGCCACAGCGAACAAGAATGTCTGAATCTGCGAAACTTTGCTTAGACGCAGTAGTTCTGGAGTATTCTTCGGGCGTTCGATGCTTGTGCATGCATCCTAGACACCTTCAGTTGCCGGTATGTTAGCACGGGGATGGATTTGCCAACGCATCGACTTTGTGAGGCTGCCAGAATGAGCTTCGCAACTTCTTCGGCGTATACGCCGATGAGCTGTATGTGATCGCCATCATCCCGGCAACATGCGACATCATTCGTCGACTTCGCGGCCTCTTCGGGGTTGCACAATCTTCAAACAAGACCTTGCAATGACGTCCGGTTGCCGTAAGGAAGACCCATCCAGAGAAGCGCTGGCTGCATGAGGCCAACAGGCGTACCACGAAGCTTGTCCCGATGAGGAGCAGAGTTTCATATCCTGATACCACGTCCGAGTCGCTATTGGAAGCCACAAGCTTTCTGCGTCTCAATCTGCATCTCATGTGATGAGACGTGGCAACAGATCCACCGGACTGCGGTAATCCACCAACATTAGATGAGACTCACCAGCCCAACGCTCTCAACGAATGTGCTGCTGGCCATGCTGGGTGATCTTGGAATTCATGAAGCAGTCTGATTGCTCGCTCAACATTTGCAAGGTCCCGACGCCATGGGACTGGCGACTTGATTGGCATATTAACAGGTCCACATTCGGACTCTGCTGTGCTGGACATCACCATCCTGATAGTCCGGTCGCGCACGTGGAAGAAACATGCCATCACATCGGGAGGCAACCAGGCTGGATCTCCCTTTATCGTTAAAAACTACAGAACGGTGGTGTTGGTAGTTCCAGCCCGAGCAAGTAGCACGTTCGGGGCATTCGGCCCTGCATCGCGCGACCATGGGGCTCCAGATACTGGACCAGCTCGTTTCTCCAATGGTTGAGAGATCCAGCGCGTATGGGTGCTCCGCTCCCCACAGGTTCGCGATCAATTCAGCGTTAGAGGACCAACGGCAGGACAGTTGTTCAACTAGGGTGTCAGGGCTCTCCCCTCCATATGTTGAGGAATGTCGTCCAGTGAGTCGCCTCAGCGGTGGAGCCCTTTACTCGAAATTAAGATTATATCTCCGCGTGCGGCTTGCAGTCCTTCGTCACCCTCTTCGCGATCCACTCCACATTGCTGAGCTTCTACGCCGGCGAGCATCGGAACTCAACAATGGAGTTCCAACACGGAGATCTTACTCGCCAGTAGGTAGGCTACAGCATCTCTCTGCATCGGACACCACTCCTGATCGCCAAAGATCCGCTTTCGCTGTAGCTTTGCAAGAAGTGATTCGCTGCTAATGCATCAGAGCTACGGCACTCGCGAGAGGTCTGTGGGTCTGAACAACCTCCGATGCAAAGAGATGGTCGCACAACCCGTTGGACTGATCAAACACTCAAATGCTCTGGAAATCAGCCACATGTCTCCACTAATGAGAGCTATGGCTCTCATCAGCACTTCATACAATTCTCAGCGCCATGTTTCGCGCAAAGGGCGTTTTGTTCGTAATTGTCTCCCCCGAAAGCCTCTCGATTTTCCTGCCCACGGGAAGTGGGCATTGATTCCAGGACTGAGTTGTCTGGCTTAGGTGAAAGACAGACGCAACTCGCATCTGCGACCTCGTTATAATCCTTCCAGAATGTTGTAAAAGAACCAAAGGGGTGGACGCATCATGCCTTGGATAGAATGTTGCTGGCTACCATATCATGTCCTTGTAGTCCTTCATCTTGGACCAAAAGTGGGTAAATCATTTGCCAAGCTTGTGGCGTCCGTGGCACTCTTCGTAGGTAAGCACAACCTCCGGCCTCTCAGGAAATACCTCCTTGGTCATCCATATTTCTCTGATCATTTCTGGAGCTTCTGGTGGCTATCACCGATGCCAGGAGAAGAGACCGGATTGCCCAGATTGACGAGCCACCTTGTCCACGCGACACAAGACACCGCCAAGCCGCCCAGAGAGATACGATATCGTAGTGCATTGGCAGCATGCAGCGCATTCGCCCATCAACATCCAGAAGGCCTCTATAAGCGTGACGCACTAGACAGCACCTTCCTAAACGGGCTCAATCTCCTCGAACCCGACCTTCCCATTGTAGTCTACAATGCCCTGCATAGCTTTCCGCCCAGAGGTCCTCCAAGACAATCCTTCCGTGAGGGACCTCCGAAAATGTAGAGTAGCATTGCAGGGCCGATCGTCGCCGCCACTGAGGCTCTTGGAAGGATCTATAAGTATCGTTCAGCTGGAAGAACTTGCTCATTCTTGCTCATTYCTTCACTTGTTGACAATCTCCATTGCTARGATGAAGTTCTCTGCAGCTGTCCTAGCCTTGCCGACTGTGGCCTTGGCTGCTCTGTACTCCAAGGAGGAATACCGCGTTGGCAGCGTGCATGAGCAGCTTATGGGTATCAAAATGGTAGGGCTGTTCAATCACATGATCCCACAGCAATGCATGTCGCTAAGTTCGGTCACTTACAGGCACACTGGGATGCAGAAATCGCTGAAGGGAAGATGGATCCCACCCGATTCCGCTCCTTGAAAAAGAAAAGTCCCAAGTATAAGAATGAGMCTGTTCGCTGCAAGGATGGACTTGCGACGGTAGAGGAGGGTAATGTCACGGAGAGCTTCCGTTGTTCCAACATGGATCTCTACGACTTCCTCAATCACGCCGACATGGGTACGACAGAAGGCCAAGGCTCGTCATCCTGGGGTTGGAAGCACGAGAAAAGTGGCCGCGAGTTCGGCATCGTTGGTCAATTCACCGGTGCGGCTTTCGTCGAAGTTCTTCGCAACGGCAAGATGGAATACCTTGGTCGTCTTCCAGCTCAGAGTGTTGGATCCAGGTGGAGAGAGATTCGCGTGCTGAACGACTATGTCATCATTGGCTCTGAAGCTGTGGGCCACAATGTCCAGAGTAAGAGGTAACGGGCCCGACGATAATCATCAGTGCTGACACTTTGCAGTCTTTGATCTCAACAAGCTTCTGGAGCTTGACCCAAAAAGCCCAAAGACTTTCAACCCCTTGACTGATCTTGTTGGCCTCTTCTCGGACACCATTCCAATTGGTCGCACCCACAACGTCGTCATTGACTGGGACAACGAGTAAGCGATCTCGGGTTTCCTGAAGACCTCATGTCCTATAACAGCGCCATTAGATACGCCATTGCCGTCGGAGCCCAACCTCGTAACTCCAGCTGCGCCAGTGGTCTGCAATACATCGATCTCTCCGACCCTACCAACCCCACAACACCCGGCTGCGCCGCCCAGGACGGTTATGTCCACGACGCCCAGTGCGTGACCTACAAAGGCCCAGACCGCCGCTTCAAAGGCCGCAACATCTGCGTGGGCTACAACGAAGACACCATCACGGTATACGACTCCACCCGTAAAGAAGGGCACCCTGCCTCCGAAGTCCTCTCGCGTTTCTCCTATCCCGGCGCGACATATTGCCATCAAGGATGGTGGACCGACGAGCGCCACGAATTTGTAATCCTCAACGACGAACTTGACGAGCAGCGCGCTCAAGGACCCGCAGCGTCTGGGCGTCCCGTCACACACATCATCGATATGCGTGATTTGCGCAACCCCAAAGCGACGGGAACATTCTTCGCCATTGACCACAAAGGTATCGACCACAACTTATATGTCGTGGACGGACTCGCCTATCAAAGTAACTATGGCGCCGGACTCTGGGTGCACGACATTCGTTCCATCCGGAAGAACCCCACAGGAAGCGATGTTACCACGCACGCTTTCTTCGATATCCATCCAGAGGATGATGCCGTTGGTGGAGAGATTGTGTTCACTGGTACTTGGTCGCATTTCTTGTTTCCTTCGGGATATATTCTTGTCAACACGATTGAGCGTGGTGCGTTTATCACTAAGATCTCGAAGGGGAGGGGTTCTACTCGCGGAACGGGTTTTCCAGTCAAGGGAGGCGTTGGGAGGAACACCAGGTAGTGTCACATATCCCAGGAAATGTTTTATTAGATCGGAGATGTAAATGATCCGACGACCTCGAGATCAGGCTGCTGGCGTTTCAGTCTCGTCTCAGCGGACATGCTAGGCGTTCTCCGCGAGTGTGCCGGATGTTTTCTCGTCCATAACGGCTGGGTCCGGTGTCCTGTCTTCGCCAAGCTGCTCCCCATGCGGTAGACGGCACTTGCGTGAGATACTTCTCCGAGCTACTCCGCGAGTTCCGACACGGCTGTGTCCTCTGAGCTAGATGAAGCTCCTATGATGAGAAAGCGGTGGCGGCGCTTGGAGTGTACCAGGCGATGGATCAATTCATTTCGGGCAAGAAGCGGACAGGCATAGCTGATGCCTCCATCTATAGCTTATTACGAGTTTCCTTGAGACCAGCCAAGACCTCAGAAAGGCCGCAAGTTCGCAGTGAGAAGGGCGTTGCGTGGGATAGCTGGCAACTTCCGCCTCGCGGTTCTCGTACAGCTAGGAGACGAGCTTTCTTCTCGCCTAGGCTTATCATGGACGGGTTCGGGCCTTACATGACAATACATCCACCCTCCGTCTTGCCACCCTTTTCAGTGGTAGTCTTCGCAGCAGTCCGGGAAATGTCTTCAATGACCGCCTCGCAAAGTTCTCCAGTCAAGGCCGAGCATTCGCAGTACCGATCACATCGCATCTCCTGAGCCAGTCGCAAGCCGTCCTGTGGGTAAGTGAAAGTCCTGCCATTGAGCACCACATCGTCGTCGTCACTTTCGCCAGCGTGAGCTTCTTTGCGAACAGTTCCCGAGTAGTCCTCCTCGCTGCGCACATCGCGCTGTAGACCAAGGACAACTGTGGGAATCGCTTCGTCGACGTTGAATTGGGTATCTACCAGAGGTTTCCATCTACTTTTCAGATTGGCAAGCGAAACTGGATCTGCGATGGAATAACAAAGGATGATTACTGTGGGTTTCAACAATGTGTAATTTTCAGGCGAAGCGGTGTCGTAGAATTCGAAGCGATAAGGTCTGTTGTATAAGGAGATGTTAAAGGCAAACGGCTGCTCCAGATCGTGCAGCTGTGGCAATTTTCCTTTGTGCTTGTGACCGACGGAGAGACGGCTACAGGCAGCTGTCAATCAGGAGCTGAGGTGGCTTTCACATGAAGAGTCCGACGTACGATAAGAATGTTGACTTTCCCACGCTTGAATCTCCTAGGAGTAAGATGGGAATGACGGGTCCGTTGCGTGTGTCTTCCATCATGATTGAGGAATCAAACCAGGTCGCAGATGAGGTGATACCCGCCACAGTCTCACAGACAGACGGAGTGGATGACGGATGACGGATAACGGACCTGCAGGAGATTGACGCGTCCTGCAAAACGATGCAATGGTGATGGGGTACTGCAGGGTTCATGCCTTATCGCGCTTATCCGTTCTTTCGGCACCCGGCAGAAGTTTTCCTCCCGGGCGATGCCGACATTCTTCTTTGCCCATGGAGTCACCAGAGCTCCCCTCTTTCTCTCTTGGGACTACAACTCCGCAGTCTGGTATTATCTCGTCTTGTACGCGCGTGCAGTTCCGGCACTCTGCATCCTTCGTCTACAATGCCATGCTGAAGAGCTGTCTTGTGCGATCCTCAACATAGACCGACTCCCTACGAAAAAGACGTCACATCTGAAACCCACGACGCATTCACTTCCTCATTCCTCCAGACCGCCCAAAGGACCTCGATAACAATCAATCTACCTCTCACATCTCCCTCTCTCTCACCGACCCTCACAATGGTGCGCAACATGCTCATCTTCTCGGGCAACTCCCACCCGCAGCTCACCGACGACATCTGCACCGTCCTTGGAATCCCGCCCGCGAAAATCCACTTGAGCAAGTTCAGCGTCGGCGAGACGCAGGTGGAAGTGGGCGAGAGTGTTCGCGGCAAGGATGTCTACATTGTGCAGTCGGCGTGCTCCAAGCCGAATGGTGCCTCTTTAAACGACGGCCTCATGGAGCTGCTCATCACTATCAGCGCATGCAAGACGGCAAGTGCAAAACGGGTGACGGCTGTTCTACCACTCTTTCCATACTCGCGCCAAAGCGATCTGCCCTATAACAAGGTCGGCGCCCCACTCGCCCGGATGCCGGCCAAGACGGAGGAGAACAGCAGGTATACGTACGAGTCGCGGCCGGGAACGCCAGGCCCGAGTTCGATGGGTGCGCGCGACGAGAAGCTGGAAAAGAAGCTGCAGGGRATGAGACCAATGAGCGAGTTGCGCCTACCAGGAGCGAGGAAGGACACATTGGAAAGTGTACAATCGGAGGAGCCGGCGCACAACGGACATGCAAGAGACACAAAACCGCCCGAGTTCAAGCCACAGCGAGGATACAAGCAGTGGGTCGCGCAGGCCGGTACACTCATTGCTGATTTGCTCACATGTGCTGGAGCGGACCACATTATTACAATGGACCTGCACGATCCGCAATATCAGGGCTTCTTCGACATTCCGGTGGACAACCTTTACGGAAGGCATCTGCTGAAGAGATACATTGCCCAAGACATCATGCCTCACTCCGGTGGTGTTGATCGATGTGTGATTGTCAGTCCAGATGCTGGAGGTGCAAAGCGTGCGACCAGTATTGCAGATTCGCTAGGCATGGAGTTTGCTCTGATTCACAAGGTAGGCAGATGCGTTCGGAATGCCGAGACACTAGACTGATGGAACACGATAGGAACGCCGCGTACACAACACACAACGACCACACGAGGTGCTCATGGAGAATGGCTCTCGCAACAACTCCAGCACATTGCTACTAGTCGGTCATGTCAAGGAAAAGATTTGCATTCTGATCGATGACTTGGCTGATACATCAAACACAATTACTCGAGCAGCCAAACTTCTCAAACGGGAAGGTGCTACGAAGGTGTACGCGCTCGTCACCCATGGCGTGCTCAGCGGAGATGCAGTGGAGAGAATCTTCCATTCGGGGCTTGACAAGGTGCGTTGAATCGATGACCTTACATTGTTCAAGCTTGTTCAAGCTGACAATATTGCAATAGGTCCTGGTGACCGACAGCGTGCCCCAAGATGAGCACATTCGCAAGATGGAAGAATTGGCCGTGCAATACAACAAACCCAGCGGCAAGCTCGAGGTGTTGTCAGTGGGTACCGTTTTCGCAGAGGTAAATACCATCGACAAATCTGTAATCTTGAAAGCCACTAACGAGAATAACAGGCAATTCGGCGGGTGCACAACGGTGAGAGCATCAGCTCCCTGTTCCAGTACGATTAAAGACATCGGGGAAAGGAAGAATACTCCACGTAATCGTAGAAACCTGGTATGCGTAGAATGAAGGGAGGCATACACTCCCATACAATGGATGACGATAGGCGGAGTACGGTCAAGACACCTGTTCATTAAATCAGATTTGCATCATGGCTACTCGACCTGCTGGTACAAATGGCYGCCCTGCAATGCACCACTATCAAGACTTCCAGACTCGTGGAGCGGCGGGGAGACAATGCTGTACGATTTCATAAATGGATTTCGTGCTGTAGCGACTGGTAAATACCCATAAGTCAAACTCCCAACATGCGGAATGCATCATTTTTCCAAGCAAGCAACGCTGACTGCCCCAAAGCTAACGCCGAAGGTGCTCCTTTCCGTGTGTTTATCATCCTCCCTTTGCATCAACTGTCCTTCTTTCACAAAATCGGTTCGTGCACATCAAGCGACTACGACCTTGCTTGACAACACCTCCAAAAACCCTGCGAGATCGTCCTTCTTCACCTCMACGACACTATGCTCGAAAGAATCAWTCCGAACTCTTGACCCAGTCTCCTCCACGACCTCCTGAAAGGCCTGTCCAAAACGATTGAGTCCTCGGATTTTCTTCACCTTGCCTCCTGTCTCCACTTCATCGTCAGAGTCGTTCTCGTCCTCATCCTCGTCTTCTTCGGTCTCAGGTTCCGATTCCTCCTCCTCCTCATCATCCAACATCCCATTAGCAGCATTCCTCTCAGCCCTCAAGCGCCTCTGTTCCTCCCTCTTCCTCTTCTCGGCCGCTTTCCTCGCAGCACGTTCCGCACTCCTCCTCTTCTTGGCATCTTCCCTCTCTTTAATCTCAGCTTTAGATCGAATCTTCTTCCCACTGCTATTCCATCCCGTCCCGCCACCCAACCCAACAACAACGTAGACACCTCTGCCCTCATCCAGCGCAGCAAGCACAAGAGCTTCATCCTTACCACTCCGCTTCCCACTTTCTCCTTCAAGAACAGCAATGGCCTCGCCGACCCATCCTGCTAGTCGCACCAGCGCTCCAGGATGCGTGAATAACGGAGTATCAGGACCTTCTCTCACGACTGCCATGCGGTAAGCCCGCAGATGCCTAATCTGCGCTTTGTTGACCAAAGCCGAGCCAACGCGTAGAATAGCTTTGTAGAGATTCTGCGCTGCTGGGATGTTGGCCATTACAATGGAGAGGCCTTTTCCGCCAGGTCGGAGAGCAGCCATGGCGCGAGCGAAGCGCATCTCCACGTAATCGGGAATGTCGCTTGCTCCAGAATTCTCGATTTCGCCGTGTCCGTCATCTGAGGAATGCGGTGGGGTTGGGAGATTCTGCACCCGCTCGTTGTAGTTGGCATCGGAATGGCCAGGACGTGAGGCCCCGAGTGTCAAGCTTGGGAGAAGGTCGTGTTCGCCGCCGACTTCAAGTATGGCTCCGATGACAATTGCAACATCTTCTGCACTCAATGTCCCTCTCCATCCCCAAGATCGTACGAAACCCCAGCCATCCATGTCCCCACGTCCTTTGTCTGTGGGAACGAGGCCGTCGAGATTGTATTGCTCGGCGAACTTGAGAATCCTCTTCCTCAACGTACGCTTCAGTTCGGAATCCATGTGGAGATAGCCCTTTCCAGCTTCTTGCAGACTGATGCCCATCTTCGCGAGGAGTTTGTGAAGACGCTTCTTGCCAGGCTCTGACCAGACATGCAATCGAGTTGCGAGGTATGGTGAGTGCAGCATGGAATCGTAGAGCGACCAATGACGAATCATGAGGAATCTTGGCTCGGGACTCAGTCGAATACCAGTATCGGTTGGACTTCTCGCAGTGGTGGGGATGATTGCTTCCACGCTTTGAGTTCTTTGCAACTCTCCTTCTGGGATGGGATTCAAACGGCGAACTTCGTCTTGTAGCACAGCTTTGATCTGGCTGGCTCGAGCTCCTGGACCGGAAGCTGAAGTGAATGTGGAGTTGATGCCGACGATTGCCAGCCATAGGAGTTCATTGTCTTCGCGTCCAAGATCAGAGGCGAGCGAGTAGAGCATACTGCTGACGCACTCTGCTGCTTTCGTACCGAGATCGTAATAGCGGTCGAGCGTTGCTTCATGCTTTCGTCGTAATTTCAAGAGCTCTCTACGAAGCTGCTTGGCCGACTTCTCCTTTCTTCTGGGAGGTGAAGAGGCCAATGGAGGAGGAGTAGAGCCATCCAATTGTGCTGAGAAAGGGTTTCCGCCAGGGGATGATGGAATCGGAATGGATGAACTGGTATTGCTGCGTCGCCGTCGCCGCGCTCGGCCCAATTCTCCTTCAGAGTCGTCCTCGTCTTCTGATCCGTCCGAAGATGTCGCTCGCTTTCGCTTCTGGCCGCTGCTGGATGTGTCTTCGTCTCTGCCATCGTCATCGGAATGATTTGCTGCATCCTCGTCGCCTTCGTCCCCTCCATCTTCGTCATTGAGTGCAAGGTCATCCTCTGTGATTTCTGGCATGTCCTGCAGCGCAAAGAACGCTTCCTTTTCCGCCCTTAGCTCCTCTTCCAGATCATCATCATCAAACACAATGACCCCGCCTCGGCCAGACTTGTAGCCGGGGAGTACGCGGCCTTCCTTGACACCGGATCTTCTTGCTAGATCCCCTGCTTGTGAAGCAGCCGACGTGCCAAAGACGTTCTCCAAATTCAAAGGTCTGTGTGAATCCAGAACCCAGACTTCGACGCCATGATCTTCTGCAGCGCCATCCTCTTCCGCGCCGTCCAATCCCAGCACCTCCTCCAAAGCAACAGCCCCTCCCAGACCCAAACACACGACTGTCCCGCCCGTTCCCCCCCTCGCCAGGGATAGTGTCTGTACTTGCTGAATTCCCGCTTTCTGCAGGTCSGAGTAGCCGGCAATGGGGACAAGCTGATGTCGAACAAAGTCACGCTTTAGGAGGAGATCGAGGATGTGCGCGGCACACAAGCTGTCAACCGTGAGGGCGGTGAGGATGACAATCGGGGCAGATCCATGGTGGTTGGTTCGTATTAGGTCCGTGTACAGTTGCGCGATCTGTTGTCGTGGGAGATACATGACCACAAACTATCAGTACTGGCGTGGTGACGAGTGTATTCCTGGCCAGATGCGGGCGTGCATTGGCGGAGTGGTGGGTGATTCGTGAAGTTGGATCGCGTGTCGTCCTTGCCCGGTAATGTCCAGTCCTTTCTCAGCCGATCCTTCCAGGTCCTAGTAGTGTTCTGCTTTTGGTGGGAAAGAGTCGTCTGGTTCCGCTCTGTTCACGGCAAAAGCGATGAGGTGCTTCAGATTCAACTCAGCCGGGCTTCGTCTTGTCTCGAGTTCGACTCTGCTTGGCGTGTTGTTCAAACTTGACGCGACGAGACGCGATCTGCTTACTCACCAGGACTTCACTAAGCAAGCGCGGACCGCGCCGCTGAGCCGACAGTCGATTTCGATCTCCGATCATTCCCCACTCTCGGCGTCCCGACGCTCGTTCGCCGAGCGCCCATCACACCAGCACCGACAGGAAACGAACGTCACACTGCGGGCGCCGGGCTACCATGTTCTTTACGACTCAGCACCTACATACTGTTGAGGTACGGAAAGCTTGCAGCCAGTCATGTCGGGCCCCAGACGATCTGCTGTCCATTGACGGAACGATGACGATTTGCTCGCACAATCAGCTCTTCCAATGCTGACGCCAACGACGACGCCAATGGTGAGCTCCGAGTCCTGACTCTGGATGTCTTACATTTGGAGAGCTTTGTCGACCACATCGCGATGAAGGTGTGGAGTATTACCTCTGCAAGAATCATTCAGGCACCAACTAAACTAGTCCACCACGTTCTCGCACCATCTTTCAGGTACACCACACCACGCCGTTCCGAGCCAGCGCTTGGGAGCTCCATGTTTCCAATCTTGACCTGACTCCATTGACTTTCCCCATCCCCATTCACAAAAGCGTATATCTCTTTCACGCGCTGCAAAATTGGCCATCTGGCAACGGAAACGTTATCCGATCAACACCACCCTGACGTGATGGCGCTCGTTCTCATCCACGCTGCGGGTCACTGACTCGCATCACGCGCCAACGACCACTTCACTCYGCATCCCCCGAACGGCTGGCTGCAGTTTGACGAACGACAGACGCGTCGGGTTGGTCAAACCGCAGCTTGACTTGACGCTTGTTTCCTCGTGCCTGAATTTGGTTGCGCGCCTTCACTTCATTCTAGTCAGCAACCTTTACCAGCTCTTCGTCATCTCGCACGAACGACTGCCCGTGGCTGTCCTCTCCCGTGTCAGCTTCGATTCTCATTGATCGATAGCTCTCAGCACGGGCGATGCCCAAAGCATTCAGGGCCGTGTATCAACCATTCGCTGACTCGGCYCGACTCTGCTCTACGCAAAAGATCATCGACCCTGACATGGAGCTCGTTCAGGAACGTAGCCCCAATGCTAGAAGGCTGATGGAACAGGTAGTACGCCTGGTCTATAATAGTCGCTGCAGCAACCTTCTTCCTCGTGCTTCATCTCCCTCTCACATCCTCCCGTCGCTGTACTCCGTTCGACGTTGACATATCKCCCACCATGGAGCCTGTCCCTGCTCACTTGCCCCCTACCGTCCCATCGCAATTCCCCTTTCGTGCCCCGGCTCACTCTCAAGGCCCCACAAGCATGCGCCGCTCCAGCGATGCCATGCGAGCAGGATCTAACTCCGGTCCTCCACACGACATGAACAGCCCTCCCTTCTCAGCCGACGCCGTTACACTCAAGGGAGATCACAGCAGCGACTCGAACATTCTGAAAGGAGAAATTCCCGAGTACGCTGAGAGCAACCATCATCACAAACTTAAGAAGGTCACGTCGACTCTTCAGGGGCCGAGAAAATGGATGGGTCTGCAGCCTGCAGCGCCGGTAGCGGTCGATGAGGACCATGCTGCCCATGTTCACCTGGGTTGGTCCAAGACCAAGATTGTTTTCAAGGAGCCCTTCGCGGAGTTTTGGGGAACTTTCATCCTCGTCTTGTTTGGTAACAAATTTCACTCGTCACTTCTCTTCATTTGATCATACTGACTTTCTGCAGGAAATGCCGGTTTAGCGCAAGTCACTCTTGGTGCCAACAAGACTGGCGCGCCAGGTGGCYAGGGCTTTGGTGACTGGCAGAGTGTTAACTGGGCTTTCGGTATCGGACTCATGTTGGGAATTTACGTCGCCGGTGACAGTGGAGCGTATTTGAAGTGAGTCGGCTATCCTATCATCGCAACACGCCATTCCCAACTAACCACGACTTCTAGCCCTGCCGTGACCCTTGCCAGCTGTGTCCTCCGCAAGCTGCCATGGCGACGCATGCCAATGTACCTCCTCGCACAAACTCTCGGAGCCTTCGCGGCTGCTGGTGTTGTTTACGCAAACTACTACAGCATGATTCACGAGTACGACCCAGGTCTTACCGTCGCCCCATCCCCCACTGCCACTGCGGGAATCTTCGCAACCTACCCGGGTGAAGGAGTCAGCAAAGTCAACCAGTTTTTCGACCAGTTTATCGCCTCCGCATTGCTCGTCTTCGTCATCTTCGCGCTCAAGGATGACTCTAACAAGGGCAACTTCGTCGCAAGTGGAGCCTGGTTCCCGCTTGCTCTCTTCTTCTTGATGGTATGTTCTGCACAGTCCCGCACTGACATGATTGAATCTAACATGATGTGATAGTTCGGTATCGGATCTTGCTTCGGCATCCAGACCGGTTTCGCCATCAACTTCGCCCGTGACTTCGGTCCCCGTCTCATGACCTACGCTCTCGGCTATGGTCACGAAGTTTGGTCCGCAGGAGGGTATTACTTCTGGATTCCGATGGTCGCGCCCTTCATTGGGTGTCTGACCGGTGGTGTCCTCTACGACATCTTCATCTTCACTGGAGAGTCACCCATCAACACTCCCTGGTTCGGTCTTGCTAAGCTCTTCAACCCTAAGCGCACCATTGTCAACAGACTCGAGGCGCAGAAGGAGGATGGGCTTGTCTGATCTTGTTGAACAAATGCGAGTCGGGGAAGATGAATGTCAACACTACAAGAAGCAGTGTTGCAGGGAGATGCCAGAGAGGATGATAGGACTCTTGCCATTCTCATGTATCAGTAGCTCATTACTATCTAACGACCGATGTAATTACGAACAGTGCGACGAAATGATAAGACTACAGCTTTATGATCAAACTCATTCTTCGTTCGCCATTCACTTCCTCACACTCAATTCTGGCCTTGTTCTCAACCACGCAGCAGCTGCTGGTATGAAAGTCGTGTCGCTGTATAGCTCACCTTCTCCAATCAAGATCTTCCACGCGCTTTTCAAGCGACAGAGAGGGCAGCCTTGCGAATTTGCGAGCAAGAAACGCCACCGAAAATCCATTGAAGTGAACGGGGCAAAATTCCCTAGAAGCGCAGCACACGTGTGTTGCGACTACATTTCCATTTCCAATTGTATCTCTAGAGCGCCATTGCAATGCTTAGTATTCATGCATCCAACTCTCYGAAACCAACAATCTGGCTGCCACTCCTATCCAGACCAGAATGTACTTCACCTGCTCTGTCTGTCAATCCGGAGGAAGCATCACCAGCGCTAAGCACCAAATCATTTTCTCAATCTTGAAAGCCGTTGCCTCAAAATCCAATTCTCGTCACATTCCCTCCCACCGCCTCCAAACCGAGCTCAACAAACTTGCAATCGGTTCCATTCCCAGCCCAATTTCCTGCAGGGCCCAAAGTTAACAATTGCTGCGACAAACAAACCGCAAAACGACTCTGACTTCCACAAGTGAGCACGCCACTGCAGACAGAGCAAGTCGGGATTATCAGACTATCATCCGCATCGATATCTTCGTCTCTGTTGAGGAACAAGAAGGGATAGGCATCCTGCTTGTTTCTGGTTGTGATCGTTCTTCCAAATGTCACGTCAACGAGTTCGTTGTTGCGGTTGAGGGTGAAGATGTCGCCTGCTCGGGTGGCATTGGAGAATCCGAGTTCGGAGACGGTAGGGTCTCCAGGGGCAGGCACTTTGCCGGCAAAGATTTTCTTGGGGAGAAGGCCGGAGGAGGGAGAGGTAGATGTGGAGTTGTAGTAGAGGCGGAAGCGGGACGGGGTGGGAGTTGGGAGAATGGTTGTTACAGTGGTGAGGACAGTGGTGGTGCTGACGTGGGCTGTGATGTGAGGGACCTGGTGGAACATGTCAATCCCGTGTGGGCTTCGTTGAAGATGGGGCAGAGCATACCGTTGTTGTCATAGTGTCAGTCCTAGTCACCGTAGCGTAAGCAGTGGTGATGTTCGTGACGATTGTGGTTCCTCTGATGGTGGTAGTTCCAAGAATCTGAAAAGACGCGTCAGTATCCAGAATTTTAAGGTACAATACTTTCAGAGGACATACGGTATTCGTAGCAGAAGAGGTAGCGGTGTCAATAGCGAGCGTGATTGTGGTGGTACCAGTACTTCGGGCAGCGATCAGACAGCTGCACGCATCTCTGATTCCCTCTCGACCCCGTTCATCTCTGTATTCTGAGAGACAACTTGGTGCAGCAAGTGAAGAGGACGGCCCGGCCTGTCTTGCGACTATGCCAATAAGACTGGTAATGGGGCACGTGTACTGGGTTGCGGTGCTGCGAGATACTTGTAAGAAGCATGATGAGGACTTTGCACAGGGATCAAGCTCACATCGTATCCGTGATGGTGTTGGTCGCGACATGAGTTGTGCGAGTGCCATTCGTGGCAGTCACGATTTCCGTGGTGGTACTGCGCTTGTCAGCGATACATCTACGCATAAGGAATGTGAGTCTTATCACGTGGTAGTGTTGCGGTATGCCGTTCTACGATTCGCTCGTTAGCGCTGGTATCGATGTGAACAAGCTGGTCACTCACGAGAGCACGGTCCTGGAAATTGGGGGCGGYGTGTAAACGGTCTGAGCCGCTGAAGTGACGGTGAAGGACTCGGTTGTGGTTCTGTATACATCAATTCAGGCCAATCGGTTCCGGATATGTTCATATACGAACGCTGTGATGGACTCAGTCACCGTGGTGAGTGGCGGATATGCTCCACAAAGGGATTTGACATAAGCAGATCCTCCGGAGCGAATACAGGAGGCTCCAATGGTGGCGAAGCCTGGAGCGCCAGAAGGGCATTGGGAGATCGCCTCCTGCCTGACCGCAAGCAGTGGGTAAGGCGATGCCGAGACGAGCGAGAGCAGCGAGAAAAGCAGAGCGGATGTCACCGAGGCGGCCATGTCTGCGATCTGTTTTGAACGAATGAAGAAAGCGAGCTGATATCAAGATGCACAATTGGAACAGCAGAGGCTTGTAGGAGATATATATCAAAGCAGACTCTCGCCTACCGTGCCACTGGTAAATGAAGACTTTCTCGCAGGATGGTTTACATTGCCAGCTGTAGCTCAATAGACCCATCCTCATGCACACAACGTCTGAATAATCCTGTTCTGCGCCTTGACACTGGATCCGGTGGCCAGAACGCTACGAATCATCGACGTGGTCGTGGGTGACGAGAGGGACATCTTGCACCATAACGCCGAGGAGGCCACCACACCGAAGCGGTGGAAGTCCAACTTGTGGTTTGGAGGCTCAAAGCCGGTATACTGTTGAGAAAGCCCACAGAAGAGCGAAGTTGTACAGCGATGATTTCTTTATGCACCCCTGCAGGAGACACTTTTCAGGTTACGAGCATTGCGCCTCTCAGGGCAGGAAGAGGTGCAGAGGCTTGTTGGTGGTACCGTGTCTTGTGAGCTGCRATTCGAACAAAGAGCAACCTGAAACTGTGAAATGTTCGGAGCATCCCACTACTGCTGTATCTCTATCAGCCAGGAACGATGTATGGCAACGTACGGTCCTGCGTCGTTGATCAGCTAGAGGCGTCTCTTGACAGCAGAAGGCAAGAGAATATGACGCGATCTGGCCAGTCAAACCAGCTCTTTTGGCCCAAGGTTGGCACAGGCGTCTTTTGACGTGTAGCTCGTAAACACACACGACCCGATCATGATGTCGAGGTCTATTGTCTGGCCGTGAAAAATGTTCTGTGGGTTACAAATATCGATGATTGTTTCTCTGATGCTTCTCATCGGAGACTTCGACTTCGTTACTCTTCGCGGTGAGTGCAGATACCGCATTTCGTGCTGTTCGTTAAACCGGCAGCTCGTATTGCAGAGTTGCAGAGTTATTAGGTGAGATGTTTGTTCCAATGGTCCAGAGGAGGAAGGGATCTTGGCCGCGCTCCCGTTGATGTGGGGCCGCCGGCGCGGGTGCCGAGCCGTGGACAAATTTCCGCTCTTTCCTACATCATCGCGCAAAAACGACGTCCTCATCCCTGTCCAGAGCTACATGTCGATGAATAAAAAAGTTGAGTGACGCTCCGCAAATGTCCATCCTCCATTGATCCCAACAAGCCAGTGTTGCTTGAAGACCTTTGTCCCTTCACCGGATGCCGGGATTACATGCATGTTTCATCAGCATCAACCAGACCCCGGGTACCGCGTCCCTTCATCCGGGACTGGGATGTTACGACTAGAAATATCCCTGGCTGTAACACAGGCCACCAAAAGCCGTGAGAGGGCGCAGCGCTTGGTATGTTTCAACAAATCTCTTGGTCAGGCAATGGTAATGCTACACCAACATCTCTTACACCCAGTCTGTTGTTCGCATCGCACGCGCGGCCTTCATATGCAGCTATGAAGCTGCCGTGGACATTCTTCTTAGCTTCATCTCTATTGTTCAGACAAGCTGCTAGTCAGGATCCGTTGGGCGGCCTGTCAGGAAGTCATACTGACATTCCACGATGGTGTGGGAAACCTTACGAACTTGGGTAAGTCGTGCCATTACTCACAGTCCACGAAAACGCCTCTTCCAATTGGCCTTGTGTGTTGGGTGCTAATGCTGTCACAGGTCGCCAGCTTTTGACCCAGGTGGCAGACTACAACCTCCAGCTATGACAAAAGAACCTCTTCTCGATATCAGGATCACACCGCGCTACAACATATACGACAGCAATGAGGTCTCCGGGCAATTTGTCGTTGATGTGTCCACTTCATATGTCCGCGGCGAGGTCATGGTTGAATCTTGGAAAGATGACCTAGCGCGGTCTCAGCCCACGTCCTGGTCATTCGAAATCGTGACAGAAGACGCCAGCCTACCTCTGGCATCCGGAAACCTGTTCCTCAACACTACGGCCAAACTACTGCGTTTCAGCCTGAACAGACTGGAACCCCGATTGGAGCCTTACATCATTCAACTCAATCTGCAAGTTTCCAAGGAGTACGGTAGCAACCAGACCTATGCGGCGTCCACTGAGTTTTACTACCTTCCGGCCAAGAACAGCGGCAGCACTGTCAAGATTGACAACCTCTATGGTGGCATGCTTGTTGCCAATAATGCCACGCAGTATGCTTTCCGACCACTTCTGCCCTTTGGATTCTATGCTTCCTGCGATGGCTATCTCAAGGACAGTCCGTCAAACGTATCGGCTTACAAAGACCTCGGATTCAATGCACTCAACCCGGTCTGTGCGTACACTGACGGTGACCTCGACCCCCTCTTCGACACTCTGGATGCCGCAGATTTATGGTACCAATACGACATGCGCAATTCCTATCTGAATCTCTCTTCTGTTGAGGAACAGATACCTCGTGTCAAAGATCGGTCAAATCTGCTCAGTTGGTACACTGCAGACGAACCTGATGGTTGGCAATACAACCTCTCATCCACCAAGCGAGCCCACGACTTGCTCAAGAAAGCTGACCCGTATCATCCCACAAGTCTCGTGCTCAATTGTGACAACTACTACTTTGACGAATACAGCTCTGGCGCCGACTACGTGATGCAGGATGCCTATCCGGTGGGCATCAACACGACGTACAGCCGAAAGTTCAACACTACTGTCAATTCGACCTACGGGGACGCTGGCTGTGATAATTGCGAGGGTATGCTTCGGGATGTCAGCAATCGTTTAGACGTGTATACCCAATACTTGGACTGGTTGGGAGACCCGAGGAAGCCTCTTTGGTCCGTCCTCCAGGCATTCTCCGGGGACTTCTACTGGGAAAGGGAGCCCACACCGGCGGAAACTTGGGTCATGATTGTGTTGAGCTTGAGCCATCGAGCAAAGGGCGTCATGAGCTGGCTGTTTCCAAGCTCGCCCAATCTAAATGATGCTCATGGATCGCTTGCGAAAGCCGTTACTGCTCCGGGAGTTAGCAAGTATCTACTTGGAGGACAGCCGACCAGTGTGAACGTCACTAATCATCCTTTACTGGATGTCGCGTACTGGCAGATTGGCGGTCGCGCCCTGGTCGCAATGGCGAATCTGGACTATAGCCGAACGAGCAATCCCATCACGATCGAACTACCTTTTGCAGCAAAAGCTGTAGCTGGGCAGCCCTGGGGTTCACTTTCGTGGAGCCTGAGTGACGACAATAAATTGGGTACATATGGGCTTGATGGCCTGGCCACGAGTATTCTGATCCTCGACACTTGAAGTCATGGAAGCTCGTTCGAAACACTCACCATCACGTTCGCTTGTGCTTGGCCGTTCGCCACTCCATGCAGAGCGAGCTTGCGACAGTTAACGAATCCAAGACTACCAGGTCAGCGAGAGCGACATGTCGACTCCGAGCACGACCTTGTCTTGTTATTATTGTCGAAGCCATTCCTCAAATCCCCGAAGCCCATGCTTCCGATGCTAGCACATCAGTGCCAATATGAGCACTCAGACGGTCAACGAAGATTCTCTGCGCAACGACGACAAAGCCACTGGACCAAAACTCCGAGCGAACGGAATGATCGCAAGACCCGCCGTTGCGTCCGCGGCGAAAAGAGTCTTCCGCGCCGCTGTCTGCGCCGCTTGGAACCCAATACCGTCTGCGGACTCTGCGAAGCCCGAATCCACGATCAGACGTGCGATCTCGGTGTTGAATTTGAGGAAATTCATCATCAAACCCGTGCCGATCGGCATGGTGATCAATGCGAACAGCATCGATGGAGAATAGTGTCCTGTGATGCTCAATCCACCTTCGAGCACAAGCATAGCGACCAGGGCCCTGGGACTATTGGTAGCATGAGAGCAGCCGATTTGCCAACTGAAACACCCCTGACCGCTTGGAAGTAAGTAGGCATGGAGTCCCRCAGGGCAGTCAGTGGGAAGTTGATGTAAGGGGAGGGAAGGAGTCCCAGCAGTACGTTGCGGTTCGCCATGATTCTTGGGGGAATTGTTGCGGAGTCTTGTTTGATGGACTGATCGATGCAATGAGACCCCAAGTAGAATTGCAAAACGGCGAACAAGCTGGTGCTACGGCCGTCAATCCAGGGATTCTTTGTTGTGCAAATGGCACGCCTTGCGGGCAAGTAATCGTTGTTGAAGACATTGACACAAGGGTTAGCTGCTCGCTAACCAATTCATTTGCTTCCTCGCTTACAATCTACACCACGCCTGTGTATCCTCTAGTCTCTATAGAGCTCGCAACTCGCCGGGTGAAAAGGAATCTCCGCACACCCCATCACTCGCGGGGAACTCCGATGTCAACTACATCTTTTCCTGCCAGAGCATACAACAACGTGTATAGCCCCCCTGATAGAGCTTTCTCACTTCTTTATCATACCTCATCTTCTCCACATGCTTTGGCCCAATTTCCTCTGCATTCACCACCTTGAACCCGCGTCGTAGATACCATGGCCCATTCCAAGGAATTTCGACGTACGTCGTAAGGGACACTCGAGCTTCATCCTCTCCGTTCTCAAGTGCTCGCTCACGAGCCCATTGGAACACCGCCTTTAACAGCATACTCCCGATACCCTTGCCGTTGTATTCGCCGCGCACGGAAATCTCAGCAACGTACAGAGCTGTGTCCATCTGGTAGGCTGCTAGAAATCCAACCGGTATGCTGTCATGCTCGGCGAGGAATATCCGGCCCTTTTCGAATGTTTGTTGGATCTTTGTGGCCGCGTAGCTCTGCTCTCCTTCTGCCAGGGATTCGAAAATGGTGTCATGTTCGCCAAACTTCTTTTCAGCTGATCGTGAGACTTGGAGGATTCCTGGTGTATCTTCCKCAGTCGCTATGCGAATAGTATAGCCTTCCATTGTTGTTGGGCACGTTTTCCTGATTGTGTGAGTTGTAGAGACTACGCAAAGACATTTTCACGATAGCTCGTCTTGGAATCATTTAGCTCGACTTCTTTCAGATGAGTCCCGATAGGTCAATTCGTGGTCGCGGAAATCTGTAGGGCGGAATGTGATACGGGGATCTAACGTTGTAAATTGTTGTCACGGCGGGTCTGGTCTAATTCTGCCCGGAAGAAGACTGTGGATTGATTGATTTGTTTCCATCACGTTAACGAGTGGCTTACATGTATATAGGAGAGACTCGATACAGCATCATGCCATGCCATTGACTTGACCGATATCGGTGGCGGGGAAGCTTAATCGCTTCGGGCAACAGACGGCAACAGCACTGCACTTGGTTGCCGACATTGTGAGGTCCTTGAGGCTTTAAATACATACTTGTGCCTTCTGATAGCTCTGCTTGCTGGTGTTTGTGGGCTTGTATTTGCCTTGTTTATCTGTTCATCTTCCAGACTCCACGCCATCAAAAGATCTTCAAACGAGATAACATGTCGTTCAAGGGAACTCCTGCAAAAGGAGGGAAGATCTTGGTTCTACCTGGAGACCATGTTGGCCCAGAAGTCGTGGCTGAGGCTCTGAAGGTATTGGAGATTATCGAAGAGGCAACTGGTGTCAAGTTTGAAAAAGAATTCGATCTTTGTGGCGGTTGCTCGCTGGACAAGCATAAGGACTCCGTGACGGAAGAGGTACTACAGAAGTGCGAACAGGTAGATGCAGTCTTCTTTGGCAGTGCAGGAGGTCCAAAATGGGGGACAGCGGTGCCTAATCCAGAGTCCGGTAAGAAACTAGAGGACAGGGCCTACGAATTCATTCGAGTCTGTCTCTGTTGTGGTTCATTAGGTCAATGCTGATCCTTTCTTCTCTCCATTCCAGGTCTACTGAGAATCAGGAAGAGGATGCAGGTAAATTAATTGAGATTTCCGGAATAGAAGCACTCGTGACTTACGTTCTGACTAGGTCTTCGCCAATCTACGCCCTTGCAAGTTTGCCTCGAAGACGATGATCGATTGGTCTCCCATCAAGCGTGAGATTAWAGCGGGCGTCGACTTCATGCTGATCAGAGAGAACTGCGGTGGTGCTTACTATGGCGAGWAGATTGAAAGAGAAGATTACGGCTGCGACCCATGGGAGTACTCTCGCCCAGAGATTGAGCGTGTTGCACGCGTTGCTGGTGCTCTCGCAATGCAGCACGACCCTCCACTACCAGTGTGGAGCGCCGATAAAGCGAATGTCCTTGCAAACAGTCGAGTATGGCGCCGAGTGGTGACTGAAATCTTCGAGAAGGAATTTCCAAAGATCAAGCTACAACATCAGCTTGCCGACTCATTGGCAATGTTGCTCATCACGAAGCCCACCGCATTCAACGGTGTGATTGTAACAGACAACACCTTTGGTGACATTCTTTCTGACGAGAGCGGTGGCTTGACCGGTAGCCTTGGTCTCCTACCTTCTGCTTCGGTAGCGGGTGCGCCTGGAACGAGTCTGGGACAGAATAAAGCCGGAGGCGTGATCGGTCTCTACGAGCCGGTCCATGGTTCAGCTCCTGATATTTCAGGAAAGGGCCTCGCGAATCCGGTGGCCCAAATTTTGAGCCTGGCTATGATGCTGCGGCTGAGCTTCAACATGCATCGTGAGGCTGACATTGTGGAGGAAGCAGTCGCTAAAGTCCTGGATTCCAAGGCGGACGGTGGGTTGGAGATTCGCACCGGAGATCTCGGAGGCAGGGCAAACACGCGAGACATGAGCGAGGCCATCCAGGGCGAAGTTAGGCGTTTGCTCCGAGCGTAGTCGTGTAGCATGCTGTGAATGAGATGATACAACAACTGATTGTTCAGGCCCTTTTACATGTCTCGTACTATGTTGCAGGCTGATGATGGAGGAGGCCAGATGTTGATGGAAGCCGAATGCTGATCGTAGATTCATCCCTGTCGAGCTGGAACTCTAAAAAGACACGCTAGTTTACTCGACACTTCGGCTTCGGTCCAAGAATCGGACATCACAACACGCCTGAATTGACATCGCAAATGCCTCATCAACCTGTGTTTGCGGATCGCCCCCAAATGGCAGATTCTCCGTGCGAGGTCAACATGACATTGCAAATTCATGCTTTGAACGTGCAAAAGGGAGCAGCATGCGTGCGTCCGAGCCATGATTGTGAGGAAATCCCAATGGGAGTGTGTTCGGACGATTGATGATGATGCTCAACCTGGTCGGCAGCCATGACATGAATGAAGGTATTCCGTGCAAGGCTTGTGGAAGTCTCATGCTTTCCCTCGTCCGCTTTCTCTTTTACTCCCATATCACTTTTTCATCATTAAGATCACGGCACATTACTACCAGCAACCGCCCTGCCACCTCAGCGTCGAGTCCGAACATCCAGCAGGATACTGGTCATGGCAGTTTTTTCCGGTCTCCCGGCCACGGCCCAGATTCTCATCGGTCTGCTATTTGCCTACGCCTTGTACAGCATCACAGCATCGATAACACTATGGCGTCGACGACAAGCGATCAAAAGCGAAAGGGGCTGCCAGTCAGTGCCATGGGCTGCTAACCAAGTAGATCACATCTTTGGGATAGACCTTTTCCTCAAGACCGTCAAAGCTGTGAAGAACCACACTATGCTGGCAACAGTACAACAAGCGTTCCTTACCACGGATGTCAAAACTATGCAATTTGTTACGCTGGGTGTGCACATGTTTAGGACCATCGAGCCTGAGAACCTCAAGACCATCCAGGCCATCGATCATGCCAAATGGGGTCTTCCGGCGAACAGGAAGGCTGGTATGCTCAACATACACTATAGCTGATGCGTGCTGACACTCTGACAATTGCAGCTATTGCGCCGCTTTTCGGCAAAGGTAGATTGAGGCTTAATGCATGTCCATTACTCGGCCTCTGACTAGCATAGGCATCTTTACAAACGACGGTGCTGCTTGGCAGCATTCAAGAGACATGCTCCGCCCCAACTTCGTGCGGAGCCAAGTGGGAGATGTACTCACCTTCGAGAAGCACGTCTCGCCGCTCATCAAAACCATTCAAGAATCGCCCAGTGAGGATCTCTCTGAGCTATTCTTTCTCCTCAGCATGGACAGCGCGACAGTATGGTGTTTGATCCGCCCCCTTGAATTGCGACGAATGCTCACGTATGTTCAGGAGTTCCTATTCGGGCAGTCCACCGATTCGCTTTCGAAGAACTCGGAACAGCGCGCTGGCGGCTTTGGAGAAGCGTTTGATCAGGCACAGAAACTTGTTTCACATCACGCTCGATTTGGAAAGCTCACAAGACTGTTTCCAGCGGACAAACGCTTCAAGCAGAGCGTTGGGATCATCAACGACTTTGTTGACAAGTTCGTGATCAAGGCTCTTGATGCAAAATCCCAATCTGACAGCGAAAAACCTGCAAGTGAGAATGGTCGATATGTCTTCATCGATGAGCTTGTCCGACAGACGAACGATCCGGTCGTCATCAGAAGCGAGCTCCTTAACGTTCTACTTGCTGGCCGTGACACGACCGCATCACTCCTAACTAACGTCTTCTTCACCATCTCCCAGCGACCTGAAATTTGGCAGAGACTTCAAGCAGATGTTCAGCAGCTCAACGGCGCACTGCCAACATTCGAACAGCTCAAAGATCTGAAGTACGTCAAGGCTGTGCTCAATGAGTCGCTTCGATGCCATCCAATCGTGCCCATCAACTCCCGTCAAGCTCTCGAGGACACCATTCTTCCACTCGGTGGCGGACCCGATGGGAAATCGCCATTCTTCGCTAAGAAGGGCTCGATCGTATCGTGGAATCTGTATGTCATGCATCGACGAAAGGATCTTTATGGCGAAGATGCGGAAGAGTTCAAACCAGAACGCTGGCTAGACAACGCAGAAACTGGACAGAAGGGCATTCGGCCTACCTGGGAGTACTTGGTGGGTTTTCATGCGGAAGCTCTCCTGTCACTTCACAGGATAAGCAGATGCGCTGCTTTCCGTTCAATTCGCTGACACGKTCTTGACAGCCCTTTAATGGAGGAGCACGCATATGCATCGGACAGCAATTTGGTTTGGCAGAGGCTTCGTACACCGTCGTACGACTGTGCCAGGCGTTTAGCGGCATCAAATGCAACGCTCCAGGACCTTGGATAGAGAACGTCAACCTGACTTGTATGAACCTGAGTGGAGCAAAGGTCACATTGACGCCCCGCGCGATTTGATCTCTGGGTGTCTGGCGATTTCACAAAGACCTGWATCCTTGTATCTAGGTCAACCTTTGGAACTGATGGATACAATCAATCAGCACCTCTGCCGTGCCATTGGATCTCTACTTGCACGTTTTTACAAAGGCTCGAGTGTTCTACAACTTCGCTCGCGACGTCTGCGGTGCGGGTGCCTTGACCTCGACCAACAGTTTGCCTACACTTGTCAGCAAATTTTTCCGGCGTTTCGAACGGAGTTGACTCACCAGTGTTGGCACCCTCGTACAACGCCTTTAAGGCTTCCGGCATCTTGGTGATGCCACCCTTAATGACAGTTTCCAGACGCTTGATCTTGCCTTCGGCCAGCCACTGTGCAAGCTCTCTTATCGCTTGCGGGTATTGCTTCTCGTAGTCGAATACAATGAATCCTTCCATTCTGATTCTCATGCTCACAATCATGAGGTAGTTCTTGGGTCCCTGTCGAGTCGTTAGTACGACGGTCTCAAAAAAGAGATTTCAATCCCTTACCTGTGCGTTCTTGGTGTTGTATCTAAGCAACAGAAGTCAGCAGGCAAGAATGAAGAATAGAGCGTGAAGAATACTCACTGAGAAATACCGCCGCACATCACGAATCTATCATCCAGAGGTCAGCCAAGCCCGCCTAGAGACAACACCACGAACATACCTGGAATGTTCCTTCGCCCTTGAAAGAGCGAGATCCAAGACCTCTCCTCCGACATTGTCGAAGAAGACATCAATGAGTTGCTTCGTAGCTGCTCGGAACTTCTTGGCGAAGTCCTTGTCCTTGTAGTTCAAAGCATTGTCAAACCCGAGCTCCTCAACGAGCCACTTGCACTTGTCATCGCTACCTGCAATGCCAACAACAGTCGCTCCCTTGAGTTTCGCGATTTGACCGACGACGCTACCCGTGGCACCAGCAGCTCCTGAAACTACCACGAAGTCGCCCGCCTTAACTTTGCCGACATCGATGATGCCAAAGTAGGCCTGAATCCGTATCAGCAGCGAAGATTTTGGGGGCAATCTTCAATACTTACCGTCAGACCAGTCATCCCAAGTACGCCGAGCGAGTCTGTCAATGTTCCGTTCGAAGGAAGGTCCAGCTTCTCCACCAAATTGTCCTTCAAAACAGCCACTTCGCTCCATCCACTTCGAACAAGTCGTTAGCCACACGCCTTGGTCTTCCATGATTCGCATCGACCTACGACATAGCAGAAACAGTTTCTCCCTTCTTGAATTTGGAGCTCTTACTCGCAACAATAGTCCCCACGCCATTGCCTCGCATAACAGCACCAATCTTAACCGGAGGAATGTAAGATCTTGTGTCATTCAGCCATCCCCGCATAGCAGGATCCAATGAAAGGTAATTTGACTGGAATATGACTTCTCCATTCTGCAGTTCATGTTCCGAAGGCAGTTTATGCTCTTTGACCTCAAAGGTGTCTTGCTCAATGTGGTCCCGAGGCCGGTTGGCGAGATGAACTGATTTGTAAGACATGGTTCTGGGAACTAAATGTTCTATATTCTGGGGAAAGATGCACGTGGGCATGAAGGTGGGGACGAAGATGATGTTATATGGTGAGATCTCTATACGGGCGTAGTCGATCTTGCAAACGCCGGAGCTAGGAGGTACTTCCTATTCGGTATCTGCAGGCGTATAATAAAGATTGAAGGTGGAACCTCGCATCGCTTGCTCATCATTTGTTGGTACATATCCCTGGATACCAGCGAGATCTTCTGTTTGTGATTCCTACACAAAACTGGTCATTTGACCCGAGCTTTGGTTGATAGATATTGAATAAACAGCCCTCTAACATAGATCTATCCAGCGGGAGATCGGGCGTAAGCTGTCTAGCGAGTCGTCGCAAAGCTATATTGTTCATCACGCTATGCCTCAACACCCGCGGAATACGCCAGCGATTTGGAAATTGCCAACAGTATATGGTCGGCTGACCGCAACATCGAAAGTCGATCGTCAGCATCCAGCAACGACGATTCCCACTACCCCAACCCTAACCCTATGAGCACATCACACGCTTGACTCGAGTACCACAACTGTCCGACAATGTTGCATCTTCGAAACTTGTTCCATTGATAATAAGCAAATCGCTACGCTAACGTAAACATTTCTCATTTCCATCGACCTCGCCGCCCAAATGGAAGCTCGTCTGATAGTGGTGCCATCAGGGATGGCCAGGCCGATCGTATTTCAGCAGCTTCTGCACACGTACCATCCCATGGGATACTGCTGTACTCTCAAACAAAGGCCTTGGAGTATGCCTTTCGCTCCTTCAACTTGCGCTCAGCCGCAGCCTTCTTCACCGCGGCGAGCTCGTTCTTGACTCCAGCGTCGTTTGGCACAAGCTTAGCCGCCTCCTCCAGACACTGCAACGCACCCTCCTCATCCTTCGATCCCTTCAAAGCTGCGCCCTTACGGAACAACGCCTTGCCCTTGTCCGCGTCCGAGATGCCCTCCACAACAATCGCCTTCTCCGCCGATTGATACGACGCCTCGAAGCGGTTCAATTTGAACTGCAGTAACGAGCTGTTGGAGTGGAGCGAGAACTTGAGCTTGGAAAGCTGTGCTCCCAACTCCGGTGGATCGTTGTCCAGTGGCACAGGGTACTCGTGGAGATAACGCAGGGCTTTCTGGTACTTGCTCAGTCCAAGCTCAATGTCACCTCCCTTGAACGCTGTGTTTCCCATTGTCTTCAAATCCTCCACGATTGCCACGATCTCGGTCCCCTTCCACTCCGCGTCCTGTGACTTTTGGTCTTCGGGAAAGTCCTCGTACGCATCGCCCGTAGCGTCTGGCTGCTTCTTAGTGAACTCTGCAAGGTCTTCAGTTGCCGGCAAGACACCACAGTCTTCGATGACAACGTCCTTGTCTGGTTTGTCGTCGGTGACCGGCGTGTTCTCAACCTGCCGAATGATGCTCTTGCCAGAAACCACCTCTCCAAACACCACGTGTTTGCCGTCCAAGTGTGGTGTTGCTACTGTGGTGACGAAAAACTGGCTACCGTTGGTGGCAGGCCCAGCGTTCGCCATTGACAGGAGGAATGGCTTCTCATGCTTGATCTGAAAGTTCTCGTCCTCAAACTTCTCGCCATAGATGCTCTCTCCGCCGGTGCCGTTGTGTGCAGTGAAGTCTCCTCCCTGGATCATGAAGCCCTTGATGACGCGATGAAAGGTGGATTCCTTGTAATGTAGAGGCTTGCCGGACTTGCCCTTGCCCTCTTCGCCAGTGCATAGAGCGCGGAAGTTCTTTGCGGTCTTAGGTACGATATCATCGTACAGCTCGAAAACGACCTTGCCCAACGCATCGCCGCCAATGGAGATTTCGAACCAGACACGACTGCGATTTGAGGAGGCCATGGTGATGTGTGTCGGAATTGGGTGTGGTAAGAAATTAGTCGTGAGAGATTCTCTACGAGAGCAGTGAAGTAACGAAACAGAGAGCTCTTCTATTTGCTCCATTGGATCTTTCTAGAAGCTTTGCGTAACTTCAGGGCAAACTTTGCCCCACCAACGGCGATCAACTCCAAATACATGGGTTGTGCATGTGAAATGTACACATTGATCCATTTATATGTGGGACCATCATCACCACAAGGGTATATTCACATGTGCACTGGCTCGACTTTGGGAGGAGTACGGTCAACAMTCTTTGCAATGCTAAAGTATAATCAACATCAAAATCAGGATCATGCTACTTCCCTGCAACTGTCAGGATAAGCTATAGAATATACCACTGCCTTCTATGCATACGCCTCTCCACCCAATGAACTCAGGAATCCATCTCGTAGGTTGAGTGCAACTGCCATCATCTTGCCAGGTGAAATCAGGGTCGAGTTCCGGTCAGCCCGCGGTAGGGTCTTGATCTTCCTCCGCGATCAGTGATGCTCCTCCTTGGGTGCCTGAGAGTGCGACGCTTCTGCGTGGGTATCGTGCTGGTCAATCGCTTTGACCTTGGGCAAGTTCCCCATACCGWGATTCACATCGTTGTGATGAGGGTGTTGCGGATCGGCCTGTTCCATGTTAGTCAACACGCCGAGAGCTGATGTCGAGCATTGCCTTCTGACCTTAAGGGGGTCGTTCGAATAATGCACAGGCGCCTGATGATTTTCAGTGAGGGCAGAAACTCCGCTCGGCTCTGGCTTGCTGGCGACGTGAGGTTCACCTGCACCTTCACCTTCGCCGTCCGTCATTCTTTTGAACGTGTCCCAACTGGTAACAGCGCCAAGTGCACGTTTCATGTGYGCGTTCACAATCTGAAGTCCGTAGACGTAAGAAGCGTTGACCCATCCGAAGCTATGACATGATGTTAGCGAGATACTTGTAGGTAGCAGAATAAAGGAATGCTCACCCTTCCGTTGCAACGCCCTTGAAGTCGCTGCCTTGATTACCATACTCGGCAGTCACCTTGTGGGGATCGACCTGCCGCGTCACATCGTACTTCTCCACTACGACACCATTGAAGTCGACAAATGCCTTGGTGACCATGTACACCCATCGGTAGGCCAGCCTCTGTGCTTCTTCTTCGAACCCATAACGGAGCATACCAGTCCAGGCGAGGATCTGTTGCGGAGCCCAACCGAATGGGTAGTCCCATTGGCGATTTGGACGGGACAGACCGACAGCTCCTCGGCTCTTTTCAGTGCCGCTGACCAGGCCGCCATGAACTTCGAATAGTGGGAGAGCATATGTCATCATATTCTGTGCCTGTTGAGGCGTCGCAACGCCAGCCCACATGGCCCAGAAAGTGGTAGCGCTTTCGTATCCAGTCTGCTCCTCCTTGCGGGTATTGTAGTCGACAAACATGTTCTTTTCCTTACTCCACATGAGCTTTTCCATGGTCTGGCGGCGCTTCTTGGCGCGTCGATCCCATGTCGAAGAAACCTCAAAGTCCGCCTTACCCTTCACGCGCCATTCCTTTGGAACATCGAGGTGATCTCCGAAGAACGCGCGGATTATGCGCGCAATATCGGCTTCGTATTTGTACAGCAGAGAGTTCAGATCAACCGTAGCGAGATCGGCACTAACCTTCTCCAAACGATACGATGTGTCGTGACCGGATTCGCGGACGGAACGGTCGTGCTTGAAGTACTCGTCCAGCTCTGGTTCGAAGACATGGCCAAAGTTGTACGCGTGCACAAATTCTTCGAACGACATGCCGTGCTTCTTGGCGTATGGCGTGAGAACGTTCAAGAAGTGCGTTGCCTCCGTCTCAGGCGGTACACCAATACCACCTGGAACATAGCGAGACAGACCAGACTTTTCGTGGAGTCTTGGCAACGACGTCCATGTGCCGTAATAGTCCTTGATGGCGGCAAGGGTGGCTTCGCGGAGGAACTCAAGGCTCCCAGGTTTGTGCTTGATGCGATCGTAGACTMGGAGAGCCATGTCGGTCAGGAAGGGCGGTTGTGATCGACGGAGATAGTAGGTGCGGTTGGCGTTCAGGATTTTGCCATAGTGACGAATGCAGAAGCAGAAGTGCTTGACCATGGACTCGCAAATGTCTGGCTTGTCATTGATGAGGAGACCTAGGGTCTCCATGTAGCTGTCCCATCCGTAGAGTTCGTTGAAGCGGCCACCGGGCACGACAAAAGGCAGTCCACGGAAATCTGGCTCGCCGCTCGGAGTGTCTGCAATCCGTTCCATGGCGATAGCAAGCAGGCCAGGCGCATTGTTGAGATCGCGCACATACTCGTCATCGTCTTCACCGCCTTCCTTCAGCCACAGCACCTCTAGTCTCATATCTGGATGTTCCCGGGCAATTCGAGTGTAGTATGCATGCTGTTCCGGAGCGCCGCGAGGAACATAGATTCGCGGTCTTGGATCTGCGGTCCAGTCTTTAGTATCCAGACCCACCTTCTGAATGTTGGTGCCATCGATGCGCCTGGTAAGATTTCCCCAGAACGAGTCCTTGATGAGACGAGCCAATCTGTTGACTGGGTTCTCATTCAACCGAGCTTCGTCGAGCACAATCTGCTTCCTGCCATAGCTCTTTGCAAGCGTGAGCTCCTGCAGCAAGTTGCTGAGCATGTATGTGCCGCGCACGTCGATGCGCCGATATCCGTCGGAGGCAGCTGTCCCTAGCTCCAAAAACTTTGGGCCTGTGTCTTCGATCGTGATCTGAACGTTGCCATCCGTGTCCTCTCGCTCCAGAAGTTGTTTGGTTGTGTCGTCAACGTTAATGAGGAAGCGGCGTGGGGCATTACCCTGAGCATCTGTATACATCGTTAGCCCATGACATGAGATCGAGTTCCAACGAGGCTCACCATGGCYGGTCCGCCTGCCTTGATGAGGCTTGTATTCTGCGTTCACGCGGTCTCTAGCTGTTGAATCGATCTATAGCTTTGTCAGTACAAGACCATGTAGTCAAGGAACCGACGGAACCCACAGCAGAGAGAGTGCGGCTTTTGGCAACCTTTCTAGGGCCGTGGCTTCTGCCATAGTAATCACTGGGTGCCGCGTATGGATCAGTGTCAAGCGAGAGCTTGTCGGCACCATTGGCGTGCTCCCCGGCAGTGTTGTGGCCGTGGTCGTCCGCAAAGTGGGCGTGTTGGATGCGATGAGTCGGTAAGCTGGATTGCTGCGTGGTCATGCTCTGCTGGGATGATGAGCGTGGTGCGGGGGATGCGGCAACGTTTGATCGGTTGGCGAGTAGCAGGAAGTTCAGGTGTTCGTATATATTATRATCAAGAGCAGCTTCTGCTCGATCACGACAACACCAACAATGCAATTGGCGGCGGCTCTCCGGTCTCGGACTCCGGGGAGTTACGTCGCTGCAGATGAAGCTGGAAGAGATTGGAATTCGGCAGACTGCAGGCAATGCGGCGACTGGGATGCCAAGCAAAAGTCTGCGCAGGGTGAACAATGAATCGGGGAGTTGCTTCTTTGCGCCGCCCGACCGAGTCGTGTAAAGAGTTGTCCTGGAGGGGTGGAGTGGATACGCGGGATGGGCTGTGAGGTCTGTCGATGCTGTTGTGATGTCGGTCTGCAGTGGTTCTCCCTTTCAAAAGGAAGGCGACCTGTCCATCAGAAGACACTTCAGTGGCAGGTGCACCGCTGCAAAGGAAACCGCGCTGGCCATCTCTTTGTCCGGAGGCTCGATCATGCYCCCACGGCCAGTGACTTGGACAGAGACAGGACAATCATCAAGGCGCGTGCCTACGCATGTGTACTCCACAACACATGGCGATTCCCGTGTCACCCACCCTTTACCATCTACCATGACTCGACCGCCAACCCGATAAGCGGGACAACCCCACGGAAATATCCCTCGAACCATCAGGTGTTGACTGTAGACCTTCTATACCCGACGCTTGCAACATGTTCTGTGCTGCGATAGTCGTGGAAAGCAGCAGAGACCACGATTGCGTGAGGGTATCTGTCGCTGGCACAAAGACTTAARGTGCGTTGATCGGAGTGAGCGAGGAGAACTGAAGAGAACCGTATGAGGAGGCCACAACGCACCAGAGACAGACGCTTCTCCAGCGATCTTGATCGAATTGTTTCGAGACATACTGCCTCTGTGGCACGCCGCCCCGGTGAGTACATCTACACCTGCTACATAAAACCGATACGAAAACATCAACTTCATCTATCGCATTCCAATGCCCATCCCGCTAGTAAATCGGAAGACTAAGATGCACTTCAGCAGAAAGTTGTTCCCAAGAATGGCTGAAGCATCGTTTACTTTTTCAGCGCGTCTCCTGTCCCAAAGATCTCCTAACCTGCAATCAGCAACAACGTCTAGAATCATCACAGCCATAACGGCACTTACCATCTTGACACGGCTTGCCTCTATGCTCCTCGCCTGCAGTCCTCGCCAGACCTCGGCCATGAATGCGTCCGGACCGCAAATGAAGTACTTCGCCGTGGAATCATGCAGATGCAAATCCGATTCGCCATCCAGCTTATCAAGATTCAAGCGTCCAGAGTGGTCATGATGCTTTCCCTCAACATGCTGTCCAGCTACGGGATTKTTGATGAAGATGACATTGTGAACATTATGGCAACGGTCGGCTAGCTTTCGAAGGTGCTGCCCAAAAGCCTGCACCGAAGTGCTCCGCGCTCCATGAATGAAAGAGATAGGCTGCTCCGATCCGCGCTGCACCAAGGTATTCAGAATCGAAATCATAGGCGTGATGCCAATCCCCGCAGAAAGCAATACGATAGGGCAGTCCAAGTCCTTTACAGGATCCCAGAAGAATTCTCCCGCGGGATGAGAGACTTGAACAACATCGCCGACCTTCTTCTCGGAATGCAAAATGTTGGAGATCCATCCGGGATGCGCTGGAGTATCCGGGTTGTTGGCATCTAGACCAGAATCCTTTTTGACGCTGATTCGATAGCAGCTTTGTCGATGTGCATCCGAGAGGGAATACTGCCGTGATTGCTGGTGCTGGAAATGAGGCACATCCAGCTGTACAGATATGAACTGCCCGGCCAGGTATTCCGGGAGATTCTGGTCATCTACTGGACGGAGATAAAAGGAGGAAATTTCATCGCTCTCGGGGACGATTCGAATGATGATGAAGTCTTTCCATGCAGTCCATCTGAGGGGTTCAGCATAAGCCAACGCCTCCTTTTCTATCATTATGTTCGCAAGCTGCCAGTACGCTACCTTCCAGGCATCGAGAGTCGTGGGAGTCAAAGCTGCTCCGAGTACATCTCCCATTGCTCGAAGGAGACCTTCGCCTACAATTACATAGTGCTCCGGCTGGATGTAAAGCGAGATGTGTTTCTGGCAAATTTTCTCGACAGTCGGACTGAGAACACCCAGGTCATCGATATGTAAGGCGTAAGCGTACAGTGCACCAGCGAGAGCCTGTGCCTGGTGATTGTTCTCTTGATTGGTGTGGTTGAAGATGTTGTGCAGGGCTGGGTGCTCCTCAAGAACGGTCTTGTAGAACCGAGTGGTGATGTCTTGACCGTGCTTCTGTAGGACTGGGACGGTTGCTTTGATGAGCTGTACTTGATCTATTGAGAGGGCCATGGTTCCGATATGTTCAATCAAAGAGGGGCTGGCGGAAAGCCGTATTTATAGCAGCATGCGAGCAGAATACCTAACAGCCGGCCATCAACACCGAGGAGATAGTGCATCCAAACTTCATGTCGTGTAACTAATGTAGTCATCATCTGTAACCTAACGCATACAGTAAGCCAAGCAGCAGATGATTATGCTGGATACCTGCATCTCCGCGGCAGCATAGTGGTGTCATCCGATGTGCGGAACGACGTTGACCAGTTTTGGTTGGGAGTGGTGGGGATGGAGGCTTTCTAGGGTGAAAGATGTGAATCTTTCTCATGTCCACTTGTGAGTGTTCACGCCTACTGTCCAGGTGATCATATCCAGTACCGGCTGCTGGGAGGGAAGGCATTCAGCAGATCATATATATATATATATGTATGTACATGTTTGTGTGTGTAATGTAGGTGTGTACATGGAGTTGTGGAAGAAGAAGTCGGGAAGTTCCGACCCGAACGCGAAAGCTTCCATCTTCCGTTCGCGAATTGAAGTCAACTTTTTGAAGGCGTCGGACACTTCCACTTTCCAGCAACATCACCGTCGCAACATGCCTCTCGACAGCTCGTCCTACGCATTGGCGCATTTGCGCGTAGATGGCCGGCGCTGGAACGAGCTGCGACGCATCCATGGGCAAATGTCAACTCAGGCCGCCGCCGATGGTAGCAGCTACTTCGAAATGGGAAACACAAAAGTGATGTGCACCGTTCACGGACCGCGGCAACAGACCAAAGGCGGCGGGGGCGGACAGAGTAAAGAGGCGACTATTGAGGTTGAGATTGGCATCGCAGGCTTCAGTGGCATGGATCGAAAGAAGAGATCGCGGATGGACAAGTGAGTGGGAGCAAGAAAGATGCACGGCCATGGTCATTGCTGCGCACATCGTGCTAATGCCGATGCAGGCGAACACAGGAGATGCAATTCAGCATTTCGTCTGCCTTTGCGGACACCGTCTTCACGTCATTCTATCCGCAATCAACAATCACTGTTGTGCTTCATGTGTTGTCACAGGACGGCGCTCTGCTGGCTGCTTGTTTGAATGCTGCGACTTTAGCCCTTGTGGACGCTGGAGTGCCGATGAAAGACTACATTGCTTCATGTACCACCGGATCTACAGCATCATATGCATCGAACGATGAGGAGGCCGACCCGTTGCTGGACCTCAATGGTACGGAGGAGCTCGAGCTGCCGTTCCTCACTGTTGGAACGAGTGGTGGAGAGGACAAGGTCAACGTGCTGATCATGGAGACCCGCGTGCAAATGAACAGACTGGAGTCAATGATCTCTGTAGGCCTGGACGGTTGTAAGCAGGTCCGGTCGATGCTGGATAGCGTGGTAAGAGAGCACGGCAAAAAGTTGTTGAAAACCAAGTGAGTGCGCGGGACGAACCATGATGTGGACAGCGAACGTCCTTCCCGATTGCAGCGGGTATCCTCGAACAAGGCACTATGAATATGTTCTGGCGTAGCATCCATGCACGACCTTTCAAGGACTGCCAAAAGACGTTGTACGCGGAACACAATACCAGCACTGCTGAGTCTGCTGAGCCCACAGCACAGTGGAACCGATGACAGGCGAAAGCGTTCTCTGGGGTTGCATTGACAGCCTGTGATGCTAAGACCATGAGGTCGCAAATCGCAATACCTTACATCGGAATCAATCAGCTCTAGGGTATGTCTACCACAGTTTTGATGGAATGAAATCGGGTCAAAGTCGAGAAAACTTGGAACGTGGTTCACACCCAAATCTGGTGATGTKGACGGCATGTTCATCACCAGATATGCAAACCTTTAGCTAGCCTCTGACGACCAGACGTTACGACCGGCAAGAGAGCAACACACTCTCAACAATTCTCACCAGTAATGATAATTATACTCGTTTGACGCGACTCCCAGTTTGCCGGTATATCAATCGCGAATGGTGAGGTCTCTCTCACGAAGCTATTCCACAAACAATACACCTGGGCAGACACACAAACCCCTCACAATACCCCGAGCTATGTACGTGGGTCTCTGATGCTTACTGGCTGCACATTTGCTACCTCCTACCGTATGAAGCGTAAGGTAAGCTTCGAGCCAAGAAAGTCCAGGCTGCATGAACTAAAGATCCCAGCCACGTGCGGAGATCTCGAAGGGCTCATGACTGTACCTGTGCTGCATACACTCTGTGCTTACTCAACAATGAGCCCGCGCATATATATGGCGCAAATTAACAGCAGTGCACGAACAAACCCTTGCTCGCCGAATAGCGCCTGCCTAGCGAGCTACACGAGTCAATTACAAGCCTCATGTCGACAGCGACCCCAGGCGGCGGGGCAGATGCGACTCTCGTCGCATCACTGGCCGACGATGCCACCGCCGTAATTGCTTCGAGGGATTCAGCGGAGTTTCTGCCCAGACTGCCGCCATCTACGCATACCCCGTCTTGGAATGAGCTCAAGTCTGATGAGGATGTGGCCGAAGGAGAGGTCCCTCCAAAGATTCTGGTCGATGCTCAAGGACGCACACTGAACCCGCGATCTTGTGTCACTTGCCGTAAGAGGAAGGTCAAGTGTGATAAACTGTATGAATATCCTGCGATGTGCGTCTGAAACGTGCACTGAGTATACCCTACTTCTAGACATCCGTGCAGCAACTGCAGTCGAGCTCATATTGAGTGTGTATTCCCGGCGCCAGGCCGGGCGCCGAGAAAGTCGAAGAAGGCAGGCGAGGGAAGAGACAAAGAATTGCTAGCGCGTCTGAGGAGGCTCGAGGGTGTTGTGAAGGGGCTGGGCGTGGAAGTCGACAACGATGCTTCGCGGAAAGAGAGTGAGAAAGGAAATGAAGGGGACAACACAGGGACATCAAAGATCCCAAATGGGCAGAATCTACCTGTGGAGACACGCAGCCCCTCCCTGGACGATTGTCAAATCAATGCAGCTGCAGCTGCACATTCGAACCCTGGAGTAGACGATGATTTTGCAGCCAAGACCCAGTGGGTGGAATCACAACAGCACGGGAGATTTGAGCATCGCTTCGGGAGGCTGGTCGTCAACGAGGGCAAGTCTCGCTACATTAACAATTCTTTCTGGGCAAACTTATCCAACGAGGTGGAAGATMTCAAAGGAATCCTCAATCAATCGAGTGATGAAGATGATGATGCATCTCCAGGGTCTCAATCACAAAAACCGAGCGCACACCATGGGTTCATCTTCGGTTTCAGCTCTCAGAGCGTTGACATCCTGAGCCTGCATCCTCTACCCAGCCAAATTGGGGAGTACTGGAACGTGTACAAAGACAGAGTTGATCCATTACTCAAAGTTCTGCATCTTCCAACCCTCGAGTGTACCGTCCTCAGTGCGGCATCACATCTACCGAATCTGTCCAGAGGCTTTGAATGTCTTCTTTTCGCCATTTACTACGGAGCTGCGACTTCGCTGAATAGTCGTGAATGTATGGTCAAGCTCGGAGAAGAGAAGAGCGTCCTCCTTGCCCGATACCGCTTTGCAGTGGAACAGGCCCTCGCTCGTGCAAACTTCCTAACCACGGAAGAGCTCGTCGTGCTCCAAGCCTTTGTCATATTCCTGACCTGTCTCCGACGGAATAACGATGCTCGCGTCATATGGACATTAACTGGACTGGTTGTCAGAATAGCGCAGACGATTGGCATCCATCGAGATGGTTCACACTTTGACCTAGCTCCGTTTGAGATTGAGATGCGCCGCAGACTGTGGTGGCAGGTATGTACTTTGGATACTCGAGCGAGCGAAGATCACGGCTGTGACCCTACCATCATCGAACAGTCTTTCGACACGAAGTTGCCCCTGAACGCCAATGACGCCGATTGGACTCCAGGAATGAAAAGCTTTCCGCCGGAGCGAATCGGTGGTACAGACATGTCCTTTTGTCTGCTCAGATATGATGTAGCCAACACTTTCCGAAGGTTGAATTACATTCCTCCAGGGCCGCCAAAGCAATGCAGCCAATATCTTCAATCCATCACACTGCAGGACAAGGAGAGGTGGATCACAGGATGCCATCAGCGTCTCGAAGACAACTTCTTGAAGCATTGCGATATGAGTGTTCCGTTGTTCTGGGTCACGGCGACTGTAGCCCGGCTTATGATGAGCAAAATGTGGCTCATAGTCTATCATCCATTCCAGAGGCAAGACGGCGGTGCTACACTGTCAGAAGAAGTCAAGCACAAGCTCTTCATCACAAGTCTGGAAAACATGGAGTACAGCAACCTGCTGGAGACAGAAGAAAGGACGAAGCACTGGGGCTGGTTGTTCAAGACATACATTCAATGGCACGCACTTGCCTTTACGCTCTCCGAGCTATGCCACCGGACAACAGGTGACTTGGCAAATCGTGCCTGGGTAGCCGTTGAACAAACCTGCAATGGCCGATTGACGGGTAATGCCCCAGAAGACTCCAATACAGGTCACCTATGGCGACCGTTGAAGAAATTGTACCGCAAGGCAAAGGCCGCACGGAATCGTGCTCTCCGGCCAGAGGCACAGATGGACGACAGCACGCCTTTCAGCTCATCCAGGTCCACGTACCACCCAAATGAAAATCCCATGTTCGACCACTCAAGCAGACCTGCGATGACACGCGCACCTCTCAGCTCCGCGCAAACGGATCGCTTCTCGAATGGCCCGACATTTGGTCAGACGCCCGGCGACGCACACAAGCTTTTGCGATCGCCCCGGCCTTCTCAAGCTGGGATAGACGATCTTACCGCTGCGAATGACTTTAGCGCAGACAATCTGCAGTCATCCCTTCCACAGGACTTTGTGTCCACCAGCATGGAGTTTTCAATGACACCAACCGGAACGACCCTAATTTCTCCTCACGTACCACAACAGAGCGCGCCATTCAACCCGAGCTACATAAGCGGAGCAGGTGACGTTGATTTCTCCGACATTCAGATGGACCTTACAAACACCTCGGCAGCCGATCAGATGCTTCAAACCAGTCCCTTTGATATTAATGATAATGACTTTTCCAACATGGACACTTCAGGCGACGTCGACTGGGAGAACTGGGACCAGCTCGTTCGCCAATTTGGGGAAGACGCGGATGGTGCTGCACGGAATCCTGCGAGCGTTGCGACGACGACAGGTCAGTACTGGGCAGGTCCGCAGTGGGGCACTTCAGCAGACTCGAGCTCGAGACCGGGAATGGGCATGGACGGAGACTGGTTTTGAGATCCGCCTGCGCAAGAGGATAGTCCCGCGGGATCAATCATACGGATGGAATAGTAGGACGACAGACATCAAGGCATTTTGATACAGATGTGAAGCGAAGTAAGTTGATTATAGAGACATATACATAGCCAGCGACCAACCCAACTCTGCTGTTCATTTCTTCTCGCCTGAGCTATCAGAAGTTGTTCCTTGACGCCGACCGACCAACTGCAGAGCAGTCTAGCCTGACGAGTCTTGTGCGGACGATTCATCATATTTGCTCATAGCCAGCTCCCAACCCAACTCTGCCGTTCACAACTTCTCGCCTGAGCTATCAGAAAGTGTTCCTTGACGCCGACCGACCGACCGCAAAGCAGTCCAGCCTGACGAGTCTTGTGCGGACGCTTCATCATATTTGCTCGCCTCCTGGTCGCTGAGATCATGTTTTTGCCGACGCTTTTTTTTTTCTGATTTGGAGAATGATTGAGGGCCCACCACCACCCGCCGCTGCATTGATTGTTTTTGCCAGTCGACGCCTCAAACTTTGTGCCTTGGCATCTTATTCTTTTGATGTTTGTTTTTTGCTTTTTCTGTTTGGAGACCCACCCTTTCCCATCGCCGCTGTTGATGTTTTTGCCGGCGACTCTCCTGTCTTTTTTTTTGATGTTTTGTTTTTGCTTTTTCTGTTTTGGAGACCCACCCTTTCCCATCGCCGCTGTTGATGTTTTTGCCGGCGACTCTCCTGTCTTTTTTTCTGATGTTTCAATGTCGCTGATGAATGTTTTTGCCGACGCTTTTGTTTTTGTTTTTGTTTTTGCTTTTTCTGGAGACCCACCCTTTCCCATCGCCGCTGTTGATGTTTTTGCCGGCGACTCTCCTGTCTTGTTTTTCTGATGCGTCGACGTCGCTGATCATGTTTTTGCCGACGCGTTGCTTTTCTTGCTTTGTTTTTTGTTTTTATTGAGGGCCCACCGCCACCCCGTCGCTGCTTCGATCTGTTTTTGCCAGTCGACGACCTCAAATGTGTTTTTTTTTTTGCTTTTTTAATGGAGGCCCACCACTTGCCCGCCAGTGCGTTGTCGATGAGTTAAATTTTGCCACTGACCCTCCAAGTTGTTGTCGTTGTTGTGTTTACTGTTGAGGGTCGTTCGTTGCATTCGGTGTCGGTCGAGCGTGAGATTGTCGGAGATGTGGCGGGGTCGGATTGTTGGAGCGTGGTGAGGAAGGTCGAGAAAGTGTGGGGTTCGGGAGTGCGGCGTGGTGAAAAGGCGGGAATGCTGCTGCGGTTTCGGCGGTGAGAGTGACGCATCGAGTTCGGGATGTGCGGGAGCTTCGGAGCTGGAGTTGATGCGGCTGTCGGACTAGAAGCCTGGTCGAGCTGCGGTCTCTTCGAGGCGGACTCGTGAGCTGTCGATGCAGAAAGAGGTCGGTGCGGTCGGAGTGGCTGTCGAACTGGAAGCCTGGTCGAGCTGCGGTCTCTTCGAGGTGGACTCGTGAGCTGTCGATGCAGAATGAGGTCGGTGCGGTCGGAGTGGCTGTCGAACTGGAAGCCTGGTCGAGCTGCGGTCTCTTCGAGGCGGACTCGTGAGCTGTCGATGCAGAGAAGCGCGGCGACAAGCGCTGGTGATCGTGGATGTCGTGTGTGGGCGAGTGTTGATGCGGTGGTGAACGAGAGGCGGCGGATGGTGGGTCGGTAGGTCGGGGTTGTCGATCGAAGTGGTGATGTTGGTGAAGATGGCGAAGAAGGAAGAGCGAAGAAAACACGGCTTAAATAGTGGTGCGAGTGCGAGTGGGAAATTTAAGCTTTTGTACAATCACAAAAACTCACATTGAACAAGCCTGGGAGCCAATGAAGTTCGCACCTACGTACCCCCCTACAGAGCCCAATGTCCGCATTCGTTGCGCGCAGCACACCAGGATGACGCGGCAGTAGAGCCTCAAGCGCATCAGGCCGAGGAACTCCACGACTTCAATGCTCGGGGTGTTTACGAACCACAGGCCCGGGATGAGTCGCGGGAGCTGAGATCAAATTCAAGCTTGGGTTATGAAGCATGGCGAGATTCAATACCCATTCCGGCACTGCCGACGCAGATGGTTGCAACGCGCTTGCGTTCCCAATAAGTCAGAGAGGCCTCTCAATAAAACACTATCATGCACACTCCCCGAGCCGGATTGCCTTCAGGTGAGGGCGGCAACCTCTTCCCGAGCGTGGCTCTCCCAGATATGCTTGGGGATTGTTTTTTTGGTGTGCAACTTGACGAGTGACAATACGAATGTGAGAGTCAAGGCATTGCGGAATTGAAACAAACATTTAGAGGGGCACAAGATTGAGAGAAGTAGTCGTACCTATTGAGCAAATCAAGAGACGCTCCTCGCGTAGTTTTGAGGTACATGGTGTCCTTCTGTTCCACTTGCAACGACAATTAATCACGACGATTGTGCCGGCGCTCACCGAGTCCCAGCGGAAATAGTGTCTCCATCAGAGAGAGAAGATATGCGACAAGTGGTAAATCCTAAGCATCGCGATGTGGAGGAGAAAGTGAAGTGAAGTGAGCGAAAGCGGATGTGCGGGTTGGGCCGCCGAACATCCGACCGTCGACCGACGATGCACAGTCTACGACGGCACTTGAGCACTCATACCAGTAAGACACATCAACCTCTCCCCTTGAACTCACACACCCCATAAGCAAACATGGTGAAGCCAATTACCGGCGTACGTATTGCTCCTCTCTCAGCCGGTGCGATTGGCTCGACTGACAGCGCACAGATGCTTCGACGAGGCCTCGTGCTCGATCTCTCAGTCGCCTTCGGTCTTGGAACAGCCTTCGGTTATGGCTGGTGGTATGGTGAGTGAATCCCAGGAGCCGGAGCGATATACGAACACCCGACAGTGCAGTGCTAACGTCGACCCTGAAGGCTTCCACATGCCAGCCGTGCGCAAGCGCGATCTGTTTTACGCGAAGTTGGAGGATCAGAGAGCGGAGGCTGCGTAATGGATATGCGTCGTGTGATGGTATCAGGATGATGGAATAGAGTGGACGGGGAGGTGGTATTGCAAAAGAGACAAAGCCACGAAAGCAATGGCCAAGGTTGGTGGACGTTGGCTGTACACATATACCACAAGCAAACCAGCGATTGCAAAGTCTACAACCTAGGTGCTCTGTTTCTCTCAATGAAGCTTGCATTTTCATGTACTGGGTGCTTTGCGGCTAACAGCGCAGCTCCACGCCTTGCCTACTAACAGTCAAATACTTGACGCCTTTGTACGGCTTGACTTCAGGTCCCAAACCACGACTCTTCTTCGTATCAATCAAAAGACTCTCCACTCGAAGTCCGCTCGCCAGCCAGCCTTTGACGCCAAAGCTGAGCGTCACAGAGGTCGGCATTAGCTCCTGGTTCCTCTTCGAATTCCTCCTCCCTTGAGGCGAGGACTCCGCGCGAGATGACTTGTCCTCTAAAGACTGGTATGCAGCGCCGGAATCTTCATCATAATCATAAGTCGTGGCTGTYATACCGTTCATCACCCCGGTAGATACGTCAGCATCTTCATCAGATAAAGGCCCTTGAACAGTGCACCTCAATACAGCACCATTAGGACCAAAGTCTTTGGGTGGAATCCGCCACTCAACCTTGCCATCCGCGGGATTCCAATTCGAGTCTCCACGAGTTGGCCGCATGTCACTCACACTCCTAACGGAGGGCGGCACAGGTATGTGGATGGTGAGATCCTCCAGGGCAGGAGATTTGGAATCACCACTTGGTGTGGCCTTGAAAGCACTTGCTCTAGACCCGCCACCTCCCAAGGCCGACTGCAAGGAAGCAGCTGCGGCAKATTTCATGCTGTTGGCGCCTTGTGTTGCTCGTACTTCAAACTCAGTCCCCGAAGATCCTATACCGGTGGTAATTTCGATCTTTACAGGCAGGTTTAGGCTGCTTGCGGATGCATTCGCGTTGAAGTTCAATTCCGGTCCGAGAAGGTCAGCCTCATAGCCGCACAGTGCGAATCTGCCATCGGGCGGGACAAATGATATGACACCATCGGCCTTCCACTTGTTAAGTCGAACGCAAGGGTGAAAGACCACACCTTCCATGACTCTGCGGAGTTGATCGCCTCGATTCCCCATGCCTRCACCCTTGCCGCCAGTTGAAAGACTGAGCAGTAGGTCTGGAACGCCGCTGACTTTGGAGTTGAACGCAATGCTTCCGTTTGCGAAAGCAGCAAGTGGCCGACCAGAGGGAGCGAGAGTGACTGAGAGCGTTTCCACAATGTCCACATATAGCTCGTTACTCGTATGCCGCACGTTACTTCTTCTCCATGGTATAGCTGAGCCTTGGCTGGTCTGCGCCTGCGCCAAGGGCCGCTGCAGATGCGAAGATCCTCCCGCTTGTAAAGATGGACTTCCACCTGGAAGACCAACGCCTCCCAGTAGATTCTTCAGTACACCCGGACCAGTCTCGACCACATCTCTTAACGCGTTTGCTTCTCCCTGACAGACGACGCCGGCATCAGCCATTTCGGCCACGATCTGCCCCACGATATCATAGTTGGCGGTAAGTTTGGTTGCAATCAGAGGACTGCCAAGGAACTCTTCGAGCGCATCAGCGACTCGATGTAGGAACTCAAGAACCAGTAGTGGCTCAATATCGTGGGAGGCGGGTGATAGAAACAGCAGATTGTCCTGTATCATAGAGAACAATATGCTAGGTGGGTTGGTCGACGTGAGATAGATGACGCTGGGCCGCGGAGCAGCATGCTGCAGGTAGAGTGGGAGGACAGTCGACGAGGCCGGAGGTCGGTTGGTATAGACGTGGTCAAAGAGGAGGGTGCTGTACGTTCATGTGGTCAGTACTTGCATGTGACAATTCCGCTCACTGCCATACTTACTCACTTGTGCTCGTCGTAGATGTACAGCGCTTCAATGGCGCTCATCGTGAGGATCTTGTCTTTTTCTTATCTCATGCTCCGTATCCCCGCATGCACCGCCTTTGTCTTTTTCGAAATGCTTGAGGTGTAAGTGAACGGTGAGTGAATCGTCTCGAATTATTGAGGGGCGGGGAGCTTCCACCTCCATCATCACCCTTCCGCTTCGAGCAACTTGCGACAACCTCACTCCCTCCCTGCAGCACCGCGACACTCTCTTCCGATGACCGCCTAGCTACCGTCCTCTCGAACCGATGCTAGTATCGAAATCCACCGCGACCGCGACCGGATCATGTCGCCCGACTCCAAACCTGGCGGGCTGAAGCGGCCTCATTCAGAGTCGTCTCTATCCTCAGAATCGAACGCGCAACGGCCGACGAAGAAGCAGCGCGTAGTACACACGCTTCGACATGTGCAAAATCGCCCGAAACACATCGAACCTGCGCCGCAGGACCCCGTCTTCGCGCAAGGCCAGCTGCTCAAGAGCATCGTCGCAGCGCTGAGGTTGGCCGGCTTCGAAGCAGCGAATGCATCGGCCATAGAGATGTTCCGCTCGCATGTGGAAGAGTACATGCTCAAGTTTCTCAACCATGCACACTCCTCGATGAATGACTGCAGACGCACAACACCGACAGCATTGGACTTCACCGCAGCCATGAGGTCCATGTCGAATGCCCATACCGCATCTCTGCTCGAACCTCAGCTGCATCTAGCACTACCACAAGAAATTTCATGTCCTGTTCTGTCCGAGCCGGCGCCAGAACCTCCACCAGCGCCAGACTTTGGAGACCTCTTACAACCTCTCATGACAACCACACCACCTCCATGGATACCCTCACACTTTCCCGCCCTGCCGCCGCAACACGCGTGGAAGCAGACTGCTGTGTTCCCCGAGCGGGAGAAGGATGCAAGGAAGATGCGCGAGAAAGCTACAGAGGAAGGCATGCTCGCGGAGCAGGCACTTCGAAAGCTAGCCGCAGCAGCAAAGACAAGCGCCGCCCACTCGGAAACAAGACGCAGTAGTACACTGAGCGGTTTAGGCAGGGCCAGAACGAGTGCTCCGACCAGAGTGAGAGCTCGGGCTAGTCAGGATACGTTTGCTGATGTACTGAAGGATGTGGACGGTTCGGATGAGACTGGAGAGGTGGGAATGGAGATTGTCAGAGACGATAGAAGAGACCTTGGAATGCCTGAAGGAGTGTCTGTGAATCACGAGATTGGGCATTGGAGGAGGAACGGCGCACGGAAGACCGCGAGAGTGTGAGACCACGGTGCTCAACAGGTTGCTTTTTGGGTATATAGCGTGGCGCTGGTGGAGTTAAGCGTGTTGCTTGGGCGAGTATTGTGTCGCTGATACATAGCGACCTCCATCTCTGGTCGAGTGGCATTATTCATGRGGCATATGAGGCTTTTCCTCAGCACGATTCCCTCAGTGACACAATTGACAGTCCTCGAATCGTTACTCGTCATATCGCCCTTCCCATGCAGTAGTCTCCACAGTCAAGCCATTCGCACATCTGGAAGCCGGAATCAGCATTCGTTGATACATGATGTTTGCTCGTAAATCCGAGAGATTTTGGACCAAGTCAAAGCCACTCACTTTCGAAACAACCTCAATACCGGCAAGCAAACCACTCTACTTGCAGGATGTTCTCTCGGCCCGTTTAAATCGCACCTATACTGGAACAGCTCCTTGAGATCACACTTCTTGAGGTCCTCGATTGGCGGTTTGCGAGTCTTGCCGGAGGGTAAGTGATTGACACGCTGGGCCAGCTCGGACGCAGGAAAGGCCTCGACCAGTGGCGCCATCTTATTGAATACTAGAAGCTCGCTCCGTTTTCAAGACGACACCATTCCTCGTTGATTTGATGATGCTGTATCCAGAGGATGATTGCAAGTCAATATGAGTGCAGAGGAGCTGGGGAAGAAGTTGTTGGCGGAGGTGGAAGAGGTTGGCTTGGACGAGGTATGCACACTTTTCGAACCTGAACAGAATATTGAATGTGACTGACGATTCCACAGTTACTGCATACGGTTTTACGGAGTGATGAGTCTCGAGACGGTCGCTTCGGTCTGTCTCAGCTGGATACCATGCTTCAATGCATTGGAGAGATCCGCTCATCAACAAGCAGCCTCCCGCCAACGCCTCCCATCATCGAGCTGCAATCACTATATCCAGGAGGCGGTAAAACGCACTTACTCTACCATCTCACAGCGCTCGCAGTTCTCCCAACGAGTGTTGGAGGTAAGCAAGCAGCTGTGGTCATCATCGACACAGACAGTAGGTTCTACGTTCCTCGTCTCGCCCACCAGATCAAGCGACAGGCCGCCATCAACCTAAAGGATGCCGTGCCTCCTTCAGACTTGGACGAGATCGTGCTCGTCGCCCTCAAGCACGTCCACATCTTCTCTCCTCAATCTCTAGCATCCACAATAGCAACCATCACCTCCCTCTCGGCCTACCTTTTCAACGCCACAAAACACCACTCCTTCGACCGCACCATATCCTTCATAGCTCTGGACTCCGCGTCGGCGTTCTACTGGCAACACCGTACAGACACCGACGATGCTGCACTCATCACTTCAACCTCAATCGGATCCAAACACACCTCCCAACCAAATGGTTACGTCCAACTTGCGGCCTCACTCAAAAACGCCATGCGAATCTTCCACACATCGCTGATTTTCACCTCCTGGCACCACGGCCACGTCAAGGATCCAAGCTCAAATCTCGGCCCGGACGCCCAATCTTTTCGAACATCTCTCCCAGCACCATGGCCAACTCTACCGACTCTTCGTTTGGTCGTGCATCGGGCACCAGTGRGGAAGTTACCTATCGAGATCAGCGTGGAAGATGCTCTCCGGGAATCTGAATCAAGGCAGAAGGTTGTCGAGAGGGGAAAAGTGGAATGCTTTGTGAATGAATCTGGGATTGAGGAGAGCGTGATGCAAAAGTTGCGCGCGAGAGGGGCTGGGTTTGATTTTTACATTACGGAGTCTGGTGTAGACTTTGCTGAACAGCTGTAATGCGCTTGGGCAACCTGGAAGTTTGTCATGAGCATCGCTTTTCGGTTGTGGTATAAGTCATCTATCTAAAAATGCTTGCAGCTCCGCTTTGGGCTTTCGAAACGCCTTGCAATGTGTTCGCGCGCTCGGTGAAGAGCTGCAAACAGAACATGCCGTGGTATGTTCTTGTCGTGAATTTGCTGAGTGAGGTTGAAAACAAGAAGCACATCATCCGCTAGCCATTCCCCTTGCCTGWGGGCTCTAAAAGCCGCTTCGTTCCAGGTGCAAGTGCGCTCGCAGCGCACTATCCCGCCATGTGTGCCTCCATCGCAGCCTGTGGTCCGTGATTTCGTGAGCTGTAAATATGATCCGTCTACAAATCGGCGTCGTCCTCGTCGGGAAGAGGCATGTTGGACGCATCCTCCATTTCCTTCTGATACTGCGCCATAACGGCCTGGTCAACCTGAACCTCTGGTGGCGCGAGAGCTGGAGCAGCGACGAACTCCTAAATGGCTGTTAGCGGAGGTAAATCAGAAGAAGCGTTCAGAAGACCTACCAGAGCTGGGTTGCCGACAAGCTTGCGTGCGAGCCACAGGAATGGCTTCTCGAAGTTGTAGTTGGACTTGGCGGAGATGTCGTAGTACTGGAGGTTCTTCTTGCGGTGGAAGGTGATGGTCTTGGCCTTGACCTTGCGCTCCTTCACATCGACCTTGTTGCCGGTAAGAACGATTGGGATGTTCTCACAGACACGGACAAGATCGCGGTGCCAGTTGGGCACGTTCTTGTAGGTAATGCGCGAGGTGACGTCGAACATGATGATACCGCACTGGCCGTTGATGTAGTATCCATCGCGCAGACCACCAAACTTCTCCTGGCCGGCGGTGTCCCAAACATCGAACTGAATCTGTCCGAGGTTCTATCCTGTTGTCAGATACTGWCTCCTCCCTTCAGATCCCACGTGGGCGCATGCTTACCGTGGTGAATCCGAGAGGGTGGACCTCGACTCCGAGCGTGGCAATGTACTTCTTCTCGAACTCTCCGGTCAAATGGCGCTTGACGAAGGTGGTCTATCCGAGAATGATGTCAGCTGAAACTCTTCACTTTTGCCGCGAGCCCGCCTGCCAGATTGCAGGCAAGTTCATGACATTGTGTCATATGTAAAATGTCCTACCTTTCCGGTACCGCCGTCGCCGACAAGGACGAGCTTGAAGGTTGGGGTCTGAGACTGGACTTCCGCCATATTTGCTCGAGGGGTGGTGGGTAGGTTGATGCGGAGAAGACGAGCGCGAGCGATCGAGTTGGTGGGTGAAGTGTTGCTCGGTCGAAGGTGGTGGTGTTTCGACGATCGAGGTTGTGGTTGTTGTGGTAGTGGTGGATGTTGTTTTGAGAGGTTCAAATTTCCAACCAGCCCCTCACAGCAGGCTCCCAACAGTGATCGGCAAACCTTCCTTGGGCACCAGATGCTTCCGAATCGAAACTTTCCCTCTTCTCTTCACTCCACTCTTCACTCCGCTTCACCCACTCCGGCTACCCACACACTCAAGCCGCCACGGACACGCTGAGATTGAGTATACACATGTATGCCTCAGTGAACACCGTCACGGTTCCTCGCGTTTGCTTCGCCGCCAGCTTCATCTACCGAGGGGAACGCTATGTCTACGTGCGATAGTGCCACGTCGAGACTCTACGTGGCTAGCATATCCTGTAGAAGAATACTTGGCCAAGTGAAATCATTGTTGTTAGACAGTGCTGCCTTCGCAGCCGGGGCCGATCCATCGACCCCAAAAGGACTGGTTGATGCGGACGGGCTTGTGACATTGCCTCAATGATCTGACGGCATGGGAACAGTCCGACGCTGATAGTACTCAGATCATCCTTCAAAGCGGAGAAACATCCAAGGCTATTGGTCTGCTCCGGTGTACATCTCACTCTGGAGCGTTCGGGTGATGTCTGGAGGCTGAGGCTTGCTTCACTAATACCTTGAAACATTGCAGATCGACCAACGGAGTGTGCTGTGGCGGACCTTGGGGGAGGGGTACGTAGTAGGCGGATGTGGATATCATCGCGTCTTTGATATTCTCGCAATGCGGTCTCTGTGCGGGCGTTTGGGCTGTCATACAGCTCGAAAGCTGCGCTACGAAGCGTTCGGTTGCGCTATACGACATGCTATTCAAAGTGTGAAGAAGCCGTCGTAATCGAAGATCACTAATTGAACCCATGTTATTGACCGTATCCACCGCACAGACACTCAATCTACATCCCTGCTCGTCGTGGCGTTCTCCAGGGCCCAGGCGTGCACAACATTCATTCCAACCAACTTCCTGCAGCCCACACCCCAACGCACGCAATAAAGTGTTCACCGCGCGATCATGGGAGGTCGCGATTTAACTTGCGCCGCCACAGTGGCACTGTACTGGTAACACAGGTCATTGATTTGGCCGCCTCGTTGTAAACACTTCATCCATCCAGCGGCATGGCCACAGCGTCCGCTCCTGCTGTCCCGACCCACCCGCTCGCTTATATCTACGCGACAACCAAGATCTAGAGCTTTACATTCTTCGTTCGCGTTCTTTGCTCCTACATCCTCCTGATTGCCCAATTGCTTTCTGCTGCAGCCACGGGACGACCGCCCATTCGCGCCTAATAATCAACCTTGGGATGGACTCGGAAGAAAAGTCCGCTGGTTGTTCCCAGCCGCAGAACTGACCATTGTGGAACACAAAAGCCCTGCGACCGCATGTCGAGGCATTTCTCCTCCACGACTGTAACCGCCTTCCGACCGAGGACTCGTAATTAGGGGATCAAAAAGATGAGGATACCCATCCGAATTCAGCTGGGCGGAGTGATTCTAGTCTCATCTTTGATTGGACTTGCTGTCATCTCCATCGCGGTATGGGTCACTATACACGCATTCGTGCTGGACCTTCGGGCATCGCGGCTGGCATTGACTGCCTCTCTCAAAGCAGCTCAATTAGCCACCAATCTTGATATCATGCAGACCAGCTCTGGTTTCGTCTCCACGAGGATACTCATCCAAAACGCCCTGACCCGATACAACACCAGAGACAACAACACTGCTGCCAATTGGGTCAACAGTATTGCAGATATACAAGCTGCGATTGGAGGAGATGCTTCCCTCGGACAGGCATTGCTGCTTCAGATCAGGATCTGGCCGAGAGATGATGATGGACCTGGAAGCCTGGGAGGACTCTTGAACGTTACAGCACAGAGCGTACTTGATAACAATATACCACTCCCATACAAGTACGAGAATGGGACATCAATACTCATGGGCGCAAATGATACAGACGTGAGTGGTGGGTACTGATCAACACAAAGGGTACTCCAAGCTGACGCACTCAGTCCGGTTCCTGGGGGTATCCACCTAATTTGTACCCTAACCTGACATACTTCACCGAACCCTTCAATGCGACTTACAGGAATTCTCGAGCCATGTACCAGGGTGTGGTTTTGATGCCAGGCGCTGCTCTACTTCTCGGCCCCTGGCGGGTCAGCCCAAGCCTCGATCTTGTTTCAATATCCATGCCGATCAGCGACAACAATAATCTGGATCTGGTCTTGGGGTACATGACAGTAGTGATGGATGCAAGATTGATCATGAGTGTCTTGACATCAGATCAAGGCCTTGGAGATTCCGGATCAACGCTATTGCTTGGTCCAGCCGATCCCAGCAATGTCTTCTCGAGTGATATCATGAATAGCACAGCCAGCAGACAAAGGCCCCAATTCGAGGTTCACTACGTTGTTCCTGTGAATGAGACCTTCAAAGACCGCCATCCRGATCATGTTCTCGGAGCGGCCAACTCTCCGTTCAATGCCAACGACTTCTCCGTAATCTACAGTGCGCTGGCCAAGGCAGATCTGAGGTCTTCTGATAGCTCCGGGTCCAGTATCCACGCCATAAACGAGAATGGTGACAAGGTCAGCGTTGGATATTCGCTACTTACAAGTCCACTTGTCGATTGGATCGTCATCGTCGAGCAGAGCCGAAAGGAAGTCTGGCGGCCAATAAACAGACTTAGGAATGTCATATTGTCCTGCCTCTTCGCGACAGCGATTCTGATGGCTTTGGTGTCGTTCCCGCTTGCCCATGTGGCGAGTCTGCCGATCATAAGACTGCGACAGGCTGCCGCCCGTTCCATGGAGCCGCCGGGAAACAGTCGGAGCAGCCTGGGATCATCGTCTGTCGACTTAAACCGGGGAGAAGTCAACGTCGTCAGAGGCATTGCCGGCTCTGATGGCGAAGTCGGCAAGGAAGGCGCCATGGTGTATTCGAACCCTGTTTCCAAGTGGAAACAGAAACGGCAAGAGGCAACGCAGGCGCGACGGGATGAGAGGCGTAAGCGGGCTTTCAGGATACCTGGCAAGGTCAAGGAGCGTAAATATTGCGTTCGGGATGAGCTCTCCGAATTGACTTCGACGTTCAACGAAATGGTACGCATATTGAGGGGTGATGGCACGTGTACAACACTGATATCTCACAGAGCGATGAACTCATGAGTGAGTGAACGTTTCCAAATTCCTCAAAATTTCGGTAGCTAACGTTGTTGCGCCCCCAGTGCAGTACAGCAGACTTGAGGTGCGGCTGTCTACCTGCTTAACATTTCACGGTCTGACCTCTTTTAGGAGCGTGTCCAGCAAAGGACTGCAGAGCTAGAAACTTCGAAGAAAGCTGCTGAAGCTGCGAATGAAAGCAAAGTAAGTTGTCTTTGCTCGCTGAACTTGCAGKCAGCGCGATCGATCGTTGACACTACGGCCACAGACTCTGTTCATCGCCAACATCTCCCATGAGCTCAAAACGCCCCTCAAGTATGTAGTCATACGATTGCGAGTTCTTATGCTAGGAACAGGACTGACTTCTGGCAAAGCGGCATACTTGGCATGACAGCGGTCTGCTTGTCAGAACCAGACCCCATCCGCCTGAAGCGATCGCTTGGCATCATCTACAAATCTGGAGACTTGCTACTGCATCTGCTAAACGACCTACTCACCTTCTCCAAGAATGAAGTCGGACAGCATTTGAGCCTTGACGAGAAAGAGTTCCGCCTGCGAGACATACAGACACAGACTCTGGCTATCTTCGAGAAGCAGGCCAGAGAAGGTGACATCACATTGAAAGTAGAATTTCAAGGTGCTGACAACACTCTCGACTCTGAGCGGCGACAATACAACGGACCAGCGGACACCGGAAAAATGCAGGACATGATTCTCTGGGGCGACGTGTACGTATACCTGACGAGAGCATGACACCTTTTCCGAAGAGATTCGTAAAGCCTTTGCCGGCTTTCTGAAGCTTTGCAAAGGGAGATAACTCGCACTCTGTCTGCAGTGTATCAAGCTAACATGGACTGATCGACACCAGGCATCGAATCTTGCAAATTGTGGTCAATCTCTGCAGCAATGCGTTGAAGTTCACTCCTAAAGGCGGCTCGGTAGTACTCACCGTTCGATGTCTGCCCGAACTACCTCCTGCAGCATCAAGAAGTACAAGCATGAACTCTCGCCAATCGCGCAATGATTCATCACGACATCGTACCTCCGATACTTTCACCCTGCCCGCGAGACCCAGCTTGGCAAATGTTACAAAGGAGAAATCACAGGTCTTTTCAGTCACAGACAGGAATAGCTCTCCACCGCCCGGAAAGTTCTTGTACTTTGAGTTTGAAGTGCAGGACACTGGACCAGGTGAGTGTACCCAGTTTTGCTTTGAAAAGATCTTTTGGTTTCTTGGGCTGACTTTCCCGTTCGTTCAAGGCATCCAGGAAGAAATGCTGAGCAAAATCTTCCTGCCATTTGTTCAAGCAGATCTAGGTCTTAGCAAAAAATACGGAGGCACCGGGCTAGGGTTATCAATCTGCTCGCAGTTGGCAAGCCTGATGAAGGGTTCTGTCACTGTGAAAAGCACTGTGGGTGTGGGAAGCATATTCACTCTGAAAATGCCACTGCGTCTCGTCCAGTCTCGTCCGGAGAGCTCACCGGGATCTCTAACCGGAATGCGCACGGAGACTTCTAGCAGAAGTGCATCCTTCGAGAACGACGACAGATCGCAAGCTTATGGAGTACATGATGCTCTTGAAAGCCCTCTCGCTGAGACTCCGGAGACCACAAAGCCACAGCAAACTGCCGGCGTGGGAACCGTTTCGCAGCCTCGATTAGTTGGGCTCAGTCAACCTTTTTTTGCCGCTAGCCAACCCATGGAGTCGCCGAACTCACAATCTGGAGCTATGAAACATGTCAGCACCGAAGCCACTCGTGGCGATAATAGAATACGAGTCCTGGTGGCGGAGGATAACAAGATCAACCAAGAGATTGTGCTTCGTATGCTCCGGCTGGAAGACATCTACGACGTGACGGTTTGTTCAAGTCTTGTATCTGTGCTCTGAGATCTCAAGCTAATAAATTGTCGGGACAGGTCGCCAAGGACGGGCAAGAAGCTCTAGATCTAGTGAAAGAGTCGATGCGTGGCGATGATCATCAAGCGTTCAGTAAGCTCACATCACTGTGTCTCTGGTGAGGTAACGCTTGGACGGCTGCTGACATTTTCTTGTAGACCTCATATTCATGGACGTGCAGATGCCCAATGTGGATGGTCTGCAAAGTACACGCTTGATACGTGAGATTGGATATCAAGCACCGATCGTTGCATTGACTGCTTTTGCCGAGGAGAGCAACATCCGAGATTGTCTGGATTCTGGCATGAACTACTTTCTGAGCAAGCCGATTCGCAGACCACAACTGAAGAAAGTGCTGAAAGAGTACTGCCAGCCGATACCCGAGGAGACCGAGGAAGCTGCGTCACCTGGAGAGCAAACCTCAGGGCACGGCGGCGGTACCAACACGACCATTGTCATGGTCAACAAGGCACCCGAACAGCCATCTGCCAGCAAGGGCGTGCAAGTAGACGAGAAGAACGGACCGGAGTGAGAAGGWCAATGACTTTGACGATGCTTTGACTATGCAAGTTCGCTTTCATGTCATCCCAAACATGTTTGAGCGAAGGTGTTCCGGCGTTTACCAATCTTCAAGGGGGTGCGAAAGAGAAAAAGTCAATACAGATCCCTACATCAAGCGCATATTGTACACCTTCCTTCCCAATGAATGGTGAGTGTTGACTAGAAAGCAGCAATTTCTGGTGGGAATAAGCTCTGTTGTAGAGAAGCAGCATCAAACCTCTTCTCTGGTGGACTTTCCAAAAGAGAGAACTCCTGCCACAGTACGCTCGATTCCGCACTTATCTCAACGATCCGTCGGTCCATCTGTGACAAGAAAACGTCCATGGCTGTGGTAGTCTCCTTTCCCACTCCAATTCTTATCATTTGGGCTCGTAGTTGAATCTGCTGTATTGCTGCTTGCTGAAGATCTTGAGTGTACTGGTTGAGAGCTTCTAGAAATCTCTGCCCTGCCTTCATGACTGTTCTTGAGTCGGTGTTGGAAATTCTAGATGGCACGGCTGAACGTCAGCACACTACAGCTTGAGGATTTTACGCGACACGTCTGCTACGAGATGGTAACGGAAACGGGAAAAGAATTCATCAGATATTGAGCGTGGGGAAAATCTCAGGGGGTTGGAAAGTTTCACTTACACTTCAGAATGTGATTGCCGTAGCTCAGCAATATAAGCAGGTCCAAAAGTAGAACCATATCGTTCGCAGAAACCCGTGAGTTTTGTTTGAAAGTCTTCAACTCCAGGAGAGCATTTCGTATTCATAGGGACAGTCGGTAAGAACCCGATATCATCAATATCCTCGTCATTATTTTGGTTCTCCCGAGGATGAGGTATCCCGTGAGGACATGTCCTTCTCTTGGGAAGACTTGGCCGCTCGCTATCCTCCTGCTCATCTCTGAACTCGCTCGCTTTCCTCTTTGCGCCAGTCATCATATCTACTAATAGTAAAAGTCCTAGTGGGATCTTGCATGAAGTGAAGTGAGGATGGATAGCTCTGCTAACTTTGAATGGTAAATGCTGCTGGCGCCACTCGATCACGCAATTTTGAGCGGGGGCATTGGCCGAGACTACTAGCTGGTGTTTTTTATAAGTTGGTCTTGGAAATTGAATTCAAGATATTGTTTGATGAATGTGATACGTAGGGCAGTATCTGGACGCCTCAGATTTGCATTGGTGACCGGTTCTCCCTCTTTGCGAGTTGGAGACTTCTGCCAAGCTCCCGACTAATCACACTCACGTACAACTATCTGACCTGCGTTGGAAAGGCCATTCGCAAGGCTGCAAGTATTCAACGAGACTCAGGTAGCCTACGTTCAGATCTGGTCCCTTTCACCCCAAGCCTTCACCCCTATCTCTGCGACAACACATTCCACAAAGCAATCGAGTTGACGACTGACAGTGTAGTGGTAGTGGCAAGCGATACGACCACGATGGGATACTTCTTGTAGAATGCGACTACACCTCCACGCTCTGGCTGTCGCGGCTCACGCCCTTCGAAAAGCTCTTGAATGCCGGCATACGCATCCTCTAAATCATTGATCCTGTCCATGAATGGGGACTGCTGCTTCTTTTCTCGCTTAATCAATGCTCGCTTGTTGATCTTGTCTTGAGATATCTTCCAGTTCGCAAAACGGACGGTCGGTCTAGACGCACTGGGCCGCAATGCAGGATGAGTTCGGTTGCGAGGACCTTGTTCAGCGGGCGCAGATCGTGTAGAGCTCTCCGAGGTTCTGCTCCCAAAAGCGAAGAGGTTCCGGGCTCGCGCCAGCAGACCAGATGGTCTAGCATCTGACATTGTATTTCCAGCAGCGGTCCATTGCGAGATCCTGTGCTTTCGAGCCTTGCGTCTCTCCCTCTCTAGGTACCTTGCCCTTTCCTTCGCTAGGTCATCCACCTTTTGCTGCGCTCGAGCTAGTTTACGTAGTTCCAATTGGTACTTCATGTAGCCATCCAGCGCGGCGACGTTCTCGATCCACTTCGCCTTCTCTCCCGCTGTAACCCCCAAGCTACATTTCGAAGGTCTCATCTGGATAGTGGTGAGAAGGGGTAAGGTCAGCAGATCCCGCGCTTCCTGCATGGTCTGGAAATCGTCCGCTGTGAAACTGTCGACGCATGCCAGACGATTGAATTCCTCAAAAGTCCGCTCCCGCACTTCAACGTCAAGTGTACGGATACCCTTGCATCGCTTGAGGTGAGCAAAAGCCGAACAAGCTTCTGCAATGCTATCGGAGGCAAAGTAGCAGGAGTCCCAGACACAGCTGAACCGGGTCAAGCATTTCCTTAGAGTGGGCGAAGAATCGCAAATTGAGTTGAACACATAGCGTTCGCCGCAGCTGATTTCTCTCTGCCGAAACCACTGCTCGGTAGCTTCCTCAAAGAATTTCTTGCTCACTCTCATGTCGAGGAGGGGACATATTGGTGTTTCTCGTGGTACGACCGGAGTTAAACGTAGCTAGGAATGGATGAGAAACGAAGTCATGCTCATGTGAGATACTTCTTACACTGCCATACTTTCTCCTGTCACGTTCCCTTCGCAAGTAGTCAGATAGCGAGGTCTGCAACACGTCAGAGATGGGTCGTAGAGCGCCTCGCTTGGCACATCTACAGCCAAATGATAGGGCCTACTTGCCATTTTAAAAGCGCCATCATGCTCGGACTCGTATGCATGCCGGTAGCACTCATCTCTCAGCTCTCGAGGTAATTTTGAGAAGAACAACGACAACGCAGGCGCGGCGGGAGTAACATCTTCCGTGGTGTCCATCTCATCTGCTGCTGTCTTGTATATCCTCGTTTCGAAGCGGGTTTTCATATCATGTTCCCTGTACATGATGGTCTGAATCATGACGGAGAATGTTCGACAGCCTCTGATGATGATGGCAGTGAGGTTGAGRCGGCACAGGGGAATTGTGGACCAGCGTTTGGGGGTTCACATCGCACACTAGCGTCTTATCGCTCGACGCTAGTGGATAAGAGGTTGGGGAGGTTCCACTACGTAGGTAGATTCACATTGCGACCTTGCACGATGGTTCTCGGTTCTGCTTCGTCTGGACTGAATCTCTTTGAGGTATGCCACAGGCAGATTGCGCTGCAATGTGCCTTCTCCACGACAGCATGCTGTGGATCGATTACTCCCAAAGCTTGACCTGGCTTGCTCTCTCATGATCATTCATCATTTCGACGTTTCTTCGTAGCAAGCCTACTTGGCCTTCAATTCTACATCCTCCTCCGTATTGGCCTCGCCGCCAGTTTCCGCCTTGGCGCCAACTTCCTTCCCATCCACATCGGCGAGCATGACGTCTCCATCCGAGTCCTTCAAATTGACCTTGTCGGCCTTGTCCATGTTCTCCCTCAGCATTTCGACATCCTTCTCCACATCCTTGAAATCAAGACCCGGCTTGCCCGGTTCTATACCCTCCATGCCATCCTGCTTTGAGTTCATCGCCTCATCAGATGACGGGGGCTGTGGTGATTTACTCCTGCCCCGTCCCACCGCAGCYTCCATGTCCAAGACCGCATTTCCTGCTTCTATGTTCTGCCGCTGAGGTCCCATGTCTTCCATACCAATCACATCTGGTCCTCTTGCGTGTGGCTGCTCCTCATCCATAGGGACTTCAAGAGGCATGGCCACTGCAGCAACCGCTGCGACGTCTCGCCCCACTGCTGCAGCTCCACCAGATATCAGTGTCCTTCTTGGCGCCAGTGCCGCGCCGTTCGGGCCCACCGCAACCACGCCTGCCTCTTGCTCTTGTCGCAAGAGTTCTCCTTGGGTGATAGCGCCTTGCTCTCGTAACTGAGCCTCCATGGAGGACTCCGACGAGCTGCTAGCATCGCTTTGTTCTGACAACGTAGGAGAGGCAATAGGTGAGGAGCTCGTATAAGCAGAATTGTTGGTGGTACTCGCGATGCCATTGACGGTGACGGACACGGTCTCGATACTACCCGCACCATGCGGTCCGTCAATGGTTTCGGTGCTCTCGCTGTGTAGCTCACCGTCTGTGCCAGAAGTAGCAGATGCAGGGGTGAGAGCGTTGCCATTGGTAGCCAGCCATGGAATCGGAGTGAGAAGCGCACCACCCAGACTCTCATCGCTACCGAGGCTGTCCCTCTCTGTAATGCCATTCGTTTGAGGTGTTCCGTTGGTGAGAAAGCCAGGGTTCGTCGAGACTTGCATCGTGGGCAGCGGGAAGTTGGAGACTGGGGAGCATACTGATACGACGCGGTCCAAAGCCCGCAAGTATGCATTCAGATGTCGATAGTGGGCTTTGGGCCGTAGTACCAATTCCGCTAGTCGTTGAATCGTGTACGGAGGACTCTCGCTGAAATCGTGCTCTAGTATGCGCCGAGACATCTGGTATGAGCTGAGCAGGTCGGGTGGTAGGGTACCTGGTGGCGCCTGTACACCGTCGGCCTGCGAATCTCGTTCTGTGAGTTGCGACTCGACAGCATCAAACGTTGTTGTTGAGGTGGCCGGCGGCGCACGACCCGCTGCGATGTCTGTCGGCGCCTCATTCTCTTTTGCACTATTCTGACTGGCAATCAAGCCATTGTTGCTGGCCTCGGATTCGGTTGCATCGGTGTCGCTCTTGGGAAGACGAGGCGGTGTCGAGGCAACAACCTGTGGATCTATGGGCGGGGGCTGAGTCGCAGGATGTGGTAGCGTCGGGATGGGGAACTCGTTGTGTACAATCTATGAACAGATCAGAATCGTGGTCGCGCGTGAGACGGAGACTAGGGCGATGGCGCACATCGTGTAGGCGTTTGAGAAGGCTTTCCAGCACGCGAGGCCAATCTGCGCTGCGACGTGTCAGCGGTTGCGCGTAGAGAAATAGTCGAAAGTCCTCACATATCTAATGAGCCATCGCGAGCCGCAGTTTCAAGTATGTCCTCGCTGGAGTCCATTGTGAATGTTGCACTTTTAAGTTATTGCCGAATGACGGAGGGGAAAGATGTGGGAATAATTGATGGAAGCTTTGAGGAAACGCGAGACGCATCATCATCATCACGTGCATCCGCGATCCTCATCCTGGAGATTCCAGACATGATGATTCCTGTGAAATTGATGAACGTCCGGCAATGCTTACCTGTGATGCTATGCTATGCCGCAGGAGCTGCACTTCTCTTTGGCGCAAATGTAAAGGAGCGGCCCCTCTTTAAAGGTACCTTAATCAGTGAGGGGTTGATGATGCTGTACCAGTTCACCCATATAAGAGTAGAGAGACGCCAAAGGTGAAGTGCTGTGGACCTCGCGGTGCATTCTTCTACGAACGAAAACTACCTTATCCTTGGACAACCGCAACGCCGTCGCTATTGATCTTCAAATCCGTTCGATCCCACCAAGACCATCAAACACAATGCAGTACGGTCCAGTGACGAATTTCACTATCCACGGAAAGATTGTAGCCATCACGGGAGGTGGCTCTGGAATCGGACTTGCACTGGCCAAGCTCTGTCACACACAGGGCGCTCGCGTACTGATAGGCGACTTGAAATTGGTCGCTGATGCTGAAGCCTTTGTCTCTGAAGCGCCGGCTGGGGAGGTGGTCTTCCAACACTGTGACGTGACGTCCTGGAAATCGCTCCATGACCTGATTACGGCCAGCGTTGACGAGTTTGGCGATGTTCCAGACTGTTATGTGCCGTGCGCTGGCGTCTTCGAGCCGCCGTTTAGCAACTTTTGGTATGGGGCAGATCTCTGAAAATTAATCCCACTGACGATGCCAATGCTGCTAGGGACGACAACGAAGCAAATGAGTACAAGTCTATGCAAATCAATGTCAACCATCCAGTGAAGATGACGCGATTGGCGATGCGCGCACTGGCTGGAGCAGAGAAACAGGGGGTGGTTTGTTTGATTGCGTCGTCCGCAGGCATTCGAGGCAACTATTTGGCCTCCCTCTATGCGACCTCCAAGCATGCAATCGTAGGCTTCGCCAAATCGATGGGCCAGGCCGATGTCGAAGAGGGCGTGAAGATCGTTTGCGTTCTACCCGGGATGGTGCAGAGTCCGCTGTAAGCTTCCGACTGACGAAATTCAAAGTGATCCATGGCTGATATCTGCGCAGGTGGGAAGATCRACAAGATGATATGGTGGTGAGAACGCAGTACACRAAGCGCCTGGAGGAAGCCCTTCAACCAAATGACATTGCTGAACTGATGCYGAGGATGATTGTACGCCAGAATTATGATGGTGGGACATGCGTGCTGAAAACCAAGGCTGAAGAGAGGATTGTTGAAGAGGGCTTCGCAAAGTCTGCCGGCAAATACGACCCTTCGCCGAGGCCAGAGCCAGATTTGGGGAGAATTAAAGATGTTATACAGTCCGAGAGGGGCAGGAAGTGGTCGTGAATTCCCGTAGCTATGCAGCAAGAATGATAAAGAGACTGGGTCGCGGAATTTCTATGGGCCTGGGCGCTTCCGCAGGTCAAGATGGAATGCCAATGGCTTTCAAAATGACAAGCATCTCCTGCTGCTTGCCAGGCTCTTTCATGCGTTTTGCACGCCGCCGGAGATCGGATGCAACCTTCGAACTCGGTTGAGGGCCGATATACTTCCATTTCGCCTGCGGGCGATGCGGATCAGCGCGCATGTGAAGCCACTTTCGTAGGCTTTCCAGACTTCGCGGTGGCTGACTCGAAGCGTTGAAGCAAATGGTGAGATTTTCGTTTTTGGTGAGCTTGCTCTCCTCTGAAGGGGGAACCCGCGCCATCCAGGTTAGTAAACCTTCGAAATTGAATTCCGTAATGTCGCATCGAATGGGACACAGTGAATGGATCATCGGCAAGACCTCGTTGCGGACTTTCCTGCTCGTGAGAGTCAAAGCATGGGGAGCTTTGTACCCTTCTTGTTGACTGGGTGGCGTTATGTGGATGGTCACATTCTGGAGGGCCAGCTTGTAAATCTCGATTCTCATTTCAGCGGGCAGGTCGAAAAAGGTCACTCGTGGCCTTTGTATGGCAATCTGTTTGGGAGGCGCTGGCGCAAGACGCCGATGCGTGGTCGCCATGGTGGTACTTCGAGTTGTGGATGTTGTTGGAGGCGGCGCAGACGGGCGGGGAGAAGTGATTTATTTATCCACAGATTGGCATGGTTCAGGAGGACCTTTGCCTGGTTACGGTACAAGACGCCACTAAGCGCCGCCCCAGAAGGTCCGGGGATGAGGTTCCTGTCGAAATAGTCGGCCGGTGAGCCGCGTGAGACGGCAACAGTTGTCAGTTGCGCGGTGATGTATTGCGATCCAGGTCAGCACTCCATCGAACACTTTCACTCGCCGGCGGCCGCAGCTGTAAACTCCAAAGTTAGTGATCTTGATGGTTCGCAAGGCGGAGGTTGCGGAGTAGGAGAGATCACGAAAGAAGGAAGCGCCGCGCCAAATGACTAAGACTTTTAAAACTGGCACAATAAGGTAAGACCGGGATCATGACGAGCAACGTTGAAAAGTATTAAGATTGTTGCAGCAAATATCACATGTTGCTACAGTAAGTGCCGCACTAGTCGCAAAGACGAATCAATTATTGCTCCTCCGTAATGTCAAGACTGCCATCCATGAGATGCGAACAAGGACTTCAACGCCAGCCCTGGCCTCCGCACCTTCGAGCCGTTCCCTCTCTTGATCCACTCATCATGGTACGACCATGAGAAGATGCTCCCGATCAGTGTTCCGGCCACAGCGACTCCGCCAGACTATACAGCTCTACGAAGTTCTCGTAGTCCTTCTCATACTTGCCCATCTTGCCATCTCTCACAGCATCGATGTGCGTGGATGTGCCGGCCTCCTTGGTGAGCAGCCTCTGCTTTCCCCACTGGAGAAGCACCAGACTTTTCCGAATGACCCTGGAGCGAATGCCCTGATCAGTTGACAACGKCTTCTCACCTGCACGACGACGGTGAGCCTGCACGTCGTCAGGAACTGGCATGCCCCGCTTCTCCGCCTCAATCTCCTTCTTTGCGAGCTCGCCGCCAAACTGACGATAGGCAACAAGTCCAGGGAAGCATACCACACGGACAATAGCCTCGCTCTGGCCCTCCATGCCCGGCTTCAGAATCGCACGTTCGTGGCCGTTCACAATCTTCCTATCATAAGGGCTTCCTGCAATCATGTCGGCGAGATTGTAAGCCTCCATGCGGCCAGGCTCGAACTCCTCGYCCTTGAARGTCGGTGGCCAGTAGTAGACAACGTCTGAAGCTGTACGCAGCATCCGGCTGAGCTTCGCAGCGTGAGCGACAATCAAGCCCAAACCGGTCGCCAAATCTACCTCTGGGCAGAATGTACCCAGCACTTTCAATAGCTTGCTGGCAATATCCGTCACTGCCTTTTCGAAGCTTGGCAATTTTACATCTGGCTTAGCCGCAGTGATGGCTGCCGCTCGAGACTCTGTGCGTGAGAATCCTGCATTGATTAGCCGGAAGTCTTTGTCATATATAAGGAGAATAAATCACCTTCGTCATCAATTTGTTCTTGCTCCAATGATTTCAGTCTCTCGGTCAAAGCGGTATCCCCTCCAAAGAGGAGCTCAGAAAAGACGTGCTCCTCCAGGGCTCGCGCAATGATACCGATCACGAGTGCCTCTCTGCACGTTTCATCAGTCAGCAGCTCCTCCCAGCCGGCCTCTCCTTGTGGTCCGCCTTGAGCGATACACCCAATGTATCGAATGAGCACTTTGTTGTCCTYGTTGTTGATCAGATCATCCATGAAGTATTCATCAACCGTGCCGGCAGTGTCCCTGGCGAACTGAACGATCTCATCCACCAAAAAGTTCAAGGCCTTGCAAACTCGATAGTCCTTCTTCGCGCAAGTTAACTTGCGAAATGGGGTGGCCGACCTAACTGACGAAACGCCTGGCTTTAGCGAATCCCAAAATTCACTTGCGATTTCCGGCGTATCATCTTTGTCCGGATCTTCATTAAGATGGTGGACGGTTTCAATGAGGTCACTTTGCAGTTGCTGCTCATCCAGATCCATGGACTCGATTTCGCTGATGAGATCCGACTCGGAGGCTTCGCTAGCACTGTCCAGATTTGGCTGTAGATAGCTACCGCTCGGGCCGGAGATCAGTGTTTCTTTAAACTCGACACGCCTATCAGGCGATTGACCCGCGGACTGTCGACGGTGTCTCGGCGGCATGTTGATCAGACTCAGTGCTTGGCTTGAGAATGTTTGAGAAGAGTTTGAAATGGTCTGAGTCGGGTGGAGCAACAAAGCAAGTGTTTGTCGCAACGGCATGTTTGTCGCCAGCCGGCCACGCAAGGGGCCCTGCAAGCAGCCCTGATGCATTCCAGGACTCCACAGCAACCACCCGAAATTCCTCATAGTCAACTGCGATCAACCGTCAAGCTGCCAGTCGTCGAGCCAGCTGCTCCACGCAGCAGCAGTAGTGCGATTGCCCCTCTCCTTTTTCAATGCCAAACGGCAGCAATCCACGAAATCCTGGCAAGCCGCGAGTCTTTTACGAGGCACTGGATCCATTTTGGCAAACCCTATTGGGTCTGCTGATTTGATGGCCTCCCGAAGCATGAAGTTGTTTCCACCACATGCTGCAGCGTACGGCGAATCGCCGACTAGCATACACAACAACGTGATTCCTAGGCTCCAGACATCGCTGGCAAAGGTCGGGGTGTTGAGGTCCTTCTGGATTCGCATCTGCTCCGGAGCCACTTCACCGGATGTCAAAAAATGTGAACAGAAGTGCTTGACGCGGCAAACTCACTATAATCCCAAGTACCTCCGGCATTTGATTCCGAATCGCCTGCTCCCGGAATAAACGCTGCAGAGAAGTCGATATACCGCGCCCGTATGACAGGCTTCGACTCTGTGGCATGCTCTGAGATATCAAGAAGGACATTGCCGGGTTTGATGTCTGCGTGGACAACTCCACTGGCATGCAAGAATTCCAAGCCGTTGACCAGATCAATGGCAATGCCGGGAAAGATGGCAATCAGCTCGAGATGCCTTGCGACCTCTGTCATCTGCTTGAGACGGTCATTCAAACCCTCCAGTGACCCTCCTATGAGAGCTTCGAAAACGAGCGAGCCGTTCCTATCGTCCAACCCGTAAAAGGCCACAATGAACTGGCTCGAAATCGAACGCCCCTGCAGGTGTGCTAGGACTTTGGCTTCTTGACCTGAGTAGGATGAACTGTTAACATGGACTCTGGCAGGGGATTCGGAGCAAATCGGAACATGATCATGTTCACGCCCCGATAGCATCCATGCTCCTCTCAACTCACTCACCGAAGATTGGTCCAGAATCCTTACGCGCTGGAGTCTTGATGGCAAAAAGCGCGGATCCAGATCTAGGCTGTCGCCGGAACCGCAAAGGGGATGGTGGAGACTCGCTTGATACGATACATTGCGTCGCCTTCTGTTCTGCCAGGTAGACATTAGACCACAGCCCTTTGCCAATGAATGTTGCCTGCTCGAGCTCATAGTCCATCCTGCTATAATCAAACGCAAGAGGGCCCGGAATTGACATCTCCAAAGAGTTTCGTGCACTGGCCAGGCTGGTCAAAGGAGTGGCAGGCGAGCTTGACAAGGCGGTTACATCGCTGGCACTGTCATCGAACGAGGCTGTGGGACTGTTTGGCTCCGTTGAGATCTCAATGGCATGCTCATGCATCCTCCGACTCTTTGGACTGAGATCCGAGTCGTCGGCTGCTGTCGAAGTTGACTTGTGCCTGATGTGCGATCCCTCACGTATCTCTCCAGCTACAGGCGACCAAGGCCCAGAGTCGCTGAACGTTCGCATCCGAAGAGGAAACGGCCTGCTGCGAAGTTTTTGTTGCCCGTTTCCGTTGACTTGAAATTGAACGGTTACGCGTGGACGCCATGAATTTGCCATTGCACGTTGGCTATGATCGCCGGTCGAGCGTTGATATTGACGTGGGAGGGAAACGGTTAGCAAATGCCTGCGCAAGGCCGTTTACAACGACAATGTCTCATGCGATGGTGATCCTGGGAGAGATAAGGAAAAGTCCAACTCCACAAAGTGGAGATAGGCCACCGCGTAGAAGTGATCCAGAGGTGGAGGGATCCCAGTGAGATGGATCATGACGAGCTGGGTTCTCCAGGGAGTTTTAGGTCATCGCTTTGCTGCACGTGTGAAACCAAAAGCCACCGGATCCTACTACTCATCATTACTGAGTTCAATCACTAGCCCGCGGATTCACGGTAATGACATGATGCAAATGAGGCATCCATGGATGCGAGCACGATGTCCACAGCTCCGTGTCTTGCGCTGTCCACGGCCGCCGCGTTGGCAGAGCTGCAAGCGTGTCCCGGTTGGACATTCATCGACGGTGGTGCACGTGTGTTGTGGATGGGTTGAGAGGACTGCTCATCCTTGGAGTGGGACGGTGGACCGAGTTGAAAGAACCTTTGCGCTTGTCGGGGCTTTTAGCGAACGAATCACGAGGCTGGCGCACTAACAGCACAGCACTCCGACGAAGACAAAACGAGATGAAAGGATTTGCATATAACGTGACGGGGTCGCTCATTCACACCAATGTGTACCTCGGCCACATACGAATTGTTACTGCGACATGCAAAACTGAGCTCAACAGAGTGGCCGACGGCATCGGGATCTGACATGTAAGTACAGGTCAGTAGTTCAAGCCGAACAAGCAAGCCTTGCATCGCAATTTCGGAGAGCTTGATTTGACGCTGAACAACTTCGGAACATTGTTACCAAAATCATGGTGGCAGGTGTGACGTAAAGTGGAAACTACCTTAGAAACGGGAGGCTGGAGAATTGCACGCCGCGGATTCATTCCGAAAAGACAGACGACGTTGAGAATTTGATTGATGCCTCCAAATTTAAATGCAACGATCGTAACTCGAGTACTGCTCCAAGTCCGCGTGTTCGGTCAACAAGTCGATGACTTTGCGGTCGCGCTCGTCCCAGTCACGATTTGTTTTTGCGAAGCTGTAAAGACTCACATTAGCCGCTGGGTTGACTTGAAAGAAATTCGAACTCACATGGTCTCGTACGGATGCAACGTGCTGCCCTCATAATTTCCCGTGTGGAGAACGTCGTTGCCTCCCGTTACATTACTCCCGGGCTTGTCGACACACCACTTCAAGAAGGCCGCAGTATCCTTCCCACTCGGGCCCGCATGTGCAACAAAACGACTCTCCATGGCAAATACATCCCCACCCGCCTGCATGATCCTCGTTGCCATTTGTGTCTCCCCATCAGTGACTGCGCTGCCCATGTCTTCGTAGCACTTCATGCTTGGTAGCAATACATTCATGAGGGTCTGCTGAGAGAAGGCCAGCACCATCGACTGAAGATGCGGTGGATAGGGTATGCCATTTGCACAATTCCAACTCATTCCAACCAATGTCGTAAGAAAGTCCAATTTGTCCCAGTAGGCATCGCTCCAGCATATCTTGTCGGCCCATGGAGGGAAGAAGGGCCCCCGCAGCGAAGAGTTGATGAACATGAAGCGCTTGTACGCTGTCGTCAGTGTGCTGTTTGCTGTAAGGACTTCATGAAAGCCGCCTAGATCAAAGCATAGATTTTCTCGCTCAACAATCTTCACGTTTGGTAGCGCTGCCACCTTCGACAGGTCGACCGTGTGAGCTCCATTGATCATGAGGATGAAGTCTGCTTTTCCWTGCAAGGCATGCTCACGAAAGAATGCGAAATTGATCATGCTCTCCTCAGTCTCATGGTAGGAGTATAATATGAGGTCTTGATTCGGTCCGTTCGCATTGGCTTCTCCTTTGTCTAGGCCAGGGTTTGCGATGCCGGCTTTCTTCACGGCCGATGTGTTAAATGCATCAATCGTAGCCTGCAGCTCTTGCGCTTGAGATTGAAGAGAGGCCACATAATACCAAATTAGAAAAAAGATTGCGGAGACTGCAAGAATGGGAGGCAGTTGAGCCTTTTGGGCTACCAACATGTTTTGTTCAGACAAAGTTCTGGTGAGCTGTTGAAGTTGATTTGTGTGAGAAGATCATATTTTACTCGTGCAAGGAAAAGCTTTGATAGAAGCAAGGGATGGGAAACGAGTACTTCTGATGAACGAGGGCAGCATTCCGTCGAAATCACCACGGCTGAGAGCCATTGGTCGTAGCCCGGCAAATCATCATCGCGTGAGAGTGCAGCCCAGTAATCAGCTTTTCCAACTGGTTTATGTGCCTCTCGACTAGCACAACGATGCAACAATCATTGTGAGATAATGTAGAACAAGAGAGACAACTCACCGTGCAGCGCAAAAGTCAAGCGTGCACGGCCCGGGCCACATTTGCTGACTTGCTGACTCGACGACATCACCTTACGCGATTGAGAACACCAACATTGCTCGAGCCGGTACAATCCACCACGACCACAATCATCCAAACCATCACAAAACCCACTTTTGATCTTTCCACTGTGTTCATCCAACTATCTCAAGGCCTTTATTAAAAGTCGCACGTTCAATCGAAGGCTCCGGCGAGCTCGCCACCATGAAGTCCATTACGTATTTGAAGATGGCTGCGACGTTCGTTACATACGTCTCTTCGACCCAATCAATACCTTATTAACTTGGTTCTAGAGGCGGTATCATCTGTATCGGAGGACCAGCCCTGGTGTATTGGGTAACGCCGTCTGAGGAGGAGTTGTTCTTGGCAAGTTCTTACGCACGCGCGGGAAGTATCTAGTGCTAACCCCGAGTGAACAGAAATACAATCCAGAGCTACAGAGACGATCAATTGAGAAGCGAAAGGAGAACCAGGAAAACTTTGACACTTTCGTCGGAAAGTTGAAGGAGTATTCGAAGAGTGACAAGCAGAGTGAGTGTTTGTCAATTGAACAGAAATGTGCAGTCATTAATTGATCATCAGTCTGGACGGTCTGGGAGCAAGAGGCCGAGAAGCACCGCAAGCAAGGCGTTCAAGCGGAGCTCGACCGAAGAAGAGACGCTGAGGCTATGCGGCAGGAGATCAAGGGCTCGATTAAGTGATCAAATCGAGTTTCCTTGAATGTACACTAGCTTTATGACGGTCATTCACAGGCGCAATCAAAACAGACACAATTTGCGAGCACTACAGGCAAGATGCATTCGGTCGTGYGAACCAATTCAATCTCCAGTTTGAAAAATCTGCATATCGGACCCCAGATAGCAGTACTTGGTTCCTGTAGGTACGCCACCTAATCTGCCTTCACCCGAAAACGTTCATCTTGGACACCTCAGCTCATCCTAGTCTTCTTCCCGCCGTCCTCGCGATCCGCGCTCTCCAATTTCCGCTTAGTAGAGCCCCCTGAGAATTTGCATGAGAGTGGTGGTATCGGTACCCACCTTCCGCCAATGAATTTCCACGACCTTGGGGCACTCCTCTCCGTCGACGAATCAGCCGCAAGTCTTGCATCGCCAAAGCCTCTTGTGATGGCCATGCCAGCGACTATCTTGGAACTTAGAATTTCGGACACCTGGGCAACAGAAGTCCGGGATCCCTCATCGTCCACAGCTTCTCTCTTGATGTTCGGTGGCTTGTATGTCACAACCTCTTCATCGTCCTCGTTCTGTTCTGTAGCTCGGTAGGATTCCTTCTTCTGCGGATTTTCGAAAGTCGCTGGCGCCTTCTCCAGAGCATTGACATACTCAAAGCAGTTCTTCAGAAGCCTGTTGATCTCTTCCTGTTCGTCATATTCCGAAGGGTAGCACTCACGCGCGGAGGCTTGTCCGCTTAGTCCAAGGTCCTTGATGCATTTCTTCCGTTCCTTTAAAATCAGGTCCGTACGGTCCTTCGGGTCAACCATTGGACCTTTGATTGATTTGATCAGCTTGTTGACTCCCCTGGTGACTGCGCACCGCTCTTTGCGGCGTCGTTCTCTGAAGTCCGCCTCACTTCGATGATCGTTTGTCGGCGTGGGGTCTGCCATATTTTCAGTCGCTGGAGTTGCTGAAACAGTCGACTCGTTCCCCGGGACGGAATCTTCGGCTGCTGGACTCTGTGATCTGGTAGACTGAATATCGGAACTAGACTCAGAAGTGCCCTCCTTCGTAGCATCCGATGGCGGCGGTGACAGAATCTGTTCGGAAGCCATCTTGCTGTCCATTGTGGTTGAAATGAGAATTGTTAAGATTGAGCCGCGTATGGTGATGGTCGCTGGCTTGTGAAATGCTTGAGAGTTTTCAGATTGTCTGAGCCGATATATGCGTGGCGTGAGAGAGTTTCGCTCTGCACTGGGCGGTAAAAGTGAACTCGTCGCTGATGAGCGAAGTTCTGTGAAGTTTGAGGRTGTTGTACTCTTGTTCTTGTCTCTGGAGTGTTTGGTAAGTATTCAGTATGTGTTGGCTACTTTGACTGAGACTGGTGTGTATGTGAAAGAGTGCACGAGTGAGAGTGTGCGAATGGTAGCAAGGTAAGAGTGTGAAACAGAGGGTTGATATAAGGTCCGAACAGAGCGTGCGTGATAAGCTTGTGTTGATGCTGGCTGGCTGGCTGGCTGGCATGAAGTGAAGCCCGCACACCAAGATCCCCACTCACTCTCCACCGCCATCATCCCAAACACTCCGATCAAAGAATCCCCTAATTTGCCTCGCACTCTCCCTCCCAATAAACCCTCTCAACACTTCCTCGTCCGCATTAGCAACATCCTGTACACTCTCAAATTCAATAATCAATCTCTGCAACACCTTGGCATTGACGCCAGGAACGCATCTGAGCATATCCTGCGGCGTCTGATTAAATGTCCTCGTCTCCGGATCCTCGCCTTCTCCAAGTCCGAGCTGCACGGCTTTGATCGGGTCAGGTTCCTCCTGCTGTTTCTTGAGATCCTCAAAGATCTCCGCGGTTTGATACGGTGAGCTACTCCAGATAATTCTCAGCTTCGGGAACGCGAGGGTGAGGAGGACCAGTTTGGATTGCAGATCATTGCCTACGAGGTTACTGCCGCTGGAAGCGGAATAGTCTGCAAAAGGTTCGAGAGTGAAAGCTTTCTGTGCGTCGAATTCGATAAGCAACATGGGGGACTTGTAGTATTGCAGCATCGTCTCGGCTTGGTTGTACAATCTTCCATCCGAGAACGAAGAGATCAAATCCCGGATACTCTTCCGCTCCACGCATATTTCCGGGGACAAAATATAATCACCCACGGTCAACATGCAAGGCACCACGACCATATTCCGGCCGTGAATGAGAGAGGGCAGACTGCTCCGAAATTCCCGCACATCCACCACGACCCTTGGTGGTTCTGCTGTTGCAGTCAGTCGACCTCCACCAGCAATTCGAGTGTTGACGGTGCGCAGGAAGGCTTCTTGGGGATCCAGATTATCGGTGTCGTGCGTGAACGTCAGCGCCATATTTCCCCTCTCGCGAATCAGCTTCGCGAAGGAATCCTTCTCCCTACGAACAGCAGAGAGATACCGCTGTTCCTCCACACTGCCTCCATAATACATAAAGTATACCCGCACCTGCCTATTCCCATGACTGCTCCGGTACATTTCAATTCGTCGAATAAAAGCCGCATCCGGCTCGTACATGATGACATATCTCGGCTTGGTCTCTTCAAGCAAGTGGTCATCCTTGTCGCCGTCGTAAGGGTGTATAAGTACAAGATCTCTCATATCGTAAAGTTCGTAATAGTCTTCCATGTCGTCAAGAGGATCGGCGCCGAGGTCGACCTTGTTGGCGTATGTCTCTTCTGTCGTCTCGTTCATAGCGAGATCGTGCATCAGAGACTGAATGTGGGATTCCTTGTCGCCTGCRACATGGACTGCCCCACTTACTGTGCGAGTCGATGCTGCACCAGCTCCTCCGCCTCCGCGGACTCTTCTTCGCTTGTTCGGAGGTGCTCTGCCACCTCCTCGGCCAGCTTGTGCACCTGGCTTGGTTGTGCCCATGATCTCTTGTTGGTTGGCCGCAAACAAATTGCTGCTCACTCGCGCGAAGTCTCGCTTCCACTGCAAGTAATAGCGGAGTTTCCGCCGCATGAGATACTTCGCACTGGGCTTCCTCTCCGTTGTGTCATCGTCATCTTCGTCTGCTGTTGCCTCTTTTCCATCTGAATCCTTGTGCATCGTTTGTAGATACTCACGTAACTGTCTACAAGTTCCATGATCTCCACACATGATGAGGATACTGCCACTCGAGTCGTCCTGTGTCTGTGGATGGAAGTAGACATCTCGCTCAATCTCCTCAAGAATCTCAGCTAGCAATCCCCACTTCGGCATCTCCTCCAGAACGGGATTCAGTCCATCGATTTCAGATGTTGCCGACATGCTATCCGCGATCCTACCAGTGTACACTCTCCTCTTCGCCGAGTCAAAAAGGGTATGGGCAGCGTCGAGGAATAGCCAGGGCGACTGATTCTGTCGATTCGATCCCTGTTGAGGCTGAGATGCGGCAAGCACAGTATCAAGATATTTGTGAAAGTCGACCGCATTCAACGTCAGCAGTGAGTGGAGGATGCTTCTCAGCATTCCCAAGTCTCGCACAATCTGTCTCGTACGGTAGCTGGTACGATGCCAGACTGGATCCAGCTGTCTCCTCACAATCGCATCAAACGATCGATGCAGAGCACTGTCCAGGTTCCAGTCTTCCATCTCCAGCCCAGGGTTGCCTTTCTTCAACTCCGATATCGACACTTCCACGCACTCCATCACGGCATTCTGGATATCTCGCATAGCATCCGTCATGGGCACTTCCAACTCAATGACCTCCGCTTTCCTCTTTCCCTCAAGCGATTTCGCGACAGTGACGTGAAATCGCGGGTATAATATAGGCTTCCTCAGAAACAGATTCCGTAGAATATTAGACAAGGGCTGAAAGCCCGAAGTGAAAGGCTCAGGCTGATCAGAGAAAGCTTTCAAGAAACCCTTCTTGTTTTTCTGTCTGTATATCCGCACAATGAAAGCCTCCAAGCTGGTCGCCGCCACGCGATCAGCATGCAGCATCACAAGTCCCGTCACCATAGCCGGGTCCAGCAATCCACTCAGGAAATCTACAATGAGAATCCGACTTGTAATGGAGCATATGCCGCCTCTTTTATACATCTTTTCGCGCGTGCCGACATTCGTCAAGTCCGTATTGACGAGCTGCATGCCGCGACAATTGGGACTCCCGCTCACGGCGGCGTGTTCTGCCAACGATTCGCCGATCCAGTCATTCTCGCGTTCGTCTGCACCTACGAGGATGACGACGTTGTGGCCGGCGGCGTCGTAGGAGTGAAGGAGGTTCGTGACGAGTCGCAGCAGGCCCAGGCCACGGGCGAGGATGAGTAGTATATCTTCATCGCGCAATTCGTAGAATGCTTCTTGCTGGAATTCTAGAGGCAAAGACAGACGCACTGGTGGATTTGCTGCCGCGTCGCCATCGCCGTTGTTAGCGACGTCTGGCATGGGAGCGACGAGGAGAGGTTGGAGAGGTGTGGGGTGTTGTTCACGGAAGACGCGTGAGCTTTTATTTCACGATGACGYTGTCACAACATGAGGTATGGGGATGTAACATTGACGTCGTTCAGAAATGAATTGCACATGAGACATCCCACAGTACAGAAAGCAGATGAAAAACATTTTGACTGGGTCATTTTACATTTCTGCATTTGAGGCTCGTCTGCCAGACTCCATTCTCCTTATCAACGCCCGGCATCACCCTTCGCCGTACCGTTTATCCCTCTCATGTCATGTCATTTCAATTCATAACTCGCTMGCCCGCCCGCTCAATCAATCAGTACGGCCATCTCCAGTTGGTGAACTCCTCTGGGTCAAGGCCAGTCTCGTAGCTGAAGTTGGCAGCACGAGTACGGCTGTCAATCAGCTTCTCCCTCGCACTAGCTCCCTTGTTACCAAGGACATCCTTCAGGTTGTCGATGGCGAGGATGGCCAGGGAGAAGCGATCGGCTTCGTTGCGGATGGCGAGTTCGAGAGGGGTGTCGATGTTACCCTTCTCCTTGTAGCCTAGTTTATATTGTCAGCGTCAATCAAATCATCGATCGTGATAGTGATAGTAATCGAACGTACCTCGCACGTGCATACGCTCCTGTCCCTTGCGGTTGTAGGTCATTCTGTGTACCAACCAAGGGTACGAGTGGAAGTTGAAGACGACCGGCTTGTCGGATGTGAAGATGGCCTCGTACTCAGCCGCCTTCAAGCCGTGTGGGTGGTAGCCGTTTGGCTGCAGCTTGAAGAGATCCACAACATTCACGAAGCGGATCTTCAAGTCGGGAAGAGCCTCGCGGAGAAGTGCTGTAGCAGCAAGTGCCTCTGCGGTAACGACATCACCGCAAGAAGCCATGACTACATCTGGCTCAGAGCCCYGATCGTTGGACGCCCAGTCCCAGATTCCGAGACCCTTGGAGCAATGCGCCACAGCGTCTTCCATGCTGAGGTATTGTGGGTGCACTTGCTTATCAGCAACGATGACGTTGACGTAGTTCTCGCTCTTGAAACAGTGGTTCATAGTGGAGAGCAAGCAGTTGGCATCTGGGGGGAGGTAGATKCGCACGACCTCTGGCGACTTGTTGGCGACAACATCGAGGAATCCAGGATCTTGATGAGTGAAGCCGTTGTGGTCCTGACGCCACACAGTGCTGGTCAGGAGAATGTTGAGGGAAGCCACCGCCCGACGCCAGGGCACCTCGAGACACTTCTCGATCCACTTGCAGTGTTGGTTGACCATTGAGTCAATGATGTGAATGAACGGCTCGTAGGAGTTGAGCATTCCATGTCTGCCGCTGAGGATGTATCCCTCGAGCCATCCCTCCACAGTGTGCTCTGAGAGCATTTCCATGACACGGCCAGTTGGGCTCAGGTTGCCGCCATCCTCATCCTCTGGTAGGTAACCGTTGACCCAAACCTTCTTTCCAGCCTTGTAGATCTCGCCAAGCTTGTTGCTCTCGGTCTCATCAGGTCCAAAGACACGGAAGGTCTTCATGTTGTCCCGAACAATGTCGCGAAGGAAGTTGGAGAAGATGTTCATAGATGGGCCCTCGGTAACACCTGGCTTGTCAACCTTGAGAGCATAGTTCTTGAAGTCTTGCAGCTTGAGCGGCTTGCGGAGGAGACCACCGTTGGTAATGGGGTTTTCTCCCATTCTCTTGCCCTTGGCTGGTGCCAGCTCCCTCAGCTCGGGCACGAACTTGCCATCCTTGGTGAACAACTCCTCTGGCTTGTATGATCGCATCCACGTCTCCAAGAGCTTGAGCTGCTCCGGATCGTTTAGAACTTTCGTGAGAGGAACCTGGTGAGCACGCCAGAAGCCCTCAAGATGGTGACCATCGACCTTCTTTGGAGCAGTCCAGCCCTTGGGAGAGCGGAGGACAATCATTGGCCATCTCGGTCTGAACACCTTGCCGGAATCACGAGCTTCCTTCTGGAACTTGCGGATTTCGTTGACACAGTGCTCAAGAGTGCCGGCCATTGCCTGGTGCATCGTCTCAATGTCAGATCCCTCCACAAAGTAGGGCGTGTATCCATATCCCTGCATCAATGCAGTCAACTCCTCCTCCGAGATACGAGCAAGAATGGTTGGGTTGTTGATCTTGTAGCCGTTGAGGTGGAGGATAGGAAGCACGGCACCGTCGGTAATTGGGTTAAGGAACTTGTTGCTGTGCCAGCTGGTGGCCAGAGGGCCGGTCTCGGACTCACCATCGCCCACAATCGTCAATGCAATCGTTTGCGGGTGGTCGTAGACGGCACCGAAAGCATGTGAAAGCGAGTAACCAAGCTCACCTCCCTCGTGGATGGAGCCTGGGGTCTCTGGAGTCATGTGCGAACCCACTCCACCGGGGAAGGAAAACTGCTTGAAGAATTTCTGCAATCCATCAAGGTCCTCGCCCTTGTTAGGGTAGACCTCGGAATAGACTCCTTCAAGGTAGAAGTTGGAGATGAGGCCAGGAGCGCCATGTCCAGGTCCAGAAACGACGAAAGCATCAAGATCATACTTCTTGATAAGACGGTTCATGTGGATGTATGTGAACGACTGGCCAGCATCTGAACCCCAGTGTCCAAGCAGACGAGGCTTGATGTGTTCTTTCTTAAGAGGCTCTTGCAGAAGTGGGTTCTCCTTCAGGTACAGCATTCCCAGACAGAGGTAGAGCGTCGCGTTGAAGTATCGGTTGATCTTGTCGAGCTCATCCTTGCTAAGTGGATTCTCATCGATGGTGGAGCGCGTCTTGGTGAAGACCGACCATTGCTCCTGCTGGTCAGTCAAGCCGTGGATTGGCAGCTCTTTGGAAGCCATTGTGAGGGTGTTGACCTCAATGAGAGTTGGAGGTGAATGGGGTGATGAAAGGTTGGTGTAGAGAAGAGGAATAAATTTAATGGAAACACCACCCAATGTGGATACCTGCGAGCTTTCTTACCTCACTTGCGATTTGCTTTCGTCACACGCGAAGCGCGAAGCGGCGAGGTAAGAGCTGCAAATCTTTGGAGACGGCACTGTGACGGGACGCGGCGGATGGGCAACGTCATACAGCAGATGTTTCCACGGCTCCACCAAAACAGCCAATGAAGTCCGTCGAATGCTGAATCTAGCAGCATGTTCGGAACACTTTCCGACGGGAGAGTCGGCGGCGAGGCGTCAAGGTGAGAGATGTTGCGTGGGATGCGGGACGTTGATTATTTTCAGGCACAAAAACACAGCGTCGGAAACGCGCGGAGGCGTTGCCTTTTTTCCCACAGCTTCTCGGCCCGCCATGTTGAGCAGAAGAAAAATTGCCTGACAGCATCAGCGGCGTTTACTTTCTCGCCTTCACATGCCAGAGGATCACACATTGCAAAGGCCTAGAATGTTCGCCCGCAGCAAACATGTCATGAGCTGACGGGGCCCTCCACGCCAACAATCATACCATTTCTACATGATACACCATCATACAAACCTTCTCGCAAATCGACCAATGATCATTCAAAAAGTGAGTTCAGTGGGTATCGTGTGCCTTAAACAGCAGCAGTAACAACGCATCCCGCATCGACCTGCCCGTCGTACTCCATCTATTGCCATTCCATTCATGACGTACACCCGAGTTCCAAGATAGATATACCTATACACAATTATCCATTCATCGTTCATGACCGCTCATGACCGCGCGAACCAGCTCGCACGCTTGTTGCCCGAGTTTCCGGCCTCCTGGCTAGCTTGCAGGCCAGCGAATGTTGGAACTGAGGGCTGCGAAGAGCTGTCTCCGCCGCCACCTCCGCGCAGAGGTTTCGCTATCCGACCGAAAGCGTTGTTGACAAAACCAGATGGTGCAGGTGAGTTTGGTCCAAGACCGCGAGTCGAGCCGGATTTGGCGGCCTCGAGGCGCTCCTTAACGGCCATGAGCTGGCTTTYGAATCTGTTTGCAATGGTTAGCTGGCTTTGCAGAGAATACAAGGATAACGGCAAAACATACTTGTGGTTCGCGACCATCAACTTTTCTTGACTTTCCTGCACCAAGCCCTCCAAGCCTCTGATGCGTTCGCCTCGAGCGACAAGCTTCCTCTCTGCTATGGCGACTTCTTTCTTGAGCTGAGCGTTTTGCTCGACCAGTTGTCGCTGCACCATTGTAAGCTGCTCTAGATTGCGCTCCAAGAATGCAAGCTTCTTCTGCTGCTGCTTCGAATTGCTGCTTCGCAGGATGGAGTTGTACTGCTCCCGTGTGCTGTCCAGGCTGATTTCCAACTCTACCACCCGCTCGCAGCGGTTTTGAAGATCACGCATGAGGGACTTCTTAATCGTGTCAAAGTCTGCGAGCTGCTTGTGCAACGATGCGCCATTCGCGCCGCCCACGGTTTGCGACCTGAGCGCATCAAGCTCGCTGCGGATACGAGCATTCTCCTCTTGCTGTCTGGCGAGAGCCTCTTGAAGCTCTGGTGAGTTGACGCCGCCATCCTGTTTGGAGAGAGACTCGAAGAGACTTTTCTTGACATCTTCGACATCTTCCTCGGACAGATTCCGTTCGAGCAGGGCTTGATACTCCTTTTGTGCTTGCAAGATCTTCTGCTCGAGGATTGCAGTATGAGCAGAGTCGGATTGACCGCTGGTGCTAATGTCTGCTTGACGGACCTGGCTCTGAAGGTCCACAAGTCTATCCTTTAGTGCGTTGAGCTCGTCCGGCGCAATTGCCTCTCCGTTCTCTGCAATCTCGAGCAAGCTCGACACTTGCTGCACCATCTCTCTCACTTGCTCCTCACGACTGGATCCATCGCCGAGATCGAAGCCTGCCATCATCTGGGCCATGCGCTCCTTCTTCAGCCTCTCCTTCTCATCCAACAGCGCAGAAGAGTCTTTTGCGGACATTTTCGCATCGAGAAGCTGGTGCTTGACATCATCCAGTTCTTGTGTGAGTTCCGCGTTCGCCTCTTTGAGGGAGTCCATGGTAATGGCAGCCTCCTTGTTCTCAAATTCAATCTTCTCAACTTGCATGCGCAGGGTCTCAGTGTCGCCCTGCAACTTCTCGTTACTGCGCATAGTTGTAGTCTGTGCGTCACGAAGCTCCTTCAAGTCGTTTCGTGCAGCCTGAAGAGCTTGTTCGGCCGCTGCGAGGCTGCTCTCCCGCTCTGCTAACTGGTCTTGCAGTTCATTCTCCCGGCGAAGAAATTCCTCTTTCTCATCCCTTTCCAGAGGAAGGCTGGGGGTACCTGCCCGATCCATTTCCATACGGCTGTCTGGTCTAGGAGTGCCAGGTGTTTCCTGTCCTGCTCGGAATCTGCTGGTGGGAGTTGCAGATCGAGGCGGAGCCGGCGCCGCTGGTGTCTTACCCATTTCGAGCAAAGCGGGTGTCCATTGCTCTTTGGGCACGCTCTCACCCTTGCGCCAATTCTTGACTTCACCCTCGAGAGTGGAAATGTACGATTCGAACGTGGTGACTTGCCCTTGTGCCTTGCGGAGTAGAGCCTTGAGCTGAGCAGGCGAAAGCTCCTCGTTGATCTTCGCCTTCTGTTTGATGGTCTTTGCGCGTTCACCGAAGCGTAAGGTTGAAACGGTCTCCGCATCGTTGTATGATGAAGGTGAGGCGTTGATGATGAGTGTTGTCCGCGAGTTACCACCGAGTGATTCTTGGAGAATGCGGGTAAGCTTGCTGTCTCTGTATGGTACGTGCGTGCTTTTGCCATCCGAAAGAGCGTTGATGACCATGCCGAGCGCAGAGAGCGACTTGTTGATCTTCTTGGCCTCCTCTAGTGTTTGTCCACTGRCACCCGTCTTGCCAACCTTTTCAGAACCAGCCAGATCCACCAGAAACAGACGACCAGATCGCGCGGTCCCCGACTCCACATTCTTTTGTGCCACCTCAATAACGAAAATGGAGTGGGATCGCGAAGATTCCTGGTTCATGTTTGTTGCCGCAACGGCTCTTGCACTTCCTCCACGCTCAAGGACTTGGTAGACCTCTTCAACAGATCCCACGTAAAACTCGCCGAGGCCCTTGACATAGACTCCGCGCTGCTTGTCCTCATGGATTGGTAGGTTGTCGTTTTGTGGGACCAGCAGATCGCGAATCTTCTCCATGTATATTTCCATATAGCTCACCTTGACGGTGAATTCAATACTGCCATCACTTCGCAAAATGCTGCTGAAGATTTGCTCGACAATTCGAGGAATGATACCCTTTTGRTCCTCATTCGCAATGTCGGCGCCCATCATGGTGTACGTCTTTCCCGAACCAGTCTGACCGTATGCAAAGACCGTTCCGTTGTAGCCACCCAGCACATCATCGACGGTACTGCGGATGGAATAGTCAAAGACATCCTGCTGGGGGGTGCCGACCTTGAATACGYGGTCGAAGGTGAAAGCGCCGCTGGCTTCTTTGGAAGAGATGGAACACGTGTCGTCGCTGCTGAATTCGACAATCTGCTCGCTGCCTGCTGCAAGCTCAATCTTATTCTGAGGTCTGAACCTCGCCACCACTTTTATCGTGGTAGGGTTGGTGGAGGCCATTGGGTTGTCGCGCAAGCGCTCTGGGCGCTTCAAGCTGAGCAGGAGTGTCCTAGGAGAAGGATGTCAGGTGTCCGGGCGCCTGAGGCGCGTTTAACGGGAGTATAATGTCGGGAGGGTCTGGTGTAGTTCTAAAGTGTTCGGCAGCGCGGCGGGTCGATGTCGAGTCGCGGAGCCAGTCCAGTCCAAGGAGCCGTCCGCTAGTGCAGGCGGAGCCTTTTCGTCCCCGTGGTGCTCGTAAAAGGCCGTACAACGTAACGAATAGCACACCTCAGGCGCGCGTGTGTCTTTTCGTCGTAGCAGCGCTCGAGCGAAGGCGTAAGATGTTTCGAGCAGACGTGGGGGTGTTGTCGAACGCTGTTGTTCTGCCAAAACAACCCGGAAGTCTAAATTCCTCCCCGTTGTTCCCGTCTTCCGAAACATTTCTGTCGCGTCGAAGTAATTTGAAAAATGATACCGTGGGAGGGACATGGAGAGGATCTGGTCGACCGATGAACCACTGCAAGATGATGGCTCCGCCACTGCAATGAGATTCGAGTGGACGTGGACATGGACATGTCGTTCTGCGGGACGATGGGAAATAACTGGCACGGGCGTGTGCATGAATGGCATCAACAACAAGTGTGTCAATACCGGATCCACTCCTCCGATGTCACGAACGCAATCATTTCAATCAGGTCTATGCGAAACTCTTCACCTGCGCCCCGGCCGACAAGATGACAATTAAGACGAGGATAAAAGAGGGTGATGGATTGTCATCTCTATACATCAAAAAGCGAACGCCAAACTTCTATCCACATACTTACCTAACCTTCATGACCAAGCAGGGCTTTGACTCCTATCCGCAGCTTTTGCAGGCGAGTGTAACCTCTCTTTTCAATCGTCTCGGCTTCTTCCTCAGGCGCCTCATACCGATCATTGTCATCCTCGAGTTCCTCAAAGTCCCTCGCGACGACCGGATTCCATCGCTTCAAGTACTTGGCTTCATCCTCTGGACTCAACTCACCACCTTCCTCCAACTTGGAATGATCATAACCCTTCAGCTCCTCCTGTGGCTCCTCCCAATCATTCTCGCCGTCGTCGATGTCGGCAAACTCTCTCTTGACAAGCTCATGGTCATATCCCTCCAAGCTGACGTCGACTTCTTCGTCGTCACCATCCGGGTCGTCAGCGAACCTTCTCATGAATTGCTTCAGATCCGCGGAGACGCGTTCGGTGTGCTTGACATAGTGCGGCTTCATCCGTCCGAGGCGCTTCCTTTCAGCAGCAGAGGGTGAAAAGACCAACTTTGGAAGAACCAACTTCGCATCCGCATCTCGGCGCTCAACAGGGATAGTATCATCTGCTGCGTCCTTCTCGTCCAATTCCTTTTGATATTCCTCCTCGGAGACACCATCGGGAACTGCGTCATATTCCTCGTCGTCTTCTGCCAAGGATGCGGCAAGTTGCGCGGCGAATTCGGCATCGTCTTCAACCTCTCCTGCTTCGCGGGTGAGGAGGAGGTGATCGTAACCATCGAGACTGGTGTCGACATCTTCACCAAACTCAGCTTTAATAGCTGCAGCATCCTTCTCTAGCGCATTGCGCGCATAGATTTGTTGTTCAGTGGCGCCAATCTCCTCGGTGTTTCTTGAGGCATCTGCATGGGAGGTCACTGCTAGGCAGGCAACTGCAAAGCAGGCGATTTTGATGTTGCAATGCATGGTGTGAGAATGGTACCTTGATTCGGTGAGTATTGGAAAGACAGCGGTTTGGATACCTCTTGTAGGTAGGTGGAAGGATCGAGGTGGACTATGGTTATGAGATGTCCCAGTCATAAAGACTGTTTTCGGCCATTGTTTCGCTCAAAGGGTGCGAGAGATCCGCATGGCTGCATTGGACATAGAATGAAAATGGAACAAAGGCGACCTCGTGGCAATTTCGTGGAGGAAATTACATGACGACGTTTGATCGTGGTAGACAGAGAACAGTAAGTCAAGACAATTTCATACTCGAATGTCAACATTTTCGTAAAGAATATGCCGTCACAATTCATTGGAAATCAAGAAGATCCTGGCGCATTCTTTAATTCCAGCTGGAATGCAGCCCCTGAAAGCTTGGCATGTGAGAGGAGTGTGCACGAATATCTTCATGACATCTTCGAGGCCGTTGGGACAGGAATATTGGGATGCCTCAACTGTCAAAAGGCACGTATGTCAATGCGGGTAGTTTGCATTCAGAGGGGAGCCCGTGCCTGCCACGTGGTGACGTGCGAAGAGCTCTTCGACTTCACTTTTGCGTCATCTAGCTGCCTCACAACACCAACTTCGAGGCCATCATTCTGTCAGATCGAAACTCGAGCTCTGCGACATACTATCAAGCGCTCATGATGGCAGTGCACACACTGTCGAACGCGGACGGCACCGATGGCGACGAATCAGCCATTGCTGGCCAGGGCAGCGACGTTGAAGATGAGAAGATGGTGGAGAACATTCAAGGACTGGCCCAAGAACTGCAAGACATGATTTTCGCCTACCTTTACGAAGCTCCTGCTTTCGTGACCATCACTAGGAACTACCAACCACCTGTCGCGCTCCAGCTGAGCCGCAAAATTCGAGAGCAGTTCGCGGAAGACTACTACAGCACCAAGACCTTTGAGTTCAAATTTATCAGTGAAGCCGAGTCCGACCAATACGAGAGCAAATTTCTTCTCGCTCGGTGGGTCATGCATTTGGAAGTCTCACACCGGGAGAAGATTAAGAACGTTCAACTTACGCGGCCCTGGTCCTTCATTCGTCGTTGCCTGGACATTCCCAATGAACTTAACGATGCCCACTGTGAATTCGGCATGATGGATATACCCCATGCGAAGATCGTACTCGGGTACGTCCGCGATTCGCGGTGGGTCGACAGGTATGATTCTACCGGATACATTGGAGCATGGATGAGTGGTGATTTGAGAAGACACCTTTGAAGAAGAGCAAAATTGACCATGTGCCATATGCATGCAGAGACGACAAACCCCACATTGTGACTCTGACTGGCGTCGTTCGGCAACAGAGTAAAGACGTTCAAGCCAGGCCGCGTGACTGGTTGGGGCCAGTAAGTCATCAACCATGAGGAATGGGAACCATTCAGAGTTCTGGGAGCCACAGGAGCTGCAAGACCAGTGGCTGTCGAGGCTTTACAGCCAAAATTTAACCTTCAGGCAGCAATTCGGATTTATTGTATGGGCCAAAATCCCATAACCTTTCTGATGCCCGATGGCATCAAGACAGCGGAACCATGGGACGAATCTCACATGTCCAGCCATGCCCACTGTAGAATTTCCAACTCCTCCTTCTCTTCATGTCATATTTCCATCGTCTTTGTATGACCGCACCGTCAACGCCCACCTTGAAAGATACTCATTCTTCAGGACTCTCCCTACCACCACACCAAAGTTCCCCTACTGGGCTGACTGCACCGTCTGCGCATCCGGTCCCTCAACATGGCTGAAGATTCGAGTTCGTCTTCCACTGATGGACTAGATCTCATGATCCGGAAGCTCCCACAGGAGTTGTCCGACATGATCTTCTCTTTTACACTACAGACTCCAGCTATTATCACAATCACCAAATTCCGCGTCGATCGAGTTGGTGCAATCTACGACAAGCCATCATACACCCCGCCGCTAGGACTCCGATTGAATCGCGAAATACGGGCTCGATTCGCATCGGAGTATTACAGCACGACTATCTTTGAGTTCTTGTCGGAATGTCTCACAAAAAACCCTCGAGATGTGGAGGGTTACAAGCTTAATCCCATTTTGCATTGGCTTCGCAGCTTGAGCCCAGAGCATAGGGGCGCCATCCGTTTCCTGCAGTACACTGAGATCAATCACCTGTGCACTGTTAGACGGCAGCGGCAGCAAGAAGTCGGGTACTGGAAGTCCATGGGTCATCACCTTCGGACTTTTCTTGAAYCTGTTGAGCGGGATGACATGATGCGAGCTGAGATAGTGCTTGCTGCCATAGTTCTGGACCCATGGAAGAAGGTTCCGAGCATCAGGAGGATCGAGAGGTATGACATAGATGGGGGAATTCTAGAGGAGGAAGATTTAAAGCCGACGCGGGAGATGCATAGCCGTCTGATACCGGCTGGGGAATACGATGACAAGGATGAACGCGGTTGGAGGATGGGATCTCGTAGCGGCGGAAGAAGAGGTATGGCCGCCGTCTCGGGAACTCCGAGCGGAGGGACTATGAGGAGGCCGTAGTCGATGTTGACTCTTTGTGTGTGTGTGATCTGATTTACCGCGGATCATTGCTGAAGGGAGATGTGGTTGAATCGAGGAATTAGAATCATGGAATCGAACGAAACAGCTCCAATGTCTAGTCTGAGTATATGAGAACCACCATCCTATCATACCTGAACGTATCCGTGGTTCTTTTGAATCCCTCCCAGGGAACACTAGTTCAGTCTAGTCCATCTAAATGATTTGGGCCCATTTACGAGTCAAAACAAGCCCGTGCTCAAAATGCGACAATCGCTTGCAAGCTCCTTCCTCCCACTGCACCTTCCACTTCCACTTCTTCCGCGACTTCTCATCACAACAACACCAACACCCCATCGCGGCGGACAATCACAGGCACTACATCGACAAGCCAAGATCGCCTCTACGTTCACACCGTCCAGACACCGCCAATCACTCGCAGTCGAAGCAGCCGTCAGAACAATTACTCAACAAGCTTATCGCGCCTCATCAACACTCCCCGCCGTCCGACAGACGGAATTACCGCCAAGCAGACTTCTGGCGGCTTCAGAAGCGGCAAATTCAATCTGAGATCCTCTAGTCAGATTCAAAGGCCCTTCGAGAGCATTTCCAATTCGAGCAATCCTCACGCCAACAACACCCGGTCACTCAGCATGGCCGAAATCACAGTCACGGCCTCGAGCGTCGTGGAATTGGATAGGAGAATCCAGGCTCTTCCACAGGAACTACAAGATGCAATCCTCTGGCTTACTGATGGATTCGAGATTCCTACCACCACGGCGGTCACCAAGTGCAGCTACGAGCCCAGTGACCCTCAGAACAGGATCTACGAGATCGTGCGGTGTTACAAACCACCACTTGCGCTTCAATTGAGTCGGAAAGTACGTGCTCAATTTTCCAAGAAATACTACAGCACTACCGTGTTCGAGTTTGTGGTGAGACACATCGGCCGTGTCTTGTTCCAACGCTTACCCAGGGCTTTCCTTGGTCACAACGATGCCCAACGCCTTGTAGGCTGGCTTACTACCTTGAGCCGAGCACACAGATCATATATCACGTCACTCCAAATTACAAAAGTCCGGCCCTTTGAGACATATCACAGAAATCACTCTGTCTATTGCAGACAGATTGCAGATTGTGTCCGACCTCTTCTGGCGAGCGTTGATATGGAGGAACCTGACGTGGCGGTCGCTTGCAGGCCGCATATGGGAGAGCGACTGGAGAGGTATGACATGAGAAGCGGTCGACTGATGGAGGATGGGTCGATCTAAGCCACGTGCAAGATTCAGAAGTCTAATTTGCACGTGAACTTCCCAATTAGGAAGGAGCCCGTGCTCAAAATGACATACTTCAACTCCAATCTCCTTCATCGTTCTGACATCGACACAAACAACTCTATCGTGAGCAATAACTTGCAGACTTGCCTCATCCTCACGGCCTTCATGCTTCAACATCATTGCAAGCCCTGACAAGCCGTTCTGACTTGCAGCGAGCGAACATGGCCGAAATCACCGAGAACAACACCGAGTTGAACGACAGAATCCAGGCTCTGCCGCTCGAGCTCCAAGATATCATTCTATGGTTCACCGATGCTTTTCAGATTCCTGATACTCCAGTCTCAATCACCGAGTTTTCTCCAGTTTTCACCGACCGGTACCAGAACATCCCTACCTACGCGCCTCCAATCGCCTTTCAGCTGAATCGAAAACTCCGCGCTCAGTTCGCCACAAAGTACTACAGCACGGTCACGTTCGAATTAGTAACGAAAGATCACGCAGACCTCTTAACGCCGCGCCCTTTCCGGAAACCGGCAATGCACTACCTCTCACGTTGGCTGAAAAGCCTTAGCAAGTCACACCTGGATTTGATCAAGTCGCTTCAGTTCACAGAATGGGATGGTGTCAGGGGTTACTATCAAAATTACCAGGAGAAATGCATTGTGGATGCAAAGTGCTTCAAAGCGCTTCTGACCAGATTGGGGATGGAAAATATCGAACGAGTGAAGCTGGTGTTGGCTTGTAAGGTCAGTAGAGACAGAGAAATCATGGAGTTGGAAAGATTCAGTGTGCAGGACGAACAACTGTTCGAGTAACATGATCTCTCTTCTCTCGCTCGTCGAGCTTTGGATGGTTAGGTCAGGTGGCTAGTCATCATTATGGCAATTGGCGAGAGCAAGGGAATGGGAGGCACTCGATTATACAGGGGATGCGAAGCAGTCCTAGACCGTTGTATCAAACATGGCGGGCATCTAGGCTCCAATGGACTGATTCTGAACGGAAACGGGCTTCGCGAGGTTGATATTTGTGGCACGACTACATGAATCCTTGACGATTAAGAAAAGTCTCCTTCTTGAAATATGCGTCGTATCCCGTTAGCTCTTGTACTGAAATGACGCGACACTCGAGGGCTTGCCGAGTTTTGCATGTGACAGTTTCTATGTCAGCAAGCTCACGCTGAAAGCAACATAAGTCTCACTTACCATTCTGCTCTTCATTTTATACTCGACTCGAACATTAATCCACAACTTTGACATTATCTTCAATCCCCTACCGCTAGCAAAGGTATCCTTTACCTTCTTCTAACACCACCTCTCGAACAATCAACCACATTATGGCAACAACCTCCGACGCCCCGATTCCATCWATGCATAGCGCGCACTCTGCCCACAATGAACTTGCCGACCGCATCAGAGCACTACCTCAGGAGATCCAGAATAACATCCTGACACTCTCCCTCCAACTCCCGACCACTGTTCGCATTAACAAGGACTACAAACCTCCACTCGCCCTCCACTTAGACCGCGCATCTCGTACCAAGTACCTCGAGGGATACTACACTAACACCATCTTCGAGACTACTCCACCAAATCATCCATCGACCGGACACTTGGACGTCGATAAGCACGGAGTACCTATCGAGGACGAACTCCCAAGTCTTGTCACATGGGTCAAGTCCCTGAGCCCGTCTCATAGACGCATGATCGGCATCTTCCACTTCATCGACATGAACCACTGGAATGACTTCCTAGATGCTGGAAAGCTACTGAGCAAGAAGCGTCGATATGCACGAGTCCATTTCCAGCGCATTGGAAGAAGTGAGTATGACGGAGATTTGCAGAACGCTAGAGTGGTGCTCCGCTCCACGATCACCAGCGAGGCTGGAAGGGAGGTGGAATTCTTTTGGGAGAAGACACCGGTGGGTCAGTCGAGCTGGTGGGTCAACTCGAGTATGCTTTACGTAGACTCATCGGTTGGGGTGTTTAATGGATGAATAAATGAGTATGTGGGTTGAGCAGGATATTGTAGTGTGCTCAAAAACGACGGAAAACGATTAATCAAGCTCTAAGTAGCTGGAAGTTCCTTACTTGAGATATCCGGTTCGGTCGATTGATTGATACTAGCTTAATGGGTTGGTATACTTGGCATGGTTTGTTTAAAAGGACCTAGTCAGTCTCTTTGTTCGATCAAACAGATTGTTTGAGCAACCTAGCGGTTTGTTCGTTCATCACACTAGGATATAGGCTTTATGTATTGCCCTAGCGATGCACAAGTTTTCTACACACTGTAATCTAGAGAGCACAAATCACAACACCATTCTAGTTAGCGGGACATGTAAGTCGATGGCCATGAGTCTTAGAGCGGCTTCCTAAGCGTAATTTAATTCGCGGTGTTGGAGGCTTTCTGGGATTTCATTAATCTGAAAAGTTGTCCAAGATTTGCATGTGAAGATTCACCTACGTAAGCGAGTCCGTGCGTCTGTAAGTGACAAAACATGCATCAACGCTGCTTCGCAACCTCATCGTTACTTCCCTCACAACATCATCCACTCCCTTGACAGCATCATCCACTTCCTTGACAACATCATCACCACAACTCGAGCATCATCATCACTTCCTTGACACCGTCATATTAACTCGAGCGTCACCACACCTCGAGCATCACCACAAGATCCTCCGCCGCGCACTTCTCGCCGGATTTTCACACACGCCCGCCAACCGACCACATTGAACTCCTCGGCGGTCTCAATTGGATATCGACGAGCTTCCTCAACTCAACTCTTCTACCATCTGAGTCATGGCAAACCACGCCGCCAACTCGGGTGAAGGCGCGTACCACGACACTTCAACCATCATCGACCTTACTACCGGCGACCTCACCACCGGCGACCTCACCACCGGCGACCTCACTACCGGCGACTCCACCATCATTGACCCCATCGCCGACGACCTCGACAGTCGCATCCAAGCGCTTCCCCAGGAACTCCAGGATACCATCCTCTCATTCACCGACGCATTTGACATCCCTACTGTCGTCAAGATCAACGAGTACGATGACGAGCGCTATTGTTTAACGGGCACGCTCCACTTTGCAGACTTCAAACCACCAATTGGCCTCCAACTCAACCGCCAGCTGCGCGCGAAGTTTGCAAAGAGATATTTCAGCAGCGTTACATTCGAATGCGCTGCAGTCCGCTTGACGGACTCGCTAGACTTGGAGGGAGAGCCGTACGCCCCGCTATCTGGCCTCCATCATCTGTCCAAATGGGTTGAAAGCCTCGATGAAACCCACCGGTCCACGATTGGAACCCTTCGGGTTTTTGAATGGGTGGTACGCCGCGAGTCCCGGGTCAGAGTGCTTCCCCGTTATGGAAGACGTATTATGGATCTCTTGAGGGGGAAGGTCACGAAAGGCACTTTGGATCAGGTGAAACTGGTGTTTAGTTGCAAGGTTTGTGATGCATTGGAGACGGGTGGCAGATCCGTAGCTGAGAGGCGGTTGTTTGATATCAACGGCATCCGACTTGACGGATGAGTACGACGACGGCTGGAAGTTTTCCGGGGAGATATGAGTCGAGGGGTTTGATACTACGTGGGCTTGTCCGGAGGTAGTGCAGATGCAGGCAGGCAATACGGGAATCTCAGCAGCTCGGAATTGCATAAGGCGGCGGTGGGTGAAAACCATGCAAACTTGAGTGTCTCGAGGGGCAAGCTATATGATTGTTCAAATCGAGCCTAACGAGAAGTTAGCGAGGAAAGACTTGAAAGTAGGTAAGGTAGTGATGGCTACCTCTACGGTAGTGGCTTGGCATGGACATGTGCCTGCAAAAAGCAGTTTTTCTTTGAACTTTACTTTGTCAATGGAATCTTCTTCTCTCATTTTCTACGTTACTACCTACGCTACTATCCTCGCCTAAGTCTATCTAGAGCCTAAAGGCTTCCTACCTCCTAGGCAAGCTAGTAAGACTTATAGACCTAGGTAAGCTAGCAAGTCTAGGAGGATCTAAAGACTCGTATAGAGTTTTGTTTTCAACTTTTATATATGTATATGTGTATAACAAATAGGATTACATCATGGCATTTCAATCCTTGTCTCCTATACCATCTATCCGCGATAGTAGTCAACCAAGCACGACGTTACCATCCAGGGCACAATTCCCCTTGAACATTATTAACTACCTTCTCTATTACAATCTCCACAGATTGGATCTTTAGAGTGTTCTTCGTATACCATACCGGGGTATTCCTATAATGAATCTAATAAGGCAATGCAATGCAATACAATACAATCATCACTCTTACAATTCAATCCCATATCATACAATCACCCCTCGACCTTCATCTTCTTCCCGCCACTCCCCACCCCTTCCCCCTCCCTCTTCCTCTTCCCCTTACTCGCACTTCCTCCACCACCATTCATGGTAGAATTGCTCTTCCCCCCTTTGACCCTATACGTGCCATCACCATCGCCCTTGCCCTTCTTCCTCCCCGAACTACTCACCGAATCCTCCATGCCTTCCTCATCATCCCCACCAGCCGTGAAACTGGCAGCACTAGGACTCGCGCCCTCTCTCGCGCGCCCGACGGCCCGATCACCGACCTGCTTGGCCAGATTCCTCTTCCGGGCCGCCGTGGCAGGTTTGACATCCACCAGACTTTCATTATCATCCCCCTCCCCTCCCGCAGCGGCACCGGCAGCAGCATTCTTATGATGCACCTTTAACCAATTGTGTTGACTCATGGGATTCATCAATTCCATCTGCCTCTCCACCTCCCTCGCCGTCATATCCGCCCAATGCTTCTCCTCCTCCTCCTCCACTATGCCTCCTCCAATGCCGGCGTTCACATCACCCAACTTCCGATCCAACCGCGCGAGATACTCGGCCTCCTGCTTAGTGGTCAGATACCCCGGCGGCTCCTCCCCCAGCACTTCTTCCGGTAATTTCTCCGCTTCCAAATCCACCCTCGTGTGATTGACCTTTCTCTCCAACTCCTCCAACGACAAAACCCCTTGCACCCGTAGTTTCGCCTCCAATTGCTCCCGAATGACATGTAAATCCAAATGCGGAATCTGTCCCACCTTGACTGCTTCCGTGTATTCCAGAAACATATCATTGGCCTCTTGGGGAGTGACGCCATCCTTGACGACACCCGGAATGCTGGCCACGGCGGTATGTGGAGTGGGCAAAGACACATCGAAGCGCATGTGAGGGGGCAGAGCAGGGTTCTGATTCAAGTCGAGACACAAGTCGAGGAGGCCGTCGAGTTCTTCGCGCAGACGTTTGGCGATGGAATGCAGACGTTGTTCGTCGCGGAAGAGTTGTTTGTTTTGGTCGAGGACGGCGGTGAAGGAATGGTGCATTTTGCGGTATTTCTTACGCCAGGATTTGTAGGGGAGGCGCGGTTGGGGTGCTGTCGTGTTGGCGGTGGTGGTGGTGGTTGTGGAAGGGGGAGGAGGGGGGATGGCGGAGAGGGATTTCCCGCCGGTGGAGGGGTGGGGATTGACTTCCGAGTCGGACATTGTTTGTTTTGTCGTGTTGGCGGAGATGTGGATGATGATGTTGGAAGAGAGGGAGGGATGATGTTGGATGAAGCTCGTGATTTGAAGCCGACGCGTCCATGCATTTAGGCTGCTGAATGAAAGATTGACGGAATCAACTCCGCATCTGAAGTCGGCATCTCAAAAGTTTCCAGAAAATCCTCCCATTCTTCCTCCAATCCACTCAATCCACCAAAATGTCCAAAACCAGCACGACATCGCCGGCCACGAAGCGCAAACGCGACATCATCCCCAGCGACGACGAAGACAAACTCGAAATCGACGTGAATCTCCCCGAACCGGCGTCCAAAAAAGCCAAACGCAAGGAAAAAAAGGAAAAAAAGAGCAAACCCTCCCAAACCGACTCGAATGGCGAGGAAGTCGCCCTAACATCCACCTCGACATCAACACCCACCTCCAAATCCACCGCGCCCGTCCGCTCCGCCCATGGGGTCTGGATTGGCAATCTCCCGTACTCCACTACCGCCGCCTCCCTCCGCCAATTCTTCCTCGACGTCGGCGGAATCTCCGAATCCGACATATTCCGCACCAATCTCCCACTGAATGAGAGGAAGCAGAACAAGGGCTTCGCATATGTGGATTTCAGCACGCCCGCCGTCCAAGCCATTGCCCTTTCGCTCTCGGAGAAATTGATCCAGGGTCGAGCATGTTTGATCAAACCCGCCGATTCCTTCGCCGGGAGACCTGCCATTACTGCCGTCACCGAGGCCGCCAAGAAGACGCCCGATAAGGAGCCGAGTAAGAGGGTGTTTGTGGGGAATCTGGGATTTGATACCACGCGCGAGGAATTGGGAGAGCATTTCTCCCAGGCCGGTGGTGTTGAGGRTGTCTTTTTGGCCACATTTGAGGACAGTGGCAAGTGTAAGGGTTTTGGTTGGGTGACGTTTGCCGATCTCGAGGCTGCGGGGCAGGCAGTACGAGGATATATCTATAAAAAACATATTGATGAGAGAGGCGAGGATGGGGAGGATGATGCGCCTGCCAAGGAAGAGGAGAGTGCCAGCGAGGAGGAGGCGGGAGAGAAGAAGGAGAAGAGAAAGCCAAGAAAGCCGATGAAGTGGTTCATCAATCGCTATCAGGGCCGCGAGATGAAGTTGGAATTCGCAGAGGACAAACAAACCCGCTACAAGAAGCGCTATGGTGGGAAAGGCGCTCCTCCTACTGAAAATCACACTCCTGCTGCTGCAATCCGAGAAGGAGGAAGTGCACGCTACCATGATGCTCCCGGGGAGAATCTCGCCGATCTGGTCCGCGAGGCCCAAGACGCCGCTCCCAAGAAGCGAGATCCCAAATTGAAGAAGATGGACAAGGATCAGAGGCAAGAGTATCGCAGGCAGAGACATGATGCCCGTACCGTCGCTCCGGGCAAGGCGTTGGCGAATGCACAGAGAGGTGCCAAGGCGAGTGGCGCTATCGTCGAGGGCGAGGGGACGAAGAAACGCTTTGATTAGATGGGGGGATGATGCGTGATATAGTACAACACAGTATGAGGCGTGCGAGTGGGAGGAGTGGAATTAATCGAGCGAGGCGAAGAAGTATGCGAGATACTTTAGATCGAGCGAGACAATCAGCGAGACGAAGAAGTATGCGAATCCAAGCCGATGTGGAATGACTGGCCTTGCGAAACAAACGAATGATGAAAAGCCACATGTACCCTTCACATTCTTCTCCCAACCAAGACCTCGACAAACCCCACCCATCTTCTCCCATCGCCATTGTAACTTTCCATCTTGCATCCCTCTCAACCGTAAGCAAGTAAGCAAGTAAGTAAGCAAGCAAGCAAGCAAGCAAGCAGAACAGAACAGAATTATACATCTTTACCGACCTCCCTTCTCTTCTTTGTCCCTCCTTTTTGCCTTGGAATCGTTATGTGAACTTTATATATGTATCTATTTATCTCACCCTGTAATGGAAAACCGAAATTCAAGAGAAGTGGAAAGGGGGAGCGTCACAAGGAAAGGATGCGGCAGAGGAAGTAGGAAGAGGAAGAGGAAGAGGAAGAGGAGGAGTCGATTGTCGAGTAGTAACATCGATTATCGATCCGGTATATTCGGGGGAGGGGGAGAGCGAAATCTGGCCGTCTCGTCGAATTATTCTTTTCCCATTTTCTCGATTCTCGTACCGCTTCGCATCGTATCGAGAGTAGTCGATAGGGCGATATATCCCAGGCTCTAAGCCGCATATGTCTATAGGATAATTAGACCTCCCTACTTATAGAGAGGCACCCTAGACTTTAGGGGGCAAAAAAATCTTAGCCGGATGGAAGGGTTGGGATATCGTTTATATACGGCTTTAGGCTAGATTTTGACGGGCAGGGGAGAGTTAGGAGTAAGAATCGTACTAGCGAATCCGACTTTTTTAGGGGTAGGTGTTTGGACGTAATGTTCAGGATGGAGAGTATAGAACTACCTACACATAAGTCGAAAGCTACTCCCTACTCTACTCTACTCTACTCTTACCTAAGTCCTTCTCGCAAAACATAGAGGAATAAAATCGTGGCATTCCTCTTATGAACGCCGCGTGAGATTTTTTTCATATACATAAGGTAAGACGAAATTCCATTTCCTACTTCTAAGCCCCCCCTTTTTTCCCACTCCCTACGTTGACATCTCATCGCTAGCCATCGCAAATGCATCCATCCCAACAAAAAGACTTCCATCCTTATCTTCCATCCTTATCTTCTCCGATTATTCTCGATCACCATTCTCTCCACCGCACAAAAGTCAAAATTTGTCAATCCACGACTCACTGCCCCGCATAACCACAATTTCCCATCCCCTCCACGCCAAGCATATCACTCGCCAATGTGTCATGTCACACGCGGAAAAAAAGCTTCCACAGTACAAATGTAAGATAAAGCCGAGTCAGAAATCGAAACTTTCGATGACGATCCCCGTTGAACTGGAAACCCCCACACATCATTTTGAGTGATCACATATGTACAATCAGAGATGATGGAGAACCACCCCTGCGAGATGTGACAAGGATGTCATTTTTGTTTTGCTTTCATGAGGAGTCATGAGTCTGCGTCCAATTTCTCGACTTGTATGCGATTGGGAGATTTTCCGTAATTTTTTCCCTTCCTGTTCTTGGTGGTGCGCTGAATCGTATGGGTCTTCTGTTGAGAGATCGAGATGATGAGATAAGGAGGAGGAGGAGGAGGGTGTTCTGGACTGTGACTGGCTAGTCAGGACAATCTTGGGATTGGAGGGGAGGGGAGGAACTGTAGATGTACAAGAAGACGAGTCGCTGCGCGGTTCTTTCGTCTTTTTGTTGCAAAACATACCAGTTCATTCATTCATTCATTCATTCGTTCGATTTCATCACACTCATTCGACTCGTTTGCGTAAATACCAGGAGAAAGCCATCAAAATCCCATCAAAGAACAAGGGACCCAACACCCAAAAACTCCAATCCAACCAACCAACCAACCAAAAACCAAAAAATGCTCCCCCAACTCCTCCTCGCAACCCTCCTCACCCTATCAACAACAGCCCTCCCCCTCCACAACAACAACAACCAACCAACCCAACCACCCCACCCCCGCTCCGTCCTCTCCATCAACGCCCCCCGCCTCCCCGTAGCAGGAACCCTAGTCACAGACGTCATGCAAACCATCCCTCTAGACATCTCCGTCAAATCTCCGATTCTCCGCCGTAGTGCTTCGGAAAACGCAATGAATGCCGTTGTCAAGAAAATTCCTGTTGCGGGACAGACTGTGCAGGGATTGATTGAGGGGTTGCCTGTTAATGCTGTTGTTAAGGAGGTTCCTGGGGTTTTGGRGGGTGCGTTGAAGGAGAGGGATGTGGAGGGGACTTTGTTGGATGTTAATGTTGATTTGGAGAGGATTTTGGGGGAGAGGGATGTGGGAAGTCTGTTGGATGTTGATGTTGATTTGAAGAGGCTTCTAGGGGAGAGGGAGGAGGATGTTGTGTTGGATCTTGGAGATGTGGGAATTATTGTTTGAAAAAGAGATGAAGGGTGGTTTAGGTTGATTTCGAGCGCGATGATGTAGGAGTCGTTGCTTGGGGATTTTGGGCGAAGGAACTTTGGAAGAGTGTGTTATGAGCTATTCTCGCCTTGAGCGGCGGCCTTTTTTTCTTACTTTGATGGATTGGGAAGTTCTCTTTTTTCCGGGGCCGGGGATTTCGAAGGGAAGGTCGTAGGGAGAGGATGTAGAGAGAGGGTTGTAACGATAGTGTTACTGTAATTTTAGGAAGGTAGTGGAATAAGAGTCGACGACAAAGGAGCTTCGAATTGTGTGTTGAATCTCAACCTTAATGAACGTGGTCGGTAGGCATAATCGGCATACCGTCGAGGAAGAGCCCTGGTTCGCGAACAGCCAATTTACAGATCAAATTCCCCATCTAAGAACCTTCCGATTGTCGATTCTCGCGAAGCAAAGCAAAGTCTTTGCATCTTAGCTACCCTACCCCACATTAGCTAGCCACAATTTTCATTCACTTGGAAATTCTCGAATCTAAACTTACTTGGTTGGCAAACAAAATCGAGATGTCCCAGCCGGAAAATATGTCCTCCAAGTCCAATCCATTTTTCTAATTTAAAGGCAAATTTTCAAATGTTGTCTTAGATTAGAGGAAATAATTCCTGTTTAAAAAGGCAAGAAATTTAAGGAGAGATATTAAGGAAAGGCATAGGGGAGGAGGAAGGGGACTTAAGAGTTAGTTAACAAGAGGAAATCGAGAACARAATCGTGATCGGGCTGATTTTGATTTCGAGCCTGTTGATCGGAGGTAAGTCAGTCGAAGAGTCGCGAGAAGAATAGCGAGGAGGCGATTCTCGGACTCTTTGAATTTTGATGATGGAAAAACACAACAGAAGGTAGGATCTGAACATTTCCAACGGATAATCAGAAAGGACAATGCCTTACTAGGCTTCGACACTGCTCTCGGTAATCAAGTCGATACGATAGCAATCTGCTTTTCGAGGCGAAGATAGGGATTATTTCACCTCGGGGCCCTAGAGAATGGAATGGATTTTACCTTTGGATGGAAAAACACATCAGACAGTGGAATTCAAACATTTCTACCGGATGAAAAGAGAAGGGCAATACCTTGCTAGACTACGATACTGCTCTCGAAAGTCAGCGCTATAGCGATTCGCTCGGTCCAAGTGATGATAGGTCAGATTATTCTCGAAATCTGAAATTCGATGGAAGCGAGAAAAAGTCCGATTCCACTCTGCCTACACTTTTGTTTGCCTTATATGTAGTCTGCGAGGCTCAGAATGAACGGCATCTCATCGATATACAGGACGTTCTCCCTCGCTGGCTATATAGCAATGCGCCCGAGGCAGGTAGGTACGACAGACATATCAATTCCATCGCAAAGATAGTTTTCGTCACATGCGTGAGAAATGCTCCCCATCCTGCACCCTCACTTCCTCGCTGTACCCTCACTTCCCTTCCTCGCTGCACCTCGCATGCACCTCGCAATCAAGCTCGCAAGATCAAGACCAGGCAGCAACGTCCTATAAGAAGCCTGCACTTCTTCGACACATCTTCTCCAAAACWATGACACACATTGGAACGTCAAACATACCCACCACCACCACCACCCAACAACATTGACACACTTACCAACCATCATCAACATCACCCACCGTGAGCGCCGCGGCATTCCATCTGTGTCTGCCACACCACAGATATCCACTTCTGGTGAGTATTGTCCATGCCACACTCACCTTCATAGCGGCGCCTTTTGCGGCCGACTGTTGCATCGTTTGTGCCGCTGCACTCGGCGCTGCAGACTTCCCCTCCATCTCCATTACTGCACACCTCGCACCTTCAGCGCAACAACAACGACATCATGCCGCTCCATCGCAGTGCATTGCACCCACCTCACCTCATTCATCACCACCAAGCCGTTCATTCTACCACCATCAGTACAGAAATCCACTTCAGAATGTTCACTAACCTCGCCTAGGCAGATTATCGAGAAGATCACACCGAGTGGCATCACTTCACAACACTTCACGAACAGCTAGGAAAGACACCAAAGAATTAATTCTTACGAGCAGCTAGGAAAGACACCAAAGAATTAATTCTTACGAGCAAAAGAAAGTGAAGTCGAGAGATCCCAAATTATAAGGCAAAAATGCAAGTCTGCAATATCCCCGCGTCTCGAATAAAAGGCAAAAGATACTAATTATGTTCTGGAATAATAGTCCTAGTCTCGAAATCCTAGATTCTACGGGCAAGAATGTTTAACAAGGGCACCAAAAACGAGGAGGCAGCCTCCGGGACGAACATCATGCCTCAGGAGCAGCGGGAGATGGTGGAGGCCGCGGACATTTTACTGATGAAGCTGAAGGAGGCTGACGAGAGGATGGAGTGCGCTCGCACGCTGCAGCAGCTTTCGTTGGAGGTGAACCTACAAGACTCCTCTCCAAGAGAGACCGCGGTCGCGAGCCAGACTCCGCCGGTAAGTACATGCTGCGTGGTGTCTTGCGTGATGTGTGTGGGGGGGTTGTGGTTCACTCGCTGACCTTCTCGAAACAGACCAATAGCCACACCACCCACGACACGACTGTCTCGGTCAACAAAAAGAGCAAGACAGAGAGAGAATTGCGAGAAAAGAAAGTTCACCAGCAGAACGTAAGACGCCAGACCAAGGCAGACGCAGTGAAACAGGGCGTCACCTGGGTTGGGAAGAGAGAGGCGGCCAAAGCATATTCTCAAGCCGAAAATGCAGAGATTTCGCGGATCCACGCCGCCCATGCTGCCGTTCATCAAGAAAAAAAAATTCCCTTCAAGAAACTGGCTCGCCAGTTCAATGCGCGGGAGGAGGGCGAGGGCATAAGGAGCGTCGCGTCCCTGACAAGCCACATCTCTAGACATGAGGAGCTCAATAAGATGAGGGCGGCCTACTCTGCGACGAGATGACCTACCTCACCTTTATCATTGTGGAGATGCCTACCTTAGCTAGGAATTATTTTTTATGAATGAACGAACGAGATGATGATTGAAACATGCCATCCATCCATTCAATGTTGTCAACGTGAAGTCCACCTTTTCCCCGGAATTTAGAAACAACCCTGAAAGCGTCGAATCTAGCGTCGATTGCTACCTAATCACTAGCTAGCTGACTGACCTGACATCTTCAACACCCTCAACATCTCCATCAGGGCATCTCCCTCGCAATTAATATCTCCCCCCAACATGCGTCTCCTCTCCCTCCCCGCGGCACTCCTCGCCCTCCTCACCCTCTCCCCGCTCCCCACACCCACCACCGCCACCCACACATCCAACTGGGCGGTGCTAGTCAGCACGTCGCGCTTCTGGTTCAACTACCGCCATCTCGCCAACACCCTCTCCCTCTACCGCACCGTCAAGCGTCTGGGAATCCCCGACTCACAAATCATCCTCATGCTCCCCGACGACATGGCCTGCAATCCCCGCAACTCCTTCCCGGGGAGTGTCTTCAACGACAAATCCCGCCATCTCGACCTCTACGACGACACATCCACCTTGACCTCCTTTTCCTCCTCCTCCTCCTCCTCCTCCATCATGAAGGCGGGAATGGGTGGGATCGAAGTCGATTATCGCGGGAATGAAGTGACGGTGGAGAATTTCATCCGCTTGTTGACGGATCGCTGGCCCGCTTCCCATCCCACGAGCAAGCGATTGATGACGGATGATCGCTCCAATATCCTCATCTACATGACCGGACATGGCGGGAATGAATTTTTGAAATTCCAGGATTCCGAGGAGATTTCTTCCTTTGATCTCGCCGATGCTTTTGAGCAGATGTGGGAGAAGAAGCGATATCATGAATTGCTTTTCATGATTGATACCTGTCAGGCCAATACCATGTATCCGGCCTTTTACACCCCCAACATCATCGCCACGGGCAGCAGTGCGAAGGATCAGAGTTCCTACTCCCATCATGCGGATCAGGATGTGGGTGTTGCGGTCATTGATCGATGGACGTATTACAATWTGGAGTTTTTGGAGACGCGGTTGAATAGCACGTCTGCGGATGTCCGATTGGGGGAGTTGTTTGATTCGTATACGTTTGAAAAAGTGCACAGTGATGCGGGCATTCGGTATGATTTGTTTCCCGGCGGGGAGGAGGCTGTTCGGCAGAGACGGGTGTTGGATTTCTTTGGCAGTGTACAAGGGGTCGAGGTGGATGCTGCGCGAGAGGATGCAGGGAGTGATTGGAAGGCGGATCTGGAGGCTTTGCGGAGGATTATGGAGAGGCAGGAGAGGGAGGAGATGCAAGAATCTGGTGATGATGTTCCTGTGGAAGAGGGTGCGAGTGGGGGAGAGAGGACGCAGACGGTCAAAGTTGCGGTGAATATTGCGCAGAGTGGAGGGGATTGGGGGAAGAAGGCTGCGGGGTTGGCATCGTTGGTGGTGTTGGGAGGTGCTTGGTTGGCTTCCAATGCGCTGGGAGGGGGGAAGAGTGGTTGATTGACTTGGGATGGGATGGATGGGATGGGATGGGATGGATGGGATGGGATGGATTGGAGAGTGATGGCTTTTATTTCTACAATGATACCCCTTGAGTCTTGCTTGTCAACACAGATTTCTACAATATACCTCTTTCGTTAGATCTATGCGGGTTTCCACAGTATGACCCTTTGGTTAGATCTATGCGGGTTTCCACAGTATGTCCTTCGATCATGTTAACCTAGATTTCCCATCTTGAGGCACTGTATCTCTCTATAGTACCACCACTACAAACTCCTCCATTTGTAGGATTCAAGGAGAGTACCTCGAAATGTTATATTAAGGGAGAGGGAGAAGGAGGAGGAGGAAGAGGAGAACAATGTTGATGACAAGGTATTGATAAGTTGCCGAAGATGATGTTGATGTGGGGCTCATCTGCTTTTCACGGCGCATCTTTCCCTTACTCCTACAATCACCATCACCACCACCACCACCACCACCACCACTACTACACATCGTCATAACTTGCAAGACGATGCCCACGACAACAGATCCCTGCTCTCAGCTGCTGCAAGCTGTAAGTTATGTATAATGACGAGCATGCCCGACGAGAACAGAAAAGCCGATAACTCATGCAAGGTCGCGCGCATGACCACTGCACGAACAAGCCACCACTCTCATCATCCACGCACCTCGAGCTCCCCGCCGGGAAGATCATTCAATCAATCAATCAATCCATGCGGGCGGGCGGGCGGTGTAGGCGATTTTCTTCTCTCAAGCAACATCATGTCCGTGTAGAACGGCACCACCACGCAAGGGAAAGAAAGCGTGTGCTCATCTGCCGTAAAATCCACCACATTATTAGGCGTTTGAGGATCATCTCCATCTATTCCTACTTCCTCCACCCCGTGCACGCAAAGACAGAGATGAAAATGATCAYATCAACCTCCCCCTCTCCCCCTCCCTCTCAAGCGAGAACAGCAAATAATGAACCTCATGACCTACGTACATATATGTACATACATAACACCCTTGCAAGCAAGCAAGCAAGCAAGGCACTCGATTTTCGGCAGCATGCAAATTGTTCTTTCCCCCATGGACTGTGTGGACGGTACGACTCCGCATCGTCGCTTCCACACCCTCACCCTCAAGCAGGTAATGGTCGCGCAACAGCAGCTTTCGATTCGAGGATCACATGCAACGTCCAAGTCCGGCGGCCGAGTCGAAGAAGTGTGAGATGGTGTGGCATGCATGGCATGGCATGGCATGGCATGGCATGCAGGTAGGAGGTAGCTTGATGAGGCCGCGGGAGTTTATTGTCCACTTTTTCCCCTTAACCTTTACTTTTATTGTCCACTGTTTTTCCCTTTTTTGACAATCAGTTCGCTTTCTACTGATCGGTCGGTGAACGAGGTGGATGTATAAAGTGGCACATGTCACCCGTTGAAGGGTTTGTGATTGTCCCGTTTTTCCATTCACTTTCCCTTTCCCCCCTCTCTCACAAGCGTTACGATTCTCCAACAAACCTTCTCATCCGTCACATTACTTGAAGAGCAAACATCACCAACCAACCAACCAACAAGCATCCCTCCGACACGCATCTCTCTCTCTCCAGCAAGCATGAAGAAATCATTCCTAGCAGCATGCCTTCTATCAATCACCACAGCAATCCCCCATCAAATCCGCAATGAAGCCTGCACCATCACCCACCAACCAGGCTTCAATTCCAACCCCGCCACCCACCAACTCATCTCCGGAAACCTGACGCGCACCTACGCCGTCAACGTGCCCGAATCCTACAATGACAATCTCGGCAAAGCATGGCCCATGATAATCGATTACCATGGAAATCTCGGCAATCCAGAAGATCAATACCGTAATTCGGAATATTACAAATATCCTCAAGGACAGGAATATCTCGTCATTTGTAACATTCCCCCTTCCCCTTCCCTCCTCTCCCTCAACCTAGCCACCCACCACCACTAACCTCGAAGAAAAAACCAGACCCCCTAGGAGTAGAGAAACATTGGCAAGGACCAACCTACGCCCTCCCAACAGTAAACGACCTCCTCTTCACCGTCGACCTCCTAACCCACCTGCAGTCAACCTACTGCATAGACCCCCTTAGAATCTACGCATCCGGAAAATCCAACGGAGCAGGTTTCGTAAATCTCCTCGCTTGTTCCCCTCAAGGAGACTTTTTCGCCGCTTTCGCCATGGCGGCCGCTGCTCTTTATACCGATACCTCTCTAACCTCTTGCATGCCAACAACTAACAAACGGAGGAAGATTCTCGAAGCGCATGGTTTACAAGATGCTACAATCCCATACCATCCCACCGCTCCAGGTTCAGGGGGTCCGTTGCCTGATATTGGGGAATGGGTTGGTTGGTGGGGGGGAGAGGAGTTGTGGGAAAAGTACTAATGAAGCGGTGTATGAAGTTGATGGTAATGGGGGGTTTGAGAGGACGAGGTATTCTTGTGCAGGGTTGGAGGACGTGGTGGTGCATTTTGAGGTGTATGGGTTGGGGCATTGTTGGGCTAGTAAGACGGGGACGAATTCGGATAGTGAGAGGGTTTATTGTGGGGAGAGGAGTTTGGATTTTACGGGGGAGGTGCTTGGGTTTTTTGGGAGGTGGAGGTTGGGGGATGATGGGGTGGGGGGTTATTAGATGAATTCTTGGGGAGGGTGTGAGTTGTTGGGGGTTTGGGTATGAGGTTGGATGATGGTGGTGGATTTCTTCATCAGGTCAGGTCAGTTGATGCTCCTTTTGGAGTTGTACGCTCTCGATGGGATGAGAGCCGATCTGTCTTCTCCGTACGCTTGTGTTACGGTGGGACGGCGTAAAGCTGATTTGTCTTTGGTGGGAGTTATTCTCTTGAGACGGCGTGGGAGAATAAGGACGATTGATGAAATTTGGTCGTGAATTCATGCTGTCTTTTCGTTTCCTTGTAATGGAGCTTTGGAAGATCTCCTTTGACCTCCCATCGTTGAACCTTCCCATCCCATCCCCATTGTCAAAATTCCAGTAGAACGTGTCTCGTAGAGGCAAGCCATTTCAACATCCAGTCCCAACTCGCCATACCAAACATCTCCTCCCTTCCCTCCCTCCCCTCCCTCCCCTCCCTCCCTCACTCCCAAGCACACTCCTGACTATCCCTAACACACCTCCTAACCCTCCGTTTAAACTCCTTCCGATCCTCCCTCCACATCTTCCCCGCCTCAACATTCGCAGGACTCTCATCATTCGGACTGCCCAACATACTAATAACACTCAACAAAATCGTCTCGGGAGTCTGCACGGGACTCCATCTCTCACTGGCACTCTCATAACCATACTGATCATCTTCCGGAGGGTGTAAGATGGAAATGCATACTTCTCCGCTTTCGTAGACGTTGGGGTGGAAGAGGGGAGTTTCGAATTTCAGTTTGGGAGGTTGGTGGGGGTATTGAGGGGGGAATTTCAGGCGGGCTTTGAAGATTCCTCCTGTGGATATTCAGGATTGGGTTAGCTGGGGGTGGGTAGGAAGAGGGAGGAGGGTGGATATATACTCACCTCCATAAAGACTATCCTGCTCGTCACTGAGCATCAACATGACTTCCCATTCAAATACACTATTCCCCACTAATCCACAGCTGATTCCGGGAATGTCCTTGTCGGTTTGCATTTGTTTGAATTGTCGGGTGAGGATGATGGCTGCGCTGCTGTTGCTGTTGCTGTTGCTGGTCGATTGCGAGCTGGATCCTGCTCCTGCTCCCGAGGGGGACGCCATGATGTTTGGGTAGGAAGGGAAGGCAAGTGCTGATTTCCTTGGGGAAAAATTTTCCGTCTTTTTCAACGGTTCTGGGGAGGGAAGACGGTCGAGTCAAGTCCAGTCAATCATGCATGAGATGAGATGAAATGGGTGATGTAGTTGATTCGAACAGGTCACTTTTTCCCGACGACGACAGCGGGGGGTTTGCTGTGACTGTGACTGTGACTGTGACTGTGATGGTTTTCCGCCCGGCCTCTCTCTCTGGCAAACGTGCGTGCTTGCGTGCGTGACCAGAAGTTAGTTTCGTGTGACGACGTGTCGGGAAAGAATGGAATATGGACCTTACACAATCTGATCATTCTCGCCGGAAATATCCCACCTTTCGGAGAGCTTCTCCATGTCCGGATTTTAGACGGAGTTTATCTCCCTACCTTATCGGACCACACCGACCGAGGCACGTGCCTGTATATCAATATTCTTCCTCTCATCTTACACCATGTCATTTGAGAGAAGTAATCTTAACTAGAAGAACAGCTCCGGGATCAGATCGGAACAGTAATGGGCTGAATTTGTGGCATGCAAGAAAGGACCATGGACTTGATCGAAGCACGTCACCAGACATTGATACATACAAAATGTCAGAGAGATCCATTCTCATCTTCATAAATACAAAAATCTCCCCACTAGAAAGAAAACCTAGGTATACACAACTCACCACGGCTCAATCCATTCCATACTCCATCATACACCATGACACCTCCTCACCTGCCATCCCCACTCCCCCCAACAGCATCATGAACCTTTTCCTCCTCCTCCTCGCCTGGTAAGAAAATCTCATGCCCACTCCCATTCCTCACTTTAAAACTCGCCACACACCCGACCCCGGCCACACACGCCACAATCCACCAACTCATCCCCACCACTCCCCTCTCCCTCCAAATCCCATGCCACATACCCGCGAGAATGGGGCCGAGAGTGCGAAAGGTGGCCGAGCAAGCATTTCCAATTCCGTGAATGGTCGCCAAGACACTCGGATGTGGGGAACTATTATTCAAGAGGATGATACTGGCGGGCAGAGCAAACGTTCGGGCGGCGACTTGTAAGAAGACGACAAAGGATATGCCCAACCAGATAATGGGACCGCTGGCGGGTTCCGGAGAGGGACTGAGGGAGGGGAGGAGGGCGAGATAGGGGGCGAGGAAGTAGGCCAGAGGAAAGAGGAAGAGGGAGCMACGGAAACATCGCATCAAACCAAAGCGAGAGTTGGCCCAGGGATAGAGGAGGAATTGCAAAGCGACACCAATAAAGCCAATGGTCGCCATTGCGAAGCCGATGGTGGGTGGGGGAAATGCTAGGCCGGAGGAGAATTTAAACATGCTGCGTGAGTGGAGGTCGTCTCGGATGGGATTCTGCGGGACGAATTGTCGAGGAGTAGCGAGGAAGAGGATCCATAGGTTGGCAAAGGCTCCCATGTGAAAGTCAAAGATGGCGATGCTCACCAACGTCCACAACACGTTGGACGTCCATATCCTCCGAAAGGGGAGCCGTTGGATTGCTCGATGTTGTTCCTTCTCCCCCGAATTTGTCAGACGGTCCATCTCTACGGATCCACGTTCGTGACCGGAGAGCAGTCCCTGTCGTTGTGTTTGCTGTAGTCTTCTATATCCTTGCTCCTTGGCTTGGAGTATTTGCTGGTATGTTGATCGCACAAATCCGATTGGATCCATCTTGGTCACGTCCAACGGCCTGCTCCCTTTCAAAGTCTCCTCCAATCCGTAGTACACCAACGCCGCCTCTGCGAAGAGAAGGATGGTGCTCAGGAGATTCGCCGCTGCGTAAGGATATCTCGCCATCCATCCCACACCCTCTACACCTCCAAAAGTACTCCCCTTCCCAAACYAAGTAGGGAGGTTCACCACCGGATCGACCAGCAATCCAGCCAAGATTGGTCCAGCCACGTTGGCAACATTGAAAGCAGCAGGTAGCAGCAAGAAAGCTCTCGGATGCCATGGTTTGGGCGTGACTTCCGCCACCATGGTTCTCGCAGATCCCACCGTTCCATTGATAGCACCACTCATCAACCTCCAAAAGACGGCCTGTGGATATGTCGTGCTAAACGCCAACCCAATACATCCAAATCCCGTCCCCACCAACCCAATCATCAACACCGTCTTCCTCCCCAACATGGGCTGATCCGCCGCTCTTCCCCACAAGATACTCGTCACAATCTGCGCCGCGGTGAAGGAACCCTGCAAGACACCCGCTTGATGTGAGATGACCACTTCGGACAATTCCGGATCAAAGCTCTTTAACTGATGCACCATAAACACCTGCAATGCCGCCATTTGAAAGAAATCCACGAATCGTGAGAGGGCCAAGATGGCCAGCTGAATCTTGTTGGGTATGTTGATCCATGTCGGTGTCGGCGGGGGTTTGGATGGGGGGTAGGTGGTCATGGGATGTTCTGCAATGGGAGAAGCATCCGGGCTGGATGGGATGGCGGAGAGCATGGGCATCTGCGCTGCGGAAGAGCGTCGACGAGGATGCGCGCTGCCATTGCCAGTCTCTATACTGGCGGAATTCCACTCGGTCTGCACGAGTGGAGTGGTGGTGGTGGAAGTATTGGTGGTGGTGGTAGGGTGGAAGTAGGGATCGTCGTGGGAGGTTTCGGCACTGGAATGCCTCTCCACCTGTGGACGACGAACGTTTCTCGAATTCGAACGTTGATGGGGTCCCAGGCCGGCGGGACCGCCTCGTGAGGTCGACGTGGATCGCGAGTGGGGTGGCATCAAGAGGCAGGAAGCAAGACAAGCAATAAGCAACAAGCAGGGAAGGAGCTCTGGCCCGCTAGCTTCTCATCCCACTAGATACCTTGACACAACCTTGAAAGGCACTCCGAATGATGGAGATTGATTGAAAAATGAAGAGCAGACGAAACGCGGTGCAACCATCCCATCCAATCCAATCCAGTCCAATCCAACTCGGGAGGCTGCACGAATCAGAAACTGATGAGTCGGATGATCATGGGCGAGAAAAAAGCCAGCGTCGCTTGATGATGTCGCTTCTCACCCAGATTCCAAAGGGTACAGTACCACCTTTGGCAAACTAATTCTTCTTCATTCCCGACTTGCGACGCCCTTTCATCTCAGACACGGTGGACACATAGAAGTGGAGATGGGGCCGCGATGCGCTGGCGCGTTCTGCTCCTCTTGGCGAAGTGGTGCCGGTTGGAAAGGTGGACCTGTCAAATCCAGAAAAACATGTCCGGGCCGCATATCGGCATCGGCGTCGGACATTCTCCACGCCGATATTCCGTCGCTTCGGTTGGGAATGGAAGCGCCTCGTCTCGGACTGATTGATGAATGTCCCGGCATGAATCGTTCAAAGCGGAAGTGGGCTTGTTTGGACAGTGGTGATACATCTCYGGGACCTGAAGGGGATGGACAAGAAGATGGAGATGTATGTATATTGCAATTAAAGGCAAGTTGACAGTTTGACTCAGGATGATGAGATGACGAGGACGCCGCGTAATACCTCCACACTCCTAGCAGATGGCTACATGTACATTTTGGGAATACGAACGAGAGTTAAAAGGCAATATCAACGACACGTCTTGTCTTCTCGAAAGGAGAGAGGAGGATGGAGCATGCCCGAGAGAAGCGAATCGACATTCTTCACACCTCTTCTTGGTGAATAGGTGGGCGATACTCACTTCACAATATTCACTCACACACTCACTCCATAGTCTTCACTCACCCACTCACTCACACCCTCACTCACACCCTCACTCACTCACACCCTCACTCACACACTCACTTTACAGTATWCACTCACGCAGTAAGATATACATACAATGCCATGATACAGTATCTACGCCGCAAAACTCAAGTATCTCCAAGTATACCTCCAGGTTCTCCCACTTGATCATCCCCCTACCCTACCCTACCCTATCTATTCAAATCCTTCCTCCCGCTGCCTCAACCTCGAATACCTCCCCAGAACCTCCGACGCCCAACACCCATCCACAACCTTCTCCCCAACATCCCATACTTTCCCCCTCGCTCTCCTCCACCCCCCAACCCTCCAAATGAAAAACCCACCCAACACCACCACAACACCCAGAACCATCCCAAACCCAACAGCAACAGCAACACGACTGACCTCTCCAAAACCCTCCTCCCGTTCAAAATCAGCATAATACTGCGCAGTATTATATCCCCTCATCGTCGAAAGCACTCCCTCTCCCTCCCCATCAACAACAACTTCCTCCCCTTCCTCAACCACTTCCGCAAGTCCACATCCCCGATCATCACACCACTCCCTCAACCCCTCCCCAGGAACAAAAGTCCTAACAATCGCACTCCGTTCCAACACCTTCCCCTCCCCATCCACAGCCTCCACGAAACTCCACGTAACCCCATACCCAACCTGTCCCTCCGTCTCGAATCCACTCTTGGCAACATTCCCCGCGAATTTCCAGGGTCCTTGGCTCGACTCCCCCGTATACAAATTCCAACTCCTCACCTCCGTCGCTCCATTCCAAGACACCCAGAAGCCCGTCATCTCCTCCCCGGTCCTACTATACGCCCACAAAGCAGGTTTCGTCACCGGTTGTCCCGTCCAATTGTACTTGTTGGAACGATAGATCATGACATTGGATTCTCGTTCGGCAAGTTTGGCATACATGACCGCTTCCCCCTCGGCCGTGTGTTCGGAGAAGTAAGCGTGTTCTCCCCAGCCAATGTGGCAGTTGCCGWTGGGGAGGAGTTGCAGATTTCCTTGCGAAGTGGAAAGTAACCCTCCTGAAGGTTCTGGAGCGCCCCATTCTTTGATTTTATGGGCTGTCTGGTCGAGGTGATTGATGGATATGATCCAACCGTGTGAGAAATCCCCGGTGCTGTTGAAGCTGTTTCCTGCATTGTCGTACAATGAAAGGACGGTGTGCGTGCTGTTCTCGGAGATCCAACGGGCGTGATGCTGGTAGGAGAAGATGAAATCGACTTGGTGGAAAGATGGATTGTTCCCTCCCAATTGCCACAAAATCTCCCCCGTCTCGCCGGAGAGTTTGTACACGGCACTCACATGCCGGGCGGAGATGAGGTAGTCCCCCTCCTCATTCTTGTCAATACTGTTGATGTGGAAGTAATCCCACGGAGACTGTTCGTGCAGTCCATCTCCCGAAGTATCCGTGGAAGCAGGAAGAGTCCACGCCTCGGAAGGATCCACATGATCCAAAGAACGCCATTCAAACACCACCTCCCCACTCTCAATATCCACCTCCTGAAACACCCCTTCCACAATCCATCCCATCCCACCCCGAATCTTGAACAGCGGATTCGCAGTCAAATCATACTGTCGAGGCTGATAGATGGTCATCAACACCGTCCTCCCACCACTATACGGCGTCATCTTAAACTCATGCATATCATTCGAAGCTCCAGCCCCCGAACTCTCAATCGTCTTGACAACTCGATAACTCGAATCCATAATCACTCCATGTCCACGAGCGAATCCCTGATGTTGCTCGCCCTCGAAGAAACAAAGATGATCCTTCCCTTGGTAAGTGCATACTCGCGGTGTATGCGCAGTCTTGGGCCCACTGGCTCCCGCTCCAGACCAGATCAAATCTCCCCAATTGTCGTAAATGTACGGTCCCGGATCGAGATTCCGATAAGGTGCAAGAAAAATGTATCCCGGAGAGATGAGTTCTGGTCGTAGGATATCAAAGTTCACAATTGGAGCGTGTAAATCGGGCCGCGATTTGAATTGATGTGTTGGTGAAGTGAAGTTATCCAGCTGAGCGGAAGTGGTGGTGGTGGTAGCCAGGAGAGTGGAGAGGACCCATATCCAGAGCCGTCCACAAACAGACAAGTTGCAAGAAAGAAAGAACGGCATCTCATATACCTCTCGATAGTCTCTCCGTCGTCGAGCACGCAAGATGGAGTGCAAGTGACAACATCAAACAGCATCCCCCTCCCTTCTAGCAAGCAAGCGAGCAAGCAAGCAGGCAAACAAACAGTAGCGTCGATTGGCCCAAGCAAAAGATATGACGACGACAACCAGGTTGGTTGGTTGGTTGGATGATTTCCTCTTCTTCTTCGGCAAAATGTCTTACGAAACATGCAAAGACAAGACAAGAGAAGAGAGACGTTCGTTTGTTCACGCGGCCTCTTTGAAACGTGCCATTCCTCATCGTCACACCCTTTTTTCCCCCGACGAGCCGGCCGTGCTTCTTTTTCCCTCTCATCATCATCATCATCATCATCCTACGTATCTTACAGTAAGGTAGCCATCGTCAAAGCCAGACAAACATCACCATCCCAACACACCCTCATCCCGTTTGTTTGTGCGCTTGATGATGATAAGATTCCCAATCCATCGGCATGCAACCACAGCGCCGTGTCCCCGCCTGTCAACTTCGGGAAGTTGCTTGTCGCGTCACCAAGGTTCTTTGGTGCTGGGATTATTCTCATTGTTTCATCAGGCATCAGGGGGTTGGGTGGGGGGGGAAAGATCGAAGAAGACGGGACCTACCTTACCTTGATGGAGAAGGAGAAGGAGAAGGGCCCTTCTACTGGTCTGTGATGCCCGAAAGGAAAGGAAAGAGAGAAATAAAAAGTGGAGAGGCAAGCAAGATGTCACAAGGATCTCTTCCACACGCACGCACGCTCGCACGCGCGTTCCCATCCCATCCCCCCTTCGCGGCAAAGAACCTTGTGGCAGATTGGAAGCGGCGGTTTCGTTACTTGGCATTTTCTGAACAAGAGTTTATTAGACAATCCTTGTTCAGCAGACCCACATCAACAAATCCCCGTGGTTGTACAGGAAATCCCCGGCCGGAGTTCAAGTCCATCTCTGCACTGTCCGTGCACTCACCATCATCATCATCAGCATCATCATCATCATCATCATGAGACGCGTCACGGGTTGATGACAAGTCCCGGGGGAGAGGATGGCACATGAAGCAAACAAGCCGATTGTTGCATGTGTGTGCATGTTGAGACACCTTTGTACGCCTGGGGGACAATCAGCATCATCAGCAGACAGCCGTATGTAGTGGTGCGTTTAACATAGATGGCTCCATATGAAACATTCAAATGCCAGATCTGCGGTATCCAGTAGAAAATGCCCGCCTCCTATGGTCTGATATGGTGAGGTCTTTGAAATGCAATGCCAAACGCCGCTACGCCCAATGCAAGAGAGATGCCGTCCTCTCGTCCTTCACTCCATCCAAAACGCCCAAATGACTCCCTTCCTGCCTTGCTTGTACAATGGGTTTGATTCTGGTAACACATCTGTAGGACTGACTCGCCGATCCCTACTCCTAAGCCAAGACACTTCCCCGGCTACCGAACAGTTTTCGAATGGTCATGCTGGCGCTGAAGAAGATTGCTGCCATGGATCCACCAACCACGGTAGCACGGAACAGAACATTCATCATCTGCATGCGGTTCCGTCGTCGGCAGCGATCAACAAATCCATCCGTGTCGTTGGTGCGAGGGAACTTCATCTTCTCCGGTACCGGGACCTCGAGGAATTCACAAAGTGGTTGCCAGCCTTCGCCCATCTTGTACTCCAGCAAGTTCTCTTTGGGGACCAGGTCGCGGATTTCCTGGTAGTACTCGTTGAAACGACGCTTGCCATTCTTCTCAAAGTCACCCTCCCAGAATTCCGTCCAGAATTCTACTCACAGTCAGCTTTGCAGACGACATGTCAATACTGTATATCACAACTCACTGGAAAGCATGGGCTGGTAAAGACCAGCACCCCAATCAAACTTGGACACCAATTTGAGTTCCGGCTCCGTCGCACGCCAATGTACCGTCTTCATCGTACTCGCATGCCAACTATCCACATCCCTCGTAGTGATGATGACCTTGGCCTCCGGGTATGCCTTGATCAACTCTTTCGCAAAAGCCACAGCCGGCCAATCGCAAATGGCTTGGCAGTGTCCCGTAAGCTGATCCCACTGTTCACGGCCGAATTGGCCTTTGCCGTCGTATTTGGCGGCAAGAGCGTCGGACCACATCAGACAGTCGGGAGGATTCTCGACGGACGCGGACATCATGTGGTAGCAGTCGTCGAAGCCCAGAGTCTTCAATGCTGTTCGGAGGGATGCTGTACCCGTACGTCCCAATCCCAGAGCGAGAACTCGCATTGGGACGACTCGACGGCATTCTCGACGGTTGATGTCTGTATCGGCTGTGAAGATGTCGGTTACGGGCTTGGGGGTATAAGGYTGGAAAGCCATGTTGGATAGATAGGTGCGAGTGTTGTAGTCGTAGATTGGTAGGTAGGTATAGTATAAGTCGAGATATGGCAGTCTGGAGATGGTGTTGAAAACGAGCGAATAACAGCAGCAGCAGCAGCAGCTGGATGTAGACGGAACAGAGGACAGAAAGAAACAAGTCCAAGGACGCGTGATGAGAGTGGTATTGCGAGACCACAAGTTACAAGATCAAGATCAAGAAAGAGGGCAGAGAGAGAGAGTTGCTGTGAAACTCCAACCTGCCCCCTATCCGACCGACATGGAGGGGGGAAACTTTCTTACGCGCCATCGGGGAACCTGGAACTTTGGTCGCCGCGTGGTCGTTAGTGTCGCTCGTCACTTCCGCGTAGGATTGCCTCTCGGCTGAATTCATCCGAGCCCTCTTATGGCGGCAGTACCGTACAGGCAGGGTTTTTTCCCATGTACAATGCAGTGCATACGAATAGTTAGTTACATGTGGTGTTGCATTCATGGATCCGATACAAGGGAATGACATGTTGTACCTCCCAAAAGGTTACAGCGACATCAAACACACAGCTCACTTAGAAACAAGGAGAGCTTTGAGACTCTTTCCCAAAATGCATGCCAAGAATCAAAAACGCGAGCTTCTCGCAAATCACAATTCACGATCAACGTCCATTCCATATAACTATATCTCCACAAAAGGGGCAGCACTGATCTCAATCTACACAACTCACTAATTTCATCAAGTAGAAGTAATTAATAATGGTCAACCCCTTCTCCGCATGCACAACAGCGACGAAAAATGTCTTCTCGCGGAGATTCAGACAATAATGGCCTCCCTCAACGCCAAGTGGTTGCAAATGTTGACGGCTCCAGCTCGTTTCTGTTTGTGGCGTCAGCCACTCGCTTCTTAGCCGTGATAATACGACGGCCTCTCCGAAAACAAGAATCGTGATCCATGGAGAGTACGATGTCGTATTAAACTTTTTGTAGGTATCTACGGCGGAGAGGAGTGTGAACGTGTTCTAATCTTCACAAGGCAACATCAGATCTTGTCGCGAATGCTTCCATCCATGTCAAGAGCTAACTTCACTCCGCAACACGATATGAGATGTGAACATGACATACAATCATCATGGGTATAGACACCATTAGGTATTATATATAATCAGGATCTAGGTCTCATTCAACGCAACTGCAGTGTACCTTTCCCATTCCACCCATCATCAATATATTCATTCCTCCGCACCCCTTCACTTCAACCCAAACCCTTCACTCTCATCAACCGCACGCCACAGCTTAGTCTCCAACTGCTCGCGACTATCATATCGCCACAGCATCAACATGTTGAAGCAAGTCCTCGCAATGGGGAATCTCTGCCTTTCATCATGAAGTCCACCACCCCATCCATCCCCTCCAGCGACAATACGAAGTACCAGACTCGTAGCGCCAACAGCCGGGATCCGGTCAGTACCCGTAATGAATGTCAATAACTTTCGCTGCTTTTCAGGCGATGCTTCAGCAAATGATTCCCAAAACCAGCCGATGACCGGCACACTCTTTGCCGGGTTGGGATGGAGATGGTGAGGTTCGGCAACTTGCCTCCAGTTTTCATATACCGCGACGGCACGCAGGGAATCCACATCAAGTGCCTCATCACTGCCGCGAACCAGAAGCTCAATCTCCTCTGCTCTGAAGAGGGAGAGCGCATTGCCTGCGCAGACCGTGAAGAATCCTCGTTTAAAAGGCTCAAACTGCCGAGCAACGGCCACATCGAGCAGGTAGCGTACGTAGGCATCCACGAATTCCTGCCGATTCGCATTCGTGACGGGTATACTCTCTCCGTTTGTTACGAGTGGAACATTTGTGATTACTCCATAGCGCTCCACCGGGATGACAAAGTCTCTGCAGTAGGTCGCCTCCACGTCGCCTTCAAAGTCCAGTAGTTGCTGCAACCCAGCGGCGAGCGATGGACGGAACTCGGCAAGATCTTCAAGATTGTAGCTCATTTGTCCCTTTGTACCTGTCATGGTGGAGACATTCGATGCACTCGTGACAGAGCTCGGAGCAGCAGCCAGGAGTTTGCGAAATGCAAACGGAGGCAAGGCAACATCCAGGATGGTACTGTTGTAGATTGCGAGTCCCAGCAAGGCACCCACGAGATAGTACTGATCCGAAGTCTCAAAGGAGTTGGGATTGAAGTAACACGTGTTCGAATCGTCGTCGTAGCTGAACATGCCATGGTTGGGGTCGAATATATCCCGCACGAGCATCAAGAACCATTCCTTTCGGGGACCTCCAGCATCGACGCCTTCCTCGCCTGTGAACTGTACCCGCAAACCCTTCTTGAGCTCCTCTTGACCAGCACCGACAGCAGCGCTGATCTGTCTAAGACTGTCATCTACCATGCACTCGCGACGAATGCGAAGTGTGAAATGTCCGTCGATGGCTCTCTGGCGAATGACTTGGTCGAAGTAGGCCTCTCTCGCTTTGATCTCCATTTGTCGTCGAGCGTCATGCTCCAAGATTTTGATTTTGGCGCCCATGGAGAGGAAGAGTGGATACTGGCAAAAAGCAAACTTGTCACGCCTGGTCTCCCACACTCTAAAGTCCGCGATGAGATCTTGGTAGTCGAGTAGGGTGTTGTAGAAGCTCGACGTGTGCAACAACTGTCCAGGCTTGCGTGGCTTCGTCATGGAAGACTTATCGGSGTCGCGGCGCTTGCCCTGCCAGACATTATTTGCAGCAAAGAGTAGAGACATCACCTTCGCTGCTGCTTTAATTTGCCAGTCGCCCACCCAATCTGGTTCAGCATTTGGATCGACAGCGCTCTTCTTGACTGATCCACCAAGACCCATTGCAGAATGCAGCTGGGCGGATGTGTTCATGGTGGATCCGGACAGGTCTGGTATCAATCCTCCATCGTTGACCAAGCTTTTCCTTCGAGGGCGACCTGATGTACGAGCAATCCTGTAGGTTACGAAGCTGGCCACGAGATCGATGGTCTTCACCAAGTGATGCTCGTCGAAGCGTGTAAACCAGCCAACCAGGTAGCGATGACAAGCATCAGTAGAGTGCGCCATCAATCCGAATATTCGCTTGAGTAGCCCATTATGCTGGGTCCCGTCGCGAGCTGGGGACTTCCTCGGGCTCGCCTGTGCGTGCCCATTTGACCTGCGGCTTGGAAGTGTTGTCTGACTGCTGGCCGATGATGGATATAGGGAAGGATTGGACAGCAATATCAACAGAAACCGCAGGTCTCCAGGCTCCTTGATCGGCCTAGAGGGCCGTTTGAGCAAATTCTCGGTGACCTTCAGGAGAGTCCGCACCGCGTGCTCTCTCGCACTCCCAAGCTCTTCCTCAATGTCTTCGGTGTTGACATCACCTGCGACGTTCTCCGTTGGAAGCTGAAACTTCGACAGTTTGAGGTTTTCAAGATTCTTCTGCCAATCTTCGCCCGCGGTATGCACAAGACCATACCAGCTGGTAAGCTCTGCCCAGTTAATGTTGGCACTTCTGGAAGATACGGTCTTTTTGGGACCCTCGCCAACTTTCTTACGTCTAATCTCGGACCGGTTGCGGTCGACTTTGCCGGTCCACCATGACCCGTTCTCGCCAATGTCTCCTATCAAAAGCGTTTTGGCGTCCAGTCCGGACAGTCCCTCCATTGGACTGGGTTGAAAAACGTCATGCGGCTCGGGTGGGGGTGTTACGATGTTGCTCTCGCTCCGTGTTCGGCCAGACGCTACAGGCCGCAAGGTACTGAATGAAGAGTTGAGACAGTGAAAGTCACCGACAGTGGCGACAATGTAATCCTCAAGTGGTCTGAAAATGGCCTTGATCCGGTCCTGATGCCTGCGATGCTCCATTTCTCCCGGTGTGAGCTTTGGGCTTGCTGTGGGTCCTGGTGAGTGTAGTCCATCAGGCGCCAGGTTGCCATGGATGTGGACTCGATGGTGTGAAGGTCTGCGATTTGAGGCATTTAGAGGAGGAGGAGGCGGCTTCCGGATGGGTTTGCTTGGAGTCGGTACGGGCTTTCGCCTCGCCGGACTCACGGTATCATGTGTTGGAGCTGACGTTGACAGTTTCTGGACTAGAGGAGGAGTCTCCATCCGCGTACCAGCGAATAGGTCGAATTCGCCGAATTCGCGAATAGTCGCACTTGTTGAAAACAGATCTCCTGACGACTCCGGCGGCGATCTTGATAATGATGCGGATGAATCGAGTGGTTGCTTGCCATTACGAGGCCTGATGGGCATTGCAGCTGAGCGTTGTTCTGAACCAAAGACATCCTCACTGATAGATGCGGTAGGATCCGGCGCGTTGGGTTCCTCTCGTCTACAGCGCTCCTCGAGATAGACATCTAAACATCGATCAATGATTGCACGGGTCCGCTCTATGGAAAGCGGCGAATGGTTGCTGGACGATAGCTGTCCTGGAAGTGTCTTCAAGATCGGTCGGCCTTGATCGTCCTCGGTCTGCTCTTCAACCGGCTTCAAGTCGTTTATTGTCAAACAACACAAGCATCTGAAGCGCGGAAGCTCTCTTGGGACGTTCACCCGGCTGTCGCAACACATGCACTTTCTAGTCGTCTTGCTCCCATCGTCAACAGCCTTGCCTCTCTTGCTTGAGATGACGCCTGAGGGTGCGGGCTCGACAGATTCACTAACTCGCACCAAGCCTTCTCCTCCCGTGCCGTGTGTATCGTGAAAGTTGGTGCTCTTCTTGCGTCCAAAGATCTTGGGCAAAGGATTGCTCGCGGAGCGATTGTGGGCGTGCTGTCGAGGGCCGACTGTGCGTGGCCGTGTCGGAGAAGGTGGCCGACGATCGTGATTCAGTGTGGGTGTATCCAGATAGTCGGATGGAGCCCGAGGGAGCGGCTTGTCGCGCGCATTGCTGCTTGCACTGCCGGACGAGAGCAGGCGGGAGGACCACGAAGATGGCGGAGGCATCAGGCAAAAGCGCGCATGAAGGATCCGCTCAACACCTCACTGGACTTCCCAGTCCCGCAAGTAAAGGTGCTTCAGGCCAAGTTCGGCGGTGAAGTCTGGCCGTTGCTGCTCTTTCCGGCTCCAGGAATTTTGGATGATGCAAGAGCTGTGCCGCACCGTGCTTTGGAAGGCGCGCTTTGGTTATGGCGGATCGGTCGGACGACGAGAATACACGAACGGGCCGTTCAAGTGGTCCACACTCAACATGTTAGACCTTTGTTGTCAGTCTCATTGCCAGGTTGACGTGCCTACGCGATGCCAAGTCTTGATACGACAGGAGCAAGAGGGGCTTGACAAAGTAACAGAGTCATGCACGCTACTACTACATCAGACAAATGTGAAGACGAGACGAGTTTCACCAACAGCAATGATTGAGGAACTGCATGATTGAGGAACAGCAACATGCAACGACGAATCTCAGAGGTCGAGAATGAACTGAATTTTGCTTTCATTTTATCCAGCCCGCACGAGTCGAGCTGGRCCATAAACAGCAGATGCTCGTAGCCATTGACGCAGAAGACTTTCCGCTCCTCGATAGCGCTCCCAGACCATTGCAACTCCTGCAAAAAGACGATACAGCAATGCTGCCACTGCCCATGTCGCTGCCCCCTCAACCAGTCCTCTACCTGTAGCGCCAGAGGGACAGAGTGTTCTGCCTCTTCCAGGTGTGTCTCCGGCCAGCCTTGGTGTTGTTGTAGCGGTGGCCCTTGTTGAGACCTCTGCTCTTCTTGCCGGTGGCGGTGAGACCACGCATCTCGCGGTGCTTGTGGACTGGCTTCACGATCCAGTTGATGCGGGCATCGCGGCGGATGGCCTTGTGCTGTGGGTCGACGAGGATGACCTCGTAGTACTTGTAGGTGGAGTCCTGGTTGATCCAGTAGCTGTTCAGGACGCGCAAGTTGGCGCAGCGGCGGCCGACACGCTCCTCGGCGGTGGCCTTGAGAGAGCGCTGGTACTTGAGCTGGTTCACACCCTGGTTGGTGGGCTTGCCTGTAACAAAATTCAGCCCACATTCTCCCACAACCCAACATCTCCTCCTTGAGATTGTGTCCTCCACATACCGTAGGTGGCACCCTTTGGCACTGGCCTCTTGCGACCTCCACGGCGGACGCGGACGCGGTAGATGACATATCCCTGCTTGGCCTTGTATCCGAGGCGGCGGGCCTTGTCGGGGCGCGATGGGCGGGATGCGCGGTGGATGACGTTCAACTGGCGGAGCTAAATTGATGTACTCTCAGCAATGTTCAACGAGTACGCTCAAAACACATGCACTTTCGTGCCTTGTGTCGCTCATTCGGTCAGACGCACCTCCCAGCAGCGAACGCGAAGCAAGAAGCGCATGACATCGCTCTGCTTCTTCTTCTGAAGCTCCTCGAGATATTTGTGGGCACCCATCTGTGGCCGCAATTAGTGACTGCATGAATGTGGTGGTGGTGGGGATTCCGAGCGCGGGTGTGCGCAATGGCAAGAGATGGGCGGTGTTGACTTCTCCATAGCCATGCGCAGGTTCCTCGTTGGGTATCGTACGCACCTTGACGTTTCGGTGGGCGGTGGTTGTTGGAGTTCTGGCACGACGACCTTGTTCAAAGAAGGGCTTCGAAAAATGCGAAGGGTACGGATTGGATTGGTGTGGTGAGCGCTTGGCGTTTGACAGAGTTGGCCCAGATCTCAATTTTGGACAGAATTCCTTCGGCCTCACCCGCGTTGCACTTTCATCCGCCAAACCCGACCGACCTTGTGAGGATTGCAATGATTCGGTTCGGCCTGTCAAATGTTGAGATATTGTTGAGATGGGATCCTACCACGACGATGCTCGAACAGTCAGCACCGTCGTCGCGGCCGGTTACTTCAAAAGATCTCAGCTTTAGTTGAAAGCTACCAAAAGATGGTGCCCGAGGGCCATGCTGATCGCATCGTTGACTCCTCCTCCTCCTCATCCAGGAGGCAAAACGCAGGCCGTGCAACTGCAAGCAACCATTTTTCGTTGCACCAGCTTTCATGGCCAGTCAGCTTACAACGTGAGCATTCTCAATCTGCACACAGATCGTCCAAGGTCGACGATTTCCCACGTCCCTCATGGTCTACCGAGGAAAGGTACGCCTGCTGCATGCTTAGCTCGCTTCCATCTCCATATGGAGACTAAAGTTCTTTCTCAATAGCTATCGGCTGGCTGCGATGCATGTCGCAAAGCCAAGAAGCGTTGCGATTTGGGAGAGCCATCGTGTACAAGATGTCACAAGCTCAACAAGCCCTGCTCAGGCTACCGCGATACAACCCAGCTTCAGGTCCTCGATGAAAGCGCATCAATCCGAGCAAAGGCWGAAAACAAGACAGTCGTTCCGGTGAGAACCATTGAATATCGCCACAATACGCAATCGAGCAGCTCGTCAACGCGGCCATCCTCGAGTGCGATACCTAGAAGCACACCTYATCATCAATCGTATTTACCCTTGATTGGGTTTTTAAGGCCTGCGGTACCGGGAGTGAGCTCTGGCACGAATGTGCATTCTGCTGAGAGTTCATCACCTCGAATTGATGCAACGGCCCTGGAGCAGCAAGCGCTTCACGGTCAGGCCTATGGAGCGCCTTCTCACGTTCCTGGCGCCATAAAACCGGCGCCCGAAGACTGTGCCAAAAACTTCTTCTTTGTAAATGGCGCAGTGTTCGCGACTTGAGATCAAATCGCTGACCATCATGCAGAAGCAATTCACTTCCGAACTGGGGCAATGGTCCTATCTTCGGGAAATGTTCAAAAATCAACGGCCAGAGCCGGCGCTGGATCTTGCTGTTCGCGTATGCGGTATGGCCTCGCTAGACAATGTCCACGGGACGGGGACTGGGGTGGACAGAAGCAGACCAATATACGCAGGGGCGCTTCGACTGTTGAACGCGGCTTTGAGAGATCCAATTCGATGCAAAACAGACGAGGTGTTGATTGCTGTCCACCTCCTTGGCGTCTACGAGCTACTTGCTTGCGATTCTCGCGATTCGATCATGTCATGGAAAGCTCACATGGATGGCGCACGAAAGGTCWTGTACATTCGCGGCAAAGCCCAGTTCAAAACGTTCTGCGGTCGTCAGCTATTCCGAGAACACCGCGCGCAAATCCTGATTCACGCTATGTGGGAGGACCTGGAATGTCCGAGCTTCCTCTGGGGTTGGGATCCCGAGTTGAAGAAACAGAGCCATCCTAGCGAGTTGGCTGTGATGGCCCCGGCGGATAGTCTGGGTCGCATAACCATAGACTACACCACACTAAGGCATAAATTCCGAAACAGGGCAATCTTGGATGCCAACGCCATGAGCACTGCTCGCAATATCGAGGAGCGCATGATACAATGGTCAATCGACACGATGGCCCATTCAGGCATGTTCTGGGCATATCGAGAGATCAAAGTCGCAGACTCACCGCATGTGTGGAACGGGATGGTCCACGGCTTTTCAGGATGGCCAGGTGTGCCGACTATTTGGAACATGTAGGTCAAAGTCGAAGAATGGCCGGTTTAAGGATTCTCGAAGCCAAGTCTTTCTCGCGCTCTGCATTACAACGTGATTGCTAATCGATCCTCACTCTAGGTACCGAACCATTCGCATAATGTTGACTCGTACGCAGGAGCAGATTCTTCGCCGCTTCGAGCTTCCTGCGAGGGATTCGGAAGCACAGCTCGCGTACTTGAGGGATGTCAGAAAGGCGCATGCTGATGGTATATGCGGTGCTGTCCCGTTCCAGCTCGGTCACGCAGCGCCGGCTCCAAATTCGCCTTGCATCGTTGTGTCTGCTTACGGTTCGATCTGGCCATTGTTCTTTGCGGGTAAGAGATGAACCGATTCAGGTGTGTTACAGGACCTCGCTGACCCTGTTCAAGGAACGTGTGCGCTTGAGCGAGTAGGTTCTGCTGCGTGGATGCGTGTCCTCGCCGGGAACCCGCTCAACGAAGAGGCAACCAGCGCAAACGAAAACATCGCTCAAGCAGCATGGATCATCAACCGCCTGGTGTATATTTCAAAGCATATGGGGCTGCGTTGGGCTGACGGTCTCGCCGCAACCCTCAACGGCGACTTTGAAAAGTGCAACAACGTTCCACTGGAGTATGAGATGTGCCGCTTGCTGTATGGATGACATTGCTGACCAGATCGCAGTGGGAGCCAAAAGCGAGAACCCGATCGTGATCCTTGGCGCAAGCAACTCCACGAATCAGACCTAGGTCCTTTGATGATGCAGAAATGGAGAAAAGCTGCCACAGAGTACGGCATGATCGAGCCTCAAGACAACAAGCCACTACCGTCTACGCAACAGATCTTGCGCGGTTCTTGATCCGCATTGTTGTCGTTGATGTGCTGATGTTGCTCGTTTTGTCTGTCAGCGAAATCTTTATGCTAGATCGATAGCTCTCGATCTGTCTCGCTCTTTGCGCTTTAGACTCATGGTCACAACTGCAAYAGTTCGCGGGCCGCCACCCTAACGTTAGAATAACGCATTGCGCCAAAATCTGTCGAGATTGAGGACTGACCAAGAAACTCCACACATCACGTCCCTGCCGATCAAGCAATATTTGGCAACTCTCATCATGAATGTTATTTCGGAGAACGATCTGTTGACGAATGTCTAAGGTACACGGGTTCGCGCCTCCAACCTCCATCATCCAGCGGTTTCACAAAAGCTCCGGCTCAACGACACCGGTCTGCTTGGTGATCAAATCGTAGGCCTCAATACGCCTGTGCCGAGAATAGTCAAAAGTCCTTTCCTTGCCCTGTCGGCATTCACTGAGGTCAATCTCGGCGAACACAAGCTCATCATTCTTTGTCTTGGCCTCTGCGATTACTAAATTTCAAGGATGTCAGCCAGAGCCACATATTGGGAGATTCTCCATTCGTTGCTCCTGCGGAACTTACCATGCCCCTCGGGACTCACAATCGAACTACCGCCGATCAAGTCATATTTGCCATCATCCCATCCGCATCTCGCTGCGGATATGGAGAAACAAGCATTCATATAGCTGTTGGCCTGCTGTACAAGACGCGAGTGAAACAGCGCTTCCTTCTCTGCATCCTGGGGCGACATGGGCTTGCTTCCCCACAGGTGCGACATGTTTGCTCCTGTGTTGTATCCAAACATGAGGAGTTCGGCGCCTTGGAGGGTATATACCCTCCACGCTTCTGGCCATCTATCGAGGATCAGTTGAAAACYCTTTGCTGAGGACACGGGATTTTCATGTACCGCCTGTCATTACAAATCAACATCCCCATGATTGGATCTCCCTTGCCTACGGTACTTTCACCGTCCTTGGCCGTGGACTTTTTAGCAGCATCTGCCACCAGCCCTGGGGCGCGGAAAGCTTGAAAGCCAAGATTTCCTGGTGTAACTAGACATGACATGTCAGTAAACATCCCCCCCAATCTTTCCTTCATACTGACAATAGCGTTTCTCGAGCTGGTTAGTCGCAGCCGGGTCTGCAAAGGGTTCCACCGTTCCAGGAAGATGAACTTTACGATACTTGCTCAGCACTTTGCCTTCAGAAGCCGAATAATAGACACTAGTGTTGAAACCAGTCCCATCGGGTGTGCGTTCTCCATATCCCAGAACGATATCGATCCCAAGCTTCCTAGATTCTTCAAACAATGGCTTCACATCTGGAGATTGAGTAATGTCCTCGCCGTGTTCAAAGTGCTTGTCCAGTTCCTCTTGGTTTTCAATAAAGTGTCTTGGGAAGAAAGTCGTGAGAGTTGCTTCCGGGAAGACGACCAGTTGTACGTGCTTTTCTGCAGCCTCTTGCAGCAAGTTTATGAGCCTTTGCACGGTTTGTTTCTTGTCTGCATCGATGTGAACGGCGCCGACTTGAGCGGCTGCAACAATGATCTTTCTTGACATGGTATTTATTGATTGATTGATGATGATTCGAAAATGAGCTATGTCTGTCACGCTACGAACGCAACCTTTGTTATATGGTCCATAGGCGATGGACTCTACAGAAGCAAGGCTGCCGAGCTGTAGTTCGCCGTTTGGCCGTACATGTGGAAAGATGCACTTCGGTCAAGCGCCTATCTTGCCCGGCCTATCGGCAGGATTGAGAGCTAATTCCTTTATGCATACCTAGCTAGTGGAGCAGCTGCAATACTAGCTAAGCATAGCAAGGACAGATGTGAGGGACATGTATTGCTTCTGCCGACATTGTTATAGCTGGCTCCAAAGCAATCATCCAACACTCCTTTCCCACGGTCCCAATACTAAGACGGACCTGAAGCAGGCTTTGAGTTGAAATATCATCATGGATTTTGACCTGGTTGTAAAGAATGCAATATTTGTGAGTTTTAACATGAACAATCTAGAAATTAGGCTGACTTTCTGTATATAGGTGACTGCCAGCGAAGTTCTCCCAGAAGGTCTTGAACTTGGGATCAAGAATGGGAAAATTGCTTGCCTAGCAACTGGACCTCTACCAATCTCATCCAGCACACGAGTCATAGATGCTGAGGGAGCATATGTCACTCCAGGTGGCATTGACAGCCACGTACATCTTGCCCAGAAGAATTCTCCTACCGGTGATAATTGGGAAACGGGATCTAGGAGTGCCGTTGCTGGCGGAACAACGACGATCATCGCCTTCGCCTCGCAACAGCGCAGCGACACTTCGCTGTACCCAGTCTTGAAGGAYTACCATGAGAAAGCAACAGATCAGAGCTATTGTGACTATGGCTTTCACTTCATCCTGACAAACCCGACTCCAGAGATTCTCAAAGACGAGTYGCCAGTGATGGCATCCGAGGAAGGCATCACTAGCGTGAAGCTCTATATGACCTACCCTGCGATGATGGTTAGCGATCGGGACATTCTCAGTATTCTCTTCGCTTGCAGATCGTTGGGGATGACAACCATGATACACGCCGAGTCGCATGATATGATCAGTATGATCATCGAAGGGTTGGAGAAGAACAGAAACACCGAGCCCTTCTTCCACGCTATTGCACGCCCACGAATTGCAGAAGATGAGGCTTCGTACCGTGCCATCTCGCTCGCCGAGCTCGCAGATGCGCCGATGCTGATTGTGCACATGAGTTCGGATGTTGCGATCAAGCATGTACACGACGCTCAGGCCCGATTACTCCCGATTCATGCAGAAACGTGCCCGCATTATCTGTTCTTGCTCTCGGAGAAAATCAAAGGGGAGCCACATGACCACTTTTCGGGAGCGAAGCACGTTTGCTCGCCGCCTCTGCGACACGACGTCAAGGATCTGGACGCACTATGGCAATCCATTGCGAATGGAACATTCACGACCTTCTCCTCGGACCACGCACCGGCCAAGTACGATCATCCTGGGGGTAAGATGCTCGGGATGGTAGATGGCATCCCTCGTTTTTCCAAGATTCCAAATGGATTGCCAGGTATCGAAACGAGACTCTCTTTACTGTTCAGTCAGACGCCAGCTGGGAAGTCTGCCGAGCAAGCAAGACTTTCGCTCCCACGATTTGTTCAGCTGACTTCTACCAACGCTGCGAAGCTCTATGGCTTGGACGGTCGGAAAGGATCGATAGCTCCTGGATACGATGCGGACCTGATCATCTGGTATCCCAATCACAAGGGTGCGAGGGAAATAACGCAAGATAAGCTGCATCATGACATTGACTACACACCTTTCGAGGGCGTTCAAGTCACTAATTGGCCGAGGTACACCATCCTGCGAGGGGAGGTTGTTTGGGATCAAGAGCAGGGTGTGGTAGGTAGCAAGGGCTTTGGTCAGTTCCTGAAGCGAGGAAAAGGCCAGGTGCTGGTTGGAAGAACTGGAAATGTGCCACGCGGTATGAAGCCAGGTGAGCGTGAGTATTGGTTGTGATTGAGAGGTACTGTTTGAGAATGTAGCCTCATCTCGTATTGAGTATCATGAAAGAGTGGTGTCCATCTGGAATCGCCTCGAATTGATCTGCTTCACGTTCAGATGATGGTGATGTCGATGTTGTTTGACGCTTCATGTGAAAATGTGTCGGTGGATTCTTACGTCAGCCAAAATCAATCACCAACGTCTGTGAGTCAACAATGGAATCTTCTGTCTTTGATCAATCATCAGTCCAAGATGAGATGAGGAGGACGTCACTGTCACTACTGACAACTCTTACCAAAGGTCGAACTATTCGTGTGCATTCGACAGGGCGTCCACGACGGAGCCAGCCTCCCATCACAGCCATGGAGACCGACTATACCTCATGGTCCAATGCAGACTTGGTCAAGCGAGTGAGCGAGCTCGAAGCACAGCTGCGGGCTCAAAACACTCTACACTCTACACCACTTCGAGCCTCCTCGCTTGAGGCAAAGAAGAAACCGAAAAAGGCTCCGAAACCCTTCGACCCAAATCGATATACTTTCCGCAAGATAGCTTTGAAATTCGCATATTTGGGCGGTAACTACAATGGATACGAACATCACACCAACAATATCACACCACTGCCGACGATTGAAGAGACACTGTGGAGGGCGTTGAGGAAGACACGCTTAATCTTTCCTACCTACAAGCCGGGACAAAACGAAGAGGATGTCAATTGGGAGGGTTGCGAATACAGCAAGTGTGGCAGGACAGATCGTGGTGTAAGTGCTTTTGGGCAGGTGGTTGGTATCAAAGTCAGAAGCAATCGACCCAAAGCCGTAGTACCGGCAATACCTACAGAACAAGCGAATGAAGCCGACAAGGATGGAGAGCATAGCGTTGGCGTGGAGAGTCCAGCGCCAGAGTTTGATCCAATTGCGGACGAGCTACCCTACATTCAACTTCTCAATCGCGTTCTTCCCCCAGACATTCGAGTCCTTGCATGGTGTCCCGCGCCCAGCCCAGATTTCTCTGCCCGTTTCAACTGCAAAGAAAGAAGGTATCGCTACTTCTTCACAAATCCGGCTTACATGCCGCTGCCCGGCAGTAGACCTGATAAGCGGCGCGGGCCTGAAGACGGCTGGTTGGATGTCGAGGCAATGAATGAGGCCGCAAAGAAGTATGAGGGTTTGCACGACTTCCGCAATCTTTGCAAAATCGATGCAAGTAAACAAATCACAAATTTTGAGCGCAGAATCTTCCACGCTGGCATTCACAAAGTTGAACCAAGTCTGGAGACCTCGGATGACAACCAAGCGATTCCTTCTCCTCAGCTTTACTGGTTCGAGGTCCGTGGAAGTGCTTTCCTTTGGCACCAAGTCCGGCATTTGGTAGCTGTCCTGTTTCTCGTCGGCCAGGGGTACGAAGAGCCTAGCATCGTGGACGATCTGCTCGACATGCAGAAGACACCTGCACGACCAGTGTACGAAATGGCTAGTGACATCCCGCTTGTGCTTTGGGACTGTATTTTCCCCAACGCCGAGGGTCTCGCATCCGCCGATCATGCCGATGGTGAGAAGAATCCGTCTGGCTACCATGACAGCATGGAGTGGATTTATGTCGGGGACGAACGTGGTGGACGTGATCAGTCTAAGCGCGCTCTGATTGCTGTGGAGGATGGCAAGCATGGTCGAAACGGCATCATGGAGGAGTTGTGGGCTTTATGGCGCCAGCGGAAGATGGACGAGGTGCTGGCCTCGAGTCTGATGTCTGTCGTCTCGACGCAGGGTGGAAAGCTAGAACCCACACATGTAGAAGCCCGACTTGACTCTGAAAGGAGCGCTCGCTTGTTCGATGGAAGCGAGTTTCCTCGAACCATCGGCAAGTACGTAAAGGTGGCGAATCGCGAGCGCCTGGAAACTCCCGATGTTGTCAACGCAAGGTATGCGCTGCGGAAAGGTCTAGATTCGAATGGTAGGCGTCCATCAAATAGTGCGGTGGATGCGGATGAATAGGCTGCTCAAGACTTGGGCTCGTATAGACATGCGCGTGCACCTCGCCAAACTTGTTCCAAAATCTCTCTTCGAGGCAATAAGCTCTGTCTGGAATTCRGCATCTCCATGCAGAGTCTGGTGTGATAGAATGCCACTCACAGGAAACACCACGACAACATCCTCCTCTCCCTCCACCACAATACTCAAGTAGAATCTCACCTCGAATCCCTTGAAAGCCTCATAAATGAAAATATCCTGTATGGAACTCGTGGGAATGAATCGCGTCGAACTCGTCCAGAAGTAAGTAGGACTACTCGTACTCGTCTGAACCCCCAATCCCCGAATAACAAGCAAAGACTCCTCCGTGAATCCTTTCCGCAATACAAGCCAAGTAACAGCCGCGCAAAGCAGCAATCGCCAGATCCAATTCACCTGGAAGAAGAAGATGGAGATGATCCTCCCAGAGGAAGATTCCAGCATGGCATTTTCCAGCCAGGAGAAAATGTGATGGTCATCATTATCGAGGATGTGGAATTCGTGGAGGAGAATCCTCGCGACTAGGATTCCGGCGGAGATTCGAAGGAATATGCCAATGGAGCCGCGGACGCGTGCGGCGATTGTTTTGCTCGGGGAGCGCGTCGAGACGGTGTATAGCACTGTTGTTTGAGTGGGCCGGCGGACTGATAACATTTTGAGATGGATGAAGCCACGCGTAGGCGTGGTCGAATGAAGTGCATCAAAGTCTTGGAGAGCATAAGTTAGGGTTACGTTAGGGTTGGTGTATGAGCGAGGATCGCATACTTTATCTACAGTAAATTAATAAGGGCATCGTCAACATCAAGTGTATGACTCTGTAGCATAGGTGTTGTTTGAATCCGAATGTATTTTTGAAGTTTACATTGTATCAAGCGTTCAGGTGGGATTTTCCGTGCTGTATGTATCTCACCAATGCGTCCACAGCCAACAGAAATGGAAGCTACTTGTGGGTGTAGTCCATTATCGAGTGCTGCTCTACCAGGCCGAGGACTTTATCCCCATACTCTATTTACAACGTAGGCACTTCAATCGACGCCGTCCCAGATCTTCCTGTATGCCAAACGCCCTGCTGAAATAACATGTATCACTTGCATAATGACAATCATGCATCGCCCAGTCACCTATACGCGATCCCTTTCCGCCACCTCAAACGTCCGGCGTGTGATCTACCAGCCTGCCAAACTAACAGCCGCCTGTAGCTCACCAATATCACAACGACAGCAGAGGAGGATCCGGCCAAGACCATGAGGGTCGTTGAAGACACAAGACCTTGCGGTAGAATGTGGTTGATGGTTTGGAGAGACGATGTCAGAGGGCCTCGATCGATTAGTTGGCTGGYTCCGTAGTCCAGTCGACGATCGTTCGCATCAATAGCGATTACTCGAAGGTATCTTGCAATCTCTGCATCATCCGGAAGTGTAATTGTGGTCTCAAAGCCGTCCTTGGAGACCCTTACGACATCTTCCCAGGATGTTTCTGCTGTGGAGTTCGTCTCCGAACATTGCAGTATCCAGTCCTGCACCTCCGTCGCTCCGTTCCAGGACACGTAGACCTCGACATCATCATCACTGATGTCTATAAGAGGTGGCTGCTCTGGCTTGCCGATCCAGGGAAATTTGTATGTTCGGTAGCTCTGAATGTCGCCTCGCTCCCACGATGTGACGGCGCCATAGTGTACGTCGCAAAGCACCGTTCCGTTGGCATCGAACTCGGTCCAGACGGCATTGAGACCGTATCCCACCAGTATCTTACTGTCCTCGCCAGTAACTGGCGGTAGCACTTGCACAGAACCTTGAGAAGAAGACCTCACACCTTGTGGGTTCTCATAGGATTTGATGACTCGCACGGTGTACTCTGGGCTGGTGCCATTGATTGCCTGGATTTTTGCGGTGTTCTTGTCAGTACCGTCACGCTTCCACTGCTGGCTGATGTTTCTAGAAGGTCGTTCTGAAACCACACTAGGATATGTCAGCTCCAGGATTAATCCCCTCGACAATGGTAGACCATAGTCATAATGCAGGTCCTCCGCTGCATTGTCGAAAAGCGAGACCAGCATTCTTATCATACCATCACGAGCTTCTGGTGGCTCGTACATGGTTGGGAACGAATGAGGCGATACCAAACGGGCATCGTGCTGCCATGCAAAGTTGGTTGCATTGCCCCCACTCATATCCTGGAAATCGTTATTCCGACCTCCAAGGTTCCAGATGATGGCACCAGTCTTGCCGTCTATATAAGTCAGACTGTGCGTGTACCGGGCGGATATCAAGTAGTTTCCCAGCACGTCCTTCTCAATACTGTTCAGGTGAATCCAATCAAAGGGATCGTCCTTGGATCCCCCAGGTCCGACGCCTCGGTACGTCGCTGACACATTGATGTGGTCTGATGCTCTCCATTGGAACAAGAGGCTTCCCGTCTTTAGATCAACCTCCTGAAACACGCTGTCCCAGATGTACATTGGACCAGGATTGTCCTCATCAGGTTGGTAGTCCGGCAAGCCTTTGAAATCGTGCTCAATGACTTCGTACGCAGTCAGTAGCGCGGTTCCTTCAGGCGTTATGAGAAATTCATGTAGGTCCGCGGATAGTCCATTCGCGGCATCCACGCGATGCACAACGTCGTAGGAAGAGTTGAGCATGTAGTAAGACCCAGCGCCGTGTCCTCTCACACGATCGTCACCCAGCCAAAAAGTCAGAAAGTCCTCATTCCCGTACCTCTGTACCTTGAAGTCATACGCCTGGCCTCCGTATTGGTTGTCGAAATGCTTCGCCCATATTAGATCGCCACGATCGTCCAACATCACCGGACCTGGATTACCGATACCCCRGCCGCGTGGTGTGATGAAAGTGAACATGCCATCATTACATCGTTGGTCCCATTGAAGGAAATTGACGTGTGGCCCATTCAGACCTTCCTCAGTAGCGTATCGCACAGTCGGGTAATATCCCCAGGAGCCATTGTCGATCGATTGATCGTAGGACAAAGCAGGATGAGAAGTGATGTCGCGTTTGATCCCAGCTGCGAATGTACGCAGACAGGGCGATAGGGGCCAGAAGAAGTGCAAAACGATGTTCATCGATGCGGCCGGTGATTAGGAGATATCCTGCCCTGCAAGATGATGGCAGTCGCGACTGCGTCGCAACACATGAGAAAGAGAATCAAAGCTGAACGTGCGAGCGACGTCGTAGAGGACAGTGGCCCATCTGTAGTCTTCAACGCCCCACTCCCGTCAAAGGTTGGCGTTCAGTGGCGTATGAAGCAAGCTTGCAGGACCAAGGCGGAGCCGTGATAAGCGGTGTTGTTATATGCCAAGGGAAGATAGTGGCCTGGTCCAGCAGGAAGAACACAAATGGCGATGTCTAGGAAGACGAAGTCGAGAAGGTTGGAGGCAAAAGTGAACGATACAATCACCACCTACCTTACTTACTAGGATGAAGGCAATACGCAAGAACTGCTCGTTGAAGCCGCTAGGTAGGAACCTAGAACAGAAGGTCTGAGGGGGAAAGGACCGCGCGGCACATGGTGCAAACAGCGTCCACACGGATGGCTGCAGTAAGCGATTGTGGGAGACTCGCGTCTTGCGCGTCGTCAACGAACGGGCACCTATTGTCGTCGTCATCGTGTGGTATTGGTTTGAGTCAGCCAAGGTCGTTTGCATCGACTCTAATTAACCGGTTTGCTAAGTTTTAGTCCCAGCCGAAGAAAAGCAGAAAGGAGTTAAGGTACCTTAATAAAGTATCGGAGCTTTGCCAGCAAGGTCCGATTGCGCGGCATTGCCGTCGTATGTCGTTAATCTGATTACGGATTCCGAGACTTTTACACTACGATGGAGACCGTGGAACAGCTCATCAAGACTCCAAATAGTGTTTGGGATGTTGATGTTCAGTGTGTTGCTGGCAAAACAGCTCCTCACTTCACATGAAGTTCAATCAATGAATCGGTAAACTCTCAAAGCCAATTTGAAATGTCGTCGAAAGGCAATTTGAAAGAATCGTAGACAACCCCTGCACTCTCACTGCTCTGCGATGAGTCGGGATCGAAGAGCCACCGTTGAGCTCGCCTGACCGAAGCACCGATCTGCTCTCAAGCAGTGGACTTCAAGGGTTGAATTGACATGATCTCACACCAACCATATCCCACAACTCACAAGTGTACATTGAAAGTTCCATTTCGTTGCTGCCATCCATCTGGTATCTTCGTAGTCACAAAACCCTTACGCCGCTGTCCATAATCCACGCTCATCATTCCTGGAAGCCATTCGTTGATCGTCATTGGAATGAGCATCGGCACGCTCGAAAAAGGCTCCAACCTTGTCCCCACTGTCTGCAAGTCATGCTCGAACTGTTGCAGGTTGGCATGAGACATCCCATTGGCACTCTCGGTGCTGGAAACATCGTGACCCGGGCTCAATCGTCCCAGCTCTTCTCAACCGTCTCCCGAACGCGCTTTGTGTACTCTTTCCTATTGTCCTTGTAGAGGTTGCTGGCTTCGACGTTGGCGGGACTGGAGGTGTTGGGATCGTTGAGCAGACTATCACAAAAGTCAGCATATTTGCACTGGCTGAGGCATCTCGATTCTCCCTCCTTACCTCTGTACACTCGTCAAGATCGCAGCAACATCGTAGGTAGGACTCCATCGGTTTTGCAGAATGTCCAAGCATAGCTCGCCCGTACCATAGACGTTTGGATGAAACATTTGGGAGATGAACTTCACTCCAGGCGGCTTGTTCGGATATTGCTCCTCGAAATGCATGACGAGACGAAAGGTGCCATCCTCGAATGGCGTGTCTGAAGGTCCGATAATGACTGCGTTCCTACAAATCGAAAGGTATCAGTGATCGTTCTCTTCATGATGTGCCTCTTTAAGCTGTATGAATTGCCCACCATGTCATAACGTTGTCTGCGATCGGACTCGCGCTGACACCAGCTGGGGGATCGGTTTGCATGCGCTTGAAATCACGCATCAGTCTCCTCCTGGCCGCCGTCGACATTTTTGCGACTGCTGCTGGCTTTTGCCGGTTGTTTGGTGCCCTGGAAGCGGGGATATCGGCGGGGCGGCGAAGTGGCGGTGGATGTTCGATGGAGGATGGGATCGGAACAACAAAGACTTTGATATTCGATGTCGGCGGGGAGATAGGGTGTTGATCGGATCTGCAGTCTGTTTACGATCGATGTGCTGTGTGGAGTTTGTTGGTTGATGTCAGCGGTGATGAATGCGCGGGATAGTTCGGAGAGGTGGAGGTGGGGTGCTCGGTGTTTGGCCATGTGCTAGGACTAGAACTAGGACCATTCAATTTCACTCGAAGATTCCATTATTACTACATGCGGTTGTCACATGGTCTTTTCTTGACGATAATATGGAGTGTCCAGTTGAATCATAGTAGCCTGCAGATGAAACCATAATTAAGTGACTTGCATGAGCATTCTTGGCCGTTAAGAAGAAGTAATTGCCTGTTCACCAAGGGTATATATACATCACATGCTCGCGGTACTATCTCCCGCCGAATGCCCACGTAAAAGCTCCCAACCCAATACCGCAGAGAACGGGTATCGTCAAGTTGTCATCCAGACCCCATAGATCTATGGCCTCACTTACGCTGGCCACCAGTCCAGCCACGACTGATATCACGCCCAGGGCGACGTTTCCTGAAATCGTAGCCTGCGGTTCGCTGAGTCCCAGAGGCTCTCGCAGTGCCGATGGTAGAGTCAAAATTCCATCGTACGCAAAGCTGTTGGATCCTACGCTCAATCCTTCAGGCGCGGCTGGTGCTACCAATCCCCAAAACAACACTGAGCTTGCAACACCCAATGTGAAAGCGGCCAAGGAGCCTGCCAAACTCTTCCCTTTACGGACTCGAGGTGTGTATTTGCCCCAGAGTCGCCCAAAGGTGCTCGCTGCACTGTCGCACCATGACAGTAGCAACACGCTCATGACTGCCACGTCTTTCCGGCAGAAATACATCGTCGCCCATAGCCCCGCTAGGTAGCTGATGACTCCATTGAATCGATCGTGTGCTTCGCTCTCGCGCATGAAGGGGCCAAGAATGCGAATGTAGACACGATTGAACGCAGGCCATCTGAATCGTAAGAGGTCGACCGAAAGGATGGGCACTAGCAGGCCCATCAGAACAGGATGTATCTGGCTGGTTTGCACACCTTCGCGGTAGAGCCAGAGCGTGACAAATCCGATGCTAACGTGCAGAAGCTTGCGTGGAACTTCGTGCTTGTGCACAAATTCTCTCCATTCACGATGAATCGGGATGAGGCCTAGGGGGCTGGGACTCCTACTAAGATTGCGCCAGTATGCTGACCCAAATCCCTGTGGATATGCGCTAGAGGGAGACAGTAGTCCCTTTGAATCAGAGGCTCCTTTGGACGTATCGTTCGGTACCGCTACGTTTGATGGTTCACCATTCTTTCTTCGATTTGGTCTCGTCGCATTCGCTATGGTAGCCTTTGTGCTGGTGGATATTCCTCCATTGAGAGGCGTCATGGCCATCCTCGTTGGAGCTCGTTCAACATGTGGACTCCTGCTTCTGCTCCTCGCGCGCGCCAACTCAGGGTCAAGCTCATCCACTGCCTCATTTTCATCTATTGGGTCCACCGGCGTGCTTGAGCGGGCCGCCTTCGAGCGAGTTGTGGGTGGAAAGTAGCCATCCTTACCACTCGTCTCGGAGGGCGTCGGTGAAGGGGATATCACACGTGGGATGTTCGGGACCTGCTGATGTTTTGACATGGTTGCACGCTTGCGCCGACCAGCCGGAACGCGCGGAAGCGTGAACCGAGGCGGCAATAGTGTTATCGGTCTGGGTCCGAGGAAGAGAGATGAGCAGAGATTCTMTCTATGTCGTAGGTGGGGCGTGTGTCGAGTGGGTGAGTCGAGGGCTGATTATTTGTCGCTCTGGTCGGAAATCAGGTTTGCGCTGCCTGTAACGACATGAGCATCGCGGCGGCGGGATGGGGTGGCTATTTCTCAGTTTCGCTGCCACGCGCTGTTGGTAAACACAGTGCGCCCACAGATAAAGAGATGATGGCACAGGATTCGGGATTAGTCGTGTCTGGAGTTCTCGAGTGTCAAGGTCAGAGGATGCACCAAGCACAGGACAATCACATGCATGCGGTCGGGCCACTAAACTACCTTAGCTTCCCGGCAAAATGTCTTGGAGGAGTACGAACGGCAAGTACGCCAAATAACCTTTTGCGGTAGATGTCGGCACGCCCGCGTATACATGTGATTTTGAGATTTGGAGGTTTCTAACAAGATCGCGTGAGGCGATGAGCAAAGGAGGTGTGTGAGTATTAAGAGCCGAAGGAGGGCAATTCACGTACGATACATGAGCGCGTAAGGCACGTCGTAGTACCAGAGCCCCTCAGAACTACATCAAGTTGTGAAAGAACTGTTTGGACAAAAGGTGTAGCCGGCGTACTTTCCCGTCGTACTCTCAGACATTTCGCTTCCCGAGATCGGCTCCGATCGAGGAGTCTCAAATTTGTGTTCAATGTCATCACATTTTCAATACACCATTCTATCAACATGCCTTTCGATCTTTCAAAGTGCGCAAGACCAAATATTCTGGCTCTCGAGCCTTATCGGTGTGCACGAGAGTATGTTCCTGATGGCCTGGTCCGGCAGTAACAATTGCTAAGGATCAAATTCCAAAAGTGACTACAAAGATGACGGCACCAACATCCTGCTCGATGCGAATGAGAATGCATATGGACCGGGACTGGCATTGAACAACGACGGCAAACTTGTCAATGGCTCTACGTCCAACATCGAAATCGATCTGCTTGGGCTCAATCGTTATCCTGATCCGTATGCATCATCCCGACTTCTTGCAAATGAGTCATGAGATGTTGACAAAGCCACAGTCACCAGCACGAGCTGAAGCAGATGCTGTGCAATCTGCGTAATACCCACGCCCACACAAAAAAGAACATTACACCAGAGAATCTCTTTGTCGGTGTTGGCAGCGATGAGGCAATCGATGCTCTTCTGCGTGCATTTTGTGCTCCTGGCAAGGACAAAATCGTTACATGCCCTCCTACCTATGGCATGTATGCCGTATCAGCGCAAGTGAATGATGTTGGTATTGTCAAAGTTCCTCTTGATGTGGAGAACAACTTTCGTGCTCAGCCTGCAAAGATCAACGAGGTTCTCTCGTCTGATCCATCAATCAAGATGGTATATCTCTGCAGCCCTGGCAATCCAACCGGCAATAGTGTACGCAAGGAAGATGTTCAAGCCGTGCTAGAACACCCCACCTGGAATGGTATCGTGGTACTGGATGAAGCGTACATCGACTTTGCACCGGAAAACTCCTCGCTCGCAGAATGGGTGGCGGAATGGCCGAACCTGGTCGTTATGCAAACACTTTCCAAGGCTTTTGGCTTAGCAGGCATCCGACTCGGTGCAGCCTTTGCGAGCCCTGAAGTAGCGAAGCTGCTGAACAGTCTGAAAGCTCCATACAACATCTCCAATCCCACATCACAGCTTGCCATGCAAGCACTACAGTCGCAGAACTTGGCTGTCATGCACCAGAACCGCGAGAAAATTATCTCTCAGCGGAACCGAGTGCTGGAGGGAATGCCCAGGATCAAAGGTGTAGGACGTTTCCGAGGTGGTAATGATAGCAACTTCCTTTTGGTGGAAATGTGCGATTCCCAAGGGAAGCCGAGCAACGAGGTAGCACTGCAAGTGTACGAGCGGCTTGCAGAGAGAAGAGGTGTCGTTGTCAGGTTCAGAGGCAAGGAGCCAGGTTGCTTCGGCTGTCTGAGAATCACCATTGGAACGGAACAGGAGGTGACGCGATTTTTGAAAGAGATCGAGAGCGTACTGATCGATGTCCATGCGGGAACAGTCAGTGAGGTGTCAGGCAGATTGGAGGAGGCAAAAGAACAGGATGCCAACGGAATCGTTGCGTAGATATACTGTAGACCAGTCGAAGGCTTGCAACATCCAAATGCTCATTATTAAAAGCATTGTATATCGCGAAACTGTCGCGTGACGTCTATTCTTCTGCTGCAGCGCGTCATAAATTCGGAGGCTTCATCAGCTGCGATTGAGCGAGCTTCGCCTTCCAAATTAACCAACAACATCATGAACGACTACGAATCTCGTCGGCTGGAGAAGATCAAGCACAATGAATCTCTCCTTGCCGAGCTTGATATCAAACCTGTCGTTGCAAAACGCAAGCCAAGCGAGATATTGCCAGCATCCAAACGACGAAAGCTCGAAAGTGGTCCACCATCACGCAGTTCAGYACGAATCGCTGCTGCTCCGGAAAAGCCGATTTATGACGAAWATCTCACTTCAAAACCTATTCTCCTCTCTCGTTCATCTGCAAAGGGAGGCAAGAAGTCGTCGAAAGCTCCGCTCATTACGGAGGAGATCGAAAGCTCGATCCCATCCAAAGATATAGACGAAATCAAGGCCGGCTGGACGAGCTGGCAGTCTTCGGCATTACCGCCAACCAGGGATGATCTCAATGTGTTTCATTTTGATGATAATGAAGAATTCCTTCCCAATAAATCACCGGAGGAGATGATACGGGAAGGCTGCTTTGGAGGGTCGTACTACCGCCCTCTTCGATCTCGCAAACTAGGTATAGTGATTCGAGATGACTGGAAGCAGGACTTGCCGAATGAATGGATATCCGGGCTTAACGTGGAGCAACATCTTACAAACCCCGACTATGACCCTACAATCAACAAGTTCAAGGTAGCATGCGGCCAAAGTATCGAAGAATGGGAGGCCGCAGGCTGGATCAGTCACGAACACGACGTCAGGGGCTGGTTCCAATGGTACATCAGATTCTTTCGAGGACGTCGTTGTGAAGACGATGCGCGCCAGATCTCCCGATGGAGGAAGTGCGTTGGTGAGACTGGCAGGTGGAGAAGAATGCTGTTAAAAAAGTACATGCAGAGTAGCGTTCGGGAAGTGTTTGATGATGGTGAAGAGGACGATGCGATTGAGGTCAGTCCCGTTATGCATCAGACGTGCCATCACTGGGCATATGAGGTCAGGCAAGAGGATCTCGACGCATACTGGGCATCGGCCGGACGATGAACCAGACCATTGGCACGAAAGAGCGGCGAAAATGCCTCATCTCGTTCTATTGGAGTTCATCAACACTGGCGAGTTCCACAATGCACCGAACGAAGATCGATGGTATACAATATTTGGCAACAGATGGCCACGCCCTATGTACGTCCCATATCACATGAAGAAGCGATATCGGCCAGCCATCTGACGCCAACACTACTTAAGGACAGCTCCCCACGCATTGCTCAACCTCAGAGCTGTGTATCTGATCAATCTAACACTTGATGATCGGTTTGAAGGTGAGAACGACCGAGGGAGTCTTCTGTCGGATCGAATCTTGTCAATTGTTGCTTTGRCTGACAATCAAAAGCGCCCGTCTCGACTCTTCCTCGGATCCGCCACAAAGATCTCAAGGAATTACAAACAGTTGTCGTTTCCAAGAAGCATGGCTCGTAAGGAAGATTGACATGCCACCTCATGACTAGTCTCATCAAGCTGACGTGGTTGCTAGATACCTCATTTCCCGCGGACCTCCCCAAGCCAGAGGATGATGGCGCGGCCAATCATCTCACAAACATGAGCATTCCATCGTTCTCTTTACCCGCGACGAATGGCAAGTCAGTCGATCTTTCCGCTCTATCTGACTTGTCGGTCGTGTTCTGCTATCCCCGAACTGGTGCTCCTGGTGAGACGATCACAGATGACTGGAATGCCATTCCTGGCGCTAGAGGATGCACTCCCCAGGCATGCTCATTCCGAGATGCTGCAGCAGAACTTCGTGGCCTTGGTGTCACGCATATATACGGTGCCAGTACGCAAGATACCCCATATCAGCAAGAAGCAAAAGAAAGAAATCATCTACCGTTCGAGCTGCTTAGCGATGAGTCGCTGAGGATGGTCAAGGCACTGCGCTTGCCGACATTCGAGTGGAAGGAAGTAACGCTCATTAAGCGCATGTCGATGGTCATCAAAGATGGCAAAATTGTGAAAGTGGTATGTCGTCGAAACACAGACGTTGATGGAGTTGAGCTGATATATAGGGCAGTTCTACCCAGTATTCCCGCCAGACCAGAGTGCGAATGAGGTCAAAAAGTGGCTGCAGACAGCGAAGGAGTCTGCTTGAGGGCGAAGCGACTCGTGCGTTTCATGGATCCAGGAGGCTTGCTCCAAGTATGATCGCTGTTATGGGGAGAAAAAGGCCGTCATAAAGATGAACGGAACCGAGAGCAGGCCAGCCAAGATGCTAGTGTTCGAAGTCGATCTGAGGAGTTCTCCCGCAGCTTCGCAGGCTTTTCTTGCGCTCCATGACGTTCTCAGAATGCAGCAACCGCAGCAACCGCTCCGGCAATGCGGACAAGTTCTCATATGCGCAGTACCTAGTCTGTAAGAGGACTGTGATGTGAAATTGTTACCGTAACAAGACAGGCAACGCGCCTCTGCTGCGAAACTTTGATTGAGGGGAACTTCACACGCTCTCATCCCCGCAGCGGAATGACGTTACGTCGGCGGATGTGTGAAGTGTGTAACACTGGGTGCGRTGTGATGAAGCGAAGCACGGTATCGCGGCCTCTCATGGCAGCGAAAATCACGCACTGGAGTCGTCTATGCAGGACATTGCCAGGTTGTATTGACTTGAGAGTTCTTCCGTGACCACCAGCAGTGGGCCGAGTCTTTCCGACCGCCAGTGCTGCGAACCCGAATTGTTATCGTTCTTCGGCGGCCCAAAGTCAAGCGTTTCAAAACCACCCAATCACGGGTCGCCTTAGTCGGACGGTAATAGCTCATGGAGCTGTAGACCTGGCCGAGGATGTGTGATGGTAAAGACATAAACAAGCGACCTCCCGCACTTGTTTGCTTCGTTTCGCGAGCATATTTCGAACTTCCTCAAAGGCTTGACGCAAATTCGCAAAGGCTGCAACTCGCAAACCCCATCTCCACTCAACAACTCCGTCACAATGGCTGAGACCCGTGTTAACAAGACCGCTCTGCATCCAGGTGGTGTCCAGTACGTGCAGTTCCAACTCTTCGCAAGAGAGCCATCGCTAACGCCCTTTCTCTTCCAGACCTCGAGCAGAGCACACCGAAGTCGAGGAAGAGCTCCACGACAAGGCCCACATTGACTACGATCGTGTAGCCATTGTAAGTCAAGTCTCATGTTGTGCAGCCCAAACCCCCACTGAGACATTCTAGATTGCCAACCCATCTGTCGCCGCCCTCTACGAAGATGCATTGGTATACGAGACTGGATCTGCCATTACCTCCACTGGTGCCCTATCCGCATACTCCGGAGCCAAGACCGGACGCTCGCCTTCAGACAAGCGTATTGTGAAGGAGGAGGGCTCGGAGAGTGACATTTGGTGGGGACCAGTGAACAAGCCCATGACGCCCGAGGTGAGTTCAAAACACATCTGTCGCGGGACTCCTGCATTGATTTTCGACGCGGTCGCATCAAAATTTGGCTTGCTTGGTAGCGGGGCAGTTCGCGTCGGCCGAGCGTCATGCGCGCTTACCCGCCCCTAGCGCTCCCCACAGCCCCGCGCCTCGGGCCAGGTCGGCTTAATGATATGAACGACAATGGCCATGGAGATGAAGCATATCTTGGCTAACGATGTATTGGTTAACAGGTCTGGCGTATCAACCGCGAGCGTGCCGTCGACTACCTCAACACCAGGAATCGCATCTATGTCATCGATGGTTACGCAGGCTGGGATGAGCGCTACCGGATCAAGGTCCGCGTTGTCTGCGCTCGTGCATACCATGCTCTCTTCATGTACAACATGTTGATCCGTCCATCACGGAAAGAGCTWGAACATTTCCACCCCGACTATGTCATCTACAACGCTGGTGCCTTCCCAGCCAACAGATATACCACTGGTATGACCTCGAACACCTCCGTGTCCATCAACTTTCAAGAAAAGGAAATGGTCATCTTGGGTACCGAGTATGCAGGAGAAATGAAGAAAGTGAGTGGAATTTCTTGAAATTGTGACGAGAGCATCGCTGACATGAATACAGGGTACGAGTGCTCCCATTCTTAGCCTGTTCTATCGAACAGCATTATTAAAGAGGGAATTGATGTGAATTTCCGTGCTAACCAGCGAATAGGTATCTTCACGGTGCTCTTCTACGAGATGCCTGTCAAGCACAACGTGTTGACCCTCCACTCATCTGCCAACGAGGGCCAGAATGGCGATRTCACTGTTTTCTTTGGTCTTTCCGGAACTGGCAAGACGACCCTCTCTGCAGACCCCAAGCGTGCATTGATCGGAGACGATGAGCACTGCTGGAGTGATACTGGTGTCTTCAACATCGAGGGAGGCTGTTACGCCAAGTGTATTGGCCTTTCTGCCGCGACCGAGCCTGATATTTTCAACGCCATCAAGTTTGGCTCGATCTTGGAGAACGTTGTGTTCGACCCAGAGACCCGCACAGTTGACTACGACGACACCACCCTCACAGAGAACACTCGCTGCGCATACCCGATCGAATACATCGAGAACACCAAGATCCCTTGTATCTCCGACCACCACCCAACAAACATCGTCCTCCTCACCTGCGATGCCCGCGGTGTCCTCCCACCAATCTCAAAGCTCAACAGCGAGCAGACCATGTTCCACTTCATTAGTGGTTACACCTCCAAGATGGCCGGAACCGAGCAGGGCGTCACCGAGCCACAAGCTACCTTCTCCTCTTGCTTCGCACAACCCTTCTTGGCCCTGCACCCAATGCGTTACGCCAAGATGCTTGCGGACAAGATGTCACACCACAACACCAACGCATGGTTGWTGAACACCGGCTGGACTGGCGCTGGCGCTGCCACCGGTGGCAAGCGTTGCCCCCTGAAATACACTCGTGCTATCCTCGACGCCATCCACAGTGGTGAGCTCGCAAAGGTCGAGTACGAGAACTACGAGACCTTCAACCTGCAAGTACCAAAGACTTGCCCCAACGTTCCTGACGAGCTCCTCAACCCAGCCAAGAGCTGGTCTGGTACTGCGGACTTTAAGGAAGAGGTGAACAAGCTCGCCACTCTTTTCGTCGAAAACTTTGACAAGTACAAGGACGAGGCTACGGAGGATGTCATCAAGGCCGGACCAGTAGTGGCCTAAGTGTAATACCAGAAGTTTGCGGCTGCTGTACTGGAAGAGGAGCATGGGACCTTCAGAGAATTGGCTAGAATGGATGTGTGCAACAGTCTGCAGCATCTTCATGTACTTTGAGCGACGTGACAAGCAAATTGAATCAAACTTGAAATGTAAAATTCACATCTTCGATGCTACCTATCAATAGTAATGCCCGCATTCGTAGTGCATCGTGATCACTTCTGTGGACTCCCGAACTCTGATCTGGCGGGGGTGGACATGCGGATCGCAGGTCGTAGTGGAGTGCCTGGGGTCGAATGTGACGGAGTCTCGGGTAGGCGTCTTCCTCCATCCGTTGGCACTAGAAAATGTCAATTCGTTGCATCACGCCTGTGTTGTCATGAGAAGTATTACCTTTGAAATCGGTCGCCCGGCCCTTGTGCCAAATTTCATCCATGATAGTCTCCAACACCCCAGCATTGTCATACTCGAGGTACTTGCGCCACAATTTCAGTGCGGTTCGTGCATCTTCAATACTGTCATGCCCAATGTCTGTGCTCCGTTGGATGTCTTCTTGGAGGACAGTCCAGGCAAGAAAACGCAGAGAGAGCTTCCGCCTTGCTCGACTGCCGAGTGAAAAGAGGTCCTGCGTGTCGATGACTTGCGACTCGGGGACGTGTATGTTAATGATACGAAAGTCGCTGGAGAGTCCATGGCCGACGAACGAGCAGCCAAGATTGAGCAGAACCCACATCTTCTTGTAGACCTCTTTCAGGTTTACCAGCTGGAAGCGACTTCTACCCAAGGTGAGATCCCCGTCGTGCAGACCAGAGTAGCGAGTGAGGTAGTCATCGACTGTGTCGTCGATGGCAATGTAATCGTYAATGAAGGGTAGCTCCTGGTCCATTCCATCTCCTCGAAGCACGGAGACCCGAGCAAGCCCTGAGCGTGCAGGTCTTGTCATCGTGCGAGTTCCATCGGCACCCACGTCAATTTCCTCTCTCAAGAGACGCACAAACTCGGCATCGATCCCGACGTGCGTGTTGGCATCTGGCAATGGCTCGTCTTCTGTGAGGGCCCGGAACCGATATTCGGGGTTTAGAGCTGGCTGTGGGGGGCTGCGGAACAGGATGCTTGTGTCAATCGCTCGTTTCCAGGTGTCGTCGATCTTATGGGACGCAGTCTTGACTTGGTAGGTGATGATTGAAGGGAGCTTCCATTGTGGACTGAAATGCAGAGCTTCTTCCGAGGGAAGAGTCGACACAAGAAAGTCGTTGAACAGGTGCCACTTACCCTTCTGGGTAGGGTCGCTGTCCGAAAGGCCCACATCGACAGTAGCCACCATGTGTGATTTTCCATGATCCCCAGTGCTGACATCGGAGACGATTCCCACGAGCTCGTATACGCTAATGTTGAATTGTCCGCGTTGGAGATGGAGGAGCAAGTCCTGTCCTTCATAGCAGAAGAATCGACCGTTGTTTACTATGACGCCGATCTCGCGCGGAAGAAAGCCTGGCGTCGCCCAGGTTTGCCGGGCCTCGGGAGTATTCACCGCGGCGTTCAACATGAGCACCGATGGCAAGCTATGGATGGCACGATGCGAGACCATGCCTTTGTAGCCATTACATCTCAAGCACCAACCTCGATGCTGATTGTGCCGTTCTATGGACGCCTTTAAAACCTGTGAAAAGTACTGCCGGACGTTGCGGTGTTTGGGTGCCTTTTGTGGATACAAGAGCTCGTGGCTGTACCAGACTTTGTCCATTCTGCTCTCGTAGCTGCAGTGCGCGCACTGGGTGAAATCGAGTCCGATGGTTCCAAAAGCAAGATGGAATTGGTCCAATGATGGCGCCACCCATTCATAGTTGCCCTCCATCCTCAGCAACAAGAAGCGGCTGAGGTTTTGCATCATTGCTGTGAGCGAACTGTTCGTCACTTGCCCTTCCAGTACATTCTGGGCAGCGGCATCAGGCTGTCTGCTGAGTGCTCTCAGGAAGTTTGTCGCCTGGCAATTAGGCCCTTTGGCCTTCTCGAGCATGTCTATAAGGAAGCCAAGCTCACAAAGCAGACAATTCTCGAGCCTGCAATCACGCGCACAGTGCTGCAGAGCTAGATTTCGAGCAACTGGAGTGAACCGGAATACCTGTAGCAGAGGGTTCGCGTACGAGTTGACAATGTGAGTCTCGAGTCCTGCGTATCGAGTCTTGTTGTAGTATCGAAAGTCGAAGTCTTCCACTCCAAATTTGCTGTACTTGATTTCYACAACTCGATAGAGGAACTTGACATCCGCAGCGGCAGCGCCATCGAGTTTGAGGTTTTCGAGCGTTTTGATGATGCCTTCGCTTGTGCGTCGTTCTGAATCACGCTTTTTGTCTTCCTCCCGGGGCTTCTCGCTCAGGAACTTTGGTGCGGCGAGCGGATCTGCTAGCTTTTGCTGAGCGCGAGGGTTTACAGCCTCGTACCGTCGACCTTTGCGAGGGTTTGGATAGCCCTTCCCGTACTCATCTGCACGGAATGATGGATCTAGAAGGTCTGGGCGCTGCGCTGGCATGCCGACTTGATGAAGCAAGCTGTTCGGCCATCCTGAGAGCAGGGCTTCCCTGTAGAAAGGCATTCCGATCAAGTTCAGCGGAGCGCTTGTAGACCAATCCAGAGTCTCATTGGGCTCGTGTTGTTCGGCGAATTCCGTAGGTCTGCTGTACTCTGTGAATTGCAGTTTTGAGGGTGAGCTCCACAGCACGATCTGACCACTAGAGTCTGCCAGGGCAAACCCTTTCCCGGAAGGCATGAGCTCGAGACCCGTGTACTGAATGTCAAAAGAGTTCGCATAACGCATAGCTGGCATGTCTGAGTTTTGTATGTCGATGGAGTGAATAAGGCCGCTCTGTGATAGAACGATGCAAGTGGATGTCAACTTTGGATGCATACGGACATATGCAGCCCCCGTCTGAAAAGGCACAGGCGGTGCAGGTTTTCGACCTTTCAAATCATACACCCGCACAAGTCTTTCCAATGCAAGGCCTTGATGTTGCATTTGTGCCCAGCCGCACGTCAGTAGATAGTCACCGGTAGCGTCCATGTCGTTCACTGTGCCCGCGTAAGCTTTCCAGCTATGCACAGACGCGAGTGTCTTGGGGTCGAGTAGATGAATCGAGCCGTCGTGAGATGCGGCGCATATGTGCTGACCCGCGAGCTTCATCAAAGTGTACGGCACCGGATCTGTCAATGTCTCGACAACCGTTCCCTTCTCGACATTGATGCGGTACATCTGCGTTTGACAGCCAGCGACGAGCAGCTCGTCTTCCTTACGACTGGTGAAACTCATACAGCGCAAGTCGGTCATTCCAGTCTGCGCGATGTGCCATTGTGCTAGTCCCCGCCGGGAGGCCAGATGTACACTTCGCAGCGAGACGGAAATAACGCCTCTGTCACAGAACAGGAATTGTTTGACCGGGGCATTGCCAGGTGCCCCTCTGGGCGCGCTACTCACGTGTCCCCGGTATGCCGTATACTTTTGGAGTTCGGGACCGTAAAATGATGTTACTCGACCCTGGAAGGGATCAGTGATGCGCAAAGCAGAAGCAGATATGCAGTGAGTCCGGAAGATGCGAATTGAAGAAAGAACCACCGTGCTCTGAAAAATACTCACATACTCATTCCCCGTCCAAAGAAGCTCTTGTAGGTTGTCGAAAGCAAATGTTGTGAGCTGCGAGTGTGGCGCGTTTGAATTACCTGGAACCGTCAAACGGGTCGCCTCGTTCCAATCGGCCTCCATCGCGTCGAGATGGCTATATTTATGCCTCGACGCATTGCTGAATGGATGATGGAAGGGTGCTGCAGGTGCAGCGTTGGGAAGCAAACGCGTGCATATGTGTTGGAGGAAGATGTTGAGGTCGACGTGATTTTGTGGATAACGAGTTTTGACTCCATTTGATTGGAACCTTTTAAGTAACTTTGAAGGTACCTGGGACTTATTAGGCATTGATGCCGGCCGCCTTCATCCGCGGTCGCAAACAACTTCTGTTCACCTTCATCACAAAAACATYGCTCTGCCTCATCAATCCTGGGCTCGAAGTTGGAGGCGCGACGAAGGTCACAGACAGCAGTAAGCATCGGTACAGACTGCCACATGCATTCCTGCGTCCCGATTTCTAGACGACCCCTCCTATCTTTCCCTACGATACAGCGGTCTTCCCKCCCATTTCTCACGCGTCTCACTGCTTCGTTGATTAACACAAACTTTGCGTCCAGATCATTCATCACAAGGACCATGGCGTTCAACTCGCCCTCCCAAAGCATCGATGACTTCCATGCACTTCTTTCCAAGTCGACTCGAGTTCTCGCTCTACTGGGAGCCGGCCTGTCCGCATCGTCCGGACTTCCGACTTTCAGAGGTGCAGGCGGACTCTGGAGATCACACGATGCGATGTCACTTGCTACGCCTGAAGCCTTTGCTCAGGACCCAGTGCTGGTGTGGAGATTCTACTCATACCGTCGTCATATGGCACTGAGTGTGGAGCCTAATCCTGCTCATTACGCACTCGCCGAGTTGGCGAAGAAGATGCCCGGCTTCATGACGCTATCACAAAATGTAGACGGGCTATCCACACGGGCAGGACATCAAAGCCGGCTCCAGCTTCTGCACGGCACTTTATTCGAAGGTACGCATGGCTGGTTGCCACTCGGTAGTTGACCAATGCTTACAACCTCCCATAGTGAAATGCAACGATTGGCGATGCGACTACGTGGTCGAGGATTTCAACGATCCAATCTGCCCGGCTCTAGATCTCCCAGATGGCATCGATCCGACCACGGACGACGCCCGAAGTCACAACAAGAAGATCGACATCAGCGATCCTGCAGTCAAAATTTCAGACTTGGACGAGAAAGACTTGCCACATTGTCCCCGCTGCAAGAGTGCACTGCTACGTCCAGCCGTGGTATGGTTCGGCGAGGACCTATCAGAGACGGTCCTCGACAATATCGATGCTTATCTTGGTGCGGGAGACGTCGATCTGATCATGGTCATTGGCACAGGCGCCAAGGTCTATCCAGCTGCAGGTTACATTACGAGAGCCAGAGACCGTGGCGCTCGGGTGTGCGTTGTGAATGTTGACTCTGCAGATGCACCGCCTGGGGGCTGGGCTGACGGGGACTTTTTGTTCCAAGGGGACGCAGCTCATATCGTTCCGGAGCTTCTTCGACCTGTGACTGGTGAGCTGAGCATTCCAACACAGGCGAGAGTATGATGAGGGTACATTGAATGAGCAGACTTGGAAATGCAGACCAACAGCTGCCTGTATCCACGAGAACAAAACATTGCCGACATGAAACTACGTGATAAACAGACGTATAATGCGAAGTTGTCAGTGTTGGAAGGAGATCAAAAATATCTCTCCATCCTCATTCCACTAGTTGGTTCTTGTTCGTACAGATCTCGGATAACCTCAAAGTCTCAAGTTTAAAGCTTTCCATCGAGCTGCGCTTCTAGGTACGTGCAAGTGCAACTCACCTAGGTCAACATGACCAGAAGGCTGTCGATGTTACCGTCGCTGCGGTCGGTGCTTCGTCCCACACCCACCTTTCGGAGCAGACCATGTCGAAGCGCGATTACGAGGCGATCCCTTGTGTCCGCTGCTGACATCAAATTCGGGCAGCCCTTGCACGAGACGCACCCACACCTGGTGCAGCCAGGCGAGCGTAAGACGCATCTGGAGGTTTACATACGATATTTCATGGCTAATGCAAATTCTAGTCACGCCCGGTATCTCTGCTCTCGAATATCATCATCGTCGCGCAGCCCTCGCCCGCAAGCTACCTCACAATAGTGCTGCAGTACTCGCGGCAGCCGACATCAAGTACCGTTCTGGAGCCGTGTTCTACGAATTCCATCAGGATCCGAACTTCTTCTACCTGACTGGCTTCAACGAGCCAGAAGCCATTGCGGTAATCGAAAAGGGAAACTCCGACGTGGAATATACCTTTCATCTCTTCGTACGACCAAAAGATGAACGCGCGGAGCTATGGGATGGCGCTCGCTCAGGCGTGCAGGCTGCTCAGGACGTCTTCAATGCAGACGAGGCGGGTGACATTGATACAATCGCGAGAGTTCTCMCTAGTCTGCTGGACGATGCTAAAGAGGTGTACACGGATATTGGCGTAGGTCGACGAGGAAGTCCTCTCAGCCGATTCATTGCAGGGTCTCCACGTTCAGATGGACTGGCCAAGCTGCTGAGMAGTACTTCTGTTAAACCACTGCGACCACTTATGAATGAGTTGCGGGTCACCAAGTCAGAAGCAGAGCTGGACTGCATGCGAAAAGCAGGCGCTTTGTCTGGAGCAGTAATCACTCAAGCTATGAAGAGGACTCCCAAGACCGAGAAACAGCTCTGGGCAGATCTTGCGTATGGCTTCCGAACCGGGGGCTTGGATGGCGAGGCATATGTTCCCGTCGTTGCTGGTGGCAGAAACGCCCTCAGCATACATTATGTGCGAAATGATGCTCCATTGAAAGATGGAGAAGTCGTTCTGGTTGATGCGGGTGGGGAATACGGCGGCTACATCACAGACATCACAAGGACGTGGCCTGTGAATGGGCGCTTCACAGATCCACAGCGCGATATGTACACTATGATCCTGAACGCGCAAAAGAGCTGTGTAAGCCTATGCAGGGAAGATGCGGGCATGACATTGGACAAAATTCATCGCATATGCGCCAATGCATTGGAGGATGGTTTAAAGTCTCTGGGATTTGATGTGTCTGGCGATGCGATGGATAAGCTCTTTCCACACCACGTTGGTCACTTCATCGGTCTGGATGTGCACGACGCCCCCGGGTATTCGAGAACGGGACCTTTACGGCAAAATCAATGCATCACAATTGAGCCGGGAATCTACGTCTCAGACGACGAGCGATGGCCACAGCACTTCCGCGGCTTAGGCATCAGAATCGAAGACTCGGTGGTGATCGGACAAGGCCAGGTCGAAGTTTTGACGCAAAGTGCCGTGAAAGACGTGGAAGACGTGGAACATTCCACGCAGAGATGACCCGAGCTGCCGACTTCACAACACAGTGAGATCGACGTCAGAATGGCAATACTTACCACGATCAGATCGGTCAATGCTCCACTCACCAGGTTGCTGCTTGCTGGGGGAAAGGTGCAAGGCCGGTAGCAAGGATTGCCCATGCTCGACCGACTCCGTTGATTCGGACCCAAAGCGTACCTGTKTAGCGATCTCGTAGCACATATCGTACTTTGCGCTACCACGGAGATCATCGACATACCGGCCGAACAGCTCTGCTGCATGGGATAACAGACAATGCTCTTTGATATCAAAAGTACTGTTGCTGCTGGCCAATGTGAACACGGCTGCGAACTAGCAGCACCTCGCCAACCTGTTGCGGTCCGGAACTCCTTGAACACATCCGAATGTGTGGGAGTGCAGTGCAGAGCTGAGGGCGTACAGGGATTAGCTCTTCCGGAGGCGCCACCATGCACTTTCGAACGTTTTCCCCAGGATATTACGGAATATGGAATATGTGCAATCGATGGTTCGGTTCCCCAACATTTCATACAGCACTTTCCTGCTGCCGGTGCCTCTCTAGTGCAGGTCCAAGCTACGATAAGCGATGCTACAGGGTGRAATCGTGACAAGCCAATTCGCTCCTGGGAAGATGTCAGGAACAGGGATCAGGCTGGTCATACCGCCGCACACTCTGCTTTGCAAGGTCGATGGTGGGCACTCTTGGGGCTGAAAGAAGCGACTTGCACCAATTTGTGRCTCATGTCAGCCACATGAATCTTGGCGGCTGTCAGGCTGTCACCTCGCGTGACATGCCGCCGCTTCATGAAGCTGACGATGGTACGTTGTATGCGTCCCCCGCTGTTGGGAACTTCTATCAGTCTTACCGCCAACTTAATCTCGAGGCTGGTCGAAGTCGGCCATAGAGAGTGTAGGTAGTCGTGCGTTGAGTGCTGCCAATCGTAGAACCTCCCTCAAGCGCTCCACTGTACTCCGTACAAGCTCGAGCGCCATTCGTACGCTTATGCGTAAATCTCGGGACACTAGTCCGGTCCATATGCAAAACCCAGCTCTTTGAGCTCGGCTGGCCAACGTCACCTACCGTGCAGCAGCGTGGTGGAATCACCACCAAGCCGCGTGGTGTATTTTGCGGCTTGTGGAGCTGACTGATTAATGGGGTCGATTCGGGATGGTCGCCGCCGGCCCCTAGATGTCCAGTGTTCGTGCCTGCTGTCGAGAACTAGGTCGTTCGATGGCGCCTCGGCACCGCGATCCCGCCGACACGCTCACACCACATGGCAACCTGGGAACGTGTGGAATTGCCCAAGTGGAAGTGCACAGTCCCGAGTGATGATGTTTGTGTAGCACCAATCGAGCACCCCCGTCGCCGACGGCGGCCGAGAACCCTCAAGCGTGATCTGAAAGAGAGAGTCTGCATGACCAAGACCAAGATTGGAACACCACAAAGACGGCAGACCTGCCTTCCTTTAAGACTGCGGTGCCTTCTACTGTGAGCCATTGGCGCCTGCCAGTATCCTTCGCATCGAACATCGCACCGACCCGACAACTTGATCGAAAACGTGGCCCTCACGTTTTCGTTGTTCTTGATCCTCACAAACACAACAGCTCGACAGGCTCTCTGCCTCCAGTGCACTTCGCCTGTCTCTCTCGTCTGCCGCACTGCAGACTCTTGCCATCATTCATTACAGTTCGTGCCACTACCGGCGCCTTCATCATGGTCTACTCTCTGGCCTATCGCCGCCCATCGCACATTGCCTCATCCTCGGCGGAGTCACTCAGCGGCGCAGAAAAACAAGAGTCCATCAATGAGTCGATACAGTCTGGCATCTCCTCCATGAGCCATGGTATCCCACCAGCGCTGTCATTTGATCGCATCATCGCTGGCGGAACGTGCCCGGTATGARAGACTCATATCCTAAACACTACATCGCCATGCTAACAGAAACGTAGCCGGTCACTGTACGAGACTTTATGAACTACGCCAAGTACATCGAACACTCTTCGGAGAATCTTCAGTTCTTCCTGTGGCACCGTGATTACACTGCCAGGTGGGAAAACTTGCAGAGTAGCGACAAGGCACTAGCACCAGAATGGACAACGAGCCTTGCTGAGGCCGATACTTTCTCACCTGCCCGCCCCAAGCGAGTGCCGGCACAGATCATGGAGATGTTGAAGAATACAGACTTTGCCGATCATGCCAAAGGACCGGTCGATCCATTCTCCTCTGCACCAAAGGCAGCGTCTTTCGAGGACAGAGGAGACAATCCGTCAGACTACGGCTCATCTTTTGGCGACGACAAGACTCTGCTCAACAGCAACGTCAGCGGCTATCGTGTCGCAGCTGAGCATGCGTTCGAGGATGCTGGCATGAAGTGGAAGCCTTGTTCGTATTCCGAATGCCACCGTCGCTAATCTCCTCCACTGACAAACTTCCAGTCTCCGCTCAGCCGTGCCGTGAGGAGGTGACACGGATCGTCAGCATTTACATTGCGGAAAACAGCCCTCGTGAGCTCAATATCTCCTCCAAGGAGAGACAAGCCGTCCTGCACGCGCTGCAGCACACGACTCATCCATCTGCGTTCCGCGATATCATCAGCACAGTTGAATACTCTCTGCGGAAGCAGGCCCACCMAAACTTCATACGCTGGAGCATCTGCAATGGCAACCGGCCTCGTGTGATCTTTGCACGGGGTCTAGGCGTCGCGTGTATCCTGTTCGGTTTCGTTGCGAATTTACTCATTACGCTCAGCTCTGCCGGGCGGGTCTGGAGAATCTTGCCCATCGTCGGATGGCTCCTTGGCATTTCCACACTGATTGCAGCATGGAAGGGAATGTGCGTAGTGTTGCATGGCCTGCATCACCGTCACCTACGACCCTGGGAGTTGTTCACGGACGACGCAGAGGAAGCCATGGATGAGAAGCTGTCGTCTGCAGAAAGTCTGGGCCACATCTCGCCCAAATCGTGCGAAGAAGAGCCTTGGGTTCCGCGCTATAAGAAACGCAACCTCATCAGGAAAATCTTCGACCGCGAGATCTGGATTCAGGAACCCGCTCTGCGGCAAATCCAGGACACGATCTTCTTGCAAGCGGTTCTAGGTGCTGTCGTTTCCTCGGCCATCATCGTCGGCATCTTTTGTGCGGTACCGTCCGGTCATCTGTTCTAGTACCAAGCGCTGGTACAACTTATGATCCACCTCGAAGACACCTTCTGAACATCAGGCTGCGATGACATTCATGGAACGAAGACGCTATCCCGGCAACAGTTAAGGAATCACCATTGCATCGCATTGCTATGAAATTGATGCGGATGAAGGGCGGGGTTGCTGAGAGAGGTCCAGTGAGACCGCGGGACGGCAGTCATGGGACACAAAAGCTGTGCAGTCAATATGGTCAGACATGTTACTTGCTAGGTGATAGTGTGCACCCATTGGCCTTCCAAAAAGCCGTCTCGGATATCGTATAACAGCATGCATGTAACCTCACTGTTTTCGGAGTATGGCGACGTTACCAGTGATCCAGACAAAGCATCGCGTTGAAGCTACTGAGAGTAGTGCAGTTGGCTCTCGAAATGAAGCGAACCATCATCAACTTCACGAACCCTCGGACATGCGCTGCTAATAATAGACAAGCTCGCTCCGCTAGCGCCTCTAGACCCTTGATGACATGAGTGAAACGCAGGAACCCGAACCCAAAAGTGGAGTGGACGGCATTGCGGTGTGGACTGCGGTATCAAAACATAAATCTGTTTCATTGGGATCTCCTTGAAGTGTTCTTAGACAAACAATCTTCTTTTCCTCCCAATCCAATTGAATACTCTGCATCGATCCATCGGCTTAAACTTATCGAAGGTCCCACGAACTCATCCCTTCTACGCCGGCATACAACAGCAAGAACCTAACAATGTCGCAATCCGCAAACGAGACTCCAAAGGCGAACGGCGAAACGCCCGCAGAGTCTCTCTTCTCACCCGCATTGATCTCTCCCACCGTCTCGTCCGCTCTCCCCGAAGGATACTCCATGCGACCGCTCCAACGCACCGACTTCGACCTGGGTTTCCTCGATGTGCTACGAGTCTTGACTCACGTCGGAGATGTCACCAAGCCGGAGTTTGAGAAGCAGTTTGATGCGATGAAGGCAGGTGCAAGTACATACCATGTGCTAGTAATCTTGGATGGAGAGAAGAAGATTGTAGGCACAGGAGCGCTCATTGTGGAGCGGAAATTGTAAGCACGCTCCATCGCGTTGGAACTCGTGTTCAATTACCTTATGGTTGCTAACTCGAGGGCGTCTGCAGTATACATCACCTCGGYGTCGTGGGCCACATCGAGGACATTGCGGTCTCAAAGGATCAGCAGGGAAAGAAGCTGGGATTGAGGATTATACAGGCATTGGATTTCGTAGCGCAGAACACCGGCTGCTACAAGGCCATCTTGGACTGCTCGGAGGCCAATGAGGGTTTCTATGTCAAGTGCGGATTTAAGAGAGCTGGACTGGAGATGGCACACTACTACGACCGCCCTTAGACTGAGACAATACACGGAGAGCTGTACCGGTATGGCATGGCATGGCACATTCCTACATGGGAGTTTACGAGAGTGTGTAGCATTTGCAGAGTGCTGGACAGGCGGATATACGACAGAGAGTCTTGGAAATCATGTGGGCGGGAGGTAGAAAACGCAGGACGTTTGGACCGCGGACCGCATGCAAGAGATGAACTATGGGATACAAGTAGATGAGTTGGTCTTCACAGCTTTGTTAGTCCATGTGTTGGACTGCTCAATTCAAAGTTGCTCAACGATAAGTGAATTTTTGGTTCTTCCATCAATATGATAATCAACCACACCATCGAGGAGGACTGTGAAGCTGTGAGATGCAATCTCTAGGAAGAGGAGAATTTCCAAACACCCTTTGTTTCAAGTAATCACCAAGTTTCGTTTTGCGTTAACATTGACTGCGGAATCTGCCAAGCCAAGCTCAGATTTCCTCAGCTTGTCTTCACCTCAACAACACGCATCGAGAAAACACCAAAAACGCAATTGGTCAACGTCACATCTAAGGGGTGCGAAACGATGGCAGCAACGACAAAGAAGAATTCCCAAAAATCATCGGWTCAAGCAACCAAGAAGCCCGAGTTCAAGCCCAAGGATCATTCTCAACTTCACTCGCTGCTCACCTTACCAGACGAGCTATGGCAAACAGTACTGGAAGCAGCCTGCACATTTCCTCCAGAGATATTCAGAGGAGTCATGTTGAATCTCGTGAAGAATCCCAACGTGACCTCCAGTCATCTATTTCGCGCAGACATTTTCTACGACAGTGAGAACGATCTTCTCCTCAACCCTGATGATCCCAGCCAAGGCATGGCGAAGCACATGAAAGCAGAATACCGGCCGAGGTCAACACAATGGCCAGATTTCACTCTGGATAGAACGATTGTGCGGCAGTTGGTTCCTCGCAATCCACAGGTTGACAACCCTTTGATCCAGACTTGCCAATTCTTTCACAGGCATGGCATGGCCGAGAGTGACGAGATGGAGCAGATCCTGGTGGTGTATACTCCGCATGTTGAGCGGCCGGAAGACGTACCYTTCTACCACCCGCAAGTGTCTCAATTGGCATTTCTACATACCTGGCAGCCCGTACCCGCTGAACCGGATATTTCAGGTGGCTCTTTGAGTTTACTCTATCGACTATTTCCCGATGGCTCGTTGGAAACTAAGCTCTCTCGAACTGCTCTTCGTCTACTGCAGACCGTTCACAAGCACGGCGAGGGTCAGCATGCTGGTTATGAGAAGCGTGTACATCACGATCAGATCATCCCGCAGAAACGTTACCAAGATACATATACCCGTTTGAAAACCGCATACGGCAGGAAGCTTTCGGAACAGTGGGTTGAAGTCACAGATCCTGGAAAGMACGTTTTTGAAGATATTGGAATCGCGGCTTTCTTGATTGAGCTGTGGCGGGACCTCTACGTCTTACCCGGTATACAGTCACGTCAAGACGATACCTCTGAGAAGCCGCCTTTCCCTGGTTTTGTCGACATTGGCTGTGGTAATGGTCTGCTTGTCTTCATCCTTCTCAGTGAAGGCTACCAGGGCTGGGGATTCGATGCAAGAGCGCGCAAGACGTGGAGCACATTCCCCTCTGAGATTCAAGAGAAACTCCAGCAACGAATTCTGGTGCCTGGGATTCTGCAGCAGCAGCATGCTTCTTCAATAAGCGTAGAGGACTGGCACGATGGCATCTTCCAAAAGGGCGCGTTCATTGTGTCGAACCACGCGGATGAGTTGACACCATGGACGCCTCTACTCGCATACCTCAATCATTCTTCTTTCATTGCAATTCCATGCTGCAGCCATGATCTAGCAGGAGCAAGATTCCGAGCGCCACTTATGAGCAAAGGCGCGAAAATCGCACACGACCGGTTACCTCAGCAGTCAAAGAATGATCCAGACGACGAAGTAGAACCCTCGCCGTGTGTGAATGGCCAGGCTGCAGAGACGGGCTCCCTCAAACGATCCGAAGAACAAAAGAAGATGCCTTCTGCATATTCGACGCTGTGCTCTTACGTTACTAGTCTCGCCATGGAAGTTGGGTACAGGCCCGAGCAGGACGTGTTGAGGATTCCAAGTACGAGGAACTCGTGCATTGTGGGAAGATACAGGGACGAGGGAGAGGTTTCTGATGATGAGGATGTCAGATTACAGACTGTCGTGGAGCTCGTTGAACGGGAGTTGAAGACTGGAATCTCCTCAGTTGCAGCAGATTGGATCAACAGAGCCGAGAAGTTGATGAAAAAGCCCACCAGTGGGCATTGATACGGCACAATCGAATCAAGCAAAATTGGTTATAATTCATGGTATCCGCTTTGCTCATGCAACGCTCGCTCGCTGTGTGATCAGAAATGTCAAAATTCTCCTGAATAACTAGCTCTGTGCTCAATCTCTCGGTCCTTCCCAATACGTCGGAGAGGGCCATGAGCAAGGCTAGAGATTCCTGGCCTCGTGAAAGATCATCGTCTCAAGATGTGTTGCCTCCTGCATCGCAGATAGGCGTCCAAATATGCCGTGAGGGTCGTCGCATCTTCATGATCATTCATTCCAAAGCTTCAGGCATGGGCACTGCAAGCCGTCAGCTTCTTGATCAAGACCAAGACTGCTGAACACTTACCTTCTAGTCTGAATAGWAGCCATCTTTGCCATGATGCTCGGACGCGCGTCTACGCCTGCAGTCGGTTAGTCTTCACCGCTGCACAAAACTCACACCTCCAAAGCCTCGAAAGCTGCGTAGCATCACCATCGCCAGCTTTCGAGGCTTGTGTTGAAGCTCACCTCGAATCTGACTGTGGCGGATCACGCTTGCTTGTCGGCTTGCGAGGGCGGTCATCCACGTACCTCTCCCTAGCTTGAAAGGCATTAGCACCCATCGCTCCTACCAAAGCACCGATCGATGATGACAAGACACCATGCCCGACTTCCTCGCCCAGCAATCCACCTGCGAGTGCGCCGACTGCTGTATAGCCAAGGCCGCGCTTGGAAATGTCTACGTTATCTTGGATGATGGACTTACCTGAACCGCGCGACTTGCCCCGATCGCCGTGTCTGCTACGCTCTCTCTGTCCAGAGCGTCTGCCACTGCGACTTTCCGGAGACTCGTGCCTCTCCCAGGAGTGCTCGCGTCTAGCAGCTCTCCGATGTGAGGGAGACTCTTGTCTCTCCCGGGATGATTCACGTCTTGAAGCTCTCCGACGAGGGGGAGAGCGTGAYCCCCGCCGCACGTTCTCATCATCATACCCACTCTGGCGATCATCAACATGATGAGTGTTGTGATTGGGATCCACCAGATAACCAGGCTGGTTTCCTGCGGGAGCTTCCTGCGCAAGTGGGTTTTGCTGGTATCCAGCTGGAGGACGCTGGACTGGTGGCCGCGATCCTGATGGCGAGAAGATCTGATTCGTGGAGTTGGGTTGAACAGAGCCTTGTTCGGACTGCGGTGGCGGAACAAAGTCTTCCTGTTGGTCTGGGGGATGCTTCGGGCCACCGTAGATGTGGGCGTATGGCACGTAACCGGTGGAGATGCCACCCCGCAAACTCGAAGTCGATTGTGCGCCACGATGTGGGCCTGGTGCAGGCGAGCCGTATGCAGATGATGAACTCACAGTAGCTGCACCTCCCATTGCTGCAGGAGCTGCGTAGTAGCCCATTGGTGGTCGGTCGAGCGGTCCTTGCATCCGTGGGCTTGTAGGATATGGAGCTTCCTTTGGCGGACGGGGTTGGCGTGGGTTGGTGTCGCGGAAGGGAGGTCTATGGCCGTCACCATAACCATACCGATCATCCGAGTCACGTCTACCAGCCCTGCTACGCTGTCGTCGAGGCCGATTGTTGATCTCGTCGAATCCACCGTCGTTGCCGCCGTCAAATCGCGTGTGTCCATCACCTTGGCCAGAACGGCGATGACCGTGATCGCGGTGTCCATCAGAACGATATCCGTCGTCGTAATCACTTCTACGCGATCGGTCATCGTCGTACTCGTCGTCGCTGTATCGGCGACTGCTCCGGCTTTTCTTCATGCTGCCCTTCTTCTTGGAGGACTTTGCCGACTTCTCATCGACTTGAGATCGATTCTTCGATCCAGATCCGAAGAAACCACCGGGTATTTTCTCAAACCAGTGGTCGGGCACCTGGAAATAGTCAACATCGAAAACCGGTTGGTGATTTTCATCTCCAGCAAGATAAACAAGGCAGCGATACCTTGTCGGCGCCCCACATCACACCTATCATATCGAGCCGTCAGCTAGATGCTCCATGCATAATCCCCGCAACCTTGGCGGAATACATACCGCGCAATATCAACTTCTCTGCTGCCATCTTGGATGTTGGATCGTTGATGTCGCGGAGAGGCAGTTGTTGCGTGGTTGGTGTTTGACATACCGTTGAATGCCAGCGGAGCCGCCATTTTGATGACGTCGCCGTGCGACGCGCCGCAGCTTTTGTATCTTGTGTTCCTCTATGTGAAGGCACACGCAGATCACACGAGTGAAGCAAGCAACCCAACAATTGTCACGGCCTTGACTTCACCAACTCCGTCTTTCCTCCTATTGTTACACAATCCTTGCAGGTCTGTCTCCCTGCTTCTTCCCAGAAGTAAGGTACCCGTGGGCAGCTCTCCGTGGTCAAGGACCTGAAGTTGGTGAATCCTCCTCTTTCAATCGGCCGGGGAAGCTTGCACGGTTTGGGCGTCGACAACCCAAGGATCCTTCGAGACAATCTCTACCAACGAGGATCGCAGCTGCAAACGCAAGAGATCAAGGATGAAGAAATAAAATTATACTTGTATTTGATGGCGTTGATGCTGACAAGACTCATGCGCCTCCAGAGGACGGAGGTCCGAGGAAGCGCATGAAGTGCAATATGGGCCCACGCCAGGAATGAGAAATGACGCCCCAACGTCACCGACTAAAGTAGCAGCAAAGAGTGCCCTCGGCGTCGACAAAACTTACTGCTCTGGCGTTGGTGTAAGCGCAAGAATGGGTCAGGTGGGTAATTGATGGTGAGATGCGAGCCATTATTTCTCCTCTGTGGCCCACGTCACTGCTCCATCTGCAGGGATTGTRGCTCCATGTGCAGGGATTGTAGCCGAGCGATGTGATGCGCGAACGCCCCACCTTTTGAGATGTCTCCAACATTGGTTTTGAGGAAGAGGACGATTATTAGCATCTTCATCACAAGGTCACTGAAGTGTTTCCAACCCGCCTTTCTTCACGCAAGGCCAACCCATCGTCAACAAGTTTCGAAGTAAAAGTGCTTTCGCATTCCAATGTGTGCATCTAGATTCTATATCGAGAGGGTATCATCATCATCATAAAAGCGATCCGCAATCCTTTCCCATGCAATACTTTTTTACGCCAAAGTCAACAGCAAGGCCTCGCTGGCCCGCACAGTGGTGGTCATAACACCATTGGAAGCTCGAATTGTCTGCGTAGTAGACGCAGTCTTCACAGGCCGTCCATTACTCTGGAAGGTCCAGCTATCGCCTTTCCACGAAATCTTACTTGCATCTTGCACGTTTGCTCCTCCAGCAGCAGTCAACTTCTCAACCTTGACATTACCAGAGTAGGTGCCAGCTTTGAAATTGACGGTCCTTGAAGGACGAATGGTGTTGGAGGAAGCGCTCCATTCTTGCAGGTTGATCAGTACGATCTTGGTAATCCTGCCGGCGCTGTTGTAGATTGCGTACGCGGACAGGAGGTCCTGACCGAGCTTGAGATCCGCGATACGGATATCGCCAGAGTTCCCAATCACATCTGCGACAAATGGGTGGGCGTAGTAAGGTGGTAGTACAGCGGCGGGCTTGCCAAAGTATTCCACGCCTCTCCAAGATGTATACGCAAAGCCAGTAGATTGCTGGACGTTCATACGCTTGAAATTGAGCGTCATCCCGTACAACATGTAATCCACCAGCCACAAGGCAGATCCAAATACGCCGAGTGTTGCCTCGTTGTCGCTGCTGAAAGTGTTGCTGTTCACCTCGGCGAGATAGATGGGGATCCTGGGGCGGTTGGTCTTCAGCCAGGCGACAGGTGCCTTGTATGGATCGAGCTTCTGCGCAATGCGCGTGTGATTCATGTAGTTCTTCTGTAGGGTTATTGAAGGGTTGTTGGTGCTTTCCATGTAGTGATGCAACGCTGCAGATCGGATAGTGGTGGCATCTCCTTGGCCCTTTTCGAACGTGTTCGCGATACACCAAGGGCAGTTGTTGCCATAGTAGACAGGAGCTTGGTACTTTTTCATACCAATGGCTGTGGTGAGAGCATCCTTGTACTCGTTCCACTCCTTCAAATATGCAACTGGATTGTACGTGCCTGGCCTGTTAACGTTCGGGTAGAAATCAATCTCGTTGCCAACTTCAAGCGCCTCAAGATTGTCGCCAATGTATTTCATAGCCTCTCTTGCGCCCGCGACGGCATTTTGCTTGGCAGAGAAGTTTGCCAGCTTCACCATGTATGTCCATTGCACGCCAGGGAAACTGGCAAACCCCTCAAACCATGCAGTCCCAAGTCGCATCCCTTTTGGGATACCTCCAGGCACAGCATTCGAGGGCAGGGTAAGAGCAGTTCGTTGATTTGGATCGTACACGGCAAAATCAGCCGATGTACCGCCAACTCGGATCTGAACCGGAGCACCCGTCCGGTCTGAGATAGTTTGGATCAAATTTCGCGAAAATATGTTTGGTACGGAAATATTGCCCGCGTACTCTTGGAATGAATGGCCAGATATCGCGAAGCCTGGTCATGGAGACGTCGTTAGCAGGCTGCAATGTCAAAGCGACGCGCGAGTCAATAATGATGATCGAGAACTCACCTGGATATCCATGATCAACCACATCGGATGCAGTATTTGGGACCGTTGCAGGAACATTAATCGTCGCTGATTGTCTCTCAGATAAAAGGGGACTCTGTATGGACAACGACACTCCCAATGGGAGCAGAAGAAGAGAAGACCACACCATTGTGCAGGCGGACAGGACTGCTGCGGCCTTCATTATTGGCGCGGGTATCGCTTTGCCTTATAGGAGGTTCGTATTCTGCAGTGACCAATAGTTGCACCCGAGCAATAGCCATTCCTTGGACCCCTTGTTGCGCCATGGGCCTCCAAGATGAGCCCAGGTGGGATCTACGCCACTATAGTCGACGATGTTAATCTTGACCTATTTTGGGTATCTTGCAAGGCCCGGCTTTGTGGCAGCGTTCCGTCGAGCCTGGAGTCCACGGCCAAGTTGCTTGGCCCAAGCGAGACATATTAACTCCAGCAGATGCCTCTGTGCATCGCATCTGAGCCGAACTATTGCAAGCCATGAGGCCGTGCACAGAGAGCCCAGAGGGATACCTTAGGGCCGAGGGGCTCCCATTGCCCCTCAGCGCGAAAAGCCAAGCTGCGCGATTTCTCCTGCTGTGTCTTATCTAGAGCTCTAGACACTGGATTGTTGGAACCACGATCTCATCATCTGCGCCATCATGCACGTGGAGGCATGTGATGCTAGCGATCGTGAGGCTTGAGGGTATGTGTTGGGCTAGGCGGTCGAGAGCGGAGTCCGTATGGTCCATCTCGTCTGTTGCGTGATAGTTCGTGATCGAGAGCGCGCCWTCCAAGAGAGCCGGGTGCCGAGCCGCTGCAAGATGCAAGACATTCCCCGAACGATGTTATCATATCCCCTCACTCTTGACACATGCTGGCAGGATGGAGCTCGACAAGGCAACTGCATCGGTGGGGCCCGCAAGCGGTATCTCCGTCGGTGAGCTTCACGTGAGATCTTCCAGACCCCCGTAGAAATCGACACAAATCTCGTGGCGGCAAGCCACCCATCTCGACCTCAGACAACACCTTGACAACGCATCCGCCATGACGCGCCGCCTGGTGTACGGTATTTCTCTGTGGGTCTTTTTGGGCGCTGCAGCTTGCGGAATCGCAGCCATCGCTCTGCCCAACTGGTACGTACTGCCTATCAGCTGGCAAATGAGTTGGCACACCGGCGGAATGTTGTCTAACACAGCGTCTCAGGATTTCTTACACCGCCGGCGACGATATCAAAGTGAATTACGGCCTGCATAAACGCTGCAGCAGCATCACTGGCAAATGTCTGCCCTTTCCACAATACGAGGACTGTCACGGTGACGACCGTTCATTCTGCGCGAAATGGCGGACAGCGGGGTTCTTCATGAACTTCTCCGTCGTCTTTGAGCTCGCCTGCGTCGTGGCATACATTACGGTGCTGTTTGGTGGAAGATCTGTGCGGGAGTCGGGCTGGAAGATGCTGGCGGGTCTGCTATCCACCGTCGCAGCGTCGCAAATGATCGCCATGGCTTTGATCGTATGTTTGACGGACATGATTGTAAAAGGTACGTGCTGACAATCACCAGGCTGCACTTTACGAAAACGACAAGCGATTCTTCGTGGGTTGGGAGCTCGACAAGTCCTGGGTACTCTGCACAGTATCATGGATTGTCCTCGCAGTCGATGCGATTGGCATAACGGCAGCTGCCTTTATACTACCCAGCGATGACGACTACGAACCTATACCTGATTATCCGCAATAAATCGTTGGAATACACAAAGCTTGGAAAGATTGGACAAGAATGGACTACATGGATCACATGGACAAATACAGGATAAGGTATTGGGAGGGTATATCAGCACCACGCTGTGTGTGCTACAGTCGAACAGACACCGACTACGCACGGTCGAAGGCGGCATTTCGTCATTCTAGTCATGAGATTCTTCCAATTGCTTCTTCACGTCACTCAACCATTGGTAAGAAATATCAACATGCGCGAAATCTTTCACGTCAGCGATCAGGTTCTCGTAGGGCTTTGGATCGACTTTAGAGAGTTCGATAAGCTTTTTGAAGTCGTCTAGGCCCTGCTGTGGCCTTTGAGCCTTGAAGGGCTGGGGCTTGCGGGAATTGTTGCTGGGAAATTGACCGAATGACATGGTTGATTCGTTTGAATGTCCAATGTAGCGATTGAATGGAGACTTCGAGCCCAGTTGTGACCGCATCTGTCAAGGGGGTATGGGATGGCAAGAGAGCCACAAGACGCTCAGGGTATTTGGTGTCTAAGGTATTGCCCGACTAGCTCTTCGCACCCTTCTGTCCACAACCCTGTGACCATGTGGTATGTTGCTGCTGCAAGGACAACACTTCCTCTCTACAAATTTCGTCGTAGCCGCGTGAGCCGCATGCAATGGAGTGACGGTAACGTTTCCGATGTTCCTACTCGACCACAATACGTCTCCGTTATGCTTTAGTCTTCTTCCAGCCCCTTAATGCTATCATCCACTAGATCTATAAGCCCAAATCAGTCAGTACACCGCTCCCTACTGGCCGACTACGGCTCACATGAAGAATACATTGATCGTCGTGGCGGCGTCAACCAAATCACTCACTGATCCAGCTCCGTTCAAAATGCCACCAAAGTCGAAGTTGTTGCCGTTCCCGGCAGAGTTTCCTTGGAGATTGTTAGCTAGTGTCTCGACCCGTTACGTTTGGTGAAGCTTAGGAAGACGAGCCATTTCCGAATTGCTGGGTAAGGACTGAATGTTAGCAGCGCTTCGAGTTGATGGCATATTTGCTGACGTTGTGCTTACGTTGCCTGAGCCCGAGCCGTTGCCCTGAAGGAAGGATGAATATTAGTCACTCAGGCAAAGTCTCTCTTTTTCAGGGCAAGTACTTACTGCTCCATTGCCTTTACCGTCACCGGTACCCTTGTTTCCTTCGCCTTGTTAGTTTGGGTTCGGATAGACTGAATCTCAGATCATACCGTTGCCCTAGATCAGGATCAGCATGCAGGTCGAAGAGTTCAATCGATTTTACTTACGGCTCCATTGCCTTCGCCGTCGCCAGTTCCCTTGTTTCCTTGTCCTTTGTCAGTACGATAGTGTACCATGAGGGACTTTGGCCTTGATGTGATGTGCAATGCTCGCCGGTGCGGCACCGGATGGTTTCAAGCCCAGGGCGTCAAACCATCCCAGCCCAAGGGAGAATCTGGCGAGCCACATCACACCACAGCTTCGGCCTGGATGTAGACGAACCGTTTCCATTCCCTTTGAATCTGTCAGCGCGCGTCAAGAGGTCAAAAGATGATCAACAAACCATTCCCTGCTCCATTTTGCTTTCCATCGCCAGTGCCTGCATTTCCTGCTATTGCGTCAGCATATATCGCCTTGGCTTGCATAGTACGCTACAGATCCCTCTCCGGGCTGGGTTGCTATTGCTATAGCGCTCCTTGGGTCCGATACGGAAGCAGAGAGATCATGGGGCGGCTTTTGGAAGAGAATACGACAAGTACTAAATCCTTGCGAACAGGCTAGAGCACGAGTGCCGTGCTCAAGCAAGTACGCTGCCATCCCAGAACTGTCCTGCATACGAAGCTGAACAATGGTTTACAGCTGCACATCCATTGAGGTGAAACTTCAAGCACAAGAAGCCTTAGACGCCGCACTTATTCGTACCGTTACCGTTCCCGACGATCGAGCCAAGAATCTCCTTCAACTGTTCCATCTTGTCGCCCGCGACTGGAATAGCCACGGCGTTGGGCTGTGGAATCGCAGCCGCAGAGACAGCGACCGCCGAGGCGACGACGGCAAAGATTGTAGAAAAACGCATGATGGAGGACGTGTGGTGAGGATAGAGGTGTGATTAAGATTAGAGATAAGCGTGGAAGACGGGGAATCAGTAAGAAGGCAAAAGAAGACCCCGGAGTTTCGAAAGGGAGGCTCGTATCTATCAGGAGGCAAACGCTCCAGCAATCGAGGGCGAGCTCTTCGAGCTTGGTTTTCACGGCGTGACGGACTCCTGATGCATTCTCAGTAGTCATCGAAGCAAAAGCTCCATGTGGTGAGCTGTGACTCGTGGCTCCGGCTTGGATCGACATTCCTTTTACTGTAGGAGGTACGAGTCTTATTAAACTCTTCGGAACGAGGACTCGTGGTGAAGAATATTGCGGCAAGCGAGTGCCACTGACCAGGAATGACGAATTCGCAGCCTGTGGTATCGCCAGAACAAGTTAACGCCATGCATAGTGTGCGAGATGGCGGGAGGAGTTGCCACATCGGGGAACAAGTCGTGCAGCATCTCAGAGATCTTCATGTCGCATTGTGAAGGATTCACAAATAGGCGACAGCGAGGGTTCCAACTCGGCGGGCTCTGGAGAGACGCATGCTCCAAGTCCACCACGTACAAACGTTTATGGGAGCTCAACAACCTCCAATATCYCTGCTAGCAGATGTGGACGCCGGTAGATTGCTTAAGCGTGGATAGTGGGTGAGCAGATGGGTGATGTCTTTGCCAAGATGTCGTGGCGGCACGGTTGGACACTCCACATGCGACCGTTGCGCGACGTAAACCATGTATACAGGTGGAGCCTGCTCCGGTGCCTTTTAATTGGACGAAAATGAAGCGCAGTGCAGATCGTCCTGTCGGCCTTCATAGGAGAAGCGAGACACACGCAGATTTGCAAAATGCATCACCGGTGTGAACCGCGAGGGTCTCATTCAACGGTGTTCGAATGTGCGAGTTTCAAGAAGGCGAACGGCTCAAAGTAACCATGGCTGACACTGTTTGGACAGATTCGGCGGCGACGCTCCGTATCTTGTAGTGAGTGTCTTGTCGGGATGCCCTCGCGCAATTACTGCAACCCCCTGAAGGAGCCACTCCAGTGCCATGAACCCGAATTCACATTCTGTGTCCCCAGGATTTCTCTTCATGAAAGGACCGCTGGTAGCTATGGTTGGAGCACTGAAGGCTGCACGCAGATAGGCCTCGAGCAAAGCATCTTGGGATGAGAACTATCAAACGTGGCATACCTGCAAGCAGGAAAATGGTGCGGATTTCGACGCCCACACTCCATGCTGGCATCAGTCCGTTAACAGCGGTAAAGGACCTCTTTGGCGATCCATCCTGTCCGTACCAAGTAACTGAATGGTCTGTAAAGGTGTGTATCTCTTCGCTCGATGTTTCTTTGCAGACGTGATGCCTTTGGCACTGCGAACTCACCTCTTGGACTTGTCTCACGCATCGTGTCTGGGAATTTTTGATAAGTGGTGCTTTCCTGTCTTACTCTGCTCAGCCTCCTCCATCGTCCATGTCTCGTGGGCTGGTGTCGACTCAGAGTCCCGCCGTCAGTTTTGTAATATTGAGAGATATTACCCTCCACGATGAGATCTACTCCTCAGGACCTATGAACAAGCGCTTCCATTTTGACGCAGGCGATGGAGCACATTGGAACAGCCAGGGAAACAGCCAAGACTTGAAGATCACGAACCCTATCAGAGCCCACGACGAGCTGCAGCTCACCTTTCTGCAGCTTATGAATTTACTTTGGAGTATAGCCAAGCCATGGCCACTTTGAAAGCCGGCCGCTTAGTATTCGAGGGATCGCTGTATTGGAAGTCAGCATTGAAGATGAGTCTGCCGGAGAGCAAGACCAATCTGAGTCCTGAGGGTGTACTATCTGTGTATTGATGGCGGCGATTCATGCTCCGACTTTCGCATGACCYAGTGCATGCAGGTTATCCGACAGGTGGTTCGTCCAGCGGGCTTCAGATTCCCGTCCAATGTGTCGACGTACCCGCATCACCATGGCCGAGTTGGTGCCGTGCCAAACTTCGGCAGCTCCAGCGCTTACTCCTGATAGGCAGGTTGACCTCGATCTCCTTCTCTGCAGGCTTGCGGAGTACCGAGCCTTGGTCTTTCAGGTGGAGGGTATGCTCATGTCGAACGTCGCTGCTTCCTCCAACAAAAGTTTACTGTCGTTCTCGATGGAAGAGGGGCCCGGGCCAGATCGCTCTGGCTGCTGCAGAAGCGAGCCAAGTGAGAATGATTGAAGAGGAAGATTTTGAATGGTGTTGTGAGAGTGCCGTGTTCAGGAGCCGCCGACCGTGGCATTTGCTTGGATCGAAACTCCTGAAACTCGGTGCTCACTTCAGGATCCTGACGCTGTGTTATGGCTCCGCCTTGATCACCGCACATGATTGTCTCCTGAGTCCGAGGATGTTCTGATGCATAAGCGACCTGCATAAATGTCTCGTGAACTGAGTTACAGGTAGAAAGCTGAAGCTTCGGTGTAAGTGAAGCTTGATTGTGCCTTCCCTCCTTTCCTCTCATGTCCTCTCATGTGAAGGTCTCCTCTCATGTGAAGAACTCCTCTCATGTGAAGATCTGGGGTTCCTTCTTCCAACAGTTTCCTTTTGTTTCCAACACAGGTATAAAAGACCGACTTGTTTGCTGCACACCTCTCATCCACTACATCAACCATCACTCATCAGCTCTGAAGCCTGCCAACAACAACAACATCAACCATTGCAACTCAACATCACCACAATGGCCCCTCACTACGGTACTGGCTACGACAAAGCAGGGTACGTTCTCGAAGATTATCTGCATGTTGAACTATGCTAACCATCCACGGTGAACAGTCGTAGCAACAACAATCTTCCAACGCAGTGAGTGAGCCCAGCAAGCCACCAAGATACCTATTGTCACGCCATCTAACTCTCTCTAGTATCAAGTGCAATGGAAAATGTGCTCGCGTCAAGGGTTCGGACTCATACTCCGGAAAGCAACTCGACATTCTGATTAAGAAGTTGCGCGATACTTCGCGCTTCGACGCGGCTAAAATGCCACTCATCTCATGCACGGGCTGTACGAGCCAGCAGGTCGTCGAACTCCGCTGCTTCGATTGTGAGCGGTGGATGGGGCTTGACAAGTTTTACAAGACACAGCGGAAAAAGCCCGATGATGCGGTAGGATCTTTCGACTGTCACACATATATTTTCACTTTCTGACCGTCGCATAGGAGTGCATCGAGTGTGTGACAAGGCGGGTTAACACGGAGCCGCACGAGGTTGGTCGTGACGACGACGAGGATGTTGCTGCTCCAGGTGAATCTGGCAGCGACTCGGACGACTACGAGGTATGCTAACAAGTATACCCTGTTCTTCACGACATTTGCTGATTTGCTGCAGGACTATCACATCAACAACRCGACGGGCAGCATTGCAGGTCTGTCCATAAGTAACAGCACTTACCCTTCTCAGACGGGCGCCAGCAGCTCCGGTGGTGTGAATGTGACCGGCAGCACTGCTGCTACCTCCCGCCAGACCCCTTCCGCGCAGGCCAGCAGCGTCGCCGGTACTGCATCCACTGTGCGCACTACTACCACCAAGTTCAATCCTCGCGGCTATGCCAGCTCAAGCAAGTCCACGGGAGGAGGAGGAGGAGCGTGGGCCAAGGTTCCAGCCGTGAGTTTCTGCCGTGCTGTCAACTGAAATACCCTTGCTAACCACGTGTCATAGGGCCGTTCCAAGGCCCCCGCGGAGGAAGGCAGCGACGACGATGACGACRAGGACGATGACAGGCAGCTCATCTCCGATAGCGATTGAGGGATGATCGAGCAAGGCACCTTGCACTATGCAAGATCTCTCTTGAGGACGTGCTACATCTGCGTTGTACACCTCTGCTGCTTTTTCAATTTATGCCGAGATTTGATACTTCTGGGCGATGACCGTCTCCTTGCAAGGAAAATCTCGAGGCGATGGTTCAGGGGATGGATCGGGAATCTCGTGCACCTCTTAGCATCACATTGGCCTTCACATGCATTTTTCACCAACACACAAATGGAAATGGAAAAAGTTTGCCAATTGAAGAATTTGATTTCGAACAATGTCTCCGTGAAGAACTCCTTGCTTCCATCCAAAATCCCAAAAGCGCCGGATTACGAACAGTAATTTCTAACTAATAAGGTAGCCTACGAGAGTTTTGTATGTGTGTGTTTAATGGTTTGGATGATGATGAGTGATGAAAAATTTGCGCGTATGCGCGTGCGTGACGGTGGATGGCAGTATAAACGAGCTCCCTGAACTCCTGCAGCAGTCACCAGTCGACAAAAAGATTAACGATCCAATTCCAGATGCGCCTGATGTGATCCAAGCGTACGGACGGGGTATTGTGAAATGGTTTCCTCCTCTAACTTCCCTTTCTTCTTCTTCTTCTTCTTCCTTCGTGTTGTTGTTATAAGTGAGTGTGGGGTGATCCAAGACCAGCGGAATAATCTGGGACATCCGGGTTGTTCAATCCTCATTCTTACTCTTCGTAAGAATCTTCCTGATCGTCGTCATCAGGAAGGCCGGAGAGACTCGCCAGGGATGCCCAGAGTTCCCGCCAGGCGGATACTTGGGGTGTTGTTTGCACGGCTTCGTGCTGCGAAGGGGCCAGCTCCTCTTCTTCCTCTTCTTCTTCGTCATCTTCTTCCTCGTCATCTTGTTGTTCCTCGTTCTCATCCTCAACTTCAACCTCAAACTCGTCTTGCTCCTCCAAATCCTTGTCTTCAGAATCATGAAACTCTTCTCTGTCGTCGTCTGAACAAGCAGTAATGACAGAGCAATCGTCGCCTTGCTCCATCGCTGGCTCAAGTCTTGCCATGTCAGGTACCTCGGTAACAGGTAGTCCAACTTCGCCAGCAACAGCAACAGGAGCAGATGGTGATGATGATGGCGATGGCATGTCTGTCGTACTTTCGCCCACAGCTTGGGCAGTCGCATCCGCATCCGCAAGCAAGATCGCATCTATACCAGGAGTGTTGTCAAGTCTGGTAATGGTCAAACTCGTGACGCGCCCGCGACCACCCTCCTTGACGGTCTCCAACTGCCATTCAACCTCACCGGATTCGGGCTCAACAAGGGGAGACGCCAATGGCTCTCCATACTTGGTTCGCCTTCGCTTGAAACGAGAGTTTACATCCTGCCAATCAGCCCGCCAGCGGTCCATCTCCGACAAGATWTTGTTCTTCTTCTCAATTCTCGCCCTGGTAGCTCTGACATCGTCAACTGTGATGGCATCTGACACGTTGGGCTCAACGATATCGTCAACGTCAACTTCCATGGACTTCATCTGCAGCTTGAGGAATAGCAGCTCAGAGTACTCGAATCCGAGGTCCGAACGCAGGCTTTCATTCTCGGAGCGGAGTTTCTCAATCTTCTCCTCGCGCTCCTCAATCGCAGCATTGTGAGATTCGTTCATCTCGCGCACTTCGTGATAGCGGTTGCTGAGTTCCGACTGTGCGGATCCCAGACCTTCCACAAGTTCCTGCATGCGAAGGTTGAGATAGTCACGCTCAGCGCGGAAGTGGTCCGCAGAGACAAGCGCACTGCGATCCAAGACTGCACCACCACACTCCAAACACTCTTGGCATTCGGGAATTGGCTTGATAGGTGGTGCGCGACTGGCAGGCTTGCGGCTCGGCGAGCTGGGAGCGCTGATATTCTGAGCATAGCCCTGATCCATAAAGACAGCAGAGTCTTCAATATCTAGGCGGGTCTCGGAATGCATGGTGTTGAGCTCCAATTCGATCTCGGTCAATTTGCGACCAACGAGCGCAATGGCGTCACGGCATTGATCGCGCATAATGAGAGACTGCAGGCGGTTCATGCGTAGAAGCAGCTGCTTAATTTCATCTGGTGCGGAGGTATTGCAAATTGCTGACCGAGCGTCATCCGAAAAGTAGTCCGAGAATGGAGAGTCGTTGAGCGAAGAAGTGCGACGCACGTGTTTTGCAGGCGTGGCGGGGTTCGCCATTGCGGAAGCACGGTGAGCAGCGGTCGAGTAACTGGGAAAGCGGGACAGCGGGCTACGTGAGTATTCACTTGGAGGCGGCGATGGGACGCTGCTGACGCTCCCGTGCGCCGCGCGGCGATGCGCTCGCTTCTCCGTGCTCAGCACTGGTCCGCGTGGAGTATACGCGCTCTGGTTACGCTCATGCGCCGGCCGAGCTTTCTCGGCCTTGTGGAATGTTGAAGATGGTCCGGGGAAACGCCATGGTGGCAACGACTGTGTAGAAGAAGAGGGCGAAGAAGGGGAGCGCAAAGAAGAAGCAAAAGACGAAAAGGTGGAGCAAGGATCCGACGACATGATTTCTTGATGAACTCTAGCTGCGCACAATGCAACGAACTCTAGTCAACCAGTAGTCTCAAGCGTCTGACGACCCTGCCACCCTTCCTCGTGAAGAAGTCGGATGTGGTGGTGGGGAGGATGAACCAGAAAACGRAAGGAAAACTTGCTTCACGCTATTTTCCACGTGAGCAGGTACAACATCGGCAGTGAGATCCACGGGAGCAAGGGTGCTGGTCTCTCCCGGTGATGTAAGACACATGCTGCGCCCATATTGTCGGTCGACAAGCGCAATATGTCTATTAATCGCGGCGGAGTATACATCTCCAGATCGAGCCATGTCCAAGGCCTGACGTTGCATGAACGGTGCACGGTGGCGCAAACTCAAACTCTGTTGGCGGTCGGGCATCGAGTTCATAGGGCTGAGACAAAAGCTCAGCCAAAGATGGTTGAAATCGAAAGTCGGAGAGAGTCATCCCAAATTCACGAGTCGAGTCAATAGCAACGGTACACCTTCACCGCATTGATGAGCATTCACGTCTTCGTGAGCTCCCCCAGACCCGTCCCATAACATTCACCTGCCGCAACGATGGCATCCACTGTACGTCTCACCAGTCACCCTCGGATCAAGAGTGAATCATCTCTGACAGCATTGCAGACTCCGTCGTTGGAAGAAGTACGCAATATCGTCTCCGAGACCAAGGAATGGTCCAATGCGCCAAACCTCATCCCACTATGCGCCTCAATCGCCGCCGAGTTTCTGACACCGTCTGCAATCTACCTCAAGGTTTCAGCCAGGTAAGACAGACTGCCGTCACTCACCTCTCTTCGTGTGCTCACTTACCCCTCATAGCTCCCCATCCAAGCATTCATTCCTCTTCGAGTCCGCCGCGACCTCTGAGACCATTGGCCGCTACAGCTTCATTGGCGCCAATCCTCGCAAGACACTCGTCTCCGGACCCAAACATGGCCTTGAGGCAGATCCGCTTCCACAGCTCGATGACGAACTCGCCCAATACCGTATCGCCCACATTCCGTCCCTTCGACTTCCGCCGTTGACCGCAGGAGCTATTGGCTATGTGGGATATGACTGCGTCAAATATTTCGAGCCCAAGACCAAGCGGCCCATGAAAGACATATTGGAAGTGCCAGAGAGTCTGTTCATGCTGTACGACACAATCGTCGCAGTAGATCACTTCTTCCAGAAGATTGTCGTCATCACATATCTCCATGTTCCCACCGCAGACGCACCGAAAGGCGCATTGGAGGCGGTGTACGAAAAGGGCAAAGAGACAATCTCAAGTCTGGTGAAGATCTTGAAGAGCAAAGACCTTCCTCTCCCACCACAGGGCGAAATTGTTCTGAACCAAGAATATTCAAGCAATATTGGCCGTGCGGGATATGAGGGACATGTCACAGAGCTGRAGAAGCACATTGTCGCAGGAGACATCATTCAGGCTGTTCCGTCTCAGCGCATTGCCAGACCCACAAGTCTGCACCCCTTCAACATCTACCGTCATCTCCGCACCGTCAATCCTTCGCCTTATATGTTCTACCTGGACTGCGACGATTTTCAGATAGTCGGTGCAAGTCCAGAGGTTTTGGTCAAGGAAGAGGCTGGCCGAATCATCACGCATCCTATCGCCGGCACCATCAAACGTGGAATCACCCCTGATGCAGATGCAGAGCTGGCTGCCACTCTGCACGCCAGTCTGAAGGATCGTGCCGAACATGTCATGTTGGTTGATCTGGCGAGGAACGATGTCAACCGAGTTTGCGACCCAATGTCCACGAGAGTGGATAAATTGATGGTTGTGCAGAAATTCAGTCATGTACAGCATCTCGTCTCGGAGGTGAGTGGTGTGCTGAGGGAGGGCAAGACGAGGTTCGACGCCTTCCGCAGCATTTTTCCTGCGGGAACAGTTTCTGGCGCGCCCAAAGTAAAGGCCATGGAGCTCATCTCGGAACTTGAAGGCGAGAAACGTGGCGTGTATGCTGGAGCAGTGGGTTACTTTGGCTATGGAAGCATTGATGTGACTGCTCCTGCCGTGGATGGACGTGGAGAGGAGAGGGAAGGCGCGATGGATACCTGTATCGCTTTACGCACGATGATGGTCAAGAATGGCGTTGCCTACCTTCAAGCTGGAGGTGGCATTGTCTTCGACTCCGACGAGGGCGAGGAGTATGAGGAGACCATGAACAAGCTGGCCGCGAACATGCGCTGCATCGAACAAGCCGAGGTGCTTCACTTCGAGGAGCAGCAAGGTGACCTTTCGGTTACGAAAGTCAGCGAGGACAGTAGTAAAGTCGGCGGAGCACCTGAAGCCGGCAAGGTCAGTTTGGCGGGATGAATTTGGGATGTTCTCGATCTCCTCGAATTTGGTTTCTATCTCGACAGACTTTCTCGTATGCAAGCTGATTGTGACGCTGCCTCCGCTTGTTTTGAAATATGCGTCCTGACTTCAATGTCATTGCCATCCTCATGACCTACGCCAACGGCGAACCTCAGCAGAGAAGATCTTCCCAGCGACAATCGCATACTTATCCAACACCATTCGATAATCCGCCGCCACATCCAGCCAATTCGCTCAATCCCTCCACAAAAACATCAATTCGTCTACCATCTCTCCCCTCCCACTCCATCAAATAAATTCCCACCAAATTCCTCAAGACTATTAATCGCCTCGCCCATTCCATCTAACATTTTTGCTGTAAATTTCCGCGCAGAGTCATGTTGGCTGATTGCAACCTCCATCATCTCAATTTTATATTCGTTCAATATTTATTACTTCTCAAGTATCTGCGTGTTGAGCTGCTTTAGCTTGGCGACGAGAACAACGCTCTTATCGTGGAAGTTGAAGAGATGGAAGTTTTGCTATTCTGCTTTGCAAATCAGAATCCATCCAGGCGTATCGAAGATGCTGCCTTGCCGATATTTAAAGCAGTGAAGTCCTCTTTGGAAATTACCACGAGGTGTGAATGGTTTGAAAGCAGCTGGTGTCGAGATCGGAGAATACTTTGACTGGATCGAAGTTCTGCTTTCTTGAGATGATTTCTGGGAAGTGTGGTGATGTGCTAGTGAATACTTCTATTGGACGCAAGATGATGTACATACTCTGGGGAGATGCTATAGCTGCTATTTGCTGCTCGATTATGGATCGAAGCGTGTCTACTGAAGTGGTGATGGGTATAATGATTGAAACAAGCGCCTGTTCTGGTTGCTATCGATGTAGATAGATATCGTTTTTTTTTTTTGACCCCATTTGTCGCTTTTGCGAGAAAGCTCCTGCCGTTTTCCGCCCCACTGTCCTCTGGAGTCGCTTCGATGCCATTCATCGTTGGGATGTAGGTGAGCTGGTAGTCTGAATTCGCGTTTAATTATGTGCGGCGAAGACAGCTGGTAGGCGATTGCTCGCCATTTCGATGGCTTTGAGATGATTCTAGATATTGCCATTCAATTTCAAGCATCTTCGAGACCAAAGTCATTCACTCGGATTGAATCTTGCAGGGGTAGAGTCCGGTCCGTGCGCGTCCCGCGGATGCCGAGTTGCAACCGCATACTTCTCTTCCAACCTCAGCCGCACTTAGCCGCACTCTTTGGGTCCAGAACATGCTCCTTCTGACATTTTCATAGCAAAGCCCTAACTACCTTATGGGGAAGCCGAAGGATCTGAGTAGGAGTGTACGCCACGTGGATCCAACCTCATCCAGACCAGCTATGCGGGGCTGAGATAAGCCGCGTTACCGTCGCATCATCATGAGCTGTGACCGAGGTCATGAAGTATAAGTATAAACACCATCGAAGCAAGCCTTGAAAGTCTTACCAAAACATTCCCACTTCACCACCCTCCACAAGTCATGACCATCACTCTGGAAGAGAGATACCGCCAAGAGCGTGAGAAGCGCACCAATTCCAAACATCTAGGACAATACCTCGACCGATCTCAAACATCCCCTTATATCCTCACCGAAGACCCTTGGGTGCAACCAGGAACACCCATCAATCGTCCCGTCCCAGAAGGCGGCCATGTGAAAATCGTCATCTTCGGAGCCGGATTCGGAGGCTTGTGCGCCGCCGTTCGAGCTCTACAAACCGGAGCTGCACGTAGTTTGGAAGATATTCTCATCGTCGATTATGCGGGAGGTTTCGGAGGGACTTGGTGGCATAATCGCTACCCGGGATTAATGTGTGATTGCGAATCGTACATTTATCTTCCATTGCTCGAGGAAACGGGATATATGCCCACGAGAAGATTTGCCGGTGGTGAGGAAATCAGACAGTATTCGGATCTTCTGGCGAAGACTTTTGGATTGCATGGTCGAGCCATGTTTCAGACTCGAGGGAGGAGTCTTACGTGGGATGATGAAGCTAAGAATTGGGCGTGTGAGGTTGCTGTTAAGCCGAAGGGGGGAAAGGAGTATCCTGCGACTTTTACGGCGGATTTCGTGGTGCTTTCTTCTGGGGGATTCACAGATCCTAAACTACCGGATCTTTCTGGAATGGACAAGTACGAGGGCAAGATGTTACATACTGGACGATGGAATTATGATATCACGGGAGGATCACCTGCAAACCCCGAGCTGACCGAGCTGAAAGGGAAGAGAGTAGCTATTGTCGGGACTGGAGCTACCGCCATGCAAGCCGTTCCTGCCACGGCAAAATGGGCAAAGGAGCTATATGTCTTCCAGCGAACCGCATCATCAGTCGACATTCGAAACAATCGAGACACCGATCCTGAGGAATGGAAGACTAAAATAGCAAACAAAAAAGGCTGGCAAATAGAACGAGCCGCCAACTTCCAGCGTTTCGTCGAAGGACCAGACAATCGACCCGAGGTGAACATGGTCGACGACGGATTCTCACACATGCCCAGTCTAGGCGCAGCATGGGGCAATTCMTCCCAGGTCTCGCCCAACGACATAGAAAGCTATGTAGCAGCCATGCTAGAATTGGACCGTCCCCGTTCCGAGCGTGTACGCCAACGAGCCTTGGATATCGTCAAAGACCAAGAGACAGCAAAGTCCCTTCAAGCATGGTATCCAGGCTGGTGCAAACGTCCCACCTTCCACGACGAATACCTCCAAGCTTTCAACGAGCCAAACGTACATCTCGTAGACACAGACGGCAAAGGTGTCGAAGCATTATATCCTGAAGGCATCACTCAAAACGGCAAGGAGTATCCCATAGACGTCATCATCTGGTCTACAGGCTACGGATCTCCTCTAACGGAATCCCTGGCGGGTAAAGCCCTTATTAAAGTCATAGGCAAGAATGGTCATGATATGGAAGATCGATTTGGGACTGCGCAATTAATGTCTCTGCATGGAATCGCTGCTCATCATTTCCCTAATCTCTTCTTCACGGGCCTCTCTCAAGCGGGCGTGGGAGCTAATCAGACGTCTCGATTGGATGAACAGAGCGTACATATTGCGCACATCATCAAAGAGGCCGAAAAGATGAAGAAGGCTACTTCAGGAGAGCAGCATACTACTGTTGTAGTGGAGGCCACTGAGGAAGCGTGTGAAGCGTGGGGAGATAAAGTCGCTGGTATCGCACATATGGCTGCGCCTATGCAGGGTTGCTTGCCGAGTTACTTCAACGGCGAAGGCATGACGGCGAAATTCAACGAAGCGCAGCAGAAAGGTGCTGCGAGGAGCGCGTTGTGGGGACATGGATTTACGGATTATGCGAGAATTCTGGCGGAGTGGAGGGAGAAAGGGGAATTGGAGGGATTTGCGGTTACTGCTGCTGTGTAGATAGATTGGTCAACCCGTCTTGAATATATGCATGCCATTTAGAGGTCATTTATCAAACATCCCACACTTTATATCCCACCTCGCGACCTTTCTTATACCACTCCTGCACATACGGCAAAGCAACATGAGGACCATAGATATCCTCTTCCCATTGTGGCGTCGGGGCATCGAATCCCGTCTCCTCTTTACAGCTCGCCGCGAGTTCGGCCAGGGTACCACCTCGATCATAAAGCGGAGCCATCACCTTTCCAGCCTCTTCCTTCTCAATATCACCTCTCAAAGTCTCCGTGGCAATTTCATCGACTTCCAAGGTTTCCGGATGCATCACCACGCCGTAATTATCCTTCGCTCCAGTAACTGTCACGAGTTTCCTCCGGACTTCCAAAGCGACGAGTTCCGCCGGACGGGTCAGTGGGTCTCCGAGTCCACCACCACCCCATGTTTGCCATTCTAGAAGATCTCCTGGTTGGACTCTGACGTGGTCGCATTTTGAAGGGAGGAGTGTGGTGGTTCCGTCGGTTCTGTGGATGGCTTTCTTGCTGCGACTGCCGGGTTTACCGCCTCGGACTCCCCAGGGTTTGGTGAACCATCTGTCGTCGTGGATGGAGAATTCCCCTGCTGAGAGGAAGCGGTAGCATGTCTTTTGAGCGTTGCCTATTTTTGGAGTTAGTCGTTGTTGTGGAGATGAACTTCTTACAAAGACTTACCTCCTCGGTAGAAGCCTGCACCSCCACTGTCTGCGACGGCTTCGTTGACTTCCAGGCGCACGGGGAAGTTCAACTCAATCGATTCTGTTGGAACAGATTTGATTGCTGGGAACAAGCAGTGGCAGTCTGGACCATCTCCCTTTGGTCTGGCTGGGACACCACCAAATGCGATTTGGTATAGTTGATACCATTCACCGTWTGGTCTGCGATACGTCAGCACATGGTTGTGTTATCTTGTCCAGTAGAAACTTACTTGAATCCAGAGTAGAAGAAGTGTGGGGAATCACTGAAGCCTGCGGCCGTCATGAAAGCCTCGTTGCGTTGTCCAAATAGACTTTTAATAATGTCAGCAAAGTATCTCGGAAGTTGAGATCAAGATAGTACTCACGCTTGCATGATATCCATCGTACGGCCTAGGAAGTGGGTACGACAAGATAGCGCAGCCGGTCGAACAGGCTTCAACAAAGAACCAAGCGGGATCTCCACATCGATCAGATCATGGAAACCATCATTTGGAATGGTGAACGGTGCGTGGACGACCAGTAGGTAGTACCCAACAAACATCTAATCATGTCAGTATTCAGAAGCCTTCACTGACGATGGTAACCATACCTTGAACATCTTCTCGCTCAAAAAGTAATTGATACTCGAACTGGCCTGGGGACTCGTGCCATGGAAATCAAACTTGAGTCGATTCTTCGCCGTCTTACTGAGCGTGCACTTCAAAGCAAAGGGACCGCGACCATGACCATCATCATCGACAAAGTYAACAAAAGTCGACGTCTCGTCACTCATATGGTGCTCGATGATTTCGCTCACAGCAGTCCTTGTACGCTGCAGTAGGATATCAGTAGACGCAGCGTATACCTCGGGTCCGAAACGAGTGCACAGTTCGCACACTCGAGTCGCAGCAGTTCGACAGGCTGAGATGAGAGCCAGTAAATCCGAGCGAAGCCATTCCGGCTGTCTGCTGTTTCGACACATCAAATCCACAATCGATTTGTTCATCTTGCCCTTCTCGAAGAGCTTCATTGTTGGTACTTGTAGACCATCATCGAAAATCGTCTGGGCATTGATGGACATTGAGCCGGGGACTTGGCCTTGAACGTCTGTCATGTGGCCAAAGTTTGCGGCCCAGCCGACGAGTTTGTGCTCAAAGTAGATGGGCAGGAGGACAATGACCTGTATTCTGGTTAGCGTGGGAGCTCATTTCAGCAGCAACACGCAACGTACGTCGTTCAAGTGGGATACAGCTCCTTCGACTTCGTAGACGTCTGTGGGGATGATCAGTATTATTCTGCACCGGGATTGAATTTCTCATACCATTGGTGATGAATACATCGCCCTCTTCAATGTCTTCAACATCGCCTTTATTGACTTTGTACGTCCAGATCTTGAGGAATTGTCCAATGAATGAGCCGAATTGGCCTACCAACATCTGACCTGCAGCATTGGTGATGACCTTGATCAGTAGTATTAGTGTCTCAATCGGGTTCCACAGCCATCAAGCATAGCTTACATTGAACTCATCCTGTTGTTCGCGAATCGCCGGCGACATGGAACATCTCAGCATCAGCGTGTCCATCTCAGCTCTAATAGAGGCGAGGGAGGATGAGATCAAGGTTGGAAGGGTGGGGATATCCTCCACCACTTTCCTCGCCTCAGCCTCCTTATCCTCTTGAGTCTTATCAGACACCGTGCTCTCGAACCTCGACTTGAACGAAGGCATCTCATTCCCCGGCAAGGGTGAAATGCAAATSTTGCCAACCGCGTCAACGACGCCCTCGAATCCAGGTGCAATGAGAGTGTTGCTGTCCATTTCCACAACCACACAAGGTCCTTGCACACGATGGCCCGCCTTGAGGATTCCACGACTCCAGAATTGGGCCTGGTGCTCTTTACCTTGCACTACAATGGTCTTGGTCTCCAATATTCCAGATTCGGGAGGTGTTTCTGAGTCTGCCACTGCAATGTRAGGGATTTCAATATCCGGAGAAGCGTCCACAATCGTCACAGTCAATCTGGTGAGCTCAATTGGGAAATTCTCCAGAGTGTAACTGAATTGCTGCTCGTGCAGCTTGTCGAACTTGGCGTGAGCAATCTTCTCGAATGCTTCCTTTGGTTGAGATAGATCTTCCTCGGTCAAGGTTATGGGAAGCTCAAGGGCCTGACCTCTGTATCGTAAAGCTGAAGTGTACGTCACCTCAAGCACCGGGTTGGCCTCGTCCAAGGCATCTTTCATGATGGTCTCGCATTTCTCTTTGAGAGTGGAGAACTCGCTTCGGATAGTTTCCATGGTTGTAGCATCGAGTAGCTGGATAAAGGACGCAGAAAGTTCGTGGCTCATCTTGGTGGTGGCATCACCCTGTGCGCAGAGAATTCCAGGCGCAGCTGGGACGATGACAGGCCACGCTCCGAGGAGCTTACCGACAGCATTCGCACACATTGGTCCAGCGCCTCCGAACGCGACCAAAGCGAAATCTGCGGGATTATGGCCTTGCTCGACGGAAACCAAACGGAGAGCACCGTAGATGGTCTCGTTAGCCAGATCGATAATGGCTTCGGCAGCTTCATAAATCGTCTTGCCTGAGAAAAAGGGGAACAACGTCAGCGATGACTACTTCTAGAATCCCATCTCTCCACTCACCCATCTCCTCCGCCAAGGCACCAACTGCAGCACGCGCAGCCTTGACATCGAGGTGGAATTCTCCACCCAGCAAGTTTTCTGGAAGATAACCCAGCACCAGATTGGCGTCTGTGACGGTAGCTTGAACACCTCCTCTTCCATAACACGCAGGCCCCGGGTTGGCTCCACTACTCTCTGGACCCACACGAAGTGTGTTGGTCAGCTTTGAGTAAAAGGCCAAACTTCCACCACCGGCACCAATTGTCCTGACATCCACCGAAGGCGATCGTACTGCCAAATCGCCCACCATCGTCTCTCGTCTCAACGATGGCTGAGCGTTTGCGATGAGAGCAACATCTGTAGATGTGCCTCCCATATCAAGGGTGACAAGATTCTTGTGTTCTGTTGCATTGGCGATGATGCTAGTAATTCCTCGTACGCCACCAGCAGGACCAGACATCAGGATGTTCACCGGCAACTCTCCAGCCATTTCCAGATTTGTAAGACCTCCATCACTTTTCAGAATTCGAACCGTGGGCGTATCGTCGTTGAGCTTTTCGGAGAGACCTTTCATATAGCGCTTCACTAGTGATGTGTTAGTTGGGAATGCCGTAAGATGAAGCTGTTACTTGCCTTCAGGCTTCACCACCGAGTTTGCAGCTGCAGTGACCGTCCTCTCGTACTCTCCCAACTCTGGAAGAACCTCATGCGAAAGGGAAACGGCCACCTCATCTCCGAGCACTTCGTTGACAATCTTACCCACCTGTTTCTCATGCTCGCCATTTACCCACGAATTAATCAAGCTCACAGTGACAGCTTGAACTTTGCCCTTGACCTTCAACAGCTCTTTTCGCAGCACATCTGCATCGACAGGTCTCACTTCCTCGCCGTCTACGCCGATTCTCTCCGGGACCTGAAGTGTTCTGTCCAGCGGAATGAGTGGTGCTGGAGGATCCCATGAGATCCATGCTGCGAGCCCTCCGGGAATCTGACTTCGTCTTGCGACCAAAACATCTTTGTGACCTTCTGTTACGATGAGAGCGGCGGGAACACCTTTGCCTTCGAGTAGTGCATTCGTTGCAACGGTACTGCCATGGTGGAGAGCTCCAAATTTTCCTGTAAATGGCACATCGACTTGAATCGTTGCCCGGACTTTGTCAATGGCGTTCTTTACGCCTATCGACTGATCGTGAGGTGTAGATGGCACTTTTGCTCTGTAGATTTTGCCATTCGGCGCAAAGGCGCAGGCATCGGTGAATGTACCACCAACATCTACACCTAGACGGTAAAGAGGATCTGTAGTAGTGGAAGCCATGATGGAGTTGAAGAATAAGAGAGACGATTCAGACGGAGAGAAGTGAAAATGCGAAGACGACGTGCTCTACGTGCATGATCATACATACTGTACCTCGGAGCTCTAGCCAACATCCCAGTCAAGCGAAGGCATTAGATACGCAAGCGATAGGCAGGCTGGCGTCGCCGTGAAGCTGGCTTGCGTTTCCTACGGGCGACCGCCAAGTAGCTAGGTCTCATTGCATTAGCACGCCGAGATGGTAACGAAGTTGGCGGGGAAGATAAGTTAGCTGACGTTGCTGATAAGACGAGGGAGGAGGGACGACTAGAGGCGAGATCTTGTGGAGAAGTGTTGCCGCCGGGATTATCTCGGGCAACATCCATGCTCCTCACGGGATATCATATGAGGAGGACATGAATGCCTCGCCTATCGTGAACGGCTCTTGGCCGGCACTGTGGATCGAATGTTGAGAAGTGATCATGTCGCTGTCTTCGATCGATCCAGAATTTTGAGACGTGAACATTTTCCAACCGAATCGTCGCAACACCAACAGTAATGTCGATTGTATCCCTCACAAACGCTTCAGATGTCCCGACCTGTACGGTCGAAGATCTTCGACAAGTCTGCAAGGCCAACAATTTCTCCGTCGAACCAGGAAGCTTGAACGAAAAGGCATTCCTTCTCTTTCAAAACAGCTTCGACAATGTATGCCAAACGATTCAGAATCTACCAGAATACGAAGATCCACGGTTGAAACCGGCTGCTGTAGAAGATGGAGAAAGAAGATTTTACAGACCAGACGAAAAGGAGAATCCACTAAATGGATGGGCTCAAAGAACAAACCTCAAATCAGCAGATCCAAAAGCTGCGGAAGGACCACTTGCAGGTCGAACAATCGCTTTCAAAGATAATGTATCCGTTGGAGGGTTGCCACTTGGACTTGGTGCTTCTCCAGAGCACTTTCGAGATGGCAAGCATCCAATCAGTACAATAGATGCGACGGTCGTCAGCCGTGTCCTGGCGGCGGGTGGAATTGTCAAGGGCACGGCAACATGTGAAAACTTCTCCGCTTTCGCGCTCAGCTATACCTCCCACTCTGGTGTTGTACACAACGCTTGGCTACCTGGCTATGCCACCGGAGGAAGCAGTAGCGGTTGCGCGGCGCTCGTCAGTGTTGGAGACGTCCAGGATGCTCGGCGGAGCGGCAAAGATGATCGGGATTACCCGTTGGGAGAAGGTGTAGACATTGCTGTTGGAGGAGACCAAGGAGGAAGTATCCGGATCCCAGCAAGCTATAGCGGAATCTTCGGACTCAAACCAACACATGGTCTGGTGCCATATACTGGAATCGCTCCATTGAACCCTTTGATGGATCATACGGGTCCCATGGCGCGGACGGTCGAGGATACAGCTCTTTTGCTTGGAGTGTTGGCAGGATATGATGGGATCGATCCACGGATGACACCAGAGTCGCCGACCGTGGCTCGTGTACCCGATTATCTTCAAGATCTCAATGCATGGGTCTCAAGTCGAGAGGCTAGTGGGGAGTGGACAGCCACTTCAGCAGCAAAAGGTCTCCGGATCGGCATTCTCAAAGAATCTTTGGAATTTCCCGGGATCAGCTCAGATGTGCTCTCCACCGTGGAAGCCRCCGTGGAAAGGTTCAGGACTCTCGGGGCAGATGTCAAAGAGATCTCCATTCCCCTTCACAGCATCGGTGCAGCGATTTGGACAATTGCCGCCAGGCCGCGCATGCCAAACTACATCAAGAGTATCCCCGGTGACTTGATCACCCACACACTCCCAGGCCTGGATCCGCTTCCGATCGACCAGAAGTTCTTTGATATCCTGTCAAATCGGAATCCAGCGGTCGTGAATGTCCTCATGAACGTATCCCATCTCGAGCAAAGATATGGGCCCTCGTTAGTACGCAAAGCCCACATGCACGTCCAAGAGTTGCAGGCAGCGTATGATAAAGCGCTGGAGGAGTGCGACGTTCTGCTTACACCAATCAATCCCACGGTTGGCCCACCGCATCCAAAAGGCACAGCAAAGACGGCGGAGAATCCGCAGGGCTTTAGTGAGAATGTATTTGATCTTTTTGAGCCTGCCATCGGCAATACCCTCAACACTTGTTCTTTCAACGTTACTGGTCACCCAGCGATGAGCATGCCGGTTGGTTGGGGCAGAGTAAAGGGCTCCGATGGTCGCCTCCCTATAGGAATGCAAGTGGTGGCAAAGAGATGGGACGAAGCAAGCATCTTTAAAGCTGCAAAAGCCTGGGAGGTTGGCGGTAGTTGGAGCGATTGAAGGATTGAAGGATTGAAGGACCCTATTCGACATTAGCCAGCATGTCACCATTCAAGAATATGTCGCCCTTCGAGAATCGAAAGACCCTATTCGACATCAGCCAACACATCGCCATTCAAGTTTGGAACCAAGGGCAAGTCAAGGCAAGGGCATTATTGAGAGTTAGACATTCACATATCATATCATAGCCGATTCCTCACAAATCATTACAAGCAAGACACGCAAAGTGGTATCGAAACGTCGCCCAAAAAAGCCCATCGTCACCCGGTAAAAGAAGAAGAAAAAAGGACGCATCTGCAAAAAAACAAGATCCTCTCCAATATTCAGCATCCACAAACATGCTCTCACACAGGCGGAGGCTTCGCATTAAGCTTGAGTAGGTCGGGGAAGGAGGTTCTACCACTCCATCGATGGTCGTCGTCGGGCTTAAAGTCCAACGATAACCTCGGCGGCATAGAAGAGACCACCGGGAGGAGAGCAAACGATGAGGAGTAGCGGTGTAGAGAAGACAACATGGTCCTTTCGGCCGCCATTTCCATTTCTTCGCTGGTTCTCTCCGGACTAGTAGGCTCATCCACAATTATGACCAGGACAGGCTTCGCTTCCAATTCAGGGCTGTCGTGTGTGTCTGATCTCACTCTGCCACAGCTCATTCGATAAAAACTAACGTAGTGGTATCGTCAGCAACGCAAAGACAGCAAAAAGGAGAAGAGAGGGAAGAGAATCAGACTAGTTCTTGAGCTTCTCCTTGATCCTGCTGAACAGGCCCTTCTTCTTCTCCTTGTCGCTGCCAGGCTTGGGAGAGTCGCCTGTGCTGGGAGAACCCTTCAGTCTTTCGTAGATTGAGTTTCGCTTGTTCGACGTTGGCGTGCTGGTCGAGGGCGAGCTCTGGTGCTTGCGTGGGGTTCCAACTGGAGCCCCAGACGTCACAGCTGGAACCTCGGTAGAAGTAACGCCAGATGTGACTACAGGCGCAGTCTGCGTCGTGGTATCCGGCTTTGTGGTGTCCGTCTTTGTCATTGGGCTTACATCCCGACTCTGAACAGATCCACCGACTTGCGCCGGAGAAGCTGCGGAGGCGTTGAGGGCAGACTTCTCGTCCATTGTGATGGGAGCAAGTCCAGCACCGACTGGATCAGCGAGCTGAGGCGCACCGGAGGAGGAAGTTTGAGGTCTGGCGGCAGCGACTGGGGCTGTTGTAGATGTGGCAGCCGTGGCGGTCGGTGCAGGCTCACCAGACTCCTGTGCAGTCGGCACCTTTGCAAGCAACTCCTTCTCAACCTCGCTCTTCTCGGTCACAGCCTCCGGATTGGCAGACGCTTCGGGCGCAACGTGGGCCTCCTTCTGAGATTCCTTGACCTCAGACGGGACAGCACTGGCAGCCTCGGCTGGGACAGCAGAATCGACAGTCGCACCAGCATCCGAAGATTTGTTAGCATCATGAATGCTGTTCTGCGTGGTCTCTGGCAGAGCAGCAACAGCATCAGTACCGGTGGTCTCCTTGACTTTCTGGTTGAGGGTGAGGGCGGCACCAGCGGCAGCGGCACCAGCAGCAGCAAGACCACCAGTTACAGCGGCAGCAATACCGCCGGTGCTGATACCACCGTTGGAAGAGGCAGTGCCGGACTCCTCTTCGGGAACCTTGGACTTGAGCTYATTCTCCACCTCGTTCTTCTCTTGCACAGCTTCTGGGTTCGCAGCCGCTTCGGGATCAACGTGTGCCTTTTGCTGGCTGGTAGTCACAACCGATGGAACACCGTCAATGCCCTTCACCTCCGTGCTGGCCTCCTCTTCAGGAACCTTCGACTTCAGCTCATTCTCCATCTCCTTCTTCTCCTGTACAGCTTCTGGGTTTGCAGACGCCTCTGGAGCGACGTGAGCCTCGTGCTGGCTTTCAGAGACCACTTCTGGAACACCTCGTTGCAAGATTGGCTGCTTGCCTGCGAGCTCGTTGGTAGTGCTGTTCGCGCCAACAGAAGAGATGGTAGCGCCGGCTCCGTCAACTGATGGTGGGACATCTGCGCCCATGCCCATGCTGGACTCTGGAATCATGTTTGTGGTCTGTGGGCCAAGTCCGGTGAAGATTGCAGCACCTTCAGCTTCACGCTCGCTCTGTGGCGACAGAACAGCTGGAAGCACGGGTGCACCAGAGTCACTCTTCTCGTACGACGCCTTATCCAGCTTGACGTGGCTGTCAAGAGTGCTTGACGTGATGGTGCTCGTTTCTGGAACCTTCTCGCCAGGCGCCAATGTGATGGGGTTGCCGACACCGCCCGTGGCAGGGATGGGAGCAACGCCAAACGCCTTTTCTGTGTCGTTCTTCACCAACTCGGGATCGTCGCGAACCGTGGATGAGATTGTGTTGGAGTGGATGGTCGACGCCTCGGGAACCTTTTCGCCAGGCGCAAGGGTGATCGGGTTTCCGGTGCCTTGTGAAGCTGGGATCGGGTTGACAGACATTACAGACTCTTCTGCTTCCTTCTTGTTGTTGCTGTCACTCGCTGCTTGACCCATTCCCAACGCGGCTGCACCAGCTGCGAAAGCAGAGGCGACTCCAGCAGCAGCTGCTGTTCCAGCGTTTGAAATCGTCTCCCCTGCGGAGGCGCCGGCATTCGACAGACCATCCTTCTGAGCATCATTGCTTGACAAGTCCGCCGCAGGGGTCTCGGGGAAGGCGCCAGGAAGTGACGATTCCTCCAAAGGAACCGATCCTGCGAGCTCGGTGGTTGTTGCGCCTGGCGCGACTGAAGATGTGGTATGCTCCATTGAGTTTTCTGGGACGAGATCTTCGGGGTAGAGGACGTTATTAATGTTGCCTTCGTGATCGGTCTCCGTCTTGCCGGTGTGATCGTGGATCCAAGTTCCGTCAACGACGACTGTTGAAGAAGAATCAAGGTCAGTACATGTAACGTTTGCTGCTGTGCGCGCGCGTGACGTAGGGTTCGCGCGCATTGACCTGGGACGTGGCGCTCACATTTGTAAAGAATCTTCTCGGTGGTCGGTGGCAGAGTTACGAGCTTCTCGAAACCAGTGTCGTCCTTCTTCAGTTCGACGCTCTTGGTCCAATTGTCGAATGTGCCGGTTACGTGCACGTCCTTGGCTGGATGCTCCCTAGTTATCGCAACTCCGTCAGTGGTTGTTCACCGCTCGTGACTTTGGTCCCGTGGTTATGCCGTCTAGCTGCGACGGTGCGGAATGGCAGCAGATGTGCTTGCTTTGAACGCGTTGAGAGGACTTCAACGAGTTTGTTTCTGACGCGATGTGGGTTGGTGGAAGTGATTGGGAATAACGTACCAGCGAAAGTTGAACGATCCCATGGTTGTAGGTATCACAAGGGCAAACAAACGCAGTGAAAATGACGTGCGGCGATTGAGAGATGTAGGTTAATAAGAGAGGTCCAGGATCTTGCGCGGCGAGGCTGGCGCGGTTAGCGGGGGGAGATACGAATTCGGCGAAGTGAAGCCGAGGGCTTTCGTCGTCTTCTTCGGAGTTTGCGCAGATGCGATGCGGATATTAGTTATTGGAGAGGGAGAACGAACTGGAGGAGTGTCAACAAGAAGTGTTGAGGGAGAGAATACTGAGGTGTCGTTACACCGCACACACGAGCGAGCACAGCACAGCACAGCACAGCACAAAGCTTCGTGGAAAAGGAATGGCTGGAGCTTGACGCAAACTCACGCCGACGTTCCCGTGCTGGCCGCTGTGGAGCTCGCTCGCGTAGACTTCTTGCTGCTTGGGAAGTTCGTCCTTGATTCAAGACCGGAATCTCCAGGGGCCAGCATGCAAGACAGATGATCCCGTTATTGAGGCGTCTCGCGCGGCATTGGCATTGCGAATCTAGGCCAATTCCACTCCATTCATCTCGGTGGTCGGGATTGGATTGGGTATGCATCATGTGCCAGACACTGTCCGTATCAAAGCGGGGAGAAGCAAAACCGTTGTTGCTTTCACCGCGGACACGATGGACCGCGTGCCGAACATGCGAGCAGGCCGTTGTTGACATACAATGACGAAGATCTGAAAAGACACTCCCTCTCCTGGAGGCGGATTTTATACATTGCGTACAGCATTCCTGAGCATGGATTCCTGGACCAACGAACTGGTAAGATCTCATGACTTGACTTGATCGAGAAAGGTACGAAGCGACAGTGTCGGAGACCAGGGCAAAGGCTTCGGTCGCTGGAAAGATATGACTCCTACAGTACCATCGGAGGTTGCCTACGACAAATTAGATAGATGGTCGACGGGTTGGCTTCAGTCATGGCCCCTCTGCGCCATGTTGGAGGAGCCTACCAGCCATGGGGATGCCTGTGCAGTCCATTGACCCCAGTGACAGCATCATCTAAGTCCAAGAAAAGGCGCGATCCGTAACGCAACGCTTCAATCTTTAAGAAGCCCAAGCTCGACCAGAGCATCAAGCAGATGTGGCAATGGGAGACATGGCGAGAATGATAATATCCGCGAGCTGGTCATTTGCGACATACAGCGTTTTACCACGCCGGCAAGCCCCTCCGGCGACCTGAATCACATGAACTGCTCGCTGCTGCTTTGCTATCACATCAGTCGAGAGGCTCGTAGCAGCCATCTCTCACGGAAGTGCTCGCACGAGTCAAAACAAACAATGGACGGTACTCCAGGGTGAGAAGATGCTCCATACTCTATAGCGTTAACCCCTGCCGAATGATGTGGTTGTTTTTGCATTGACTCGTGGAGCGCCTCTCGAAAAGCCTCCTAAGTTCTGACTATCACAAGAATCGTGGCACGAGCCATCGGGCATAGCTCCGTCGAAAAACACACAGCTCTTTATTAGCCATGTCGACAAGGGCGAAGCGTGGTCCATGTGATGGGAYAAAGAAGGTGTCGACCTTTATGTGTATACTATTTCGTGATCAAACCAGCTCAGAATGAACGATGTTCTCGAACGGTATATATCGTGCAATGTCCTGATCATCAGCGCAAGGTCGCCCTTGGTAGAATTCACCCGAAGCATCAATATTAAATGTCATCAATGATCAGGTCAATATCTCGTCGCTACCCCCCGTTATCCTTGGCATTCACTCAAACTAGAACTAGCTTTCCCCACGTCGTCGCTTCGTTCCGCTTGGAGCTCCGATCGTCTGACATCCAAAGCAAGTCGCACATTTGTATAGTGAACAAGCATCAATCTTTCGTCAATCCTTCGGTCAGCATTCCTTCAGATCCATCCTACCACCAAGCGGCCTCCTACGACATCTAGGTTCCCTCTCATTGCCGTGCGACACGACTCTCCCGGTACGACGGCGACGACAGACTGCTGGTACACGACTCATCACCCTACGTCAAGGCAGCTCCACAATTTGCGGGCGCTGCAACCGCGCACCCTGCCCTGCATCTGCATCTGCATACCTGACTTGCGAGACTAACCATCCCTCCTCACGCGAAACACGACATCAGCCATCCGCAGAGCATGTCGCTGCCGAGCGATTACACCAACGAGATCGGCACGCTCAACCGGGAAGTGCTCAAGAACGCGCCCAAGGACATTCTCCAGTTCTGCGCCAACTTCTTCCAGCGTCGTCTGGAGTCGCAGCGCGCCGAATTCCTACTGGGCCAGCGGCATTCCACGCAGCCGGGAATCGCTGAGAGCAGCTTCCCTGGGAACAATCCCTTTGGTACAACGTCAAACGCACCTGGCCTGACTGCCGGCGCCATGCATTCCGTTGCGGAAGAGGAAGAGCACGACTTTGCTTCCCCCACCGCTGCCAACTTCGCTCCCCACATCCGCGACCCCTCCTCCCCGTCTCCAAGAGCTCCCGCCGCCGTCCCCAGCAACATCACCACCGACAACAACACCGACAACAACACATTTGGCAACTTTGGCAACTTTGGCTTTGGTGCAGGTTCAGGCTTAGGTTCAGGTTCAGGCATTGCAACTCGCTCCGGAGATCCTTCCGCCGCGGCCACCGCCGGCGCCATGGACCATACCCACATGCAGTCCTTTCCCAGCAATTACAACATGAACCGCCGCACCTCTGTCTCTGCAGAGTCATTGGCTCCCGCCGGCGCCGACGACCAGACATGGAAGGCACCGCAATACCCCAAGACGCAGGATCAAATCTCCCGACTGCGCGAAGCCGTCGCACACAACTTCCTCTTCTCACACCTCGACGATGATCAGTCGGCGCAGGTGCTTGGCGCTCTCCAAGAGAAGAAAGTTCCCGCCAAGGACGTGCGGGTGATTGTGCAAGGAGATGCTGGCGATTACTTCTACATTGTGGAGTCGGGTAGTTTCGACATTTACGTCTCCAAGACCGGCAAGGTGGAGCATGGTGCAAATGGCATGGGCAACAAAGTGGCTTCCCCCGGACCGGGCAGCTCATTTGGCGAACTGGCCCTCATGTACAATGCACCTCGTGCCGCAACGGTTGTTAGCACAGAGCCCAGCATTCTCTGGCAGCTCGACCGCGTGACTTTCCGCCGCATTCTAATGGACTCCGCCTTTCAGCGCCGTCGCATGTACGAGTCCTTCCTCGAAGAGGTGCAGCTCTTCTCCTCCCTGACACCATACGAGCGCAGCAAGATTGCCGACGCTCTTGAGACTCACAAATACCCAGCTGGTAGCACTATCATCCGGGAGGGAGATGTTGGCGACAAATTCTACATTCTCGAATGTGGTGAGGCGGAAGCCATCAAGCGAGGTCGCGAGGACCGGCCGTTGAAGCAATACAAGGTTGGTGACTACTTTGGTGAGCTGGCATTGCTGGACGACAAGCCCCGTGCGGCGAGCGTGTTGAGCAAAACTGAGGTCAAGGTCGCGACGCTTGGCAAGGACGGATTCCAGCGTCTGCTGGGTCCTGTGGAGAGCATCATGCGTCGTGATGATCCCCGGAATGCCGATGGCAGCGCGATGAACACGGCGAGGTGAGATGGATAAAGAGTGAAGCTCCGTCAGCATCCTTGTCTCAACGTCGATCACGAGCGCAGATGCTGGGACTCCAGACTGAATGAATCGACTCGAATATGAATCTATCAAATCATTCACATCTCATCAAAGAGGGCAGCGAGAGCCAGAAGCAGTACAGGTACGAATAGGGATTCTTGTTGCTCGGAGGCGTTATAAGGTAGTGGAAGCGGTGTTTGGGTGTGAGGCTTCCACTTTGCTTGAACCTAGTCTTCTGCATTATAGCTGCAGGATAGAGGAGTTTTGACATCCAATGCGGAGAATTCCATGTTCCTATATACACTCCTGGTATCCAAGCGGAGTGCTATATGTTGGGTGGGACGAGTGCTGTAAGTTAGGTGCGATGAGATGAGTACTGTAAGTCAGGTGAGATGGGCTTTTACATGTGGAACTCTCACCAAACTTGCTAGCAAGATTCACAGCATTGGCGATTCCATCTTCAATGCTCTGCTCGACTCGACCTGCCTCTTCCCATCCCACCCAACCCAAGGAAAAAATCCAACGAAAAAGCGAACAAAAACAAAAAAGCAACGGGCGAAAAGAAAAATCCCCAATCCCATCCATTCAAAAAAGAGCTACGATATGTAATTAAGTAAAGCCAACCAATCCCCATCTCTTTGAATGTAACTACATATTACAGTTGCATTCCATTGCCATTTTTCGGCCCCCCTCTCCAAACCCCTTTTTCACCCTTCCTTCCTTTTCTTTCCTTTTCCTTTCCTTTCTTTCCTTTCCTTCGTCTCGCCTTTCTCCTCCTTGTCGTCTCGTCTCGGGCTTCCCTTCCTTCTAACATCCAAACATCTAACATCTAACATCCAACATCCAACATCTAACATCGAACATCTAATGTCTAACATCGAACATCTAATGTCTAACATCGAACATCCAATATCTAACATCTAACATCTAACATCTATAGACGTATCTCTTTATGTGCTTCCGACAGGAAGAAAGTCTTAGATCTCAAGTCCAAGTTTAGTAAGACTAAGAAAAGAAGAGAGAGAGAAAGGAAGGAAACGGGAGGAAACACAACTATTCCCCGTTCCCTAATCCCTTTCAATCTCCTCCCCCCGTCGTAGCAGCCCTTTTCTGGGAAGAGATATCCAAGCAGTCGTCGAAGTAGTCGTCGTCCTCTTCTCGTAAAGAATGTTCCTTTCCCTCTCTCTTCAAAGTTCTATATCTTCCCTCGACGTTGATGCTAGCGCGGATATTGATATTGATATTGATACCAATACCGACGTTGGATGTCTGTCAATATGTCGTCGATTTTGATACTAACGTGGATATTGTTCATTTCCTCTCCTATCATCTCCTCTCCATCCCCTCTACTGATAAAGAACAAGACACGAACAAGAAGAACCAAAAAAAAAAAACACCCCCCATCCCAAAGAATAAGAAGAAGAAGATAATCATGATTCCAACGAAGATGAAGAAGAAGGTAAATACATCCCCGACCCACAAATCCCCGAATCAGACCGCGCAGCTCGAACCGAATCTTTTCTTCCTCCTACTAGAGAAGAGGAAAAAGGAGATTCTTCTTCCGTTATCGTCGTTTTGCTCGTTATTGTTGTTGAGGAGGTGGTAGTGGTCGAGGGAAAGTAAGAGGCAGAAGGACTAGAGGAGATATGATCCTCGGRAGAATGGCGTCTGGGTTGACAATTTAATTTCGGGCGGGGCAGGTAGAGGGTTGTTTTTGTTGATTGTTTTCGTGGTTGTTGCTGTTGTTGGATTTGGGGTGTGGATTCTTGTCCTTGATGTTGTTGTATTGGATCCGTGGATGGTGGTGGCGGTGGTAATGTCGTTGATATTGCTGATTTTTGTGCTTGTATTTGGTCTGTCGTTGCTGTCGTTGTTGATATTGCTGTTATTGATGGTGGAAGGTGGCTTGAAGGTGATATCGATTCCTCTCCCAAGATTTCTTCTTGTCTTATAATTTCATTGAGAAATTCCCGTTTCCATTCCCCTTCTCCTTCTTCCTCTTCTTCCCCTTCTGCTTCTCCTTGATACCCCTCTATCCTCTCTGCCCCATCCATGTCCTCTTTCCCATCCACCCCCTCACCGTCCTCCTCCTCGTCGGAAAAGGAATCAGGGTGAGAAATACTCGCCCGCAAAAACCTGTCCAAAAATCCCCATTCCCAATCCTTACTACTGCTTCTCCTATCCTCTCCTTCACCGGTTGATATATTCGTATTTGTAGCAGCAGGAATCGAAGGAAGAGGAATTGGAGAAGTAGGAGGATAAACCCCTAGCGAAGCAAAAACCCTCGAAGAATGTCTTCTCTGGAGATAGAARGGAATAGGAGGGGGCATAGTTTGGATTTCTGTATTGTTGCTTTTCTGTCTCCCTGTGTTGGCGTTATATATTTCTTAGGTGAGGAGGGAGGGAGAGTGATGGTTATGGAATCCGAGAGAGAAGGAACGACATGGATGTTTGAGAGGGGAGTATATATGCGTGTATATGTATACATTTGATAAATGAGCGTGAGAATGGGAATGGGAATTGAAAGCGAGAATGAATGTGAGAATGTTGTTCATCTGGAAAGACAAATATCTGGCCAGATGCCTCGCCTCGCCTCGTCTTACTTACTTACACTTACTTTGAGGACACCCAAACTTTTCCCTCCCTCGACAWTCGTTGCCGGATAGAGGAAATATCCACTTCATCCAACTACGTCCATACCAGAAGTGAGTACCACAGTTCGCCACCATCGCAGTACCTCTGTTCGTCAAAAGTGCCAACCTGAGGTATAGTAAAAGCCAACCCCCATACCAATCCCCATACCAACCCCTATATCAACCCCAGTAGTAACATTTCCATCTTTCCACATCCGGGCTAACCTCCCCGCCAAGCCTCATATGCCGAGAAGAAGAAAAGGGGTACCTTTCCCCTCCGGCTCTTCAACGCCACACAACGTGCCGACGAATAAGTAAGCTGGCAATCCATTCATCCAACCTCTCTCTCGTCTGCCAACTCAACTCTCTCCTTCTTCTGGATAAATCTCCGAGAGGACCACGTGAGATTCCCGAAGGATAAAGTACCYGAGCCAAGGCTATACAATTCAGTTCCGTTCCATCCGATCTAACCAACAAGAAAGCCGGCAATTCATATTTCATTCCATTTCATTCTATTTTATTCGTCTCCTCTCTCTCTCTTCCCTCTTTCRACTTCTGAACTACTCCTCTCTAGTCCGTCCTCGGAAATCGAAACAATCTCCGGACAGACGAACCACGTGAGGAAGAACCCAAAGTATCCTGCCCCCCGAGATCAGGCTGTGTAGCTAGCAGTTCAACCAACGAGGACCATGTCAATTCATTCACCCAACTCCTCTCTCGTCCGCTTCCTCTCTAGAGTCTTCCGAAACGAGACAATCTTCAGACGAAACGAAACACGTGGGAAAAATAATCCCAAGGTACGATCCCCGGAGATAGGTAGGCTGTGTAGCTCACAGTTCAACCAACGAGGACCATGGCAATTCATCCAATCCATCTATTCATCCAACCTCTCGTCTTCCAAACTCATCAACACTTTCCGTCTTTGGGATGACAATTTCCAGACGGACGAACCACGTGAGAAAATTGCAAACAACCAAAAAACCAAGAATCTCCCAAAAGAGCAACAGACGCTAGGGGCTAGTCTTACGTACGTATCATACTCGAGGTACACTACCATTACCATTACCATGCTATCAAAAATGCACCAACCATGCAAAACCACGCATACATACATGCACCATCTCAAAGGGGACAACCGTACCATACCAACGGCATCGCCGTCGCCGTCGCCGTCACCGATGCCGATTTCGATTTCGATGCCGATTCCGATGCCGATGGTATAACCAGGTTAACTAACTAAGTGGAATATTATAGAATTCTCTCGTCGAATATTCTCACAGAACGAAGGAAGGAAAGAAAGAAAGAAGAAACTTACTCGCAAGTCATGGATCGGGTTGTAATGGATTGGAGTGGATCGGGGAAAAGCTTGCTCAAAAGGAAACCCATCTTTGCTCAAGACCGAGACCAAAACCAAAACCATGAGCTGAGCTGGGCTTGACAGCTCCTCCATCTCCCCCATCGATCGGGGTTTGTCGAGGAAAAGAAAAGAAAGTATCATGGACATTTGGACTTGCTCAATCGAGACAGAAAAAGAAAAAGATTACTTGGTAGCCAAGAAAGGCTCATCATGCTCTCCTATACCTTGTCATTATCGATCGATGTTTGTCGAGGAAAAGGAAAAGAAAGTATCATGGACATTTGAATTTGCTCAATCGAGACAGAAAAAGAAAAAGATTACTTGGTAGCCGAGAAAGACTCCCGACATCATGCTCTCCTACAATACCTTATTATCGATCGGTGTTTATCGAGGAAAAGGAAAAGAAAGTATCATAGACGTCTCATCTTGCTCAATCGAGACAGAAACAAAAAAAAGATACTCGATAGCCGAGAAAGACTCATCATGCTCTCCTATATCGGTGTTTGTCGAGAGAAGATCTCCTCGATGCATCGGGCATCATCAATCAAGCAACACGCCTTTCGATCTTCAGATCAATATGCCTTCGATCTTCAGATCAACATGCCTTCGATCATCATCAGCACGCCTCTCGATCATCATCCTGCCTTGCCTTGCCTTTCGATCATCTCAAATCTCAATCTCATCAATGCCCAAATCGAGACTACCAATCACATCATCATCCAGATCCTTGACTTTCAACGCGCCCACCGGTCCCTTCCTCACCGCTAGACCCGCCGCGGCACCAGTCTTCTTGGGAGTAGTAGTGGTGGTGGTACCCAGCGCTGGAGTGCCCGCTCGACTCCCATCGGTATCGCCCTCGCCAAACATGTCCTTCATGGCACTCTTCTGTAGATCGTGCTTGGCCTTGACGCCCGCCTCCATCCCCGCCTTTTCTGCGAGAGCCTTCTTCTCTCGCATCGCCATCCTCTCGCGTTCCAGCTTCTTGCGTTCCTCCAGCAGCGCTTTGCGCACTTCCTGTTGGTTCTTACTGCGGTTGGTTTGGTTGAGTTGTGCCAGACGCTCGTGTTGTGTCAAGGCTTTGGCGGGAGCGACTGATGCGGACTTTGGTTTTGTTGTACCATTCGCAGCGGCATTGTTCAATGCTTCGAGCTCGGCGTCGCATCTCGCAATCTCCTCGTCGTCTCCATTCGTCATGGCTTCCTCCCGTCGCAGGTTAATGTCCTTGCGCTTCTGGCGCGCGGCGTGAACCGGGTCGTACTTCAACTCCATGGCGCGTTGTTTGGCAAACTTTTGTTGTAGAGTCTCCTCGGTGAAGTGTWGATYKMGGWGGTCG